AGTCTTTTGTTTGTGCTTTTCAAAGAGATTTTGTGAAAGAAACTAAACTGTTTTTCTCCACAGGGAGCTGCGGCTGGAGTAATCTCTGTTTACATCATGGATATCTGGCAGCACAGATCCTCTCTGTGTGCCCAGGCTCATTATATCATAAGGAGGTTTACAGTCTTTGATTTACACGTCATGTGACCTGGTATTTCCTCGGCACTGGAGGGCCATGTTGGCTTCGCGTGACTGGTAACAACAGCGCATTCAGACCCGGCTTGGCACCATAACGGAGCACATTTCGTTCGAGCCGGAGGCCTGGACGTCGTCACAATGATGCAGCAAAAAAGCGAGTGAAAAATGAAAAACACCTTCCCGTTCTTTCTTCTCCGGATGTCGCACACATGCTGCACTCCCGGCAGAATGATCCGCTGCACAACCTATCAGCTCCTACACAGAAAACAGACTGCATTCACATTTGTTTTACACTGCTGCACACTGCTCCAGAGGTGTGTTTTCCCCAGAAAAAGACCAGGACTGCCAGCCATCCCGGAGATGCATTCCCATTGGAAATCCCCAACACGAGACAAACAAACATCCTCCTCGCGATACATTAGCTATTCATTCACATTTGCATGCTTCTGTCAGAGGCTGCCAAGACTCGCTCTCTGTGCAATGCTAATCAATTCCTGCAGCGGCTGGATAAGACCGCTGCACCCTCCCTTTGAGCACCAGCCAACACTAATATGAATGGCTCATTTGCAATGTAAAACAAGATCAATTAGTAATCCAGCATGGAGTGTGCATGCAAACCACCCGTTAACCTCCGATGTGAAAACCTGCTTGTTGAACTGCCGGTCTGCGCTGCTGTTTTGTGTCTAACAGGATTACACAGTTCTGCAGAGCATTGTGAGGCTATGAAGGAATCTTTCCCTCCATTACCAAAATAAAGGAAAGCTCCAGCACAATAGAGTCAAACAATATCTCCACACTGCTGCAGACCTTTCCTTTCAGCTCTTTATTGAGGTCACTGTGATTGCGCGGAATTCAGACGCCTCTGAATGCATCGTGAACTTTGTACCTCGGATTGAAACGAGCCATAATGTTTCAAACCTTGTCCGTCAGTCTTTGTCTCGACCTTTCTCTGCTTCTGCGAGCAACAGAAAAAAGATTACCGTGGACTTAGTGATGCCGAGGTTGAGGACCTCATTTAGGGGATACTGCATCTTTTATCCCATCCTGCAGCCGAGCACAGAGCTCCCTCCTTTACCCTCCTGCAGTGTTCGTATAACAAAAAGACACTCTTTGGTGTCAGGAATGTTTAATTATCTTGTTAAAGCACAAAAAGGATTGGGGTGTCCGGAGATCAGAGGCTGTATCACTGCAAGGATTGGGAGTCATATCTGTGAGCTCTGCAGATGCTCCACAGGAGCAGGACTCAGGCAGTAAGAGGAGTTAGATTAAATTTCTAACTTTTTAGCTGCCTGCCCCATCAATCCATCATTCTTCCATCCTTTTACCTCTTATCTTGTGTCCACTCAAAGTCATTATTTCCTGTCTGGCTCGGGCTCATCATTTTCAGCCTTAAATAATCAAATGAATGTATAAAAGTAATTCTAATTCTTCATTTTAAAAGTCTTGATATTGCCCATGCAGTCGCCCTGGTGCATAATCTCTTCTGTGCAGGTTATTGGTGTTTTAAATTCCACTGCCATGAAGATGTCTTAATAAAAACATTTAATTGCTACTAAATTTTAGCAGCAGAACTTCACATTTCTGCTCAGTGGAATAAGGATTTGGCAAACCCATCCCTGGAATACTTAGGATGATGCAGAAAATGTTGATAAATCAGGATTTGATGGTTTACAAATCATTTAAGCCTATATTTAATTGTATGTACAGATCTTGTACAGACAGGACTCGTCGTTGTTGTTTTCTTCCGCTTGATCCAGGTCCGGGTCACGGGGGCAGCAGCTTCAGGAGGGAAGCCCAGATGGCCCTCACCCCAGCCACTTCCACCAGCTCCTCCAGGGGGGATTCCCAGGCGCTCCCAGGCCAGGCGAGAGATATAATCCCTCCACCTGGTCCTGGGCTGGCCATGAGGTCTCCTCCCGGTGGGACATGTCTGGAACACCTCTAACGGGAGGCGTCCGGAAGGCATCCTAACCAGATGCCCGAGCCACCTCAGCTGACTCCTCTCAAGGTGGAGGAGCAGAGGTTCTACTCTGAGCGCCTCCCGAGTGTCCGAGCCAATTACCCTATCTCTAAGGCTGAGCCTGGCCACTCTTTGAAGGAAACCCATTTTTGCCGCTTGTATCCACAATCTTGTTCTTTCGGTCATTACCCAAAGTTCATGGCCATAGGTGAGGGTCCGCATGTAGATCGACGGGTAAATCGAGAGTCTCGCCTTACGGCTCAGCTCTTTCTTCACCACGACCAAATCACTGTTGATGCCGCTCCGATCTGCTTGTCGATCTCCCGTTCCATCCTACCCTCACTCGTGAACAAGATCCCGAGATACTTGAACTCCTTTACTTGAGGCAAGACCGCCCCTCTGACCTGGAGAAGGACTTGGAGGTGCTGATTCACATCCCAGCCGCTTCACACTCGGCCGCGAACCGCCCCAGCAAGAGCTGAAGGTCACTGCTCGATGAAGCTAGAAGCAACACATCATCCGCAAAAAGCAGCAACGCAATCCTCTCCCTGCCGAACCTGGTAGGCAGGACTCTGGAGTGGAAATCACCGGACAGTTCATCACTGCAACCACAAATGAGGTTAACACTAGACCATGTGAAGAGGAAAAGAGATTGAAACCTGATCCAGAAACACCAGAGTCTTCTCTGGACCCGGGACCTTTTTGGATTGACTGAGGGGAAGAGGAAAACTGTCCTGTGGTCTGATGGATCAAGATCTGACATTTTTATGGAGCCCTATGGATCCCACACCCTTCCCCTTGAAGAGTAGAGGGATGATCTGGTGTGTTACCAGCTCCCATTCCAAAGCCAGCATTCCTGATGGTATGAGGATCATCAGAGTCCATGTCATGGGTTGGTTCCACATCCTTGAAGGCTCCATTAATGCTGAAGAATATCTACCGGTTTAGGAGCAACATCTGCTGACATCCAGACAAAGACTTTTTCAGGGGAGACCTTTATTTTTGAGCAAACCTCATTCTACAGAGATTACAACAGCATGGTACTGTAGTAGAAGTGTCCTGCCGATAAGCTGGACTGATGCAGTCCTGACTTGTCACCCATTGAAAACATTTGGAGCATCATGACACCAAAAACAAGACAAAGGAGACCCTGAACTGTTGAGCAGCTGAAATCCTCTATCAGACAAGAATGGGACATCATTTGAATTGAGCTTCTGTAAACATGGAGAGTAAAAGGTTGTAATTACTCCCTGTGGTCGCTGCAGTAATGCTAACAGAGTAAATCCCCTCAGACTGCTGCTCATTGACAGTGTAATAACTCTCTATTGGACTCTTGTAGCACCCATGGGAGTCCTGCTGCAGAGTGGCTCTCTCTCACCTCTGTGTGTGCAGATCTTAGAGTAAAGATTTACACATGAATGGATTTATTTGATAATGGCCGTCATTGATTAACATGACAATGAAAATCATTGGACCAATGAAAGGTGATTTAGACCTGACCTTTCTTAATGGGTCACCATTTCTGTTTCGAGGTGTCGTTCCCGTGTCAATGAAAATATGCATAAAGTTCACTCTGCTGTGAATTCATAGCTTCTCCGATCCTCATTCATGTGTGTCTTTAAGCTTTTATTCTTCAGTCAATGCAAAGGAAAGGAGCGAGAACATTTTTACGCTGCTTTTATATCCACATCTTAAATTCTCTGTGTCATAAGAAAGTTACAGCATTTCTCGAGGAGCACCTCTTCAGACTGTTGAATTAGCATACAAACAGAAAGTCCTTTGTGTCAGATTGTCTGCAAACCAAATCTTCTATTACATGTCTTGTTGCAAAGCACACAAGCTTTTTTTTTTAAGTCGATACCAACCATTAACATCTTATTCTATTTTTGATTTAACCAGATAACAGCAATTGAGATCGAGATCTCTTTTACAAGGGTGACCTGGCCAAGAGGTCAGCAGCATACGCCAATAATAATACAATTCAGAGACAGAACAAGTTCAAACAAACAAATACCTGTGTATCTTTTTAATGTCTGTACTAGTTAAACTGCTCATTCTGTCTACTCTTGCTTCTTCCTCTGCAAACAGCTTTGTCGCTGCTCTCCCTGCCTTCACCTTTCATGCATGCTCATGCAACAGATATGAAAACCTGTTTGAGCATTTAGGTCAGTCCCTGATATCAAGCATTGATTTGCACAGATATACTGCTTTTTTGTAGTTGGATGCTGAACCCTCGGATTTTAGCTCTCAGAACAAAGCCTTAACTATTTTTATGCAAACGTCCAAGTTAGACATTTTTGCTCCTTTAAGTGTATTTTTTAAGATTTTTTTAAAAGACAATGGTTATTGTTCATATTTTAGTAACGTTTTCCCACTGTAACTGAACCTTCCCTCGTCCTTTTCTCTTTTTATTATTTTTTAATCCATTTTATTTTTAAAAGTGAACTCTGACGTGAAAGGTGGAAAACCATCTCAAGTCCTACATTAAAAAAAGAAAATTTGGCACATCTTTGCCTTTTTGGAATTTTGAATTAAGGTCTGTACACACCAGGAGCATTTTTTTTTGTGCAATTATTTCGGACGTCAATATTTTTTTCGAACCCGTATCCTGTCAATACAAGCATTCACATCAGCGACGTTTTCCTGTCCCGCAATATTGCGGCATTTCATTTTTGGTTTAGTTTTGCATACTGTGTGTCCACTTCTGACCAATCAGATTGTGTGTTGTTGTAATGTCAGATTCACCAGTATACCCAACATGGCCGACCGGCTGATTGTTGATGTGTCAGAGAACAGAGTGCTTTTTGATTAAAAAAAAATTAAAATACACAAATATTAAGATAACGACTTAAGGGACAACTTGTCGGATCTCTCATATGACGATAGTTTGTGTGCTTTAACAGTTTGCTAAACGTCTTTGTTTTAACTTTCATCTATGCTAAGTAACTTTAGCTCGTAAGCTAACCTGTTCAGATACAACATACCATATGTATTTTCACTGTCTCAAACTCAATCGTGTTGCTGTCACAGCACCATTAGGTCTCGGTTGTTACCTTATGTTTATGGATTATAGTTTAATGTGTTTATCTGGTACTGGCCCCGACTCAGTACATGCTATCATGACAGACAGACATCTCAACACTAGTGTCTAATCAGAACTGAAAAACAGTCAGTCTGCTGTTGTGTCAGTCTTCTCGCTTTCACCCGGGACGTGTCTTTCTTCCTCCTGGAAAGTTGCAAAATCGTATCGCACTTGATGTGTATAGTCAGGCGCGTCAAAATTCACCTCTGGATATTTTGGAATTTCGCGTCATATATTTGCGTCGTTCCCGGTGTGAAAGGACCTTTAAATGTAAAGTTTCAATGTTGGTATAATGTTTATAGTGAGTCTATTTCAACTGATTTATCTTTTTAGTTGTATTTGTAAATAAAAAAATAAGCTTTTAGATAGTTCAAACCCTCTATACACTCAAGTTTGATTGGACAAATTCGTCTTTAAACAAGTGTTAAAAAAATGTGAAACATTTGCTTCCACCATGACATTTGGTTTGACTTTTCTCTCTCCATCTTCATACATGACATTCTGTCTCTCCATATATCAGTGCAGTTGCAGCTGTTTAATGTCTCAGCTGCTTTTATCACCATTATCTTAAAAAAAAGCATCATAGCTTTGCTCACTTTTGGATCATTTTGTCCTGGACATGGGCACGTCGACTGTCTGCTGTTGTGCATTCTAAAGTCTAGACCATGAACGAAAGAGGATCCCACTTTTACAGCTATACTTGAAGGGGAAAAGGTTGTATATTTGGGTCAGCACAACACTTTCAAGCCTCCTGAGCAATTTTTCGTCAATAAATGCAGCAGCACCAATATCAAAACATCTCTCATAGTGTTTCTGATTCGAGAAAATTCACTTGGGGCATCTACAATCTAGTTATTTCAGACAACAAGCCTTGAAATGTGCTGTGGAAAAAGTGCACCACTCCTCTGTTCACCCACATGTTCCCGTAATAACAGGAGTCAATAAAGAAGCAGTCAGTGTGTCTGTATCATGAAGGAGTCGTGGTTTTTGTTGCAGAGAAAGACAAGCCAACGGAAAGACTGTCCACGAGATGGTTCATAATGGGTTTTTCAGTTATGGTGAAGAACATTAACTCTGATGTCTTTTCTCTGCCTGTGTCTTCAGATGCATCTTTATGTTTGCATATAGAAAGCTCAGGTGTGTTTGAGTGTGCGAGAGAGGATCCTGATAAGCTGCAGCAGTGCCGAGGTGTGAAGCTGTGCATCTTAATCCGCTCAGGTGAGCGTGTGATGGAGCGCTAACACTCCGTGAACACTCTGAGATGAAAACGCGGTGACATGCTGCTGAGGTGTGTGTTTGAAGACGAGCCAGTGCAATCTTTGCATCAGCTCTGCATCACATTATTCTGGATTATAAAGCAGAGGGGCTGAGGTTTGTTCCCAGCACAGAGCTCTATGGATTCTGCTTCAGCGTCTTTTATGGAGCTGCTGGTACTGAAGAGCATCACACCGAGAAGACCATCAGATCTGGTTTGGAAGTTTTAGAGGACGATCATTTGCATGGTCGTGTTCACACTGTGCATACTCCAGAAATCAATTTGCTTGTTCTAGTCTAACATAATGTGTCTGATGGTGTTTACTGATGCATTTGATGTTAATTCTGCATCTGTACCACTGTGGACTGTCTGTAAAATAAAGCAAAGTCAAACACATTACACAATCATGTCTTACTCTTGCAAAATCAGAAATGCTCTAAAAAAAAAAAAAAAAAAAGGTCCTTTCACACAGGAAGCATTTTTTTTTTTTTACATGCGTTTATTTCGGACGTCAATATATCTTTTTCGAACCCGTATCCTGTCAATACAAGCGTTCAAATCAGTGACATTTTCCTGTCCTGCGATGTTGCATAATTTTTTTTTTTTGCATCATGGTCGATTTTTCTAAAGTTTCGCATACTGTGTGTCCACTTTTGACCAACCAGATTGCGTATTGTTGCGATGTCAGATTCAACGGTATATCCAACACGGCCGACCGGCTGATTGTTTACGTGTTGGAGAACAGAGTGCTTTTTGATAAAAGACACAAATATTACAAAAGGTAACGACCTGAAGGACAACTTGTGGAGTCATAGCGTCGGATCTCTTATATAACAATGGTTTGTGTGCTTTAACAGTTTGCTAAACGTTAAAGCACAGCGAAAATACATATGGTATGTTGTATCTGAACAGGTTAGCTTACGAGCTAAAGTTACTTAGCACAGATGAAAGTTAAAACAAAGATGTTTAGCAAACTGTTAAAGCACACGAACCATCGTCATATGAGAAATCCAACACTATGACTCTCCACAAGTTGTCGTTCAGGTCGTTATCTTTGTAATATTTGTGTTTTTTTATCAAAAAGCACTCCGTTGATACATAAACAATCAGCCGGTCAGCCATGTTGGATATACCGGTGAATCTGACATCACAACAACAACAACAACAACAACAACAACAACAACAACAACAACAACAACAACAACAACAAATCTGATTGGTCAGAAGTGGACACACAGTATGCAAAACTTTAGAAAAATTGTCCATAATCCGAAAAATTAAATGCCTCAATATCGCAGGACAGGAAAACGTCGCTGATGTGATCGCTTGTATTGACAGGATACGGGTTAAAAAAAAAAATATTGACGTCCGAAATAATCGCATGAAAAAAAACGCTCCCAATATGCAAGGAAGTGTCCATTTTTGAACTATCAGTTCTCTGTTTGGCTTTTCATGGCGCTGATATCTGCATAAATTTGGATCACTACTGGAATCTAGTTGATAGATGGAGTATAAAATAGGGACAAGTCTCAAAAGAGAAGTCTTGGTCCTGATTTGATTTAGATCTTTTCTTGCTATACCGGAAAAATCAGCCATGACCCATAAGTTATGGAGCTGCCAAATAATAGCCAATACTTTTTCAAGTTTTTGGATATACAGCTACATTTATTATGCAACCTCTGCTGTGTGTAACATCACAGTAGAACAATATCTTTTCTCCAGCAGACAATCTGATTATAGCAGCACATCTACAGAGTTGTATTTTGAAGCTGTTGAATTTGTTGAGTCAGGATTGGGAGCCTCAGAAGGACCTAATGTCCATTAAAAAAAAAAAGATGCGGCTTTAAATTTATTTACTTATTCATTTATTTTGCTCTTTTTAAAGTCTCTGATTCAGATGCAGCTCCATGCCGCCCTCCACCCTGAGCTGATTGAGTTCTCTGAGAGTCTCCCAAAGCTGCCAAATTAATACAGGAGGACGGAAATGCATTAAAGGTAGAAATTACATTTCTATTCATGAAGCAGCATCTCCACAGCTGAATGTGAATGTGAGTCTGAAGAGTCTCTGCTCAGCTTCAGATGGTCAGTAGATGCAAAGTTGAAGAAATTAAGTGTGGTAAACTTTTCTGCATCTTTTATAGAATTTTGATCAAAAATGAAGACAGTGGGATTTGACTGGAGACATACTGAACTGTGCATGTGTTTGTAAGAATCTGTTCTGCTGTGGACTGGACCCACCTGTGGAAGCTTTGAAGACTTAACAAGTTTAGCGTGGGTTTGTTTCGAGGTGTTTAGCGCTAATTACCCACATCCAAATGAGAAAGACGGACCTCCAATTAACTCAGAAGTCAGTCCAGAATTTTTTAGAGTGCCTTTAATGAACACTACTTGAACTCCAGAATTCCTGAGATGTCAGCGGAGATCTCTTGGATTCATTATTTTAATTTTCTGACCCCTTCAAAACGATGCATGCTGAAATTTTAATGTGTTTGGGATAAATAAATGATGTGTTGGACATCCAGGGCTGCAAACTCACATCCCCTTATTGGAAAATTAGAGAGAAAATTATGGTGCTTTTGACGTCAGAATCAAATGTTTGCAGGAGAAAGGGGGGAGAAAAAGGTTACTCTAACTCTCATGTTCAATTATTAATCCAGGCTGTTGTTTAAACTCAACGGTGTCTTCTTCTGGTTTCAGAGCATTGGCACAGAGACCCTTCAAAAGGCCCTCTGCCTCTCTCCTCCTCCTCCTCCTGCTCAAACTCTCTTTGAGGAAAAGCTCCCTCATTGATATAACATGAGCAGAGGACCCCCGCTGTTAGCCATCACAGGTGTCACGGACAGGAGCGTAGTGGGATTTCTGGATTCATGTCAGTACGGCACAATGACGGCAGCTTCAAACACCTGTTCATATCCGGCCTGAGCGGACTTATCAAGTCCCTATTAAAACGCAGTCACTGGCGATAAGCTCTGTTTTTGCTGCCTTGTTTGATATTTGCATTTCAAAAAGAAGGCCGAGCACGAGCAGAAAGCGAAGTCAGAGCTACAGTCAGTGTTCCAAAAAATGGAAATCTGGTTCAAACCGAAAACAACCCTTTCGTTTGCTGCTTAAACTCTGCTGACTCTTCAAAAATCAAACAAACAGTTACTCCCCCCTTTTGTTTCATCTCTTTTTTTTTATAAAACAAGAGAGAGGAGAAATGATGGCGCAGACGGGGGAAACCACAGAAAAAGGTCAATCTGAATACCAAATAGGAAATGCTGACTCCAGCTAGCTGTTTGTGGACCTAGAAAGAGGTAACAAGCTCCAGTTGAGGGCCCCACTGTCGCCAAGTCAGCCATGCCTATGACTATGACTACAGTAATATTTATAATCTAATTTACAATGGGAAAAAATTAAACCAAACCTGTTTTTCTAATCAGGTTGCAAACTTGTTTGAAGCTTTGGTCTACGATCTGAAAACCAGTTTGGCTGTTGAGACAGATTTGAAAAACACAGCCTGCCCTCCCTTCACTCACCCCTCCCCTCCGTGTTCCAAGAAACCCCCTTTCTTTCTGATCTTTATATTGCGTAGATCGGACCATAGGACCATAACGGCCTTATAAATGGTGTTATTATGAAGTACCAAGTGTGGCGTGTGGTGTATTTTGAGGACCCAGAAGCAGACAGCAAATTAAGATGTAATTTTAATGTCCAAACTCAGGGGTAAAGGCAAAAGAGAAAATCTGGTTGGCTGACTGGCTGTTGTGTGGGCCAGAGACATTGCGGAGAAAACAGAGGAGATGGAAGTGAGTAGACATACAATGAATCACAGGGAGCAAAGTTGCAAGCACTTATTCAAAAGAAAGGCCAGAAGACACGTCTGTATTACTCGGGAGTGAAGACAATACTGAGGCGCTGAGACTGAGGGCTGCTGGCTTCTTAAAGTGCCTTGATTGCAGATTCAGCGCAGGTGTGGAGTCTCACTCAGCCTCAGCGACGGGGAGGGGGAGGGTGCTCTGGAAAAGAGTCAAGCCAGACCAGGAAAACGAAGAAAAATAAGAAGTAGGTCACTTTTTCTTTTATTTTTAGTATTATTTTTTGCCCTTGTCTTTACAGTTTTTTTTTTTTATAACTTTCTCTTTTTTTTTAAATATATATTTTTTACTCTTTTACAATTGTTTTCTCTACTTTTTCTTACTTTATTTTCTTCTAACTTTTTATTTTATTTGTCTTTATGCAGATTGTTGAAAAATCCATATCTTACATTTTACTCCCTTTCTTTTTCATATAAAAAAAAATGTATATTTATCTTTTTGTCTGCATTTTATGATTATCTAGTTTTCTTTTACTTTCCTCTTGTTTTTTTTTATTTCTTCTTTTATTCCAGTTTCTCAATTACCTCCACTGGAGTGCATTCATACTTTTTTTTTAAATCTTTTCTCAGGAAAACAGACATGAAAGTCTTCAGGTGATTATGCAGAGAGTAACTGAAGCTGTGCAAATAAACCTGAGCAGTCAGAGGGATGAATAAACTCACTGGTCAGACTACAAACAGGCTGGAAATGGGTTCTTTGGGTGTCTCAGTGTTTGCACGAGAGCTTTTGATTTCGTGGAACCATAAGAACCTTTTATATCTGCATAGCATAAATAATTTGGCCTCCAATTCCTTTAGACATGACTGTTTGCAGTGAGATTAACAGAATATCTGAGCCTGACTTCAGATTTACCCCGCAGGCACTGAATTAATTGCGGTAATTCAAAGGGCAGTAATTTGCTGCTAAGACTGGAGATTTACCAGTTTTAAATGGTTTACAATCTCATTTTTCATTTATAATAAAGTGTTTTATCAAACAGATCATTTCTTATTCAGTCCAACGTATGAGTAACTTGTGTATTTCCATTTAATTCCACTGTGAATTTTCACTGTTTGGATGTTTCCCTGCTCCAACACACCTGATTCAAATGATCAGCTCGTTATTAAGCCATCACAGAGCTTGATAACGAGCTGATCATTTGAATCAGGTGTGTTGGAGCAGGGAAACATCCAAAACATGCAGGACCACTGGAACACTGGACTAAGGTAAAATTCCAGCCTATAGGAGGGTAATTTGATAAGTTCACAGTGTACATAGGTGTGGTTTGTCTGTGGAAACCTGATGACCTCATTTAACTCACCTGTGTCTGTCTGCACACCTGCTCTTCATTAACTCAGCAGTATAAATACTCTGCAGCTGCAGCCTCCTGTAACTCAGCTTTTGGGGCAGACGTTTGCTTCAACAGTCTTTGTATACCTGGTGTTTTAACTAGGGTGACCATACGTCCTCTTTTACCCGGATATGTCCTCTTTTATTTATCTGGGGAAGTTTATAAAATCCTTCAAATGTCAGGAGTTTTGTAGGGAAGTTTTGAGTTTGTGTAGGCTGGACTGAGTTAGAAGCGTGTAAAAAAATACACTCAACCCGACCCGAAAAACCCTCAAAATTCTGGTCACTCTATTTTAAATGCTCTTGTTTAATATGTCTAATACAGCATTTCTATCTGCCTGTCTCCTTTTAAAAGAATGAACTATTTCAATACATTTTTGGTCCCTATATCCTCATACAGAAGCTTTTAAAACAGCTCAGATCCTTGTAAAAATGGTAGACCCTACTGTTGCTTTATGGATATTGAGTCGATTAGAAAGCAAATTCAGACAGTGGTGGTGTGGAAATTCAGCTTAAGTGAATAAACACCCTTGAAGAAGTGTATCATTGGATTAAGGTGGATACTAAATCATTACATGAATTAGTAATTCTCTGTGTAAATTCTGGACTTTGTCACATAAAGAGAAGTGTGTGTGCCTTTAGACTCCATGTACTCCCTGTTTTAATCCTCCAATCGTTCATAGATCTCCCCTCTCTGCTCATCTATAATTCAGAGCAAGTGCGCTCCCTGACACCACGCAATTAATTAGTCTTTTTGTTCATTAAAGGCTCAGCTTTTAGAAGACCATCATGTTTTATTTTAGTTTTAATTACTTTGTGCTTTGGCAGCTTTCTATTTCCAAGATTTATGTTCCTCAGGTCCCGACCACCATCCAATTAGAGGCAGATCTGTGTGTTTATGAGGAGGGGAGAGGAGCAGCGAGTGTGGCGTTCAAAGACTGTGACTCCCGTTCGCTTCACATGTGATGTAATGAGATTAGCATAGTCTTTGAAATGATCGTCAGTTCCTGCGGGTCAATTGATTTGCCATTCAGTTTTAAAGCACCCAGAGGCTCGTAATGTGTGAGTGTGAGCACACACGCCGTTAGATCTGTGTGCAGTCTGCAGGGAGGCTGTTGGCAACAATCAGACAGAGTTAGACAAAGAGATAAAAACCCACATTATCGTCACTCTGATGAATCAAACCACAAATAATAGTCCTCAGACAGATTGTTATGTTTTAATGGAGATTATGGGAACTAAGGGCTGCTGGAATTTTTAAAAAAGACACAAAAAAAGATTATAAAACTCTGCCAAAAACATCAGCCTGGTGTTCTCAGACTCCTTAAATCTTAATTTTGAAAAAAGTAAAACATCAACTTTGAAACATTTTCATCAAAAGCATTTCGAAGTGTCTGCTGTCTGTTTTTAAAGTCCCATTTAACAGGACAGATCCTCCCTTAACCAATGTTTTTAAGTCAATCTGGACCCAGTTTAACTTAAAAGAAGAGTCGGGGGCCATTTTAAGGTACGATTAGATTAGATTTGACAGGGTTAGGGTAAGTGTTTATTAATCCTTTTGGGAAGGTTTCCTCAAAGTTCAGGTACCCTTATAAAATTTGAGGGGCTTTTAAGCAACAAATCTCAGGTATGCTTTTAAGGTTGTTTTGCAAAAGTGGTTGGATCATTTTAACAGTTTTTTCTTGAGTTTTTGCCTGTGTATTAGGATAAACATTATGAATGTTTCAAACTGTCATTTGGACACTATTTTAATTTACTATTTTCCCAGCAACAAAGTGAAGTTCTGTTTTCAGCATTTTGAGACACCCTCAACAGTTTCTCTAGAGGTACACTTCTGAAACTCAGTTTGGACTGCTTTGAAGTACTGTTTGCAGTAAATTTTGAGGTACCACCAAGGTACCCTTCAAAAACGAGAGCTGGGGATACACTTACCCCCAATTTCTACCGCATGTGGAATGCCAGCGGAAAAGCTGTCGGCATCAACCGCAGCTGATCGTTTCCATTCAAGTTAATGTGTCAATTTCCACCTGCTTCTATCCAGCCCCCTGCGGTTCAGCGGGCTTCGTAGCCAATCGCCAGGTTTCTACTTTATCCGGACACTACAGCATGCTGCATAAATTTAGCACAGATTAACCCGTATTGTAAAGGAAGTCAAGCACAGATGCAAAATAAAACATTCGGCTTCTTGGGCGGGGACGAACAAGTCAAAGGTTTTCAGACTTCATGTCTAGTCTAGAAGTGGATTTCCTCCTCTGGAAGGACACAATCTACTACTTATGTGGTTATGTGGCTGTTTTTATAAAGACAACTCATTATTGTGCAATTGCATTTGAATCTGAAGGTTCTTATGAGTTCTCGCGATTCCTGCTGTCCAAAATCCGCAAAAGAAATTCGCCTCACAAACACATCTGGTAGGAATTGGCGGATGGCGAAAATCACTACCATTCCACAGCTAAGCCGTTTCGTATGCAGTGAAAATTTGGGGGTTGGGCAGATTATAAGTACTCTTAAGTCTGGTTTTAGATACTCTGCATGAAACTCATGGAGCTATGAACATTTCTTTTTGGGGTCAGTATGAAGCAGTTATAAGCAAAGTCTTTTTAGTAACCCCATGGTGACTGCTCAAAAGTTCAGTTTGCAAACAGTTGAAGGTCTCCTGATGTTGTTACCTTTGGTGTTTGTTCAATGATATCCACGGTTTTGATTTTAAGGTACCCTAGGGCCTCTGTTTTTGATTAGAAAATTATGAGGTACCGTCCAGCACCTGTTTTTCAAGTACCTGTTAGATCATTGTCGAATTCCCTCATCTCATACGGTCATTAATTGGTCATCCCTTTGTGAGATCATTAAAAGAATCTCAGAAAAAAAGATCATGACAGGCTTCTGAACAAAGAGAAGAGTCTGACACATTTAATTAAAGCATTTCTAAAACTGACGGCACATTTCTTTCAAACTCCCTCTCGTAGAACAAATGTTGCTCTATTTTCACTCCCACATCCCGCTGAAATAATTCCCTTGTTGTTTTGGACTGTGCTTGTTTTTAAGGGCCAGTTAATACTTCATAAAAACAGTGTGAAGCCAAACCCGTGGCCTTTCAGTGACTGTCTGCACTTGTTATGTATTAAAGGAGATTTCACAGTCTCAACCCACTCAAGGAATTAAAAATAACATGCAGCCTTTTGAAAAATTCACCTTTGCTGCTGGAAATGAGCTGCGTTTTCCAGCTGTGAAGAGGATGGCAATCCAGACCTAACAGGATCCAAACCTGAAATTTCCGCATAAAGGTTTCCAGCATGCCTTCTGTTTATCGTCCCCTCAGCAGCTCTTTTTGCCTAACATGGCGTAAACGTCCCGCTCCGCCGCCTCTCGCCCTCGTTACTTGAACCTAAAGTGTCACTTAACTCGACTCTCAAAGCTGCTCAGGTGTCTCTATCAAAGAGGGACGGCTCCTGAATACAAGGGACCACTTTTAATTATTCCTGCAGTCATTAAGGCTTGATGAACTTCAGAGCGAGCTCCACTAAACATCTGTGTCCCGGTGGTGAAGAGACCGAGTGGCCATGTTTGACTAGTCCCCCTGGAGGGCTGAGTGAAGCCAGAATACAACTGGAGTCAGAGAGTAACAAGAGCCTGAAAGAGGGCAGACAGGATGAATTCGACTTTTTCAAACATGCAAGAGATCCTCAGAAACATAAACTGTATTTGAAGGAAGATGTATGTCTCTGTGCAGGGGCGACTTATCTTGTACAAGGCGCTCAGTTTGACAGGTATTATCTATCTGTCTGTCTGAACTGTTCAGACCCAAGGGTACAAAATCCACAATTCACCACTTCCTCTCCTGACTCTACTGAGTTTATTGATACTTCTCAAGACAAGGTTACTGTTTTTTCCTCTCTCAGAGTTAGGTAGAAACCAGAGTCCTTAACTGTTGTTTACAAGCTTATCTTTCATTGTGCAATAACATTTGAAGAGTATTCTATAGGTGAACTTTTCTGTTTGAGAAGGCAGCGAGCTGCAAAAGATGTCCAAGTTTCTAGTCCCATCCTGGCTCAGGGTTTGGGATCCAATGTTCTGAGGCTCAGCATGTTTCCTTCTGATCTCCAACTGAAAGATTTCTAAAGGAGCCAAGGTCAAGAACAGATTGCAGTTATTGTCCCAAATGATGCCAAAAGTTAATGAGTGTTAAAAACTTCTCAAAAAGGCAGAAAAAGGTGAAGCTGAAATTGTGTTAAATGAGTGTTGAGAAGGCAGTACGTCCATAACTAACGGTGCGTTCCAGTTGTACTTGGAAGTCGGGTCAAGAAATTCATCTGGAACGCTCCTTTTGAAGTCGGATTTTGGACTCGGAAAGTTGAACCATCCTCACCACCCCTGACTTGATGACAACGTCATAATCCAAGATGGCAGCGCAGTGCATCAACAGTAAAGAGTAACAGTGAAAGTTCTCGTAATGTATTATTTATTAGCACTTCTGTTTTGTTTTTGTGAAGTTAAATAAGTGTTATATGTTTTACTTCCCAACATCTAACTGTGAACACAGTGCTATGGTGTTTGTAAGGGTAAAATACTGTCGTATATGTTGTTTACAACTGGTATCGCTAACAACAGCTAACTACAGCTAAGAATAGAATAGAATAGAATAGAATAGAATATTCCTTTATTGATCCCCCATGGGGGAAATTTTTTTTTTGTCACAGCAGCATCACAGACAGAGTGCAAAAATGCAGTTATAAAAATAAAGATCCTAATATTAAGAACTTAAATAAATGTAATAATTAAGAAAAAATTTAGAAAAAGGAAAAAGGGAGAAGAAAAATAAAACTATCTACAATATACACAATTTAAATGCCAGAAAAAAATGGTGGTGTAAATCCAGTTATTATTACAGTTCGTTGTAAAGTCTTATTGCAGAGGGGAGGAATGACCTGCGGTAGCGCTCCGTCTTGCAAGGTGGAAGTCTCAGTCTGCTGCTGAAGGAGCTGCTTAAAGCCCCCACAGTCTGGTGCAGTGGGTGAGAGGGATTGTCCATGATGGATACAAGCTTTGTTAACATCCTCCTCTCACCCACCTCCTCCAGGGAGTCCAAAGAACAGTCCAGGACAGAACTGACCCTCCTGACCAGTCTATTCAGTCTCTTCCTGTCCCTCTCACCCACTGTCCCTCTCGGTGCTCCCTGCCCCCCAGCAGACCACTGCATAGAAAAGTGCAGATGCTACCAACTACGGCTAACAGTAGGCGTCCATTTTGGTTTTTCGACTTGTTTACTGGAACGCTGTCAACTCGGGTGGAACGCAATTCCCAGCTCAGACATCTGACTTCAGAGGTAACTGGAACGCAGTATGAGACCCACAACTAGGCAGGATGCAGACTGGAACCCAGAACGTTAAAAATGGTCCCACGTGACGAGTTGTCTTTTCTTCTTCTAGGCACTGCAGACCTCAAAACAGTATTTTACAAATGCTCCTGCAACAAAGACACAGACTTCCTCGACATTATTTCACCTCACATGTATTTGCCATAATCCTCTCATTGGTTTGTACTCACCACTCTACTGAGGAATGCTTTTACACATGGGTGGGTGGGTGTTGTTCTTCAGTGGTCTATCCTTACTAAGTTATGCTGCCAACTATAGGCTTTGCATGGAAACTTCAGTGGATGGGGGTCATTCTCACAACAATGTCCTCTTCTTATTTTTGCAGATTTTTCTTAAACACAAAGAAAAGACTTTTCCTTTTCCAATGAATGAGTCACTCAAAACCAAACTATGTTGAAGTTGTTGAATTCTTCTCAAATTGCTCACCAAATGTCGAAGTCTTTATTCCAAAGTTTGCCATGCAGGAAATCTGTTGGTTACAAGTTAATTCCAATGGCTGTCCTTCTTCACATTCACAATAAATCATCATACTGGAACAAAATAAAAAAAAATAAATAAAACGGGCCTGAAAAGCGAGAAGTAATACAGTGAAAACAGATGGTTGTTGTTCTGGGTTAAATCCTCCACAGTTTGTCTCCATTTATCAAAACTGGCAACTTTTCAGAGATTCAAACCATCATATTTCAAGAAAGTACAAATTAAACTGGTGTTGGATCAAATTTACAGTCTGAACTGGCCTGAACATTTGTCTCTGGGGACTGCACGATCCCAAGAGTTACTAAATTCTGTTAGCAAAGTTTAAAAAGAGATATCTTCTCTCTTTTAGCCCCGCGTGAACAGCGAGAGGAGTTTTCATACCAAACTGAGACTGAACAGAGTGTGTTGGTAATGATTTCAGTCCTGAGCTGAATTTTCCTGCATTCAGATCAAAGCAGCTCCTCCAATCACAGCTCTTTGAAACCATCAAAGACGCACAATTAAAATGGAGCAAACTTTGTGTTGTTTGTGTGTGTGTGTGCGTTTCTTTTCTTTTGTCATCAGGCCTCAGATCTGATATCTATGTGGTGGGGAAACATGTGGGATGGTCAGAGAGAGAGAGAGAGGGAGGGATGAAAGCAGGAGACACATCTGGTCATCTGCAGAGTTACGCCTCCCTAAGGAGCTCCTCCGAGCAGCTCCTCCAGCTCTTGCTACCCCTCTCTTAATTAGACAGGTAGTCTGAGAGGCTCATTTGCAGGTCAGATTCACTGGAACTTGTTTGATCCACGACGGCCTGCAATGTCAGGATACAGAAATGAAACACCTCCATGCAAAACAGGCCGAAATTGGAGGTTTTGCTCATTAATTTTGGCTGGATGAGGCGTAGGTCGTGTCAGAGGGGATTGTTAAATATTTCCCTGAATATAAATCAGCTCCGACTCTCCTGAAGCTTTGACTCTCTGCACAGTTTTGTTTGTCAGATAAAGCAGAGTATGATATCACAGCGTCTTGCCTGCGCTTTCATTAGTATGCCATCAAAGCAGCGTGGACACAAGGCCACAGTCAGGCTGAATAATAATCGCAGCGAGGCGCTTTCATGCAAACAGGGCGCAAAGAAGCTATAATGCTGTGCAAACATGCCAAAGGTGTCATCAGGCCTACTGCACATCTTCTGTACAGTTAATTGAAAGTAAGACCTCTCCTGCATGGCAAACACCTCTTTGTGTGCACACTGTTATTAACGCACATCTTCATCCTCTCAGGCAGACAGAAAACAGCTTTACTGCTGCATATGCTGAAAATATTTGGTGTAATTTAGATTTTTAAAAAAGCGCTTTCTCTGGTCTGATAAAATCAAATGTTATCAGGAGATTGAAGGCTTTTCTCGTGCAAGCAATGACGTTAAATAAACACTGTGTCTATTAAGAGGGCCGTCCTCTATCAGCCACATGCAGAAGAGGGTAAACAAGAGAGCTCTTAAACTTTTATCTGATTTTCATTTCAACACAATTCACTCCCAATTATGCGCAGAGACGTTTTTAGATCCATAATTTAGAGATTTATCTGCAGTGTGTCCATGAATTAAATCCAGTTTTATTCTAAAAGCATTCGAGGCTGTAAAAAGCACTGCAACGTGTCACAAACAAGTTATTCATCACTTCTTTTGGAACAAAATATACTGAATTTGTCCATATTTCCTCACTAATCCTTTAATCTTCTTTTTCCACAACTATCACAGTCCCCAGTCTTGAAAAATCACTTGCAGTCAAATGCATCTATAAATCTACCTGTAAAACGACTATAAATTTACAAGATCCCGCAAAAGCAAGCCTTATGTACTGCCAATAAGACTGAGTATCAAACTCTCATGTTATGAAATTTAATGACTTGTTTTATCACAAAGCAACACAAATAACGTTGAGAGCAAAATCAAAATCCCTTACTGACTCTGTGCGAAAGTCCGTTCAGTTGAGGTCAGGCGTCTGAGTGTGCACTACAAAAGCTAAAAAGGGATTAAATGAAGATGTGTTCTGGTTGGGGATAAATTCAGGAATGATGATGTTGGATTAAATATCTTTTAGTTTTCAAACAAATACCGAACAAATACTACGACTGCTATTCATGCCGCTTTCGAATGTGACGCTTCCCTAAATCCCTAAGTCTGGACCTGCTGACTTTAGTTCAGCTGTGACTATTTGACTTTTTTATTTACAGTAAAAAGTTGTTCTGGTTGCTGTAAATGTCATGATCTTGATCATCTTGACTCTTGATGGTGGAATGGTCTCTTACAGGACTCAAATTTAGCCCGAATTTTCTTACCTTTAAAGTCGGGCGTCTCATCTATATTTCATGTTTTACTGGTCAAACGTTCCTGCTAATGAGATAAACCCATAGACTGTATATAGATTGGATGCCGTTTGCCTCCATGCTGATGGAAGCCACCATGAGAACAGCACCCTGTGGTGACTGGCTGCAGTGTAAGTCATTAATCCCGCCTCCTCCAGCAATCCCTATGGAGCTGTGGACAAACTTTAGAAATGTATTACACAGAATATAATTTCTTCTCCCCTCTGCTTGCGATGTTAACATGTAGTTACTGTAAAGGTCCTCACACACCGGGACTGTTTTTTCCTGCGATTATTTCGGACGTCAATATATTTTTTCAAACCCGTATCCTGTCAATACAAGCGTTCACATCAGCGACGTTTTCCATCCTGCGATATTGCAGCATTTATTTTTTCATATCACATATGTCTAATTTTCTAAAGTTTGGTCAGAAGTGGACACACAGTATGCAATCAGATTTTGTGTTGTTGCAACGTCTGATTCACCAGTATATCCAACATGGCAGACCAGCTGATTGTTTACATGTCAGAGAACAGAGTGCTTTTTGATAAAAGACACAAACATTACAAAGATAACGACCCGAAGGACAACTTGTGGAGAGTCATAGTGTCGGATTTCTCATATGACGATGTTTTGTGCGCTTTAACAGTTTGCTAAACGTCTTTGTTTTAACTTTCATCTGTGCTAAGTAACTTTAGCTCTTAATCTAACCTGTTCAGATACAACATACCATATGTATTTTCACTGTCTCAAACTCAATCGCGTTCCACCAGGGACGCACCTTTTTTCCCCAGGAAAGTCGCTAAATCGCATCGGGCTGGATGTGTATAGTCAGGTGCGTCAAAATTCGCCTCTGAATATTTCGTAATGTTGCGTTGTATATTTGCGTCGTTCCCGGTGTGTAAGGAACTTAAGTCTGGTTTGTGCTTAAGTCCTCTTTTTTTCTTTGAAGCTCCATTTTTAAAAGTTATTAGGGGGTTCACGTTTCCTCTGATTGACACTTGATACAGCCTATGGGTGTACGATGATTGCGTAGCTCACCCGGGAATACGCTGTTTGAGCCAAGTGTCACCACAGGGACTCTCAGCGACTCTCCCACCGAATGCGTACAACGCTATTGTGGAAGTGGTGGTTCGGCTTCAAATTTGTACAATGACGGAAGGTGGCACCAACTTGTCCAAAGTATATACAATCTATGGGTAAAACAATCTTAAAAATAGCGCTCAGTCTACATGTGCCCACTCTCAATGAGTTACGGCGACTTGTTGGACAACTATTCTCGTCCTTTTTCTTAGCCTTGGATCGTTGACTCAGACTTGTAATTTGTAACTCACCTGGTTTCTGTTAGCTCTCTGAAAGCGCAGAAATAATGAGTTTCTGCAGAAATAAAAAAGAACAGAAAAGGTTGCATAAAAGGCTGACACAGCTGAGAACACACAGAAAACCCTGACAAACTTCATCAACACAGAATGAAAATAAATCCTAAACAAACGAAGGAAAAAAAATCCAACTGCACATTTCCTGTCGAGCATCAAAAGTGCTCTCTGTAACCTCTCTTCAATAAAGCTATTCATCAGTGTCAGGGCTGTGCTCCGGTCCCTGTCAACACCGCTTCACCTTCACAAGATAAAAGATGCTCGTTTTCTCTGTCATTGTCTCGCTATTGAACGCAGCCCGCTCCCTCCATGGGTCGACCTTGGCCTGCTGCAGCCTACCTGAGGTCAGCCTATCATCACACAGCCAGGACGTTTAGCCAGTCTAGGAAAACACTCTCCACTGCCTGAACGCTGGAGTCCAGAGATAACACCAGAAAACGCTAAATGAGCTGCTTTCTTTCTGCAGACATGTACCTGACTTCAGCTCAATCAATCAGAGCTGTGAGGGACTTTAAGCCGCAGCTATATCACTAATCCGCAGCTACAAGCGCCGCAGCATTAAGATGAATCTGCTGCAAATTGGATGTTGCAGAGGGGACAATGCTATCTGCGCTCCAGGGTTAGATTGCTTCTCAACTGTTCCTCATTAGAGCACAATCGCTTCGGGCTTCTCACCGGACAGGCAGGCTATACGATGCTGTTAAGACTAGAGGATCCACGGGGCAGAAATTAGAGGCCGTTCACCAGCTAACACTCTGAAACACATTAGCGGGAGACAAGCACAGTGAGACAGAAGGACCTGCTGAGCGGCTAAAAGCAAACAAGACACTTTAAAGTGGGAGCGAGTGGCTTTGTTTGTTCCTCTCTAAAACACCAGTGAATTCTTTTAGAGGTCTAAATGCTCTAATAGATAGAAAGACAGCGGCAAAGTAACACAAACTAACATTAAATTCTGTGGAAACTAGTTTGATCAAAAGTTCTGGCAATGAAGAAAATAGGAAAACAGCAGCTTAACAGGTTTTTTAGCTGAGCGGGCTGTGATGGATCAAAGGCGATTTGATTATATGAACTGCAGGCTATGGCTGGAATAACATCCCAAAACATCATCTTAAATCAGTTTATCATCTACTCACTGAAAAGATGTCAACTATTTTTGTATAGCTCCAGCCTGCAGCCACAAAACAGGCTGCAAAGGCTGCCAAATAAAGTCCAACAAGAACACAAACCAACTCACAAGTAGAGGTATACCAGCAACTCTTGTGCCCTGTGAGGTTTTTATTGTGTGACATTACAAATTATTGTACAAGGATGTATTCTGTTACCTTTAAAAGTGGTCTCAATTTCAATTTCTACAAATAAAGGCAGAGGTAGACCAGCAACTCCCATGTCCTGTAGGGTGCTTAAGCTCTGCTTGGACTGTTTCTATGTTTTTGTTAAACATAACTTTGAAAATTATTGTACTAACAGTTATTCTGTTACTTTTAATAGTGGTTTAAATTTCCACATATAAAAGCAGAAGTAGATCAGCAACTCCCAAGTCCTGCTTGGACTGTTATGTTTTTGGATGACAAAAATTTGCAAATTGATTTACAAAGACTTATTATTTAAGCTTTGAAATGGTATTTATTTTTACTTACAAACTCACGTCAAAGCAGAGGTAGACCAGCAACTCCTGTGTTCTTGGGCTTAATTACCGGGTTTTGTCCCATTTGGATGGTTTAATATCTTTTTCTGTTATCCTGTCAGCTTTGATCAGGACTTTTATATGAAACGAAACAAACCAACCAACTAATCGAAGCAACTAGACCAGCAACTCCTGTGTTCTCTTGAGTTCCTGTTTTTGTCAATGAAGTTTTGTCTCTTTGAAGACAATTATGCTATCTCTATTTCTCAACAAAATCAACATGAAGAGTCTAAAAAGGGTCTACCAATGAGACACTGGGAGTTGTTTCAAATGTTTCGAGAAGTGATTGCCAAAATCCCCAACCATCAAACCCCAAATAAAATTGTAAGACAGTGGTGACCCCTGATGTACTTTTAGAAACTATATTTGTATCTATATTTTCATAACAATAAAGAAAAATTACAATTTTAAATAATTTTGAAACCCCCTCTTTATTTTCATTTTTTAAGACACTGTGATGCCTCTCCTTCCCACGTCAGTGTCTTGTCTTCTTTTAAACACATCCATCACTGACATAAGCATAAAGAATAGAAAACCCATCAAGGCAGCGATACACCGACAACTCCTATATCCTTTAAGGTAGAAGATGATCTGATGTTAATGTAATGCAGTGTCATAAAAAGTGGTGGAACAGCTGTTTCTGTTTTTTTTTTTGTTTTTTTTCTTAAATCCTCTTAAATCACCAAAAGCTCAATTTCTGAAGGGATCCTTTCTGAAATACCATCGAACTCCTGAGATAATAATCTTAACCCTTTGATGCGCAACATATCCACACCCCCTCTAATGCGCAACATGGGTCTAAAAAGACCCGCATTCATTTCCAATGGTATTTCATGCTGGCTGAGTTTTTCTTTGTTCTATCTTTTGAAATAAGTTTATTTTCTGATTGAATATTCCAAGTATTCTTTAAATATCTTGTTTTTGATCACCACTGATTATTATTTCTATTTTTCTTTTCATACTTTTTGAAATAATATAGTTTCTATATTATTACATCAAGTTTACACACATGGGTCAAAAACGACCCATTCATCCAAGTGTGATTTAATATTGAATTACCTAACACTATAATAATAATTTGTTTCAAGTAATGAAATTAGCAGAGAGTGGGGCCAAACCATAGACTGTATATACTATGGACAACTTGGTTCCGTCTACCGCCTGTGTACCGATTGGAGCCAAAAAGCTCTCGGTATTTCCGGGACTTTTCTACATTTCTGAAACCAGAGCTGCGCAGTTGCGATGCGTGCATTCGGCCGCGCAGTCGCTGAGAGTCGCTGTGATGACGCTCGGCTCAAACAGCGTATCCCCGGAGAGCTACGCAATCCCTGAACGCCCATAGGCTGTATCCATAGACTGTATATACTATGGACAACTTCATTCCGCCTACTGCCTGTATACAGATTTGAAGCCAAATAGCTCTCGATATTTCCAGGATTTTTCTTCATTTCCTGAAACCAGCGCTGCGCAGTAGCAATGCGCGCATTTGGCCGCACAGTTGAAGAGAGTCGCTGTGATGACACTCGGCTCAAACAGCATATCCCCCGGGAGAGCTACGCAATCCCTGAACGCCCATAGGCTGTATCAGGTGTCAATCATAGAAAACATGAACCCCTAATAACTTTTAAAAATGGAGCTTCACAGAAAAAAGAGGACTTGAGCACAAACCAGTCTTACAATAACTACATGTCAACATCACAATCAGGAGGGAGAAAAATGTATATTCTGTGTAATAAATTTCTAAAGTTTGTCCACAGCTCCATAAGCTTTGCTGGCGGAGGTGGGATTTATGACCTATACTGCAGCCCATCAACAGAGGGTGCTGTTCTCGGAGTGGCTTCACCCAGCGAGGAGGCAGACACTGTCCATTCTTTATACAGTCTATGGGCCAAACACTTTTGTATTTTGTATTAGCAACATGTTTATTTGTCATTTTGTCACATACACATGCGTCTGATTATAGCTAGCTGAAATAACGCTAGCTGTTTTACCTGTAACTGTGTAACTTTCCAACATATAATGTCCTCACTCTCAAGGTAACCTAAACCTAATCAAATCAAATCTATGTACAATTATATTTCACAACTGTCATCAAATAATTTAAAGATAATGTCAGAACAATTGAAAAACCATACTTACATGTATTAGACGGTCTTTTCATGCTAAATGCTACAGTCACTGTATGTGGGTCGTTTCTGACCCATGTATGTAAACTGTAAAAAACTGTGCTTCCTCATAACGTAAGAAAGGAAAAATAAAAATTATTATTTGTGCTCAACTAAAACAATATCTTTATTGCATACTTGGAATACTAAATGATAAAATTAATTTATTTCAAAGATATACCATAGAAACACTCAGCCATACATGAAATAACATTGAAAATGGATACGGGTCATTTTAGACCCATGTTGTGCATTAGAGGGGTAGTGATACAAAAACGGTTTTTCTTCTAAAAGTAAAAAAAGAAAAATTAACAAAAGGATGTAGGGTCGTCAAAAACAAGTTAATTGAGGAATTCCTTGAGTACCGACTGATGGAATTAATTTTTTGAAAAGATATATAAAATTTAAACTCAGCCGGGTCTTTTTTGACACATGTTGCGCATCAAAGGGTTAAGATAAAAACACAACCTTTTAACACATCCTTTGAACTATTTTGCAGCCATTACAGCCAATCGTACTGTTGCTCTCTGAAATATCTGCTGTAAAAATGCTGTAGCTTTGTCTATTAGGTCATTCAGATCCCAGATTGTATGTTAATGGGACCCTCAGATCATACGCTTTAAACACACTGTGTTTGCAAACCTCATATATACAAAAATGTCAATCCCTCAATGGGAAAAAATAAATATCTGAAGCCACAATAGCCTGAAACATCGGCTTTATTTGCATGTATTCAAAATCATTTGGAAAAATCCTGTTTGCATGTGTCTTAAATCAATGAAAGGCTCTTACAGACTGTGCTATCCCCCCCTCTGTGTAAACTCCCTGGACTCTGCCCCCTCCTCCCCCCCCTCACAGTGCGAGGAATCCCAGTGAACATGGCGGATTTCACACAGCGTATTAGCGGCGAGTCTTAGAGAGTGAGATTATTTATACAGAGGACACTGACAGGAGGACTGGGAGAGGAAGAGAAAGGGATGACATCCACTAAAGATCATGAATCACATCCTGATCTCTAACAGGATTATACGGTCTGACTGCGGCTTTCAGAGCCAGCAGAGCGAAGCAGCAATGATGACACTGAAGCTTATGATGTTAGAGTCGAGCAAACTGATGCGGGGTCACTCTGCAGCCATCAGGGATGAGACAAAGTCAATGCTGATCAGAGAAATTGTTGTAAGCGGTGTTGTTTTTCATAATTTTCTGTACTGACTCTTCAGAACTGTGTGAGTAGGAAATCAAAAAGACACACAACTTATTTTAGGAGTTCATGCACATGGTAAAAGCAGCAGGATGCACAGACACCTGTAAAACAAAAGGACATTTGTCTTCTAAAATGCACATTGCAAAATTTACCATCCAGGTGTCATTTAAATCACTGTTCATTTGGATAAAGTCTACAACAATTCTAACTTCTTTTTGCTCAACTTATGCAGACATGAGAGAAGGTTATACGCCGATTGTTCTACGCCCATCTAAACCTTAACGTATTGTGTGTTCTGATCCTGGACTTTCAAACTAGTTAGTTCATTATTAGGATTTCATTATGTTATTTCAGAAGACCTGGAATGTCATTTAGAATCATGTAGCATCCCCACAATGCTATCATATATACCTGTATGTAAACAAGCAGAGCTGGTATCATGTAGTAGTGATGGGAATTACAGCTCTTTTTAGTGAGCCAGATCATTCGGCTCAGCTCACCAAGAAGCTCCAAAATGGCTCTTCATTTTACCACTTATAGACTTTCCGATTCAGCTAAATTTAGCGTTGTTTGGCTCATGATGTGTATTTGTGCACATACCACTGAAATAATTCAATACATCCTTTGTACTGAAGTATTCACAAGGAAAAATTATGTTTTCTAATATCAGTAAATTGCTGTAGCCAATTGTTTTCATTGCAATTACAGACCCTTGTAACTCTCTGAAACCACCTAATGAATGCACTTGACTTGATGACTTGCTAGAACCACTCTGCTACACAAAGCAGATAGAAGTCCCGTCATTCTGCCTTGTAGTTATTGTCTACTGGTCTGAGGGAAGAAAAGAGAGAGAAAAAAAGAGGAAAAAAAAACGGTCCATAGACGGAAGCCGGCTCTTTGAACCAGTTCGTTCATGACCGACACAGTCCAGTCTTCGAGGTCCACTGTCCTGCATGTTTTGGATGTTTCCCTGCTCCAACACACCTGATTCAAATGATCAGCTCGTTATTACAGATCTTGATAACGAGCTAATCATTTGAATCAGGTGTGTTGGAGCAGGGAAACATCCAAAACATGCAGGACAGTGGGCCTCGAGGACTGGTCTTGAGAACCACTGATGTAGCACATCATGGTTTGTCAGTGGGGATAAAGTTGAACATAGGGTGTGTCTGGTTAAACTGATTTATAACTACGTAACCAGAGCAATGAGGGCTCATGACAGGCCTGTGAATGCTGGACTGAACCAGACTGAATTTGATTGGATAAAATAAGACTGGATTGGACTCGATGAATAGTACTGGATGAATCTGACTAGATTGGACTGGATGGGACTTGATAAATGAATTGGCCTGGACTGGACTGGGTCAGACTGAAGTACATGGTGTTTGATTGGACTGTATTGATTCAAACAGGGCTGGACTGGACTGGACTGAATTTCATTGAATTTGGGTGAACTGGACTGCATTGAATTGGCCTTAGAGGATTGGTTTGGACTGAAGTGGATTGGACTGCATTCGACTCGCCAGATTGGACCAGGCTGGATTGGTTTGGATTGGACTTGATTAGACTGGAGAAGTATTTTGTAACCGAGGGATACTGTGGTTTTCAACAAAGTCCATTCCAGTGCCATATCAGTACACAGATAATGCTCATAATAAACAGACATAAATTCATACATAAGATTTAAATACAGACATCCTGTTAATGTCATTATAGTAGCTTTACAGTCAGTAAAACGACAGTACTTTGTATTTGTGGAATAGTCTAAAGTCAGAGGATTTTGAGGGAGTGTTTCATGTTCTTTTCCTTGAACTAACGTAAAAAAAAAAAAAAAAAAAAAAAGAAAATCTCCTCACAGACTTCACATCCATCCAAAGTTTGTGTGTGTGTGTGTGTGTGTGTGTGTGTGTGTGTGTGTGTGTGTGTGTGTGTGTTTATTGAAATAGTAGAGAGCACTGCATTTTGAAAATGTTCCATCTGGTTGTACACACAGTGATATCAAACAAGTGCAGCGTGAGAAATGAACTGCAGTATCAGTGAAGCAGATAGAGGGGTGGAGGGACAGGAGGTGTGTGAGTGATTGAGGAGGCATTGAGAGGAGGCTGCAGTGTTTGTGCACATACTCCTTCACCTCCTCAAACCGGCGTCTTATCTACGGCTTGTTTGGAGTGGAAGTTTCAGGAAGTTTGGGGAGAAAAAGTGGGGCAGGTAGACTTACAAAGACCCGTCACTTTTCTTTATATAGTCCACAGCCGGTCCAGAATATAGATCAGGTTGCGGCACAGTATCTGCTCCTCTGTTCTGTCCTTCAGTGGCGAGGGGAAGGACAGGAAGACAACGGGGGAAGGGGGGAGTATCTTTTCCGCGGTGGAGTCCTAGAAAACTTGGTCCATCGAAAAAGAAAACAAAGTAGAACATTTTTGAACGCATTGATTGGAGGAAGGAGAAACCTAATCGCACTTGGCAAAGCACGAAAACATGCCCTTCAAATATAATGTTCGCCTCATTTTCTGAACAGAACGTCCTCTTATTATAGCACAGGGATAGAAACCAAGACATCTTTGCTTGTTCTGAGGTCTTTTATGCAAAGAGACACTTTAGAAAATCTATACTTTGTCCTCCTCAAACTGAACTTTCACTTTACTTAAGCTTTGGCATGAAAATAATGAATTCCCTTTCATTTAAGTTGTCCGCGCTGAACCACATTTCCAGGCTTGTACAGAAATGATCTTGGACCTGATTGATGATTTCTGCAGAGGGATTTGTTTCTTTATGATATAAACAGAAAGGCTAAAGGTCATTACACACCGGGGGCGAATTAGCAAAGCGAATAATTTCCTTTTACTAAACCTCACAATGTCAGTGCAAGCTTCCACACCAGCTACGAACTTCCGCAGAGCGGAAAAGAGACTTGCGAACATTTGCTTTTAATCTATAGCCTTGCATAAATCTTACCTCAGACATATCAGCTCTCTATAATTCGTCCGCTCCCTCTGCAAACTTGGAGTCACCTGATAAAGCAGTTCTTGAAATTGTCTGAGGGACATTCAGAAGTGTTGTTGGAATTTCTTGGGATACAATTTGAGCTCCTAGATTTTTGTGTAGCTCCCCCATCTCCTGTCGCAAGATCAGTATTGGATGTACCCAGACACTTTGGTTCTTCTTTTTCTTTTTGTTATTTAATAGGCTTACAACCACGATCAGGTCATCATCGCTCGAGGATGTAGTCGCCGTTGTTTCTCCTTCTTCTCTCGCCCTCTCTGTTCTCCCCCCGTGGCGTATTTTTATGTGAATTTTATTCGCGTCGCACCAGGTGTGTTTTGGAAAAAGCGTAAGTCGAATATTTCGCATTTTCGTGTCGCTTTTTCGCATTGCTCCGCTAATTCGCCAGTGTGTTATGACTTTAGATCAGTGGTTCTCAAGTCCAGTCCTCGAGGCCCACTGTCCTGCATGTTTTGGATGCTTCCCTGCTCCAACACACCTGATTCAAATGATCAGCTCGTTAGTAAGCCATAACAGAGCTTGATAACGAGCTGATCATTTGAATCAGGTGTGTTGGAGCAGGGAAGCATCCAAAACATGCAGGACAGCGGGCCTCGAGGACTGGACTTGAGAACCACTGCCTTAAGAGTTATTAACTGAGTAACCTGACAGCTGTCTTTGCCTGTTTCTAGATAAGTAACCGGTCAGGTTGGGGTAGAACTTAGATATTTGTTTGCGTCTTCTGTTAAAACATTTTGTAAACATCTGTTTTTAAAGATGCCTTAAAAATACAGCTATTATCATTCTTCTTCTTCTTCTTCTTCTTCTTCTTCTTCTTCTTCATTATTATTATTATTATTATTATTATTATTATTATTATTATTATTATTATTTTTATTATTATTATTATTATTATTATTATTATCATCATAATTATTATTACTATTATTATTATTATTACTACTATTATTATTATTGTTGTTAAATTAAATAAAATTAAATTTTATTTTATTTTATTTTATTTTATTTTTCATGGTGACTGACTACCCTTTAAACCAATGGATAGCATTACAGAGACTCAACAATGTTTTATACAGTGTGTGTGAAAAACTTTTTTTTTTTTTTGAGCTGATGGTAAACTGTTGTCTGTCTCTAATTTTAATCTGTGTTCATTTGGTTTTATTCTCTGTTCTACCTTTAAAGCACTCTGTCTACTTCTTTATACCAATAATGACTGTTTTCCTCTTCATTTATTGTCCTCATTGTAAAACACTTTCAGCCTCGACATTCATCATAAATGCCTGAAATTCCTCACTATTATTTGCCTTCATGTCAATCACAACAATGTTTCCTGACTTTAAACACTTGTCATAAAAGCAGCACCTGCGAAATGGACTTTGAATATTTTGCCACTCACAAAATGCAAAATGACCCCTCCCCTAAACACCACATAGGTTGTTATGAACTCAAGGTCAGACTCTGTGAATCAAAGAGAAAACACCCCTTTAGACAGATTTTATAGCTTTAAGAGTCTCAGCAGAGAGCTTTATAGATCATGTGAAATGTTGAGTATGAGTGCAGAGAGTATTGACCGCTGAGGGACAATCTCACCCTACTCTGGTTAAAAGCTTCCAGTGCTTTACTTTGAGTATAATACTTCAATTCTTGTGGTCAGACAGAAGTAATACTCCGACTTTGCCCTTTAATCTTTGCGATTATTAACCGCTGGATGTTTTTGGATGTTAAACACTTTATTTTAGCTCCTCTCTCTCCATGTCAGAAGGTCAGTTTTCTCTCGGACAGAGATAAGGCAGCTTCCCCCGTCAGCGCTGCAGAGGTCTCTGAGCATGCCCGATAACGCCGCACCTGCGTTATCTCTCATGTTAAAACCCCTCGCCTTGTTAGCATGCTAAATGATGGATCGTCCTCTCGGAGTAGAAGGGGCTTTGGCTCCCCTGTGGCTCTGAAACCCTCGGCGCCCTGCAAGTCCGATGATAGATTACCTCGCCTTTATCTGCAGCAGCTGATTATTCCGCCTCTATCATGAAAGCTAAGTGCGAGCAGGGATGTGATCGCCTTGTAATGTGGCCTGAAATAGCTTGATTATGCTCAGGTTCATTTTTATCTGGCTGGATTACACTCCGCGCAGTCTGTTTGTGCACACTTCAAGTTTGAAAGATAGGGATGACTGTCGCTTACATTCTGCAGACGTTATGCATTAAATCTAATCAACAGTGAACATGACAGGAATTAAATATCCTCCTCATAACTTCATCAGTGAGAGTGACCTCTTTAAACCGTCCATCACAGTGTTATTAAGCCAACAATCACTCACACAGTAAGAAACTAATTACAGGACATACTTTAAAAGGAAGGGAGGGGCTTCTTACAAGATAGTCTATTATCACAGTCATTATTAATAATCACAGCTGGACTCTATTAAAGCATAAAACCATAATAATTCAGTGTTAGGTCTGACCTTCAGCCAGGAGTGACAGCTCACATAATCTGATGACACACTTGTCATCTTTAATCATCAGTGTGTGTGGTGTAAAAATGCTGCATTAAACATGCAGGTTAAAATGATCAGTCTGATGAAAACATGCAGGGTACCAACATCCAATCAGAGGCCCTGCGTTTCGAAATATGATGAGATGGGAGCCTCCCGTGTCTGATGGACTCAGATCTTTTTTGACTGTTACAGATTTCTGTACAATACTACTCAAAACTGTGAGAAATATGATTTATAGTCTGCAGATTCTTGCAGCTTTGTATAGTAATTCAACACAGTTGGGTGACAAACAAAACAAATAAAAAACAGAGTCAGACAACATTTTTTCAATTCGGTTTGAATTTCACAAACATGTTGCCAAACCAGTGATAAAATCCAACTCTGACAAAGCCGAAAGAAAATTAAAGCTGCAAACAGCATTCAGCCAGCTCTTATATCTTTGCACAAAATAGGGAGTGTTACAGTCACAGCAGAGGACGCTGAGCACACACAGCTATCAACAAGCAAACAACATGGGAGTATATTGAATATTTTGCATGCATTTCAGTACTGGCTTGTTCCTGCAAGTTATACTAAATGGTATAAAGGACTGAATTTGGGAAATCTGGAGCAGACTGAACATTGTATCTAAGAGTTGATACTAGTACTTTACAGCAGGCTTCCTCAGTAGATTAAGTCTGAGTCAGGATTGCCAGCATACATGGAGACTCTAGAGCAGACTGAACACTGTAAAAGAGTTATCAAAAGGGATTCCCATCACGAAGTACAAATGGGACTCTCACTTAGCATATTGCCAAGCTTGGACCAGGACTGCCATCATACACGTTAAATCTGGAGCAGATTGAACATTGCAATTTTTTTGTTTTCCTGACACAAATTTTTTGCATCTTACCACAGCTAAACTTTTTGATACCAGCTCAGGATTTTAATAGATTTTCATCCTAATTGCATGCCAAACATAATGACTATGGTCACTTTCACACCTGACCAAGTGGACTCGGTTCGATTGGGGAGCTGAAAGTCGCAACATAGTTGCATTTATCACTTGTTTCGGTTCTGCTTTCATACTGTGAATTACACTAAAGTGCACCGAACTTTCCGAGCAGCATTACGAGGCTTAAAGGGGCGCTTGTCGATTGGACAAATTGTGAATTTATGGATTATTGTTGTTCAGACAATTGAGCGAAGCTAGCTAGCAACTGAACCAAACCAGGGTTCACTTGCAAGCGAACCAAGACCCACGTTTTCAGGCAGACCAGAGATCGCTTGTTTGGTCCGCACCAGAGTTCGGATGAGTTTTCACACTTGCCCATACAAAGTGGACTATTCGAGGAAACAAACTGTGGTCCGTTTAAAGCGGACCAAACAGCTCTGGTGTGAAAGCGGCCTATGTTTGATGAGGATCTAAGGAAAAAGCTTTAAAGCAGTTCAAGTGCAGACAATAATCTTTCAAAGACATCAGAATAACTGATTACCTGTCAGGCTTTAGAAAGAGGTGCAAATGTTTGTAGGTCTTGGCGTAGTGGGTTCACCTGCCAAATTGCACTTATGTACTTTTTGTTTTGGTTTTGGTCACTGGTTTGAAGAGGTTTTATAAACTGTGATGAATATTCATACTAAATTGCTTACATTTAGGTGAAAGTATCACAATGCAGACACCCTTATTAAAAGTTTTGGGAGCCTGTTTTCTCTACACAGACTGTGTTGCTCCTGCGCCAGACAAAACCATCTTTATGTATCAGTGATATTAAGGAAGCCTTTAGATGTAAACAGCATTCAAAGGTTGTTAAGGGGCAAGAAAGCACATTACAATTCTGGGGAGAAATAAAAAGAAATAAATAAAGTTCTCATTTCTGTATCAAAACTGCACTGTTGTGATAAAACAAGGCTGTTTTTCAGGGTTTCTGCAGAGCTGACAGCTGGAGTTTGAAGATTTTCTCCTTTCAGCAATGATGTATGAGTGTAATAAAGCTCTGAGATATGCAGAGAGGTGAAATACAAAATATTTATCCATGAAATCTAGAAAAACAAAAGTAGATATATATATATATTTTTTACATATACTCAGGTAAATGAGCTGAGTCTCGCCCTGCTTTCTTTTCTGCTTTGTAGTGTCAGGTTTTAGCAGGAAGAGCTGACATCTTTACTCTCCTTATGCCCGGAGGGGATTTCACCAAAGACTGTGTAAGAGGAGGAACACTCTGAGATAAAAGTCTGCTTCTCTTAGAGTGACTCTGTTCATAAATCAGACCTGGTAGATGAATGCAAACTCCAAATCACTGATGGCAGAAAATACAAGAAACAGATCTGCCGTCATTTAGCATCACAGAGTGAGAGCCGATGATTTAGTTTGATGATTACACGGATACAAAGGCGGGGAACAGACAATGAGGTTTGTAGTTTCATTAACAAAGTTACAGCTGCATCCTGGCAGTAGACTACAGACTGTAGAGAGAGTGATTTAGCCTTCATTAGTACAAATGTGCTCAATCTGCAGTGGTGAAATCTGGTTTGATTTGGAGGAACACTAAACCTGACACTCTATTACAGTGACCAACAGGAGCCCAAATGAGATCCTACCGGAGAAACAGGCTCAAACTTTAAACTTTGTTCAGTTTGTTTATCTGTCTGATGGATTAACGGCAGAAAACTCTATTATTTTGTGAAAATTAAAAAAAACAAAAACAACAACACACAGTTGAATGGTCTTTTATTCAAAATAAACACACGTTATTTTAGCCTCCAGCTCCCAGAGACACAGGTGAAAAAACAGATAACATGTTGTGCACATTATTCCACAAGACATGCAATCATACACACTTTAATAAAACACACACACACACACACACACACACATGCAGGAGCATAAGAAAACACCTATGTGAATTGTGTGTGTGTCTGGTAGAGATAAACTCAGGTACGGCTGCAGAAAATGACTCTGTTATTGAGCTGTGAATGGAGGCCTGTGGGGGGTGATGACAGCTCTTCTTCCTCTGCGTCTTCATCTCCACGTTGTATTAACACGACTTTACATGGAGCTCATGTTCGCCGCTGACACAACCAGCTGTGTGTGTGTGTGTGTGTGTCTGCCGAGGCTGCGTTTGTGTGCGTGCAATAGAAATACATGTCTCTGAAATCAGCTGCAATGAAAACAAGCTGGGAGAAAATCTATAGAATTATTCATGGAGACTTTTTTTTTTTTTTTATCGTGCAGAAAGGTGACAGCAGGGGGCCACACACACACACACACACACACACATATACACACTGTTATACACACTAACACACCTGGGCCCTGTGGTACATTTGTGAGATGAGAAAATAAAGCGAATCAATATCCCCTCTGTTGATGCCGTGTGGCAGAGATTGATACTCTGCTGCTGCGCATGAAATATGCATGCAGCTCTGAATCTAAAAATATTGTTTTAGTTAAACCCACCCGTTCGGCTGCAGAAAACTTCTAGATTGAGTTACAGGCAGATAAATATATACTGTATAAATATATACACAGGAGCCTGCAGCATGTATCGACAAAGACAATGTTCGATTGTCTCGTGATTAGCTCACACAGACAAGATGGAAACTCCCGGGATATCATGAAATGCTGAACCCAGATGAGTTTCTCTGAGAGAGTGCACACAGTTCCAGACCCTGCTGTGCGTGGATGCAAATGCATGTCAATACCAACACTTTAGGACTAATGTAGTGGAGCAGGGATGTTGTTTCCACGGGGAGTATGAACAATGGATGGGTTTCTGTACTGCCATTTGCTGCTCATAAACTTCCATGGTAGATTTTAACTCTGATCAAATCAATTCATGGAGCTTTATCAGCGAAAACCGAACAATGACAATGTGACTAAAGCATTTACACAAATTAAATAGGAATAACAATAGTCAAATTAAGAAGAGCATAAAAAATACCAAAATAAGTTAATGAGTTAAGTACATTAGTTAGTTAGTTAGTTAGTTAGTTTCTACAAGCAAAAACAGCAGCACCACATAATTGTTTTTTGTGTTACTCACATATATGTACATTTCTGGCTGGTGACAAAAGTCGGACAGATAGTCTGAGTAGATATTTTAACCCAAAGTCCAGAGTGGTATTGTCTATGCAAAAATGCATTGAAGAAGTAGCACCAGCGTAGTGGAATGAAATTCACTTTCTAGGCGAAAGTTTCTTTCGCGCAGTTTCAGATGCCGTGGACGTGGATGCATCGGCGATGCTGCCTGAAGGGTTCAACTGACCTGCGGCTGCATCACGTTCTTGTTTCTCAAACGCCTTTTGCAAATATATTGCTGGTACCATGTCGTGAAACCCAGCGTCATCAGGAACATTGTCAAAGTCGATATCAACGCAATGTTAATAAGTTTCTGCAAGGTCTTTTGTCTCTTTCTGTAGAGAAAGCCACTTTCTAATACTAGTTCTGTAAGTTTCCCAACGTGTCCTTGTAAAGTCGAGAATGTCTTCACGCTGGACAGATGATAGATGCATATAACATTGTTTCGTTCCTTTTTGATGCACTTTTGAAGGCTGTTTTCTTTTCCTCCTGTTCTTTTCTTCCTCTTCGCTTGTCTCGCTGCTAGATGCGCTCGTCGCCATATTTGTGTATTTCTGATACTATGGCAACGAGACTCGGCTCCTATTGGTCCACGTGACAAAAATTGCGTTACCCCTCAGCATATTCGATTGCGCGTGTGCAAGTATCACTACGCCGCAGAAAGGAAAGAGTTCGACACCGAAACACTGATTACTAAAAATCGACGGGATGGCATGAGTAGAAATTTTTTTTTTTAGTACTTACTACGAATAGAGCTATTTTATGAATCACAGTTTATGTTGCCCCACTAAAGTGGAACGAACTAACACGATCTCACTCAGCCGATACAGCCTATCAATGCTTCAAGAGGCTTCATGTTCAAGTTTTTTCTCGAAATTTTCCACCTTTTTCGAAATTTTCGACTTTTTTCTTGAAATTTTTTACTTTTTTTCTCGAAAATTAAGGGAAAAAAATCTCTTCAAGTGGCCCTAGTACGCTTCTGTAATCATGTTTTTTTTATCGCATATTTAGATGATTTTAATAGTTTTTCTGCTTTCACTTTACCTGCCCAGTAATGATGGGAAGAACATTTCTTTTGCCTGTACTGAATTTTTAGAATCCGTTCATTAAAACGATTCATGCAAAAGATTCGTTCACTGAATAAGTTAGTGCTACACCAGTGAGTGACACAGCAGCGAGTTCGTTCAATGAATGAGCCCCTCCCCTCCCCTTCTCCGAGTATGAGCTTAAACAGTATGTCATATATGGAGCTATAAGAGCTTGATGAAGAGTCTATGATGGATTTCCAACTAAGTTTATGATCAATTTTCACACCCAGAAGTTTATTTTTCATCCACTTTTTGTCTGTCAACATCATTCACCCTGAGTTTAACTTGTGTTTTAATTATTTAATCTTCAGCTCATCTCAAGCTGACCTTCTGAGAACTTTCAGAGCAAACCGCCAATTCGCACAAAACATCATTTATAATTCATGGCAGCGTGAATAATAATACGTCAGAGAAATGAATTGCGTTCATCGCAATTTGCAGTTGAAATATAATCCCAGCAAACTGTGTCAGATCTAAGAGGACATACCTCACCCACAGATTATTTTCTACACACACATGCATGTTTCTCTTTGACCAGCAGCTGCATGTTGAACTGTCAACAGGAAGAAGATGAATGCAATCATGAACGTAAGCCGATAATAAAAGAGACGGACAACAGTAGATGCAGATTTGAAGTCAGATCGGCTAAGAAGAATTCAGCTCTACTTACAGTATGACTCTAAATCAGGCTCTAAATTATGATTTAAATCTCATTTTTTCCTAACAGTGTTTAAACACATATTTCCAGCACCTTCCCTCCCTTCTGTAAATGCACCTGTAGATCCAGCCCTGCTGTGCTCTGAGATAAAGTCTGATTTAATCTGCAGGAAGCCTCACAGAAATACTTTAGAAAGATAAACCTGACCTGTTTGATAGCATCAGTCTGCTAAATGAGGAGAGGATGATAAAACTGATGGAGGCAGCCAGTGAAGAACTCCAACCCCTCCAGCTTTTTATCTTTACATTTAAACCTGGTGTCGAGCTCCCTATCAAGCACAAAATGTCCAATGATTTAAGATTCCCATGTTAAAAAACACTGAAAGTGGAAAAATGAGAGGTTAAATAATGTTGTCATTTACTTTTTTTAGCCTCAGTGGGAAATTTTCTGAGGACCCTGTGGTATAAAACTCTGAGCCAAAAACAACCTCAGAATCCATAACCTGCAGGGATTTGAAGGTGAGGCAGAGTGTGGACTAGAGGTGAAAAAAAAGGCTGGATTCTAGGAATGAGCAAGCTTCATAATCAAATAAAATACCCTACTTTAACCAATAACTGCAATTTAACTCTAAGGTTAGTTCAGCTTCAGTTCTGGATTTTCTTGACTATTTTTTAAACCTGCTCCATGTCTAATTTTAAAAATAAATGCTGTGTTGCTACGTATCTAAGACAAAGGGTCCAATACTTTGGGCTCTATTTTCGTGCCTCGCCGGCAGCGTGGCGTAGGCGCGGCGTAAGTCAGGTACACCGCACCGACAAGGTGTGCCCAAGCACATTTTGGTGAGCGGCGCAGCCCGGCGTAAGCATCCCCTCTCCCTAACTCAGCTCCTCCAAGCAGTGTAAGTCATAGAGAGGGGGAGGATAAGGCGCGGAGTGGGTTTAACACAGCCGAGACCTGTTTTCGCCAATCATATCAGCTCCTCTCCTCATCTTTAAATCCGCCACCAGCGAGGCGTATTACAATTTTCGTGAAGTAGTCAAAGAGATCAAGAGATGTCTGAAGACAGCAATGCCACACAATGGCGACAGAAGGCAGCTCCTTAACAAGTGTCACTGTAAGCGCTGCAGAGGGCATCCTCCACACTCTCCCATATGAGCACAGATGGATTTGGTGTGTGTAATGTTGGACCCACTGGTAAGACAAACACCCTTTTCCACAAATAAAGACACTCACATAAAGTTGCATATATTTAAACCTCACGTGACAAAGGTGGGTTGTGTGCACAGATCATAACATAAATTCCAATAATGGCATTAAAATCGGAATCATCTGTACGTAAATGATGCCTGGCTCTTTTTTTTTCCATAGATGTTGGCAGATAAAATAAATTTGGCTTACAAAACTGAATATTATAATATTCATATGTAGGCTTAAAGTAAATAACTGAGATACAGTAGCTTCAGTTCAGTTGGAGAAAATCACTGTTTGCATGCAGTGAAGTCGGCGTTCCCAATGCCTAGTGGCGATGGTCCTTGGCGATAGACTGGTTGTGGGATTCATTCCTGAACCCAGACAAAGAAGAACCTGGAGGAAAAGCTTTCTCTTTACCAGTCAATCCAGTCCTCACTTATGGTCAAGATCTTTGGGTTTTAACCATGGAATAAGATGATGGATACCAGTGGCCTAAAAGAGTATTCTATGAGCTTTAGAGACAGTAATAGGAGCTCAGACATAATAATAATAATAATAATACATTTTATTTATAAAGCGCTTTTCAAAAACACAAAGACGCTGTACAGAATTAGGCAATAAAAACACACATCAATAAGTAATAAAATTTACGGCAATATAATAAAAACATGTAGAATCAGGTAAAATCCAAATAACAATAAAACACACATCAATAAGTAATAAAATTTACGACAATGTCAATAAAAACATGTAGAATCAGGTAAAATCCAATGGGGGGGGGGGGCTAGGAAGGATGAAAGGCAGTGTGGAAGAGGTGGGTTTTGAGAAGGGTTTTGAATCTGGTGAGGTCAGTGCAGTTTCTGAGTTCGAGTGGGAGTGAGTTCCAGAGGGTGGGGGCGGCGGCTGAGAAGGCTCTGTCCCCCCAGGTTCGGTGCTTGGTCAGGGGAACTGTGAGGAGGTTGGCATTGGCGGAGCGGAGGGTGCGGGAGGGGATGTAGGGGTGGAGAAGATCCTGTAGGTGGGGGGGGGGGCGAGGTTGTGGAGTGCTTTGTGGGTGAGGAGGAGGATTTTGTATTAAATGTGGTGGGGTATGGGGAGCCAGTGAAGGTTTTGGAGGACGGGGGTGATGTGTTGATGGGAGCGTGTGTGGGTGAGGAGGCGGGAGGCTGAGTTCTGGATAAGCTGAAGTTTATTGAGGAGAGTGGAGGTGGTGCCATAAAAGAGACTGTTACAGTAATCTAGACGAGATGAAATGAATGCATGTATAAGGGTTTCAGCTGCAGGGTAGGAGAGGGAGGGGCGGAGGCGGGCAATGTTTTTGAGGTGGAAGTAGGCTGTTTTAGTGATTTGCTTTATGTGGTGGGTGAAGGAGAGGTTGCTATCGAAGAGAATGCCAAGGTTGCGACAGTGGGAGGAGGGGGAGAGGATGGAGTTGTCGATGGAGAGATGAAAGTTTGTGACTGTGGAGGTGAGGGACTTTGGGCCAATGATGATGAGATCTGTTTTGTCATAATTGAGCTTAAGAAGATTGCTGTCCATCCAGTGTTTGATGTCAGAGAGACAGTTTGAGAGGGAGCGTTGGGTCTGGGGGCTGATGGAGTTGGAAGAGATATATAATTGAATGTCATCAGCATAGCAGTGGAAGTGGAGGTTGTGTTGACGGAGGATGTGGCCAAGAGGGAGGAGGTAGCTGATGAAGAGGAGGGGACCAAGCACCGAGCCCTGGGGGACACCTTGGGACACGGGGGCGGTTGTGGAGGAGCAGTTGTTAATATGGATGAAGTGATTCCGGTTTGTGAGGTAAGAGTGGATCCAGTTAAGAGCGGTGTCTGTAATATTGAGGAGGGAGTGTAGGCGGGACAGAAGGATGGCATGGTTGATGGTGTCGAAAGCAGCGTAGAGGTCGAGAAGGATGAGGATGGAGAGTTGGCCAGAGTCAGCAGAAATGAGGAGGTCGTTTGTCACTTTGATGAGGGCAGTTTCGGTGCTGTGGTGGGTGCGGAATCCAGATTGGAACTGTTCATATAGGTTGTTATTGTTGAGGTGGGTTTTGATTTGTGATGTGATGACACGTTCGAGGATTTTTGACAGGAAAGGGAGGTTGGAGATGGGCCGGAAGTTACTGATGTCATCGGGGTTGAGTCCAGGTTTTTTGAGGATGGGGGTGACAGCAGCCAGTTTGAGTGATGGGGGAACAGTGGTGGAGTTGAGGGAGGAGTTGATGATCTGTGTTATGATGGGGGAGATGACGGGGAGGCAGTGCTTGATGAGGGAGGATGGGATGGGATCCAGGATACAGGTGGATGAAGACATGGAGCAGATGATATTAGTCACGTCAGTTGAGGAGACAGGTGAGAAGCAGGAGAGTGTTGATGGGATGGGTGGGATGGGATGAGGGGAGGAGGGGAGGAGCAGGGAATGGAGGGTGGGGGAAGGGAGTTATAGATTGCGTTGATTTTGTTTTGAAAAGAGGAGAGGAATGTGTTGCATTTTTCCGGGGTGAAGGTGATGGAGGTACTGTCTATGGGGTGGAGCAGTTTTTTGACGGTGGAGAAAAGAGCCTTTTGGTTACTGGAGCCGGAGTTGATGAGGTTGGAGTAATAGGATGAGCGGGCGGATTTGAGGGCTGTTCTGTATAGGTGGAGGTGGTCGGTGTAGGCTTGGAGATGGACAGTGAGGCCGGTTTTGCGGTATAGACGTTCCAGTTGGCGTTTATGGGATTTCATTTTGTGTAGTTCTGAAGTATATCAGGGGGCAAAGTGTCTGAATGAAACTGTTTTTGTTTTGAGAGGTGCGAGTTGGTCCAGGCAGGAGGATAGAGTGTTGTTGTAGTAGCTGAGTAGGTCAGGAAGTTTAGCAGATGGTGAGGGAGGGAATGCAGTGAGGGTGGCAGATAGGGAAGCGGAGAGGTCCTGTGGTGAGATGGATTTGAGGTTTCTGAAGGTAATTTGTCGTTTTTCACTGTGAGGCAGAGGGGGGGGGGTCGACGTTGAAAGTGACAGCCAGGTGATCAGATATATAGAGGTTGGTGGTGGAGAGATGGCATCCAGACATCCAGAGAGAGCTAAGAGTTGGGCCACATCAAGGGGAGTTTGTTTAGGTGGTTTAGACATTTGATCAGGAGCCTCCTAAACACCTCCCTTTGGAAGTTTTCCAGGTACCTGGGAAGTCTTATATATCCTACCTGGCCTGGAAACAGTTTAGGATCCACCTGGAAGAGCTGGACAATGTCGAGGAAATAGATGCGCAAATTTCACTCAAGTTAAAAGTGAGGTACATTTGTCAATATCTTTTGTTTCAGGAAAACCAATTTACATCATGGCCACAGTCTCTAATTCAAATAACAGTTTTGACCTTGCATTCAGCATCAAGTTAAAAATGTGTTGCCTGCAAATTTCCCTGATGCTGTACTGAGCGGACTACTTCTCTGACCTCAGAATGAATGAATGAATGTTTGTGGCACAACACTTGAAACTATTTCATTTGTCTTTAAATTTTCCCTTCAGCATATTAATTTTTTATTGTTGTTTATCACAGCAATCCTCAGTCAGCTCAGCCCAAATGATTAAACTCAAATCAGAAAGGGAATGAGGCTGAATCAATCTGCCCCTTCAAAATAAAAGTATTATTCAGTGAGAGTTTGAAAATAGAAACAGTTGATTAGGATCATCGGTTGAAGGTCTCTCTGATTATTACACCTTTCTGTTTAACAATTCTCTCCAATGTCCTCCTGATTGGTGTAAATGAGAATAAACTGCAACAGTCCTTCAGTTATAAATCATTTTATTGAAGAAATTACGGGATGTCCATTTTTCTATCTGGTTTCCTCTCTGCATAGTTTGGTTTTAACCTTATTTGTGGATGCAAAATTCTTCCGATGTCATGGCATCAAATCTAAAATGTTGTCTTTGCACTATCAGGATTTGCAAACCATCAAACCTTGTCCTTGCAAAAACATTTAAAGGATCCCTTGACAGTTGAAGAGGAGCCAGAGGGGATCATATTCGGCAGAACAATTATCTCTCGAAATATATGACTCAATTTTAAGAAATTAATTCAATACTTGGTATGAATTCCCTCATGCCGCTTTCATCAAAACAATCCGTACGCTGAAATATTTTCCTGTGGTGCATTTTAAGACCTGCTCTTAAAATAAACTCAAATTATGGTCATAATTGAAGATTAATTATAATCCTCTTCAGGCCAGTGTGCTGACGTTACTCTCACTTTTTTTTTTTAAATAGGAATAAATCGATTCATGGGAACAATAAGCAGATCCAATTGAAGTTAATTGTCCTGAGTAAATGAGGTTCATTAGTGAGTGGAGAGCACAGTGATTGTGCAGAAGCTTATTTCTGTCAGAGTCACGCATCCTTCAGTTTGATTGAAGCAAACACTGAGGGGCCATTTCACAATAATGATCAGTCTGATTGTTTTCAGGCTGCAGTAATGAAATATTTGTGACATTTAAATCTGTGTCAGCCCTGATTCATTAGCCAGGATTGTTGCCAGGAGACGCAGATTGCAGAGTAGCAGACTGACCTTTGACCAGCAGAACTTGATCAGGCAGCGAGCGAACAGAGAAGGGCGGGGGCGGAGTGATGGCGAGCTGATGTTATTGGCTCCTGACTCATCTGAGGAAACAGTGAGTAAAGCGAGGCGAGAAACGGCCTTGAAATTTCCTGGTGACATTTGGATTTCTGCACTGATAAGTCGACATTATTCTACGTTTTTTTTTAGAGGTGTCACAAAAGGCCGATGGAAAACTCGCTGACGACCGGGAGGCAGGAAGGTGACAAGAATACTGCGAACATGAAAACTTTATTTGAGTCATAAAAATCTCTGAATCACAGACTGCAGCCTGTATGAAGGACACAGAGGAGCCTGTCTGCAGCACTGTGACCACCCAGTACAGACACTGGGCTGAGAAGATGACCATAAACACGCCGATGGTATCCTGCAGATGTGTAAAAGGGTACCCTTAGCAGAAATTAATACTTTGTTTTTTCACTGTAGGCTGAAAGGCGCTCTTGTACTTACATTAAAAGCATTATCACAGGTGTCTTTATAGTCTCTAGTGTCTGTTTTAGGGTACCCTTTAGCTTCTGTGGTAATGTCCTTTGTTTATGCTAACAACAAACACCTGTTCTAAGAACTCACTGAAAGTTGGTTTTGAGGTTTTCTTCGGTAGATGATTTGAGGTTTTTCTTTTCGATTGTGTTTTAAAGTTCCTGTGAGGGTTTTTTGCGTTATGACGCATTTGGCGCCCCCTGTGGATGAAGCAGTCTTTGCTCCTTTTCTCCTGTAAATATGGTGTCATCTGAGAAAAGTCTCATCCTGCTGACTTTTGACAGCCAGATGTGGCACAGTTGTATATATCTCAAACAGACAGTGTAGAAGCAGGGCTGTTTCTACCGCCTCACAGTGGTTTCAGGCATTCAAATTCACAACATAAAAATCCTTAATCTTTTCATTAGTGGGAGTGTTTAATTTTACATATCATGACATGGCTTCAGTACAGATTTTAGTCTATTTTATTAATGGAAAAAAAACTGTGTCTGTTTTGGGGTTTCTTTTTGCTTCTGTATCAGCTTTCACTTTTGCAAATGTTTAGTTTAAAGTTTGCCTCACAAGTGTTTCTAGGTACCAAGTTTTGTTGATGTATTTTGGTTCTCTTTGCATCTGTTGTAAGGTATTCTACTGGTTGTTCTGAGCCTCTATTTTGCATCTGTTTTACCATCATGCTCGTGCTCTAGCCTGCACCGTACTGTTTTTGGGTTCCTTTTTGCATCTTTTTAAACACATCATTTTATGTCCATGTCACCCTCTGTTGTCATGAACCCTTTACAACACAATGTGGCTTACTAGAGTAGAAGTCAGACTGATGATGTCTGCAGCCATGAATACTTTCAGATTATTTTGTTATGTTTACTGCAGCTGGAAGATTTCCAGCCTATAGTTCCTTTTAAATAGGCGGTGAAAGTATCTGTAGGTTTACGCTCAGCTGGACATGAGGTGAAATATTACAGATTCAGAAAAAATTAAATCCTCAATTCACAGATTTTACGTTTTAACCAGGTATCTGCCATGTCACCTTTGTTATACAGTGCAACGCAGTATAGCTAACACCCTCTGGCAGCATTCAGAGTACATGTTTATTCCAAATACACTAGAATTATGCAGTTTGTCTGAGTGTGGGGTCCAGCTATTAATTTCCTTTTAGGCCACTGAGATCTGAATGTTGTTTAAAGAAGCAGCAGTGAAAAATGAACCCTGTATATTATCCAGGGAGCTTTTTAGTACATTTTCTTCATTTTAATCTACAGGAGGTATTAATCTTAGGGGTTATTAAATTTAGATAAAGAGGTCTGAATAAGAGAGCATCTCTCTGTTATTAAAGAGGCCAAGTGTGTTTCTAAAAAGCCTCTGTAGAAAGTGTTTCAGCTAAAAACGAGATACTGTCATGACCGTGGAAGGGGTTAGTAATTTCAAAATAAAACAGAAAACACATGACGTGCGAAAAATAAAGAAAACTTAACCAACCAACCATGACAGATATAAACACAGCAGAATGTAAATGTTATATGACAACTCAGGTGGTCCTGCAGAAAGGAGTGTTTTGGACAAAAAAGGGAGGATGCAATGTTAAAAAAAAAAAAGGTTATTTTTAATCAGGTTTTCTTTGTCATTGGTAATAGATTCATGCTGAGTCTTCACCAAACTTCATCAGACATCTAAAATCCATCAGAGCTGTATCTTCAGACCCTCTAAAAGGCATTGAGCTAATTTCAGAAAGTGACATTTTTCTACTCTAGTTTAGAGTCGCCTTTTGTTGTTTATTTGTTTCCTTGAGCAGCACTCCACATCCCTCTGTTCCTCACCTCAACTTTATGTTAAACAGCACTTCATTATTTCTTTACACAATAAATAACAATTTTTACATCACAGAATTGGGGTTTTTATGCAACCGCACCCCCTCACACAATGTGTTTACCTTGTTTTGGTAGTGTCTGTGTGTGTGTGACTGTGAGAGAATGTTAATACTACAGGGACCAGGTTTTGATTGGTTAATGGGCCAGGTCCGTAGAACCAATTGGGGAGGAGAGCCAGATTCAATAGGCTGCTGACTGGGGGGAAGACACCATTGTTGTCAACCTAGCGACTTTGTCACTAGATTTAGCAACTTTTCAGACCCCTTAGCAAAGTTATTTTCAACGTTTTCCCTTCCTGCGATATTGCGGTATTTATCTTTCGGATCATGGTCGATTTTTCTAAAGTTTCGCATATTCTGTGTCCACTTCTGACCAATCAGATTGCATGTTGTTGCAATGTCTGATTCACCGGTAAATCCAACATGGCTGACCAGCTGATTGTGTACGTGTCGGAGAACAGAGTGCTTTTTGATAAAAAAACACAAACATTACAAAGATAATGACCTGAAGGATAGTTTGTGTGCTTTAACAGTTTGCTAAACGTCTTTGTTTTAACTTTCATCTGTGCTAAGTAACTTTAGCTCGTAAGCTAACCTGTTCAGATACAACATACCATATGTATTTTCACTGTCTCAAACTCAATCGTGTTGCTGTCACAGCACCATTAGGTCTGGGTTGTTACCTTACGTTTATGGATTATAGTTTAATGTACTTATCTGGTACTGGCCCTGACTCAGTACATGCAATCATGACAGACAGACATCTCAACACTAGCGTCTAATCAGAAGTGAAAAACAGTCAGTCTGCTGTTGTGTCAGTCTTCTCGCTTCCACCCACGACGCGTCTTTTTTTCCCTCGGAAAGTCGCAAAATCGCATCGGGCTTGATGTGTATAGTCAGGTGCATCAAAATTCCCCTCCGAATATTTCATAATTTAACGTCAGATATTTGCGTTGGTCCTGGTGTGTAAGGACCTCTATTGTTTTTCAATGGGTAGCCGGTGTGCATCAAAAGCATGGACACAGACACATACATACACCCTGGCGGGATCGCTTCTATCGTCCTCTTGCAACTTCTAGTGACTTTTACGACAGCTACTAGCGACTTTATTCAATGAAGAGTTGGCAACACTGGTCAGAAAATCTATGTTGGCATTTGTGTTTGGAGGCGATCTAATTGTATATCTTTTCTTGTGGAATATTAAGGGATAGGGAGCTGCTTACCCCTTGTTTTGTTTTAACTGCTGTTTTGAGCTAATTTCAGAAAATGACATTTTTCCACTCCAGTTCAGAGTCACCTTTTCTTGTGTTTATTTGGCTGTTGTAACTGTTGTTTAGAAGTACAAGAGTTCACAGTGTCTGCACACAACTTTAAACACACATACACAATAAGAAGTGGTATTTACTGCATGGTATGAACTCGCAGTAACAGCCATTGTGACGCACCAGCTCCCACACACACGGTATGAACACACACGTAGACACACACACACACACAGCGCCCCGGGCTGATGGAGTGCTTGGGAGTATCAGTTTAGTGTTTACTTGTGTTTTCTGGTCAGGGGTGAGAGGATCAGAGACACCCTCAGGGGGGGTGAGGCGCTGCGTGAGTTAATGTTTCACATCCAGCAGATTAAGAGCGAGCCGGCAGACGTCAGGTCCGAGCAGACGCCGGGGAGTGAAGGGTAATGGATCAGAGAAATTACTTCACGCTCAGTTCGGGAAGGAGACACATTCGACCACAAAAGCCTCTCAGAGAGCTTCATTAGAGGGAGGCTGCTCCGCCATCACTGTCTGCAGAGGCATTATGGGGGAGGCCTGGGTCCATCCTGCGGCTGATAAAATCCATCAACACACACTTTCACTTCTGTCTGCTTTACTGGAAACACTTTGTTCGTTCTCAGGCTGCAGGGGATTAAATCTGGAGACCAGTGATGCACAGAAATAAAGTTTGGAGGGATTAAAGTTAAAGACTGAGATCCTGCTGTAGGAGTTACATTGATTTACAATAAAAGAACATTAAAGCTTGGCGCATAACTTAAAACAGGTGCATAAGATTTAATTTGTCTGATAGTTTGGATGTGGGTCATTTGAAAATACTGGAGCCAATTACAACACAACAAGCAAAGATGTGAATGTAGCCATAGTATATGAATGACAGATGATACTATCACACATTTCTAGTCTTCGCTAATAAAAGGAGAATAGTCCAAAAATGAAAAAGATGGTAAAAGTCAAAATAAACCTCTAAAGAGCTGAGAAATACTCTATTCATGTTTCATATTTTTATAAATGGTTTTAATTTGCAGTTTTTGATGATAAAACCTTTTTGATTTCTGTGCCTCTTTAAACCTTTTTTTTACTTGTTTATCTTTCAGTTTAGCAACACAGCAGTACCTAAAGATATCACGATGTTGAAGTTCAAGCAGAAAGAAGAAACTGAATCATTGTGAGCAAAACCAGCATCAGGTCTCTCTCTCTCTCTCTTAGCTGATTTAATTTCATTTGTATAAACAACATTTTTGTCACTTGGAATCAGAGCTGGAGCTTGTCAACAGGCAAGGCAGGTAATTGCTTGGGGCCTCAGGCCACTAGGGGTTCCGAGGGGTTGATGAACCTTACTCCACAAAAATATCCTGAAATATTGCAACCTGGTTAAACAACTAATGGTCAAATTGCAATGACATCTTCAATGGATACCCCCCTAAAGGGACCCCATGTAATCCCTATTGCAATATCAACTTTGGAGCATATAACAAACTGAAGTTAAGGTCCTTACACACCGGGACCGTTTTTGTCGTGCAATTATTTCAGAAATCAATATTTTTTTTCAAACCCGTATCCTGTCAATACAAGTGTTCACATCAGTGACGTTTTTACCGTTCTGCGATATTGCGGCATTTATTTTTTCGGATCATGGTCAATTTTTCCAAAGTTTTACTGTGCGTCCACTTCTGACCAATCAGATTGCGTGTTTTGTCCGACGTGAGATTCACCGGTATATCCAAGATGGCCGACCACGACCAGCTGATAATTTATGATCGTTTACACAAACTTTACAACAATAACGACCTGATGGACAACTTGTGGGGAGTCATAGCGTCAGATTTCTGATATGGCGATGTTTTGTGTGCTTTAACAGTTTGCTAAATGTCTTTGTTTTAACTTTCCTCTGTGCTAACGTAAGCTAACAGTTGTTACCATAGTTTAATGTGCTTATCTGGTACTGGCCCCGACTCAGTACATGCTATCATGACAGACAGACATCTCAACACTAGTGTCTAGTCCTCCGCCTCTTCAAACTTGGAGCTAATTGTTTCAGCAGAACTTCAAATTGTCCAACAGACATCCAAAAATAGGTTCTGAAGCGACCGTGGTACAGTTTAAGCTCCTGAACTAAACAGTGAAACTCACCAAGTTCTCTTCTTGTTTGTAATATTGGATGCACCCATGTGCTACGTTTATTTTTCTTTTGAGAAAGCAGAAGTAGTACCAATTCGCCATCACTTGAAGTTGAAGTAGACTCAATTTTTGTCTTCCCGTTTCCACCCAGGATGCTGTAGGTTGTTAAGGGAAGGTCCCGCCCTCCTTCGCCTCTGATTGGCTATAAGTGCTGACCGTTTGGCTTGAGCGCATGATGAGGTTTCCAGCTTTTCTAGCCAATCAGAGGCGAAGAAGGCGGGACTTTCCCCAGGAAAAGTCTTCCCCGGGATGCATCTTTTCCCCCCCAGAAAGACACAAAATCGCATCAGTATGTATTGTGGTACAAACATATCAGAGCTATATTTAGTGCAAATTTTTCAAGTTACATAGTTAATGTTATTGTTACGTTAGTTATTGGTTCAAGCAGTCTGAGATTTTGTGAGTTTTTTTGTGTGTCTCACAGTTATTGTTTGAGTTCCAAACTTATATTTGAACCAACAGTATCGAAGCATAAATAACGCAGCTCACTGAATGAGGCAGCAGTCTCTAGTTTCTGTCGGCTTAAATTCCTGTTTACATCAATGTATTCTGGAAGAAGAGGCTGAACCTTAACTTTCAAGAAACATTCCACACATTTGACCCAGTTTACCTGCTGCAGGGTGAATTTATCTGCTGAGGCATCTCCTCAACTTTGAATGTCTGTTAATCTTGATCTTCAAATAAGTGAAGCTTAAATTATTGAGTTTTTTGGTGCACTGTTAAGTAACTAGAACTATATAAGTGAAGCCCACAGAGGCTAAATTTGATTATTTTGTGAGCAAGCAAAGAGAAGTCAGGTTGTATTTAGCTTCTAATTTCTGGTCACTGTCTCCCTGTGAGCCGTGTGTGACCGAGCTGAAGGGACTCCTCTTCCTTTCAAGATCAAGATATCAATCATTCAGTGATGTGAGAGCGCCACAGGCTGCAGACACTCTGAGGATTCAGACGCTTCTTCTTTCAGGACATCGGGTCATTAGAGAGAGAAAGAGAGACAGAGCATAGGGGGAGAGAGGGAGGTAGAAAAAAGCCACACTGAAAGAGGAGGGGAGTCTATTGTCGAGGATCTGACAATGGACCCAAAATACCAGCATCACCCCGGGGCTCCACATGAGCAGAAGATCAGAAAGGCTCAATAAATACAGCAGAGAGGTTAGAGGAAGATGTTCTGGTGGTCAAACTCAGTGTTATAGTGAAATCTCTATGTTTGGTTTAAGAACAGTTTTCTCTACACTACCACAAAAGAGAACAGAGGGGAAATTAACAAGTAAAGACTGTACAAATCAGAGTTTTCTGTACTAACAAGGTACAAAGATTTCTGTTTCCATATCACACTACAGAAGACTTCAGGATTTAAGGTCGTTACACAACGATGCAAATATATGACGCAAAATTACGAAATATTCGGAGGGGAATTTTGACGCGCCTGACTAAACACATCAAGCCCGATGCGATTTTGCGACTTTCTGGGGGGTGGAAGCAAGAAGACTGACACAACAGCAGACTGAGTGTTTTTCAGTTCTGATTAGACTCTAGTGTTGAGATGTCTGTCTGTCATGATAGCATGTACTGAGTCAGGGCCGGTACCAGATAAGCACATTAAACTATAATCCATAAACGTAAGGTAACAACTGAGACCTAATGGTGCTGTGACAGCAACACGATTGAGTTTGAGACAGTGAAAATACATATGGTATGTTGTATCTGAACAGGTTAGCTTACAGGCTAAAGTTACTTAGCACAGATTAAGGTTAAAACAAAGATGTTTAGCAAACTGTTAAAGCACACAAACTATCGTCATATGAGAAACCCGATGCTATGACTCTCCACAAGTTTTCCTTCAGGTCGTTATCTTTGTAATATTTGTGTTTTTAATCAAAAAGCACTCTGTTCTCCGACAAGTAAATAATCAGACGGTCGGCAATGTTGGATATACTAGTGAATTAGATGTCGAAACAACAACAAATGCATACATGTACACGTTTTTACTTTACAGTGGTGCACTGTCAGTATTGCACTCTGGGGAGCTGTCCATGGTCCTGAATCTGCTGCTCAGCCATGCAAGAGAACTAGAGCACTGCAGTTTAATACAGCCAAAGAGTTGTCCATGGTGCTGAACTTGTTAATGTCGATGTCACCAGCTATGGTGTTACAGTGTTAAGTCAAGTCCTTACTATGTTGTGAGTTTAGTGCACCATGCTATAATCGGTGCATCTTAACTTGTTAATAGGTAACCAACATTTTGCTTCAGACATGTTGTTTTTTTTTTTTTTTTAAATACTTACAGAAGCCACGGTAAACATTATTTTAGTCAAAGTTAACTCAAAATAGACTGAGTCCCAGTTCAGAAAAGCTGAAAACAGACCATAAAACAGAGGCTCAAGGGTACAGATCCAACTATAGGTAAGAAGGCAATAAAACCTCCATAAAACAAGCAATAAACCGTAAAACAGACCAGACCACCTCTTAGATTGTTAAAGTAAAAAGACCTAAGGGTGGACATGTAAGGTTTCATTAAAACCAACCAAACCAACCAAAAAAGAGGGAAGGAAACAGACCTCCAGTCAATATTAAATGGGAACATCATTTTTAGGAGGGAGCAGAAAATTACTCATACGTCATGACTGGTTCTTGTTAATTTAGTTTTTTCCTGGTTTATAATGAAGTAGTATTTCTCCTATTGATTCTGTTTCCTGTGATCCTAATTTGTGTGTTTCCAGTTCGTGTTTGACCCTGTTTCCCTCGTGTTCTCAGTGTTTTATTCTTTAGATTAGTTATCAGTAAATCTTGGGTTATTTTGTAGTTCTTTGCTCTTGTGTGTCTGGTTTAGTTTGACTTCCTGTTTTGTTTTGTAGTAGTCATAATTGCGTTTCAAGTTTAGATTTACATCCGGTGTTTTCCCTCCTCAGTGATTGTCTGCACAGGTGTCTCAGTGCCTCACCTGCCTCTCGTTACTCGTTACCCTGTGCATTTAGTCCTTGTGTTGCCCTCCATCTTGTTGGGTCATTGTGTGTAGATGTCACGGTATATTTCTTCCTCACCTGATGCCTTTGTGATTTCCAAGTATCTTTTGAGTCTGTTTTTTTGTTTGTTTGTTTGTTTGTTTCTTTATGCTCCTTCATTCTTTTTTTTTTTTTTTTTTTGGTTTTATTTGTAAATTGGACTTTTTCAAAAGTAAATTTCCCCAGTGGTCCTCAAGCCCCCCCAGTCCTGCATGTTTTGGATGTTTCCCTGCTCCAACACACCTGATTCAAATGATCAGCTCGTTATCAAGCTCTGTAATGGCTTAATAACGAGCTGATCATTTGAATCAGGTGTGTTGGAGCAGGGAAACATCCAAAACATGCATTCCTTTAGTTTTTGTTTAAATACGTGACATTATGTATATTTAAAAACATTAATGACTATGTTCGGAGCAGAAAAAAAAATTTTCAACACACCTACTACAAGAACAAGTGACACTAGGTTACACTAAAACAGACCAAATCTAGAGTGACCATATTCTGAATCCCCAAAAAGAGGACACTAATAATAATAATAATAACTAGGGCCCCGTTGGGGCACTGGCGGGCCCGAGCCGTGTCGCGCCCCCCCCCAATGCGCTGCCTCCCCGTCCCATTCTCGGCCTCTGGCCATCGCCCTCTTTGGTAACGCCCATCACTGCAAAGACCCTTTTCCTTCATCGGCGTTTGCTGTTCTTCCTGCCAGTGCGTGTTGCTTTCACTTACACTTGCCACAGCCAGCCTCGTGAGTGCCTAGCCTATTGGATATCACTGTCACCGACACAGGACAGTCATTACCTTTCTATTAACACTTTGTTTTTTAATTTCACATTAATTTCCATATTGTATAAGCGACTGGAAAAAACTTGAGCCCCTGCCCCTGTATAATCATGTGCACGTCCCTGTTCTAGCTCCAAGGTGAATCTTCACTGCTCATGTTCTCCTCAGAAGCAGTCACCTCACTCCCCTCAGGTTACTGTACACATGCACGAACTGCCTGCTTCAGGTTTGGATGAAGCTTCATGGTTGTCTTTTGGAGAAATGAGCAGTCAAGTTGTGTTTGAAATTTGATTTTTTTCAGGGGCAAAAGGAAGCCTCTGCATTCTTGTCAAATATGTAAATAGCATGTTATTGCAGGTGCTAAAAAACAGACTCTGAGTGTGTGTGTGTGTGTGTGTGTGTGTGTGTGTGTGTGTGTGTGTGTGTGTGTGTGTGTGTGTGTGTGTGTGTGTAAACTTCATTCATATAGCACTTTTAAAAACACAAGTTTATAAAGTGCTTTGAAAACAGTTGCAAAGCACAGAACATCAGCAGATGAAAATAAAAACAAAAGCTCAGTTAAAAACAAGGCCTCTGAGTTGAAGGCCAATTTCATTTTTCATAAGAAACCCAGACAATACAAGAACCTTACAACATAAAATGAGACCATGAGAACTAAAATAAAAACATAAAATAGGCAGAAAGAAGGAAACAGGATAGTAAGTATAAAAGAGGATATTATTGATAATAAAATCATAATAAAATAATAATGATGGTAATATTAATGATAAAATGGAATGATAAAAAATGAGCAGGAAAAAACCATAAAATCAATAAAGGGCCTGAAAGGTCAAAGAAGAAAACATAATTAAAACAAAGGCTAAAAGGATAGTAAGTCCAAATAAGATAAAAGAGGTAAAAGAGATAAAAGAGAAAAGACGGCATCACATAAAAGCATGTCTGTAAAAGTGAGTTTTTAAATTTGACTTAAAAGAAGTGACTGTCTCTGCTGTCCGCCTTATCTCTTTTGGCAGGTCGTTCCAAAGTCGAGGAGCTCTGATGGAGAAAGAACTATCACCTTTAGTTTTGAGCCTCGACTTTGGAACGACCAGGAGGCCTTCGCCAGAGGATCTGAGGCTGCGAGTTGGCTCATAAGGTATCAAAAGCTCTGAAATGTAGCTCGGAGCAAGTCCTTTGAGTGCTTTAAAAGTAATCCATAAAATCTTAAAATCAATTTTTAAAACTGACAGGAAGCCAGTGAAGGGAGGCTAAAATTGGAGTGATGTGATGCCGTCTACTAAAACCAGTTAAAAGCCAAGCTGCTCCACTACTACACAGGGTGGAGTTGCCGAGTCATGCGTAATAAATGTGAGGGTTTTTATGGTCTAGTCAAGTGTTTTTTTTTTATGTGCTTCTAACTCAGTGAGTCCACTCTACATAAACTCAAAACTTCCATACAAAACCCTGGACATTTGAAGGTTTTTATAAACTCCCCCGGACAGGCCGGACAGCCCCCAAAAAAGAGGACATCTCTGGGGAAAAGAGGATGTACGGTCACCCTACCAAATCAGGTTTTGAGGGTGCAGAACCCAACTCCTTAAAAAAGTGCCACCTTGAAAATCTTGCAAATGCAGTGTACTTTTATAAAAAATAAAAAAAGGGTTTTCCACTTTAACTTTTCTTTGTGTTTCTTTAACCTGCACACACAGCATAGCCAACACTCAGCACTTTTGATTCATACATCATGTATGTCTCCATCATACAGGGTACACATTAGTGCACTCTGAAAAAACAGCCACCGCTACAGTATCTGTCTGCATGATAAATGTTTGGACTCAGAGCAGGCAGAACATCGAGGCTCAGGAGACCTCTGAGCGTGTGAGGTCTAATCTGCAGAAACAGACTCAGTTACCTGACAAAGGTACACAGACTGAACACCTGTGCAGGGAAAAGTCCCAGAGCAGCTTCAACAAAGCCTCCTTATTTACCAAAGCTTACAGTATCTCTGAGTCCCTGAAAGACAGGGAGGGATGACGGCTGAGCTGTTGTCCCTCCAGAATAAAAGCCCCTGATTGATCCTCGAATGCAGGTCTCTGGGGAAATAAATGATTTAGGAGTTCAAATATTAGCATGTAGTTCTGATGGACTGCAAATAATGATGCAGAAAACTGAGAGTGACATTCCCCTCATGTGTGCTCACGCTGGGAAATGATTTTCAGCTTTATCTGTGGTCATGCAGTAAGACACATTACAATCACACGCTGAATTTTAATAGAAGCAATCGCATCCCACTGTCTCACAGCTTCATTAAAAGAAGAGGGTAAAATCCCAATTTGCATTTTATTTAATCAACTTTCTTTTCCATAAAGCAGTGTGAGGTAGATTAATGTGTGTGTCTGTGGTTTAACATTTCCCATTTCCAAGCACCTCCAGCCTTTAAATCTGTTTTAAAAAGCATCTGTATGTGTGCTGTGTATACTAATTTATGGCACATGTTCTCACAAAGGTCACCACATGCTGCTTTAACTCAAACTGGGTGTTAGTCAAATAATCAGAGAGCACTAAGGGGTGCAGCTTTCTAATTAAATTTATTAATTTAAAAAATCACCAATAAAACTAAACTATGAACAGATAAATAAACAGAATTTTCAAATTTTTGATAGTAGTGGGAATTACGGCTCTTTTTAGTGAGCTAGATCATTCAGCTCACCAAGAAGAACCGACTCTTTCAGCTCCCAAACAGCTCTTCATCTTACCTCTTAAGCATTTTATAATTCAGCTAAATTTAGTGTTGTTTGGCTTATGATATGTATTTATGTGTGCGCATACCTCTTAAATAATTTAATACATCCTTTGAACTGAAGTATTCATGAGTAAAAATTTCATTTTCTAATATCAGTAAATTGCTGTTGCCAATTGTTTTCATTGCATCTACAGACCCCCCTCTGCTTGGTGTATCCTTGTGTGATTGGTTGCACTCAGCATGCACATGACAGTCATGTGCATGCGGAAAAAAAGGAAAAAAAAAATGCTTACAGATAGGGGCCGGCTCCCATCGTTCACGTTAAAGAGCCGGCTCTTTGAACCGGTTCGTTCACAACCAACACATCGCTACTTTATATGTTTGGTGGTCCATTAATGCTGAAAGACACATACAGGTTAAGGATCAACATCTGCTGCCATTAGAGCTCCGTCGATTTCAGCAAGACAACGTCAAGACACATTCTGCTGGTGCTACAACAGCCTGGCTTCAGAGTCAAAGAGTACAGGTACTAGACTAGCTTGGGGTTAAGGTTAAGGCTAAGGTTAGACTTGTTTCCAATTGACAGTGTTTGGCCCTTTATAAAGTGCAAAATACTACAACAGAGACCCCGGACCGTTGAGCAACTGAAGTGGTCCATCAAGCAAGAATGGGATAGACTTCAACCTCCAAAGCTTCAACAGTTAGTGTCCCCTGTTCATAGATTCTTATTAAGTGTTGTTAAAGGAAAGGGGTAAACATGACCCTGTCCCGGCTTTTTAGGAACATGTTTCAGCATCAAATTCAAAATGAGTGAATATTTGAAAAAACATATCTTGTCTCTAAAGCATATTCAATTGAATACAGATGGAGAAGGATTCACAAATCATCGTGTCTGTTCTTAATTCACCTTTTTCTCAACATCACAACTTCACTGGAATTAGGGTTTGTCTTTTGATCATCAGTATTTTACCTCTAGGCAAACTGTCCTCTCAATATGGACCTATTTTCAAATTATTTGATCTGCTTTTAAGTATCAACAAAGAGCTTGAAGAGGAAAGAGATTCATGGTCCCAACTCAGTTCAGAAGTTAAAAAGGTTTATATATATATATAATATATATATATATATATATATATATATATATATATATATATATATATATATATATATATATATATATATATATATATATATATATTTATATTGCTGTCTTCAAAGCTTCCTCGTAATAAATATGCTTGTGTCCAGTTAAGTGGGAGTTGGCTGAAAAAAGTTGGCCACTTTTTTTTCTATAAAAACGAGCTTAGATCTGAGTTACCTAGATCTCTATCCTAGTAAATCTAGCTCATTATGACAGCTGTAGACAGCAACTTCCATATCCCGTTTAAGTCTGTGCAGGAAAACAACCCTGTTGGCAGAGTAATTTTACCTCACAGTGACACAGGGGTTACTGGTATGAAAGTCTAGTATATCTAAAAAGGAAATGTAAAAAATGCTGTTCTGTGATTAAACTTATTGGGCTCTATTTTGTCTCTTGATCTCTTTGACTACTTCATGAAAATTGTAATACGCCTCGCCGGTGGCGGATTGAAAGGTGAGGAAAGGAGCTTATGTGATTGGCGAAAACAGGTCTCCGCTGTGTTAAACCCACTCCACGCTCTATTCCTTCCCTCTCTATGACTTACGCCAGTGGGAGGAGCTGAGTTAGGGAGGGGGGATGCTTATGCCAGGCTGCGCCGCTTACCAAAATACCAAAATGTGCTTGGGCACACCTTGTCGGCGCGGCAAACCTGACTTATACTGCGCCTACGCCACGCCACGCTGCCGGCGAGGCAAGAAAATGGAGCCCATTATCTGATAAAGCAAAGTTACTTTATGTTAATGAAAAAATATCTATTTAATGCAGCAGCTGATGAGCAACTCCTGTATTCAGTGTAAAATGACCGTTTTTTTCAGTGGAGTTTGGTGGGTTTGTTTTGAGGTCTTCATGTCTTTACCTAAAGGTAGAACAGAGGACAGAGAAGGGACGAGGTGGGAAGTGATAGGCAGTAAAAAGCTGCAGGTTGGAATCAAATCCAGTCTGTACACCTCCTAGATCATAGTCTCTGTATGTGGGGGGGCGAGATTTCACCAACAAGCAAAACCAGCACCTTCAGTCTGATGTGTTTAAAAAGAAAAAATCAGATCTGTTTCTGGTTTCCTAAGACTCAAGAGTGTTTTTTCTTCGATAAAAGAGTCTGACCCTGTTTGTACTTTCAGTCATTTAAATCTGTATTCATTCTAAGAGCTCAATTTCTCTCCTAGCCAGCACCAACAGCCTTTGGTTTGATTCTTTTTTTTACCTTATCCTTAAAATGGACCTTTTTTCTCTCCGTCAGGCTCAGAGCCGTGTGCGTGTCTACTTCCACCTCCGGAGCAAACTCAAACAGAGATGTTGGTATTTTTATGGGAACAAGGTCGCAACATTTCGGTCTCAAACAGCATAATGGCTACAGCAGCATGTCTCGGATTCACGAAATGAAAAGCACAAGAAGAAGCAGAGGACTGAAATATGTTTGGGTTGGCAGTGGGGATCATTATAAAAGGGAAAAATGCGGCGTATACATGGGCAGCGCAGACAGCTGTACTGATTAGAATCAACATGTCTGATATAGATACAGGTTTGTGGGAAGTTAATTTGTGGTAGCAGCGGTGTTTAGTGAGAAAACGTACTTGCTGCCTGGATTTCTATTCCAATTTCCATCAAGTGAGGGAAGTGTTGTATTTATTTACAGCACAGAGGTGTTCAGAGTGGAAGGTGGGCGTGCAAAGATCAGGACTCTGACAGCAGAGAGCAGAGTTCACATCCTACATGTCATGTTCGATTCAGGAGACAAAAAGCTCTCTGGTTATGGTTTGTGGAGGGTTGTTGTTTCAGGTTTATGTTAATAATGACCTTACTTGACCTGTAAGTCACTGTGGCCTTCTTCTAATATGTTTCAAGACTTTTGAATCCGGCAACTCCACTGATCTAGTCTCCAATATGACCCACAGGAGCTGTTAAAAGGTCGACAACCAGATTCAAACTATGTGAGATGATCATTTTTTATCCCAAGCTGCCAACAAAAGTTTGACCAGCTGATTACTGTTCTTGCTTTCTGCACATTTTAACCTTTCCACCTACACCAGAACACCGAACACGATCCTGTCTGTGTTCATATCATCAACTAGAACATCTTTCTCATGATATGTGTCTGAGGGAACTTTTTTCTGGCTTAACTTAAAAGCCAAAGATGTTCAAAAAATTGTGTTTAACAGTAAGGTGAGCATTCTCCATTTAATCCCATGTGTTGGAGCAGAGAAACATCCAAAACATGTGGGACAGTGGGCCTTGAGGACTGGAATCGAGAACCACTGTTCTCGACAAAGGGTTAAAATAATTATATTTTAGTACACCAGAGTGAGAAAGATCTTTTTTGATCCGAAATTCATGTAAAGATCTTCACCCGCCACCTGTGTTAGGGTCTGCACTGACCTGCTTTTGGTTTTAAATGAATATAATTTAAAACCAAGACTTTTGGACTTGGCCAGGAACCTCTACTTCAATAAAATCAAGAAAAAAGAAAAAAGAAAAAAAAAGTAATAATGATAAAAACAACAACAATAATAATAATAATAATAATAATAATAATAATAATAATTTATTAAATTTTAAAATGAAATTATGGCACTGGAAATTATGTTAGGGTCGTGGTAAGATTATAAAGCAATAATTAGAGCCAAAAATGAAGTCATAAGTGCACTATTAGGCACCACACTGACAGTCAGATCCTCACCCATTCATTTGTGTTGTGTCGTTCATTCAAAAGTAAGGAACTGCTGAGTAAACGACGTGAACTGAATCACTCCGAGACCTGATTAGTTCCTTTTTCACTTCAGTTGAGCTCAGCCACGAGCCTGGCATGCCGGTCAGGAGTGGAACTGCCACCTCTGACTCTGGCGAACGACACACAGCTGGCGAGCAAGTGGGCGGGCGGAGTCCCATCATCCACTCTCAGCGAATGAACGACATGTATCAGTATGTGAACGAAACAGTCTGTGACCGAAATGTCAGTCAGTGAATGACATGGTGAACGAAACGAACTACTTCCGAATGACTTTGATTCAGTAAACAAGTCTTTTGAATGAATCCTTTTAATGAACGGATTCTAAAGTCAGTACAGTCAAAAGAACTGTTCTTTCCATCACTACCATTCATGTAAGATTTAGGATATTCTCATTTTGCCTCGTTTTCCCCTGCACAAAAAACAATGTCGAGCATGTCCAGACGTGAGATCTATTCATTATAGACGTCTGTGTGAGCGGGATACTGACAAAGAAAGGCCCAGAGACCCACTACAAAAAAACTTAAAAGCAATATTTTTATGGATAATGAAGGCTAACAAGTTAACCTAGGGATAAAAATCACATTGTATGATGGAGAATTGATTGTAGTTTAATTTACAGCTGATTTAAGACATGGGTTGAAAGCGAACACAGGAGGAAGGTTAAGGAAGTATCAGAGAGGAAGTAGAGTCTGAAAAAATGCATAGTAGTGATCTAAGCAGTGTTTTAAATTTAAATAAAGTCACTTTGCTGGTAAACACTGTGGCGTCTTTTAAGATAAAACTTGATCTTAAAATACAGAAAGAAAGAAAAAACTGAGCCGAATGTTAAAAATTAAGTAAAACTGAGGAGACTGGACCTGCGGGTTTAATGAGTGATCAGTTTGACGCCGCCTTCAGTGAGCAGAATCACAGTCTGGATATTAAATCAGCCCGCTGTTTAACGGGGTTCATCCATCAGCAGACAGGTGTTCAGGTGAGTCTGCTGCACCCTGAGGCTCCATCTGCAGAGTCTGAGAACAGAAAACAAAGGCAGCCGCTCCTCAGGGCCCCCAGGAGCCTGTTTGTCTCGCGTTAATTTCAGAAATAACTCATTGGAGGTTTGTTAATGGCTGCAATCAATAACTAAAGTGTTCCTGTGTCAGAGCAAACGTCCCTATGTAGAAGATCACAACATGATGCCACTGCTGCCGAAAGAAACACGTGAATTCACGTCCCAGAGGTCATTTTTAACATCTTTGGAGCTTCAGTTTTGACTGAGCTGTAAGGCTTAAGATCGAAAGAGAAATGAGGAAATATTATTCATATTCAAGTGCTCCTTCTTTTCCGATAATTAAAGTACAAGAGTCAGTCATTTCTTTCTGTCTGACAGCTCTGCCGCTTTCCCACATCACTAAAATATGTCGAGGAGTTATTTAGAAAAGTAAAGTGCCGCATCTAAAGTTATCCTGAGACGTGACGGTACAGACTGTGTTTCTACTGCTCAGACAAAACAACTTAGAGTTTATTTGTGCGGCCATAAAACAGCAGCCGAGTGACAATAAAGAAAATTCAGTTTATATAAAGAAAAAAAAAATAAGGGAGAGAGAAAAGATGCAATCGATCATCTTCGAGAGAAGAATTAAAAAAGCAACAATAACTCAGAAAAAAAAAACACATCAGGACGACAGGAGGAGACACAAACTCTGAATCCAAATGACAACAAGCACAACAGGGAGGGAAACAATGAGATTCTTCTGGAATCAGGAGGAGGCGAAAATATGGAGGATTAAATCAAATACAATACAGAGAGAAATCAATGAGCGTGCTTGGCTCAGAGTGTGTGTGTGTTTGAACCAGAGAAAACTCTCAGTTACATCCATTTTAAGTGTTCAGAGTTTTGCACAATGATAGACTCCACACTCTTTCTCCCTGCACTTCTTTTACCTGATGAATCCAACAGAAAAACATGTACATGCTGGTTTATTTGCATCCAAAAACTGTCATCAAATAGTATAAATATATATTAAATTTATATATATAAATTTTACAAGCACGAACAGGCATTTAAATTGTGCAAATCTGCAAAAATTTATTCCAGAAGCAAAAAAGCTGCAACCAAGTTTATCAAGATGAGGACAAAATGATCTTAAGGAGTGTAACTGCTGCTCACAAAAGTTCAAGAATAGTAAATGTTTTCAGAGACAGACGTTTAGTTGTAAAAAGAAATCTAGTCTTCTCTCTTTGGTGAGTTCATTTGACTTTAATTTGAAAAGTTTCACAGTTCTCATCAAGGTTGAATGTGAATAATTCATCATCAAAAATGGCGTTTAATCTCACATGTTTGAATTGTTATTTAGGGTTACATATGACACCACTGCTGTTTTTTCACACAGTTTTTTTCCACTTAAAAGAAAGGAGAAAAGTTCCCCCTGGATGCCTTTTCGGTGAATGAAACACCATAAGGTGCCTGTTTGATAATAGACGCATCATACAGTCAATGATATGCAAGGTTTGCAAGCTAAGTTTAAAACTGCGAAACCCTACTATAATGTGAATGCCACAAACAAACACACCGTAACAACAAGTTAGACACCCCCTCGAGAGATGAATGTTGCCGACTGCTTGCTTCTTTAGATATACCAACTTTAGTAATGACCGCACGATAGCAATACACAGCGTTCTATGTCTCCACGCTCAAACCTCACGAGTTGATCACCAAGTGCAGCAGAGTTTGGCAGCTCGAGGAAGAAGATTTATGATCATTACTTTATGGAAATGCAATCAGACCGAGACGCTAAAGGTCCTAACACACCGGGAACGACTCAAATATACGACACAAAATAAATAAATATTTAGAGGCGAATTTTGATGCGCCTGACTGTACAATGCAATTTTGCGACTTTTTGTTTGATGCTATTGCTATGGCTGGGACCCTATATGTACTGTTGATAAAGTTAGGTGCAGTTCTGAGCATTATTTGTGGCTATAGAGTGGCGTTTTTATGATGTGTTTGACCATAACTCAAATTCACGCCGGAATATCCCTTTAAATCAGGCCAGAAGATCCACTATAAATACAGCACTGTTTGGATAAGTGTGAATGCAGCATTTCCACTGGTTAAAAAAAAAGAGGTGGCCGCCTGTTAAACTGCTGCAGGATGAAAAAATCCACCAGAGACATTGACAAAGTGAAACCTGTGAGTGTCAGTGTGCCAAAACACTTGAGCATTTTGAGTTTAAACCCTTGGTTCTGTTTGCGCTTTGATTTCTTTAAAGTGAAGGATTTTCCATGTTAAAGAAAATGCATGAGTTATTTTTGAGGGTTTGGTTTCTGGAGGATTTAGAGAGTGTGGTGTCACTGCAGCTGCATACAAAGACCTTCGTGCTTCCTCTGGTTGGAGAGCCAGATGTGATGTAATGGAGTGTCTGAGATGTCAGAAGTGTGCCGCTGCTGCAGACCGACTGAGAGGATTAATGCGGTGGCTCTGAGCCATGCAGTCAGTTTTGCTATCGTGACCTTGTCGACTAACTGCCAGTCAACTCAGACCTCTGAGGGGTTTCTGCTTCCTTAGCCGAGGCCAACGCCACGTCTGTCACACCAAAACTCCTCCTTCCTCACCTACTCTTCCCCTCAGGGTGCTGTAAGGAAGGAGGAGTGGTTTCAGCTTGGCAGGTAGGCAGCAGAGAGGAAAGGAGAGATTTTTTTTTTTTTTCTGTGGGGAAATCAAAGGCCCACACTTGATCAACCTTTGGTGGATTTTCATGTCTGCATTCAGAAATCCATGGGTACAGGTAGGGCTGGAAGATATGGGAAAAAAATTTATCACCATATGTCTTTTTCATATCAGTCGATATCGATATAAATCAGAATCTAGAAAATGGAATTTAACAGTGCTGATTGGTTGCATGTTTTTTGACAAAACAATAAGCATCTGCCTCTGTGAGGTCTTTGTGGCTCTTCGATGTTTTGTCAAAAGGCGTTGCGCTAGACCAGTGGTTGTCAAGTCCTGTCCTTGAGGCCCTACACACCTGATTCAAATGATCAGCTCGTTATTAAGCCATTACAGAGCTTGATAACGAGCTCATCATTTGAATCAGGTGCTTCAGGTGGTGAAAAAGATTTGAGGTATTCCCCAACTTTGCAAGAACATGTACTTGACATAATTTGCCCTGCACAAGAATCTTTGTCATGTCCAACCTCAAAACAACCAAAATACCTTCAGACCACCGACATTTTCGTGACAGTGTTTTATACAATGGGTGTCTGAAATGGATCCCTAACCCCTATATAGGCGACTACATGGGGGTTAGTGCCATTTTAAGGGGTGTCCGAAACCTCAGTGATCAATTCCAATGCCCTATATAGGTGACTCAAAATTTCCCATAAAGCATTGCAAAATGTAGTGACCATCCGATGGTCACCCAACGGTGGTGGGCATCCCGTCATGCATTGCGTCTTGCCATATAGTGTTTGAAACTTTCGGTGATTGTGTTCACTACACAGTCAACTATATATTAAAAACCCATATGGGGGTCAGGGGTTACGGATTGAGTGATTCATTTCGGATACAGCCAATGTCATCATCTGTTGAGTCTTCATCTGCATTTCTGCCGGGGGTAGCACTCATTATCTTTTTTTCTCACCAACAGTGCTGTCGGCTACACGTGTTAAAGTGCTATGGTTGCGTGTAGCTGCAGTCTACTACGTAGTTGTTTGCTATTTGGTTCTAATTCAGCACATGATCGGTTCAGCGCAAAGCGAACCCGGAGCAACTCCTCTTTTTATTGGCTATTCATATAGTCTACCAAAACATGGCTACCAGAATGCCGACTATTGAAAATGTTTTATATTGAAACTGAGGAAAATTATTTTTTAATATACTGTAAATCGTTATCATTTTATCGCCCAGCCCTAGATACAGGTGCACAAAAAGGTGATTTTCTCACTGTACAGCCGGGAGAACGTGAATAAAATAAATCCCATTAGTACTTGACACCAGCTCCCAATTAAGATTTGCAGGTCCTGGAGCACAGACGGCGCCCATAGCATTTCAACAGCAAATCTATGACAAAAGCCGCATGTTTTCCCTTTGATAAGCTGGTTTAATTCGGCTTTTACATGGCCGTCCTCTCACCCTGCTCCCTCTACGGTCGGGCCATTTGTTCGCCATAACGACAGCTTTGAACTTGCGGGAGAAAGTATGCAAAAATCTCTCCCTTTGATGCAGAGCAAAGTGCGCTTATTAAACAATTAGCATAGTTATTCTGGCGGTAATCACCCAGAGAGGGTGCAAATTGGCAGGAGAGTTTAAAAATAGTGCTGTTTGAAAATTCTCTGCAAAGTGTTTAATACCTGACAGCGTGCCCAGGGGCAGAACATCACTGCAGCGTCTCCAGAGTGGCTGTAAGAGGCAGATATATATTCATAAAAGCAACAATATAATGTACTTCTACTTTGTCTTTATTGCCTCTGAATGTTTGCTGCTGCTGCTCTGTCACAAAGGATTATTAATGTTGCACAGAAGCTTGTTTCTGTAACGGAGCATCGCCAAGAGGAGGAGGACATGACAGCAGCAGCTCTCTGACTGGGTTAAAGATGAGGAAGGAGGCTGTTTGAGCTCAGATCTCACATGCAAAAACACATGAAAGCGCCTGTCTCTATACCATGCTTCCATCTGTGCTGATATAACATCCAGCTTTGTGTTCAAAAGCTGCACATCTCACTCATCAGCTGTCAGTCCCCGGGTTTGTTCAGACACTGAGGTGTGAAGGCTGACAGATTTTTCAGTTTCAAGAAAAAAATCTGCAGAGATGTGATGCACAGAAAGGATAAATTTGCTGCATTCATGGTTTTATCCGATATTTACAGATTTTACCAAACACAACTGTCAACTTGGTGTGCAAAGGAAAACTGAAAAGAACGACAGACTGAGGCGATCTTTTAGTTTGGGGTTGTTTCCCTGCGGTAATAGACCTTTTCATTGAAGATGGAGATGTTTTTTTTTTACTCTTTGCAAGGATCCCAGACTTTATCGACAAAATGATTTTCATGACACAGATCTTTTGAAATGTCTTGTTGGTTTGTTTGTAATTTTAAATTTTAAAAGGCTTACCGAAAGTTTCTTATGTAAGAAAAAAGGTCCCTGGTTTGGAGACATCAAAGCGACCCACTTCATGGCACCATGCACTAATGTATTCATGTACTGACTCAGGGCCAGTACCAGATAAGCACATTAAACTATAATCCATAAACGTAAGATAACAACAGAGACCTAATGGTGCTGTGACAGCAACGCGATTGAGTTTGAGACAGTGAAAATACATATGGTATGTTGTATCTGAACATGTTAGCTTACGAGCTAAAGTTACTTAGCACAGATGAAAGTTAAAACAAAGACGTTTAGCAAACTGTTAAAGCACACAAACTATCGTCATATGAGAAATCCGACACTATGACTCTCCAAAAGTTGTCCTTCAGGTCGTTATCTTTGTGATGTTTGTGTTTTTTAACAAAAAGCTCTCTGTTCTCCGATCAGTCGGTCGGCCATGTTGGATATACCGGTGAATCAGACGTTGCAACAATCTGATTGGTCAGAAGTGGAAACAAAGTATGCAAAACTTGGAAAAAATGTCCATGATACAAAAAAATAAATGCCGAAAAATCACAGGATGGGAAAACGTGAAATATTGACACCTAAAAGTAATCGCACGAAAAAAAAACTCCCTGTGTGAAAGGACCTTTAGCATTATCATAAATCATAAATAATCATAAATCGTAAATGTTCTTCCTTGAGCTGTGAAACTCAACTTCACTCAGTGATCAACTCGTCAGGGCTCCCCCCACAAACAAGCGGCTGCTGGAAGGAGAGTGGGTGAGTTGTGTTTGGTCTCTTTGCCAAGAAAATCAGACAAAGCTAAAAAAATGTTTGATGGCTAGTACTATGGCTGGGACCCCATATGTACTGTTGATGAAGTTGTTCTGAGCATTATTTGTGGCTATAGAGTGGCTTTTTGGTTGAGGTTTGCACGTGGAGACGTAGACCGCTGTGTATTGCTATCGTGCGGTCGTTACTAAAGTTGGTATACGTAGAGAAGCAAGCGGTCTGCAACGTTCATCTCTCGAGGGGGTGTCTAACTTGGTGTTACAGTGTGTTTAACCCCAACTTAATTTTACACTAAAACATCCTTCTAAAATCCTGTCTTTGAACCGGAGTGACCTCAGGTATGTGCATGTGGAAACTTTCACAGGTTGGTCCCTGTTGGAGATTGAACCAGGACGCTAATAGTATGAAATATGTATACATGTACCTGAGCCTGTCAGGGACAAAATAAGAACTTTTTGATCCAACAGTCACTTTGATTGAACATGTATTTATGTTGCAGAGATGAGAGCCTGCTTATTTGCTGCAAAAATACACTGATACGGCACTTTAATGATATGAAAGCAGGGATCCTGCGCAGGGAAATGCACTTTTGACTTCATGAAGTTGTTGCAAAATTAAAGAGTATCCTTGTCAAACAGAAATATGTTTTAGTTGAACTGATCCAGGTCTGGAGGAGACTGTCTGCACTCTTTGGTTATTTTGAAGCTTTCATAGCTGACCTTCTTAAAAACATAACTAACCCAACTTTGGACAACAACCCAACATTTGAGACCCCTCTGTCTTCCACTTGTGTTTGATCTGCTGGTGATAAAGGGTGTATCTTCCTGTCTGAGCAGGTAATCTTGTAGCGTTTTGAATAAGCCTCCTGGTGCTTCATATATTTACTGTAACACTGTTAGTAAGAGGTCTCAAGACGGTGAAATCTTCATGCTTTGCTAAAACAGAACGTCCCTGATGAGCCATGAATCATCCACCCACTGTGTTATGTCAGATTTAGTAAAGAAAGAAAGTCGACGTTTCATGAATAGAATCTCTCTCTCTCTCTTTTTTTACCTCCCTCTGTTTCACTCGTCCTCCCTCTCCCCTCGTCTCATTTTCCTCAGCGTTTAATGTTTAATTTAAACCTCCAGAGCTGAGCTGAATCAACAAGAGAGTGTCACACCTGCAGGAAGACAAAGTTCAACAGCACCCCCACATGGCAGAGAGTGGTACATGTCCCTTCTCCTCCTCCTCCTCCTCCTCAAAAAGAGGGGAATAGACAAGCATGGTGTTTGCTAAGGAGGTGTAAGGCACAGCAGGAGTGGTTCAGCCGCCGCCGGAGGGGCTTTGCTATGTTTAGTCAGGAAGCCATTCTGTAAGTTATCATTACTCCCCCCTCTCCGGTGACAGACAGCAGGCAGAAGCGTGTGCGGAGGAGAGAAGAGGGTGTCAGAGGTATGATTAGAGACGTCTCAGTGTGCTCTGACAAAGACCCCCCACTCTGAGAGGATTTCACACTCTTTTAATCCTTTATCATTGACAACATCTTCATTAGAGCATCCAGACTTTCTCTCACAAACAAACTAGTGCTCTGAAGCGTCAGGCAGAATCAGGAAGGAGCTCTTTACTTTAGTGCAAATATTATACGTGTTCATATCAGCATCGAGCGACTTTACCCTGATTCAGCTCTTGAAGCTGCCCAGACAAGGCTGTCCTGTTTAAAGAGATGGTTTTCAATTTTAGTAGAAGCCATCACACCAACTTCATTTGGTCCGAAGCAAAATGTCAAGAGTGAAACCTCCCTTGAACCTTGGTTTAGACCAGTCGTTCTTGAGTCCAGTCCTCGAGGCCCACTGTCCTGCATGTTTCTGATGTTTCCCTGCTCCAACACTCCTGAATCAAATGATCAGCTCGTTATTCAGCCATTACAGAGCTTGATAACGAGCTGATCATTTGAATCAGGTGTGTTGGAGCAGGGAACCAATAGAGGTGGTCTCAGTCTGGACCAAACTAAACCATTGTCTGGTTCATGCCCAGTGTGAAAGCGTTACAGGAAATGAAGAACTTTATATATCTCCAAAGGGAAATTCATTAGTCTGGACACTCATGAAAAGCTGTGTAAATTCAGTCAGGTGAGAGTAGAGGGTGACACGGTTAAAGTCTCCTGGTATGATTACAAAAGCCTCAAGATGATTAGGCTATATCCTCGCTATGATATCATGGAGAATACATGTAAACAAGTATGGTTACGATGTGGCTGAACTCTCTTGGAACATAATTTGGATGAAGAGAGACTGCCAACAGTTTAAGATCATGTTTGTATTCAGGTCGGTTTATGAATTAAGTGAGTTGGGGATATGCCTTGTGTCCCTAGTGGACAGCCAGTGCATGGCATGTAGATTATTCTTTCTCATTTCAGGAAAAATTACACCAATGATAAGAAATAAGTGCACATGACTGTCTCAAATTGAACTTTGAACAAAGTTTTCTTTGTTTTGGTGACATCCAGCTGAGGACAAAAATGCAAACACAAAATTAAAACTAGCAAAGGCTCGAGTAGGATTTGAACTCAGGTGGTCCGGGTAAAAGTCCACTCCTCTATCTACTACTGGGACAAAAGTGCCTTCTATGTTTGACATAAACACCATCAAGCAATCAGCAAAGAGCTTCAAACCAGTCAAAAGAAACACAAATGTTGGTGTAAGTGTTCACAGTTTCTAAATTTTCCAGCTCTTTCCTGTCAAACTGTCAGTTTGTTTTTGTCTCTATTTGTGAACATAAAATATTTAAATGTTCCTCCATCTGCAGGAAAATAGTTTAACTTTAGCAAAACAAGCAGAAACACCCACATATGGCTCACTAGTCTCTGTAGTATTTCAAGGGTCATGTAGAACAGTGTTTGGGCTAACACACCTGATTCAAAGGATCAGCTCGTTATCAAGCTGTTATAACGAGCTGATCATTTGAATCAGGTGTGTTGGAGCAGGGAAACATCCAAAACATGCAGGACAGTGGGCCTCCAGAACTGGACTTGAGAACCACTGATGTAGACGACTAGGTCTTCGTGGTTCTCTTTGTGTTAACACAGGTAACAAACACCTTGTACAAAATGCATACCACTCCTGTTTGGGCTTCTTTCATTGGCTCCAGATAGCCAAAGCTCTGGACTTAAACTCGAATCTATGTTTCTGATCCCCTAACTTCAGACATGTCCGGTCACGAACTGGAGCCCTCTGACATAAAAGATCTGCTGACTTTTGGACTTTTGGTGGGCAAAATTATGTCCGAGTCTTGATTTTCTGGAACAACTGACACCAAGGAGATCGGGTCAGTCACGTTTTCATTTTTCCTTTCTTAAAAATGTCTTTTCCTAAACATATTTGTATAGATTTGCTTTTGAGGAGACTTTCTCTGAGGATGTGTTTTAATCCTCTTATTCCAGGTTAAGTCTTGATCACATTTAGGATCTTCCTGATTGTTAAAAGTTTTTACATTTTTGTTTATTTTATTCTTTCAGTGTTACTTTACTTTCTCTAATCTAATTGTGTGTTTTTTTTCCTCTGGTGAAATAAATATTTTAATTTATCTTTTATCTACTGCTTATATCTTTCATTTATTTCTTTATTGCTATCTTTTATCTGTCTCTTATATCTTTTTATCTTTTATCCAACATTGTTATTTTGTTTTAACTTTTAAATCTTTGTCATTGTTTGTCTGTCTGATCCTCTTTTATGAGCTCTTTTAAGCCCTGTTTAAAAAGTGCATCATAAATTGACTTGGTTTTTGTCTATTCTTGCACCCCTTGTTTCCCTATTTATCGGAGACTGTTTTCTGTTTTTATCAGGAATTTTAACTAGACATTTTGCAGATATGCATCCTAATCTCTGATGTATTTAAATGTTTCTAATTAGAGAAAATAGTGAAAAGAGACAGTCCTTTGTACCATTCTGATCTTGTTTGAAGAAGATTATTTATGCTTGTGGTCTTCATGGAGAACAGTTTACTCATACCTCTGTATTCACATGCGTGATTCTGTGTCTGAACTCTGCAGCTGAGGTTGAACTTTGTCACTTTTTTTGTCACTGCAGGCGCTCGGAGTGTTTGCATGAACAGCAGCAGATCCTGGAGCTCTGCTGCAGATTTGGGTTCACTGTCCCACTGGGAAATAAATAAACTTCTGCTTCATTTAAAGTCAGAAAAAGGAAAAAAAAAAAAAAAAACCTCTCCAAAATAAAGAGCCTCTTCAGTCCTATGAATGTGAATGCTGTGAAAGTCACACGCCTGAGATTTGCTCCCTGTGTGTCACCTCAGAAGATGATTGATTGATAGATTTTCCATCAAAAGGCAGTAAAACATCCGTCCAATTCAGGCTGCAGTTTGCCAATCATCCTGGCTTTGTATCTCACACTCAACCTGGACGACAATAACCTGTTTGTGAGCATCTACCACTGTTTGTTGTCCTGCCACATCGGACATTTTCAATTTTCCTGCAATTTGTTGCTGCGAGAGTTTCTCTGCAATCATAGAAACAATTTGAGCCCAAAGTGTTTTTTTCTGAGTTCACAGTTACAAACAAACACCTGTAAGAGCAGCAGCAGCAGCAGCAGCTCCTGTTGGTCTGCAGCACCCACCGACTGCCCACAGTGTTCAGGCAGTACAGAGTGTACAAAACCTGAGTCCAATTTCTGTTTACCCCTACATTTCCTCATTTGAGACCGAAATAATGAAGCAGGTGTGGCCACAGAGGAGCTGATAACAGCTGTAAAAATGAGCCATTCAGCTGTAATCATTGAAGCTGCAGACAGAACAAGAAAATTTAACATTTCATTAGGTCAGCTGTTCACCAGACATCAATGAGGTCCTTATTTAAAACATTTTAGAGTCCAGTAGACATTTGCAAACATTTCACAAAGTGCTTGAGTCAAGATTTCCTCATCGAGTAGCAGATAAACTGTTGTGGCTGCAACATCATTTTTAAAGACGTCTGAAGGCGGAAAAAGCAAAAAACCAACTCCGTAACCTTCAGAGTAAAATCACTGTTTTTACAGAGTAAGCCTGGAGGCTTTCAGGAAAGCAATGTTTGTGTGGTATGGTGGCCCTGGAGTCAACTGCAACGTTTCTTAACCCTAAATATAGAACTCAAAAAAATAAATAAAAATAAAAATAAAAGGATTTGTTCAGACTCAGAGACGTTTCAAGAAACTTAACATTATTCCATCAAAGGTTTCACTAATAAAACAAACAAATCAGCTAGTCAGGTGGTTTTAGACGTTCCTCAATCCTTTTTAAAATTGAGAGGAGCTAGAGCATTTTCTGTCATGGCTCCCACTTTGTGGAACGCTTTGCCTCCTAAAGTGTGCACTGCTAACAGCCTTTCCACTCTTAAAACACTTCTGAAGACGCACCTGTTTACTTTAACTTTTGGGGAAGTATAGCTACATTTATTGGGTATTTTATGTATGTGCTATGTTTATCTATATTGTTGTTTTATGTTTTAATATATTTTATGCTTTTATTGTTTTTATGGTCTCTGGCTATTTTACTGTAAAGCACTTTGGTAGGCCACTGGCTGTTTTTAAAAGTGCTATATAAATAAAGCTGACATTGACATTGACAAATAAGAAATAAAAAGTCTAAAAAAATTTGGAAAATTACAAAATGTAGAAAAGATTAAAAAAAATGTAAAAAATGAATAAAGAAAAAGTTTCATGCAACATGGATTGTTTGTGCATCATCATCATCATCATCATCATCATCTGAAATATAGAAATGTTTTTTTGAAACACTTAAGTATAAAAATCTTTTACAAAACAAAAACAATCACATTATGTAAAAAGAAAATCCAAAAAATATTTATTAAATGTTATATTCACAAATTTACAAAATATGAGACAAAAACATTTTGTTCAACCTATAAAAATCCTAGAAAACAAATTGTGCAAAATATATATGTAACACTCAAATATGTAACGAATAAAAACTTTAAAAACTTTATAAAATTTAAAATTATTTTAAAATAATATTTAATGTTCCAGAAAAGCCAAAACTTGTCCTCAACTTTAAAAAATATTCATAAATATGAAAAAAAAACACAATATGCAATGTCAACAAAATTAAAAAAAAACTGTTTTTTTAAGATTCATACAATTTCTTAAAAGGTTTAGAAAGTCTTAGTTAATGTAACCTGATATAAAACAGATTTTTTTTTAAATGTTTAAATGTTCATGAAAACTTTGTGCAGGGTTAGTTTCCAGGGCCAATAAAAACAAATAAAATAAGGGATCCTTCCTGTGATGTCTTCAGACCCTGAGAATAACTACCTGAGCCTGCAAGGGACAAAAGAAACTATGACCTTTAGTTGGCAGAGTTAGATAAATGGTGAGGACATTACAGCCAGTTTACCTGCTCCAGAATCAACCCAGCAAAACTTTTTGTCCCATTTGAAACCTAAATCTATCAACCTAGAGAGCAGATGTTAAAAATATTAGTGTCCCCTTTCGACTGAACCCTTTCTGGTGGAGCTGCTAAACAAACAGTCCTCCAAAGTGCAGCAGCAGAAAGAATACATCAAACTAAACGGGCCTCACCTGCAGAGAGCCTCCAGTCTGTGCATTTTCTGCTGATTTTTCTTTAAATGGATGTTCTCAGCGTGAGTAGTCTGCACACACACACACACACAAACACACACACACACACATACTCTTGTGGCTGCTCACAATAACACAATGAGAGCTTTCTATGTCACTTTAGGCCGATTTGAGCTGGCCTATTTCCGACAAGCACCTCTCTATAGCCCAGTCTCAGAGCAGCCATTGTTTCAGCACCACACTGATGGTCTGACCATCTGTTCAGTACAGAGGAGCGGCTCTGAGGCGACACCCTGATGTTTAATAAATACGGTGTGTTCAGGAGCTGGGACTCAATGCACCTCTCTGAACACTCACACAGGCCGGATGGGCTCTTCAGAGCAAACACGCCATTCGACCACCTCTCCAGACGAGCGTCTCAGATAAGCCTGAGTGTTTGATGGGGAAAGCGCTCTCTCTTCCTTTATCAATCTCAAACAGAAGCTTTTTTTGCTCCATTATTCTGCGCTCAGACTGATAAGCAGTGGAGAGCCGCAGTGGCGTGAAAGACATATTGTGCAGGCCGGCGGTGTGCAGAGATAAAACCAGACTGAACCACAAAGGTCAAAGGCAGCAGCGAACATGGTGGAGGCGTGTGTGCGCTGTTCAAAGAAACATCCGGAGATCATGTTTAATTTAAAGCTTTATCAGTGAAATGTCTTGAGAGCTGAGAAATACATCACAAGAATGACAACTGCTTTAGTTTTCAGAAATGTCCGTCAGAATCCTGCAGGAAAGTGAAGACGTGTGTTTAAATAATTCAGCTTTAACCCAAACCTGCACCTGCAAGAGCTGAACAGAGCCACGTTTACACGGGCAAAATTTCTTGATCGGATTAAAATCGGATAATCTGAATCCACTGTTTACAATGGGTGCAAAATCAAATAATCCGATCATGACATGCATATACATGCACCAAGTTTTATTCAGATTAGAAGCATTTTGACATGTGCAGAGTTCTCTATTTTCAGTAAAACAAATGCAGAAGAAGAGTTGTATTGACGCCTGTGCTGTTAACAAACCAACAAACGCAGTAGTGGCTCACTTAATTCAATACTGTTTTTTTCCCTCAATTAAATGTTGTTACTAGATGGCGCCCTTGCATATTTAGTTTACTGTTCTGTCGAAGGTTGCTCTGTCAGGCAGATGTGACATCATTTCGCTGTATGTACGCCTTGTTATGTTACCGGAGGAGCAGACACGGCACCTGCAGTTGTGTTGTACACCAGAGTGTTAATAATGAAACCTCCTGTACTGGCCTAAATAAATAAGCTAAAGGTTAAAGAGTGAAGACCCAGTCAGGTAAGAGAGTTATGTTCAGAATAAGTGTTTACATGGACGCGTTTTGGAATAACAATCGGCATAAACCACTCGTCTCGATCGGAATACAATTTCTTTCTGATTGAGCCGAATTGGATGAGAATTTTCTGATCGGTATGTTTCCTTGATGCATTTTTATCCCGACCATTTATTTGTGCGGGCATTTATTCAAGCCAAATTAGCCATGTAAACATGGCTAATTTGGCACAATAACAATCAACGTAAATACGCTCATCAGTTTGGGCTAAAGGTCCTTACACACGTCGCGAATATGGTATGCGAAATCACAAAGTATTCTAAGGCGAATTTTGACGCAACTGACTATACACATCAAGCCCAATGCGATTTTGCGACTTTTCCGGAGGGGAAAAAAGACGCATCCGGGTTGGAAGCGAGAAGACTGACACAACAGCAGACTGACTGTTTTTCAGTTCTGATTAGACACTAGTGTTGAGATGTCTGTCTGTCATGATAGCATGTACTGAGTCGGGGCCAGTACCAGATAAGCACATTAAACTATAATCCATAAACGTAAGGTAACAACCGAGACCTAATGGTGCTGTGACAGCAACGTGATTGAGTTTGAGACAGTGAAAATACATATGGTATGTTGTAACTGAACAGGTTAGCTTACGAGCTAAAGTTACTTAGCACAGATGAAAGTTAAAACAAAGACGTTTAGCAAACTGTTAAAGCACACAAACCATCGTCATATGAGAAATCCGACACTATGACTCTCTACAAGTTGTCCTTCAGGTCGTTATCTTTGTAATATTTGTGTTTTTTATCAAAAAGCACTCTGTTCTCCGACACGTAAACAATCAGCCGGTCGGCCATGTTGGACATACCGGCGAATCTGACGTTGCAACAACACACAAACTGATTAGTCAGAAGTGGACACACAGTATGCGAAACTTAAAAAAATCAACCAACGATCCAAAAAAATAAATGCCGCAATAACCCTGGATGGAAAAACGTTGCTGGATACAGAAAAGATTAGCATGGCCCCTGGTGCAAGGATGACACGCAAATTCGTGAAGCGTTACCAATTTTAAGAGAATTTCCCAGTTTGGGATCAATAAAGTATATCTATCTATCTATCTATCTATCTATCTATCTATCTATCTATCTATCTATCTATCTATCTATCTATCTAATAGGAACGCTTGTATTGACAGGATACGGGTTCGAAAAAAATATTGACAAAATATTGACTTTATGATTAATACTTCTCTATAAACGGACATACAAATGTTTTTGTTTTTAAAAAGTTAGACTGCGTAATTAATGAGCTGAATATTCAAAATTTTAAGCTGCAGGTTTACTCTCGGCGGATTTACTCATGCAGGGCTCTGCAGAGGAGGTGACAGTAAATGTGCAATTTATAGTCAGGGTTTATAGATTTAATAAATAAACTATGTGCCCAGTTAGTTTTCAGAATACTGCAGCTGTCAGACAACAGTTATGCAACTAATATAAACAAAGAAAAAAGTCTCTGCTGCTTCACTCATCCAGCCACTTCTTCTTGAATCTACAAGGAAAAAGCTTCTGAGTCTTTAAAAGGTTTGTGGTCTAAACTGAGTGTTAAAACAGAGACATCAAAACATCTTCCTGCTTCTTTTTCAGCCTTCAGCTTAAAACCTCTCCAGCAGATTTAGTCTTTGGTTTTTCTCGTCCTGACGTTGTCCTCCCTCCTGCAGATACATCCTGCTAACGATTCTGATATTTTCCCTGTTTCTCTGCAGAGCGTCTCTGAAAACAGCAGAGCAGCACAGCCTCGGCTTCCTGTTGAGAGCAGAGATAAAGACATCCACGAGTATCTTAAAAAAAAAAAAATCGTTTAATCTGTTGCAGTGTGGCTCTGAGCGGGAAGCTGTCAGAGTCTCTGCAGATGATGAAGATTGGAGCTGTTTGCGGTTTTCAAAATACAAGTCGTGAATGTGCAGCACTTTAGGGAGCCTGTTCTTCTCTGTAGCTGCAGGTTGAAATTGCATTTTTGTATCTTTTAAAGTGGTAATCGCACGGACCCACTTACTTTTCCGGATGACCACCTTTATGAAAGGCTCATATGGCCTACATATCACACAAAAAAATGTAAACACGATAGGAATGAACAAATGAATGAATTCATCTTGGAAATGAATTAGACATGTCTGATGCATGTTAAAAGCGCATGGGTGATAATAGCATCAAAGATTTTTTGCGCACTATATTTACGCATTGAGACTGTCTGCAATTTTCTGCCAGCATTCCTTCCGTGCTTTTGCAGCGGCGACGGTGTTGCTTTTGAGGTTTATGATAGATTTGAATTCTTCATACTTTCATCTTCTGCTCCTCGTTTGTAAAGTGTGCGGTCCTTCGCTCTCAGGCCTGCTCTGACGCTCCAGACCGGTCTATGTTCGCGATTGGTCAGATGTGGCGGGCTCCACCTTACATGCGTGCACACACTCATAGCAAAGCTGGATCCACTTATGAGGCTGATAACCAGCATCGTAAAACTGTTCAGCGAGACTGCTGGCTACCGCGCTAAGTTGAGCGAGGTAGCTCCAAGGTTACCTCGCTAGGTTGAACTTGCTTCGTAGAATAGGCCCCTGGATAAATGTACCCAAACAGACACAATAGGCCGCTGTTTTTGTCTTTTAGAGTTTGTTTTGTTTTTGTTTAGTCAGCATTTTAGTCATTTGATTGTAATTAACTATCTTGGTAGAACAAACTTTTTTTCTTTTCTTTTTTTTTTTTGAAATTTAGTAATTTTTACACAGTTTTTATTATTTCTTTGTATAACTTTTCTTTCTCGTCCTTTACAGTGCAGTGGAGGCTGGGCACATTGAGTGGTTCCCCGCACCTTTTGTTGCAGTGGTAGGCGCACTGGGGCACCATAGTCTACGCTGGTTTGTAGTGAGTTCACGTTTGGTGGGTAAGTTTACTCTTGGGACACTTCCTTTGGTAGACTGCCTCCCTCTTGCTGGCTCTTGCTTCCCTTTTGTTGGTTTTAACTATCTGGAAGTGTTTTATTGGTTAATTGTTAAAGAATCAGTTGTAATAAACTTTTCTAATCCATTCATTTAATAACAGAGTGATACATTCATTACCAATTCATCACTAACGCCTTTGTTTTCTTTCAGTGTACGCTTCCAGAGGTGGAGGGGTTTGTGTGTCCCTGTGATCCCAGAAGCTATGTTGTCAGGAGCTTTATGCCTCTGGTAGGGTCACCCAAGGCAAACAGGTCCTGGGGGAGGGACCACACAAAGCGTAGCTCAAACAGACTCCTAATGGCGGACAAAATATTTGGTACTCAGTTTCCCTCGTCTGGACACGGGTCACCACAGATTAATTCTACAGGGATTTTATATAAATTTCTCTGACCTTACCAAGCTAAGATCCCTCTTTTTTTGTCCCACAGCTGTGATGAAACCAATGTCATGACTGCATGTACACATCACATTTTAAAAAAGTGATATCTGCAACTGGCCTACTTTTTACTGCCCCAAGACACCCTAAAAAATGGAAAAATCTCTGAAAATAAGAGTCATAACCAAAAGATCACATCTATTGTCTGCATAATGATGAAAAAAGAAGCTGCACATGACATCTGGAACCAATTTTGGAAAGGAGATAACTTCATTTTCCAAAATATGGAGATAGGAGTAATTTTCCTGTATGAGATAACATCTTTTTTTCTTCTGTGCATGAACAAGTGGGGCAGAAATCAAATATATTTGGGGCTAAATTGATGCAGATGAATAATGTGACACTCAGGCCTCGGGCTTCGTTAGGACAGCTCTGTTTCTCTGCAGCATCGACTCCTCAGTCCCACCGATGTCGGCAGCTTTTTATTGCTTTTTAGCCGTATTTAGTGGTTTGGATTTTTTATTTATTTTTTTGCTGATGTTTATTTTCTTAATGAATTACAGGTTTTCAAAACTCCATTTTAACGTCAGTCATATTATCCCATTGAACATAGGAGCTGATGATCTGTCGATGCCATCTTTTGATTTTTTTGTTGTTGTTTTTTGACAAAAACTCTTGTTAGCTTAATCTGGAACCAAGCTAACTATTTAAAACTACATAACACAACAAACTTATTGATTAAGGTTGACTGCTAACTCCCAAATATCCATCACCTTATTTTTTTTTGCTCAGAAGGGGAAAGTTTGGGAAAGTGTCCAAAAGTTGTTGCTCTGTTTTAAAATAAAAAGATTCTGTTGACCAAAACAGTGATTTCACCTCAGGGAACAAAGGAGTCGCTGATCTACCTCTGCCCTGATATATTTTGTTGCATTCAGACTATCTATGGAATTGCATATTAAAAAAAACTAATAAACTGAGACAAGTAGGCCAACAAGATACACAGATACACAATAAGATGTTTTCTCTCTTATATTTTAGTAAAAATAGAGAAACTACTTAAAACCAGACAATATGTGAAAATTAAATGGCTAAATAGCAAAAAAAAGCAACACAGAGGTAGACCAACAACTCCTGGATATAGAACAAGATGTCTCCTCGTGGCTGAGAATCAGGCAAATATTGAAAACTGTCCAAAACATGTTGCTCTGTGAAATGAATAGACTATATTGACCAAAACAGTTATTTTAATTTGCAGGAAATGGGAGTTGCTGGTCTACCCTCGCCTTGAAAAGTTTGGGGCTGACTTTTTCTTTAATACAAAAATTGTTTTGAATCCAAATTTACCCTTCAGATTACAAAAGTCACACTACAACAAACACTAACAGAAATAATAATAATTAAAAAAAAAAAAAAACACATTAAGGAGGACTAGCAACCCCTGTAAGGTGCCGGGTAAAATCCCTAATTCAGTCCTTTAATTTTTTTTAAAGAAATAGAGGTTTAAAGTCTATCCCTGGTTTAAAAAAACCACTGTTATTCTTTCTATAATGCTGTCAGACACTTAGATTAACATTCTTAGCCTGTCAGGGACCAAAATAAGATCTTCTAGTGACACACTTTGATCCATCAACGATAATGCCGCAGCCATTACAGCCTGTTCACCTGCTGCAAGAGGGAGAACTCTACTGCGGACATCCCTATAAGTCATGCAGACCCCTGTAGTTGTAAAAAGTAGAGCCTAAAGTTAAAATTACCTGTATTACCTTATATCCAAGGGTGCCTGTGAGTGGACTTTACGACGGTGTTTCTGAAGGAGTCACTCTCTGGTTTATCATCTGTTTTACACCCTGCTGCTGCTCCTGTTGTAATTCTGTCTTACACTCTGCATACATGAGTAGGCATCAGTGAACAATAATTAAACACTCCACTACATGGAGCTGAATGAACAGCAGTGTGCCTCCTCAGTAAAGGATGAGTCAGTGATTATCTAATGAGAGCCTACGAGAGAGAGAGAGAGAGAGAGAGAGAGCATCCACAGATACTTCTTCATAATTATCACCAAATATACTTATTATTACCTCATGAAACACAGGCTGTTAAAGCACTTAATAATCTAATTTACTCCTCCCTCTGATCACAAACACTTAAGCACATCACATGGCTTTATAGACAAGGGAAACAAGTGCACAAACTAGGGCCCCGTTGGGGCACTGGCGGGCCCGAGCCGTGTCGCGCTGCCCCCCCCAACGCGCTGCCTCCCCGTCCCATTCGCGTCCTCTGGCCATCGTCCTCTCTGCTAACGCCCATCACTGCAAAGACCCTTTCCTTCATCGGCGTTTGCTGTTCTTCCTGCCAGTGCGTGTTGCTTTCACTTACACTTGCCACAGCCAGCCTCGTGAGTGCCTAGCCTATTGGATATCACTGTCATCTACACAGGACAGTCATAACCTTTCTATTAATACTTTGTTTTTTAATTTCACATTAATTTCCATATTGTATAAATGACTGGAAAAAACTTGAGCCCCTGCCCCTGTATAATCATGTGCACGTCCCTGTTCTAGCTCCAAGGTGAATCTTCACTGCTCATGTTCTCCTCAGAAATAGTCACCTCACTCCCCTTAGGTTACTGTACACATGCACCAACTATCTGCTTCAGGTTTGGATGGAGATTCATGGTTGTCTTTTGGAGAAATGAACAGTCAAGTTGTGTTTGAAATTTGATTTTTTTCAGGGGCAAAAGGAAGCCTCTGCATTCTTGTCAAATATGTAAACAGCATGTTTTTGCAGGTGCTAAAAAACAGACTGTGAGTGTGTGTGTGTGTGTGTGTGTGTGTGTGTGTTGGCGTGTGTGTATATGTGTGTGTATCCTGCAGTACTCTGTACTCCTGCAGTGGCCAAAAAGACTTTTAAGAATGTGGATTTTTGGGTCATCTTTGGCGCCCCCTAGAACTGCAGTACTCTGTACTCCTGCAGTGGCCAAAATGACTTTTAAGAATGTGGATTTTTGGGTCATCTTTGGCGCCCCCTAGAACGTAAACCGTGGGGTGCAGCGTCATGATTTTTACAACTTTGAATGGGCATGGGGTGTAGATTGCCCTGAGCAAATTTGGTATCAGTGGGACGAAAGCCTTAGGAGGAGATAGCCACATTCCAATGTGTGCGAATCGGCAAAAAATGCGAAATAGCCCTTTAACCGTACATTATACAGATACGCGCTCTTTGACTTTTTCGTAGATCTAATTGAGATACACATGATTGTCAATTTTTGTGTCAATATGACAAAGCGTTAAGGCGTGACACTCAACAATGTGTATTTTCATGTAAGGGGACAAGAAAAAATTGACTTTTTTCTCCTGCCATGGGGGGGCGCTCTTTTGGGGAGTAAAAATTCCTTCACAAATGTGTTGATGGCTGGACATTGCATCATCCTAGAAAACTTGGAGGGCAGTGAGGACAAAAATAAAAAGTTATAAGACTTTTAAGAATGTGGATTTTTGGGTTATCTTTGGCGCCCCCTAGAACCTAAACCGTGGGGTGCAGCGTCATGATTTGTACAACTTTTAATGGCCATGGGGTGTAGATTGGCCTGAGCAAATGTGGTGCCGGTGGAACGAAAGCCTTCGGAGGAGTTAGCGAAATTCCAATGTGTGCGGATCGGCAAAAAATGCGAAATAACCCTTTAACCGTACATTTGACAGATACGCCCGCACTGACTTTTTTGTAGATCTTATTGAGATACATGTGTGTGTCAAATTTTGTGTCAATATGACAAAACGTACAGACGTGACAGTCAATAGTGTGAATTTCCACCTTAGGGGGCGCTATGGAGCCATTTTGCATTTTATTGTTTGGGCGACTTCAGAATATCGAATTTTTCACCAGGCCCGGTCGTCCTGCCAAATTTCATGAGTTTTCGCCAGTGGGAAGTGGGCCATTTTCCAGTTTAAAGCGGAGGAAAAATAATAATAATAATAACAAAAGAAGAATCCATCAGGAACAAGAGGGCTCTCGCAGCTGCTTAGCAGCTACGCTCGGGCCCTAAAGAAGCAGTACTCTACGCCCCTGTCTGCATATTTTCCCATACATCGCTTTAAATGCGACGGTATTTTCTGCAGGTGTGTGAAGTGGTCATCATGATTTCTCTCTTTTCATATCAAACATATTAATGTGCATCTACTTCATGCAAAATAAAGTACAGCAAATGTCCATGCAGACACATCTCACCAATTTTTTTTTTGTTTGTTTGTTTGTTTTAGATTAGTCTACGGATAAATTCATTGGAAAAGCCTGTGACAAAGAAAAGGCACTTAGTCCACAATCTTCTCCTGGTTCTGGTCAGCACTTGGGCTGCAGTATTTAGGACCAGCTGACAGCTTGATAAAAGGAAATTACAACAAATGCATGGAAAAATGTACACCATCAATGAATATGCATGAAACATACCAGTGCTGCAATCTCATCAAAAAGCGTACATTTACAACTTTCTGATTTAAAGATGTCATCTCAACTGAAACTTGCAAATCAAATATTAATGAACCCAACTCAAAAGTTCTCTCCTGTTCTGAAACCCTGTGAAAGAACAGTTAAGAGAAGGGGCCAAAAGAAAAATATGAAACCGAGATTTCATAAATGATACCAAAAATTTTAGAAAAGCTACAACTTAACGGGAATAAAGTCAGGGTCAAAATGTGAATCCAAAAGAATCGATGATTTATGAGATTAAAATCACATTGACAAGGATTGACTTGTAAAATGAAAACAAAAACTGTGGATTTGAAAGAAAAAACATGAACACATGAATACATTCAGAAATTTACAAGATAAGGCCACAAAATGACAATAGTAATCTCATAAATCTTAACTTGCATGAGAAACTACAAACTACTGCATTTTTTTACATCTATCTATCTATCTATCTATCTATCTATCTATCTATCTATCTATCTATCTATCTATCTATCTATCTATCTATTAATAAAAAGCTGTCAGCTGAGCTCCTAGAAAACTGACCTTCACACAGTGTCACATGACTTTACTTCCTGTCATAACCGGCCCCACCACTAGAGGTCACCAATTATTGATAATATGGTCAACCAGATGCTTTCTATAAGTGACTGATCATAGTGATTTAGGGGAGGACAGTCCTGGTTACTTTAGCGACTTTTTTCTATATCCGGGGTGGTAATGAGGATAACAGTCTCTGGGGGGCATCACATTCGATGTGCCAGTTGGTTACCCAATAAAAGATGCAGGAGAGTAAACACGTGTCTGATTTAGGTGCATGTCACCTGCACACACACACAAAAAAAAAGATAGAAAAGTAGTTGAGGGAAAAAAAAAAAAAAAACGTCCAGAAAATTATGGTCCTCATACTTTTTCAGTTTGAGGGTTCATGGAGTTTTTTTTTGCTTTTTTTTCCAAAGACAGTCTTATAAAAGTTTCATGTTTTATACTCCAGAGAGTATCAAAATTGGTGTTTCTTCTTGAGTTGAAGGAGATAACAGACTAAAAAGCTTAGATTTCCTCATTTTTTCTAAGTCTTTAAGATAAACTTTCTGCATGGTGTAAGATAGTGTTAAACTGACATGGAGTTTTCCATAGATGAGTTTATGACCAGCTCTTCTTGGGAAAAAGTTAACAAATGTACAAAAGCTGATTTTTTTTTTCGTTGCCACGTTTTATGATGTCCTTGTTGCCTACAACATGGATAGGTCGTAATATTCCATTATTGTATATCGTACTCACCAATTGGAGACTTGTTCTTGTAGTACTTTTCCCTCACTTTTTGCTCGGGTAAGTTTTTTGTGTCATGGTATTTCTTGGCTGGGGGGAGGTACTTGTGTTGAGATCATTAGCTCATATCAGTGAGCTCTGTCTTTGCTAACATCATCATCTGAAGTGTCACTCACACAGATAACTCTAACTCACTGAAATCCTCTCTCTTCCTCTCTGTGTTTGACGGACAGCCTCAGACGAGCGGTGGCCGTATCACAGTTGAGTGCCGCAGACTTTCACAGCTTGAGGACGCGAGTGCAAATGTTAGGGCACCTCTGTGTGAATCAAACGCATCTTTATTCCACTCGTGCCGCAGACAGACTCGCTGCATGAATACCGATGGAGCCACTCTGCTCTGCATTGCTAATGTGCACACAAAACTTTAACATAGCCGCGTGTGCAAATCAGGAAATCTGGATTATGTTTGATTAAAATTAATGTCCCCGTGTCTCACATTTTATTCTTTTTTTAAACAGCTCCTGTGTGCAGATTCATAAAAAGGAGGCTAAGGCAGAGTTATGTCAGTGCAAAGTACAAATCTGTTGGACAGGCACTTCAAAGCTGCAGAGCGACTGCACCTCCAGCCATATTTAAATTAATAAGTCCAAAGTAGTCACAGCAGCCAGCCAGAGCTTCATTTCTCTGACTGTTAGAAGTGCTCTGATCACTGCTGACTCAGTAGGGACTATTTTAGGGCTCTGTTTGCAGCACACACGCTGGCAGTTTCCTCTTTCAGCCCCCCTTACCTCTTTAACCCTGCACCCAAGTGTGGCCCAAGCAGCATAATACTGATATTTATCAGACTTGAACTCAGTTTGGCATTTCATTTGTGAGCAGTATGAAGTTACTCAAGTTACTCTGTATCTTTTCATTTAACTTGAAGTCAGATTACTTTCTGCAACTTCAAGAGTGTTTCAGTAGTTTGAAACACAGAAAGACTGCTCTGCCATTGTTGAGTTCTTGCAGTCTCTTGTTTTTGTCAGTCTTAAAGTAAAGGCAGAATTTTTGCTGTTGCGTGCAGTCGGCAAAGAAATGAAACTTTGATTTGATTGGGTTTAAGTGTCTGTAACTAATACCCATCACATCAAATAAAATAGTCAAATTCATGCAAACTCAAAGGCCTCTTCCTAATGCAAATGCATAAATTCCACCGTAGCTGCACTTTTGTACTCATGCAGTGCAACTTGACAAAGTGTTATGTATCAACGCATGATTTTACTTTGCATTACAGCAGTTCAGAGGCAAGGGAGGTATGGCTTGTAAACATACAATGGGAGCTCCTCATAGACTCCTAAATGCACACACACACAGTGCTGTTCCACTCTACCTGCTCCTCCGACACTTCATTATCATCTTGCCCTGGTTAATGCCAATATTGTGTGTCTGCAGAGCTGATAGCTGCAGTCTAAAGGTCCTTACACACTGGGACCAACGCAAATATCCAACGCGAAATTACGATATATTCGAAGGCGAATTTTGACGTGCCTGACTATACACATCAAGCCCGATGCGATTTTGCGGCTTTCCGGGGGGAAAAAAAGACACGTCCCGAGTGGAAGCGAGAAGACTGACACAACACTAGACTGACTGTTTTTCAGTTCTGATTAGACTCTAGTGTTGAGATGTCTGTCTGTCATGATAGCATGTACTGAGTCGGGGCCAGTACCAGATAAGCACATTAAACTATAATCCATAAACGTAAGGTAACAACCGAGACCTAATGGTGCTGTGACAGCAACACGATTAAGTTTGAGACAGTGAAAATACATATGGTATGTTGTATCTGAACAGGTTAGCTTACGAGCTAAAGTTACTTAGCACAGATGAAAGTTAAAACAAAGACATTTAGCAAACTGTTAAAGCACACAAACTGTCCTTCAGGTTGTTATCTTTGTAATGTTTGTGTTTTTTTTATCAAAAAGCACTCTGTTCTCCGACACGTAAACAATCAGCCGGTCGGCCATGTTGGATATACCGGTGAGTCAGATGTTGCAACAACATGCAATCTGATTGGTCAGAAGTGAACACACCAGTGGCGATTGCTCTAAGACTGCAAGGGAAGCTCGGCTTCCCTTAAAATGTCACCCCCCAAAAAAAAGAAAAAGTAGTGAAATAGGTGCGGCTGTGTGTACATTTCATTAACTAAATACGCACTAGAAAGCCTTCAACTTTTGTTCAGACACTGTGATAAGAAGCTGATAATCACAGGTAACCGGCATAACTTCGTTCTCATTCATCCTCGCAGCGCCTCAGCGCTTCAAACAGTCGGACGCTGGGCTTCTGCTGACTTCAATGTGGAAGCTCAAAGTGGGTTGTTCCAGCAGCGAAACTAGACGCTCATTGGATAAATGCTGGGCTTTGTCCCGCCCAATGGAAGCCCAGCTTCACTGGAGTTCTATGGTGAGAGGGCGGTCCCGACTTTCTCCCGGACTCCGAGCTTCTGCATCCATGATTGGATGAGCTGTCTGAGGCGAAATCCTTTTTTGATTGACAGCTAAACAAGCGAATCAGCGATCTTGAAGAATAAAACATCTACCAGAGCATTTTCCAAGTCATTCATTCCGTTGTTCTTAACTGCTCCAGAGACTTTACCGATCCTCAGCGACTTTTGTCTTTGTTAAAAACGACTGCCGTTGTGTTTGGCGACTCTGTTCTGTTACATACTAATAAACAAATACAATTATGATGTAGGCCAGAAAAATGAGCTTCCCCTCCTTGAAAGACTAGCAGCCGCCACTGGAACACACAGTATGCAAAACTTTATAAAAATCGACCATGATCCGAAAAAATAAATGCCGCAATATTGCAGGATGGGAAAACTTCGCTGATGTGAACGCTTGTAATGACAGGATACGGGTTCGAAAACAAATATTGATGTCCGAAATAATCGCACTTAAAAAAAAAACGCTCCTGGTGTGAAAGGACCTTAAGGACCACAATTCTGGGACTGCATCTCTAGGAACTCTTGGTTGTTGCAGGAGTGAAGGCAAGGGTTATGCGTGGATGCCAAAAACGTCCTTGCACACTAAACACTGCAGTCCTTGGCGATCTAATGCACCAGGTGGTCCTGTCAACTGGCCTCGGAACTTAGTCCAGAATCTTCAGCTCCTTCCTGCCCTGAAATTGCAGTATGCAAACATAAAACAGCAAAAGATTTGGAAATCGCTTAAGTCAAAAAATCTAAATTGGCCAGTGCATTAGCCAGCATGTGATTCAAAATGTTTCATTTGCAGTGCCATTAAATCATCAATCCATATCAATACAGCATTATAAACCTATCTTAAAGCAATCAAAAAGAGGACACTTTCATAGATAGAAGGACAATTTTCTTTAGCCAATCCCATCAGCCTTTAGAGTGGTGGAGCCATGCAACTCAAATACCATGGAGGCGTTGGTGTTAGATTGCTGGAGCCTGGGGTCTCCGACAACCAACCAACAAAATATGTTCCACCATGGTATTTCCCGCTGTGGACTCTCCATATGTTCACTTAAGGTTCCTGAAAATATGTTGTCCTTTATTCCTACCGTACATGGACTATTCTTAGGGTCAACTAAATGCCAGCAGAATGTTTGGAAATGTGGACAGCTATATATACTTGAACGGTCTCAGACCAATCTTTGTTACACTTGTGGCATGCTGAAGCTGTAACCCAGATCTGCAATTAGAAAAGTTTGTCAAACTGACCATTCGTGTGAACCTTTCATTCTTTCAAGTGTGAACCTGGGCTAGGGATCCTTACAATAGAATACCTGTTTGATGAGCCCCCAGCATTCAGAAATGAACAAGGCATATATTAGTCCGCAGGAGTCTGGGGAGACCAAACAGGAGCACATAGGAAAGTGAGTGCTAGAACAAAATGACTCAAAAGTATCTCTAGATAAATTATTTTTTTTATGATTTTACTTTTAGTTGATCTGTAAACTGAATTGTCTTTTAATGATAAATTGCAAGTAAACCCCAAACTTCAGAATGAGTCTGATGATTTATATAATTTATCTGTTTACCTAATTTGTTTGTGCGTTTATTATTTATCAAATTTCATAGATATAATTATTAAACTGTCTGGATTAACCTTGAATTTTTACTCCAATTTTATAAACACAGCCTCAAATCTGAAATACTGAGTACTGAAATTACAAACGAATGTGAACAATCTGGTTTTATCAGTTATCACATGACGTGGTATTGTGAAGTTATTATTGTCTCCAAGACAGATGGGTTGAGACATTGTGAGCTCAAAAAGTAACCTTCACCATGGTAGGCATTAGAACTTTTGCATATTTTACTCCAGTGAGGGTCTTATTTTTCAGTCTACTTTTGCAAAAGTGTTTTTCATGTCTGAGAAGACGTCCTACCTGTCTTTTTTGGCACACACCTTCACTCGTATTTCATTGGTTCGTTCTCCGGGTCACCTCTGTGCTCATTGGCTGCTCCTTGTCAACATGCAGCTCCTGTCCTGCTGCCGTGTCAAGGTGTAAACAGTCAGGTGGTAAAAACAGGAAGTACAATCATTTAACAGAATCCTGTTTATTTTAGTTTTTATAAATTCACCCGCTTTGATATTTTTCTCTAATATCAGTGCTATCTTTTTTTCGGTAATACATTTAGCCCGTTAGATAATAGTTTTAGTCTTTTCGTTCCTCAATTCTCTCCACCATGCTGATTCTTCTCTTTTACTTTGAAAGTCTTGACCGGATATTACTTCACACTGTAACTGTAGTTCTTCCTGGTTGATGTGGACACAAGGAAGAGCAGCGGGGTGAGGTCTGTTGTTGTGTCTGGGTAAATAATGTGGAAAAACGGTAAAACTTTAAGTGGAAGAACGATGGAATTTATCGAGCAGTTAATGTTTTAGAAGTGTTTTTTTTTATTCCGGGAGTTTTGATATTATTCCGTTCTTCTTCTGTGGTTCCGGTTTATTCATACCTCCGGTGCTGCGGTGCATCTCCCATTAGCCCACGGTGGACTGTTAGCTGCTAACGCTATGTCTGATAGGAACTCTGTGGATATTCATGAACCCTGATAGACCCCTAATAGTCCCTGAAGAAGACATGGCGTCCTCCAAAGCGAAGGTGGGCGTCCACAGTGAGACAAACTGTGTGAAGGACGGGAAAAGCAGCTGCAGCAGCGCCTCCGGAGACACCGCAGCAAACAGCCGAGTATACAGTCTGGATGAGCTGGAGACCATGGCCACTGTGGGTGAGTCTGGAATAAGGTCTCAGAGTGATAGATCTACCTGTGCCAGGTGCTTTGAATAAACAGTGGATGTAAAAAGTCTACACACCCCTGTTCAACTGCCAGGTTTTCTTGATGTAAGAAAATGACAGCAAGATAATTATTTTCACAACTTTTTCCACCTTTAATGTGACCTATAACTTGTACAATGCAATTGAAAAACAAACGGAAACCTTTAAGAGGAAAAATATAAAATAGAAAAGTTAAAATGACCTGGTTGCATAAATATGCACACCCTTAAACTAATACTTTGTTGCAGCAAATTTGGTTTCTTATTCTGGTGAAGCCGTTCTTTTGTTGATTTAGATGTGTGCTTTGGGTCATTGTCGTGCTGAAAGATGAAGTTCCTCTTCATCTTCAGCTTTCTAGCAGAAGGCCGAAGGTTTTGTGTCAACACTGACTGGTATTTAAAACTGTTCATAATTCCCTCCACCCTGACTAAGGCACCAGTTCCAGCTGAAGAAAAACAGCCCCAAAGCATGATGCTGCCACCACCATGCTTCACTGTAGGTATGGTTTTCTTTTGGTGAAGAGCAGTGTTGGTTTTGCGCCAAATATACCTTTTGCAATGATGCCCGAAAAGTTCAACATTGGTTTCATCAGACCATAACACATTTTCCCACATGCGTTTGGGAGATTTCAGATGTCTTTTTGCAAAATTAAGCCGGGCTTTGATGTTTTCCTTTGGTAGCCTCTCTGACCAGTTTTCTGCTTGTCTTATCATCAATTTTGGACGGACGTCCTGTTCTTGGTAATGTCACCGTTGTGCCATATTTTCTCCACTTGATGATGACGGTCTTTACTGTGTTCCATGGTATATTTAATTCCTTGGAAATTCTTTTGTAGCCCTCACCTGACTGATATCTTTGAATAATGAGATCCCTCTGATGCTTTGGAAGCTCTCTGTGGACCATGGCTTGTGCTGGAAGATGTGGCTACAAAAATGTCAGGAAAAGCTACTAGAACAGCTGAACTTAATTTGGGGTTAATCAGAGGCACTTTAATTGGTGACAGGTGTGTGCTGACTCCAATTTAACCTGAGTTTGAATGTTATTGGTTAAATCTGAACACAGACACATCCCCAGTTATTAAAGGGTGTGCACACTTATGCAACCACATCATCTCAGTTTATTTTTACTTCACCTCCCTGAAAGATTTCTGTTTGTTTTTCAATTGTGTTGTACAGGTTATAGGTCACATTAAAGGTGGAAGAAGTTGTTAATTTATTTATCTTAAGTTAATTTTTTTACATGACAAAAACCTGGCAGTTGAACAGGGGTGTCTAGACTTTTTATATCTACTGTAGATGACAGCTCAGCCAGAGCTCCAGCACATATTTAGGTTAATGATACAGAAATATGTGGCACTGTGCGAGTCATTATCTGATAGGTCAGATAATCATTTTAAAAGATGACTAGCTGCACCAGTCCTTCACTATTTCTTAGATCCCCTGGGTTCATAACTAAAATATCAGGGGCATGAAGGATTTAAAGTCACTGTTTCTTATTTCATTCCAAACAGGATTTTATCTTAATCTCAGCTGTTTAAGGTTTCTAACTAAACTTTAACCTTTCACATCATAAACCTTTTTCCTTATATTTGACTGGAAAGTGTTCATGGCAGTTTCCACATGTCACTTTAGGAGTAATTACATCCATTATATCCATTATTTGTTTCCTTCAGGTTGATAAGATAAACCTAAAACATGACAGAACATTTAATCTACGTCACATTACAAACATCATGTTCAGACATATTGATAATAACCCAACATGCAGTTGATACTGAGATAAATGTGGGCTGTCATATCATACAGTTAGGTTTGTATAAGGATATCAGAGTATTATCAATATTGACCCAGTTCCAGCTGACCTACTTTAACCTTAATCATATCGTACATTATGTTTGTGTACACACTGCAGCTCCATGAAGGTTACTCCAACACAGTTAGTTCATTCACCTTTATTTGAAGTGTGGAAACAAGGGAATCCTGATCCATATTCTATTCTATGAAATTTAAAGGGATTTTTCATATTTCTGAAGAGAGTTTAAGCCACAATAGATGTTGGTTAGCTCCGCCCCTTTAAAGAGAAACTTCTGGGAGAACCTGCACACAAGCTTGACTACAGTTTTATGACTGTAGTGTCAGTGAGTGTAGAGTAGGGCCCGACTGATATGGATTTTTGGGGCCGATGCCGATACCGATTATTAGTGGGGAAAAATCTGATTACGGAATAATCAGCCGATTTAAATTTTTTTTTATAAAGTTATAAAAAAATGTAAATATACTATATACTGTAGATTTACTGTAGGCTACTGCTCTTCACGCTGACAGGAAGACCGACTGATCAAACTCGGACCAGAAAAAACGTTTTCAACTACAACCCCCCGTGCCGATCGGTGCCTCCATGTCTTAACTCATGTTACACATTTCCAATCCTGTCTCTTTTGGAGACATACAGCCGCCTCAGTAAGAGAAGTAGCTCGATCACTAAAGTGTACTGTTGTTTATTCTACCGTTACTGGCACGGCTAACAGTGTAGCAAGGCTAATAACAGGTGGCTAACTCTAACTTTAGCTTGCATATTACATGGTGCTTCTCCGTTACTCGGCGTGACCGAGACCAGCACAGCGGGGAACATGGTGAAGTGGATTGAACTGAAACTAGTTGACTTATTGTGTATTTCATAAACTGGTTTATTTACCGTTGAGGTGGACCACTCTCCTCTGTGCGTCCCTGAGCTGCCTGCTTCAGATCCGTCACTCTGCTGTGCTGTGAGGTAGTTAGTGGATGAAGATTGTCATGAGGTCACTGCGCCATCTACAGGATAAGTCGGGGAACTTTTCAAATGGCGGAACATTTTTGAAGTGAAACCGAATCTTATTCTCCACATTTTATCTCTGAAAATATAGGCAGAAATCGGCGAGTTTTGGCCAATTAGTCTCAAACGGGCTAAAATTGGCTGATTTAATCAGCTTGCCGATAAATCGGTCGGGCGCTAGTGTAGATTTTGTTCTTTCAGAGGAGTTGTTGAAGTCTCACTCATGACAGACAGGGCTTTTCACTACACACCTGAAGCGCCAGGTAACCAGCAGGTAACCTTGGATCTCTCCTGCTCTCCCCTCCACTGTATCCCTCCATAAATGGTGTGTTGTCTGTGCGGTCAGAAACATTCACATTGTTCAGTTTGGTTGTATTTTTGTTGTCTTGAAGACCAAAATAGCAGATTGGCATGACTGTGTTCCATCCTCAAAATGGTGCAAAAACAAACAGACTTTCTGCTGCAAAGTAAAAGTCAAATTTTATACACTTAAACCGAGATGAGTGTTTGGGTTAGAGTCTCTGAAAATTCAATAATTCATGTGTTAGAGTCGCTTCTGTCTGCAAAAAAAAACAAAAAAAAAACAGTATCCCAGCTTGTCTTCAGTTTCTCACTGCAGTTTCTAATTAAAGGATCTGAGTTGACTGACATCTATTATTGCTGATACGCTCATATGTGACATGCAACTAATATAAGTTCACTAAAAAATACTGAAATATCCCTTTAATAACAAACTGCTACATTTGGAAAAAAAGGAAAAGCATGAGCTGCACTTAAGTCAGTCTTTTATTTCACTGTTTAGAGGTTTCGAAGCATTTGTTTGAAGTATTAGTGCGCAACCCAAATGTTTACAACATCAAAGAGAGCATTTCCAAGTATTTCAGGTCAAGCTGAGCAGTGAATGTTTGTGCATACTGTGGGAGTGGTTCAAGTTTGGACGGTTCAAGCCTTAAATTTAGAGTCCCACCTTCACAGGATTTCAGCCACATAATAACCCGTCCAGCTCGGTTTGTATATTTGATCTTTTCGTCCTGACGATGAGTGTTTGAGCCTGCAGCAGTGACTCAGACTCAGCAGAGTCAGAGGTGTGTTCACAGGTGGTTAGAGAGGCAGATTCATCGACCCAGACAGGTAAGGGTGAGCCCGTGCTCAAACAGCGACCTGCCTACAGGGAGGGGAGAACAGTTTGACTTGTTCAGAAGTTTGAGTCACACATTCATCATCGAGTTGCACAAGAAAGTACTCAGGAAGGGACTTTTATCACTCCTTGTAAAGGAAGTAAGAGTCATCAGCCCCCAGAGAAAGAGATTAAAAAACATTAACCTTTTAAAACTGACCTTTTAATCGAAAAACATCTAAAAATTCAGGCAAGGCTCATGTTTAACTAGATTAAACATAATTTTCTAAACACATAGGTCACTTGGAGTGTTGACAAACTCTAATTGACGAAAATAAGGACAGACTGATACACACCCTTGTGTGTGTGCAAGCAAAGCCACGCCAACTTTAGAGCAGACAATCTGAGACACTGAGTAGAAACTTACTCTGCATCTGATCTGAACCAGCAGATGATCAAAAATGCAGATAGCAGCCATAGCTACACATGTATCTGCACTGAATCGCTTCAACAACACATCTGAAACAGCTTTGGACAACAGGTAGCTGTATTTTGTGTCTGCAAGTGTAAAACACAGCCAAAAGAAAAAGATAAAAGCTCTTTACATGACACAGAATATAACAGTCTCTGAACTGTTGCATAAAAAGCTGCTTTTTTATTATCATAGGTGCAAGCAGACAGATTTTAAAAGACGAACAATTCACAAAAAAACGTACTGACCAATCTAAAGTTTATCCTGTAGACTTATTTACAGAATTTTTTTTTCCATCAGTTTGGGTTTATCACACCTGCTTTTGTCTTTTCTCCTTCGTATTTTGAATTTTTATTTTATTATTATTAATATAATTATTTGTTCATTTATTTATTTATGCATTCATTCATTTATTTACTTACTTATATTTATTTTTATTTTTGTATTATTGAATTTCCCTTCCGAGATAAAGGAAGTTCTTCTTATCGTATCTTATTTTCAACAATGCTGTTATTTCAACTTGCTAAAAATCTTGCAGATAACTGGTTGACACACGTTATCAGGTAAATTCAAATCAGAATGTACCAACTAGGGCCGGACGGATTTATTGGTGAGCCTATTAAATCGGCCAGTTTTAGCCCGTTTGAGACTAATCTGTAATCGGCCAGAACTTGCCGATTTTTGCCGATTTTTTCAGAAATGAAATGCGGAGAATAAGATTTAGTTTCACTTCGAAAATGTCCCACCATTTGAAAAGTTCCCCGACTTATCCTGTAGATGGCGCAGCGACCTCATGACAATGCTTTTCTGGTCCGAGTTTGAACAGTCGTTCTTCCTGTCACAGTGAAGAGCAGTAGCCTACAGTATATCTACACTATATAGTATACTGTAGATATCTACAGTATATATATATTTTTATAACTTTTATAACGTATCGGCATTGGCTCAAAAAAAACATATCGGTCGGGCCTTAGTACCAACAAGCCTTTTCTCCATTATTTTGAGAAGAAAACAAACAGATTTAGTAGAGGATTAAGCAAATTTAAGCAATAGGCATAAATAAGTCTCAAAATTTAGAATAAAGCCTGTGTAAGCAGGTCAAATCTACAAAGTTCTGCATGGCGTCATTTTTAAGATAACAATTGAGAAAGATGATCTTTATGGGTCCGTCTTTTTTTTGCACTACTTGCACCACTTTTAGTTAGGGTTGAAAAACATTCAAAACTCTTTTTTTTTTCATTACAACCATGGGCTGCAGCCTTTTAATTAGTTTGAACATCAGCACGTCTGAAACTTAACACAAAACTTGCATTCAAAACAACAACAAAGCTAAAATATCGAGACTACAATCTTTCAAAGTCAAAAGCTTCAACCCTAAAACAACAACTTTAAGTCTCACAGATTCTAACAGGAGAGATTCCTCCTTTTTGTTTCTTTAAAACTCCACCCTCCTCATAGTCTTGGCAGACAAATATGTGAATGAGTAAAACTGTTATTAAGAGTCTTTTGTACTTTTGGACTTTAATCAGCTTCTCCTGTAAAGCAGCCAGATTTTAGAAAATCACGTGAGAACCAGTTTTGCCACATGATGTACACAGATATCTGCTACAGTATGTGTTGGTTCAGCTGAGCTAATATTGACTAAAAGGCTTTAGAGAGATTAATATATGCAATCAAATAAATCACAAAACTAACGTTTAAAATCCACCATGGATTATAGAAATCAGAAGAAAAGTAAAAGTAGAAGAAGAGCTGCGTGGAAAAGGGAAGAAGAAAAGAAACAGCTGAAACAATTTTTCATCTTCATCGTAAAAAATCTGAAAGAATATGAGACAAAGCAGGTTTTCACACTGGTTTTAAGCATATTATCAGAGACAAATTACACATAGCTGCTTATTAAATCATGTCTTTGTCATTATTGCAACATAAAATACACAACAATGCAACTTGAGATGGCTCTATTTGAAGGGAGCGTGCAGAACAGCAGATAAAGAGATGAATTTTAAGTTTACAACATCAATATTTATTGCATCCGAACCAAAAAAAATACCCCTTTTCAACTGTACACCTCTCTCTTAATGTGCCAGCCTAATTTTAGCTGGTTACATGGTCAGAAAAGCTGCGATTGGTCAGCAAAAATGAGGGTTACCAGGGGTTAAAGAAAGGTCAAAGAGATTAAAGATATAAGCCGGTTTCAGTTCACACAGGTCAGAGCGTTTTGATAAACAATCATGTATTTGCTTTTTTTTTCTGCTTCCAGTTCTGTTCTCCTTTTACTAGTTTAGTTACAAAAAAGCTTCTTTTGTCCCTTTAATGGATTCCAAAAGCTTATTTTGGAAGGAGCAAACTCGCACCTGCGGAAATATATGGAAAGAAAGAACGACAGGTGCAGGTTATTTTGAGTTTTGGTGCTCGGATTAGATTTAGGAGATCTAGTGCAATGAAATGAGCCAAGTATAGAATAAAAAACATGGGACTATTTTTACAGCTGCACTCTAACTGTCAAGACACCTCTGTGTGATCAAATAGAAATAAAAGATCTAGATTTAGAAATGACATTACAGAAAATGTAATTTCTTAATCTTGTGTATAGATTAGGGCTGGGCGATAAACCGAAAATTTACCGATACTGAAATTTAAGATAATAGCCAATGTCATTTTGCCCATATCAATATATTCGGTGTCAACAAAATAAATAAATAAGTCGGTTTGGATGTGTGTAGGTAGGCTGAGGTCTCATGTCCCTTCAAGACGCTGTCCTACGTCAGGGATATCACTGTACCCCATCCAGTCCGTAACACAGAAGGAGGACGGTTCTAAAGTTGAAGCGGCTGAAGTAGACGAAGTTAATGTGGGAGGGGGTGAGCAGCTTGTGGAGAAGTTATCGTCCATTTATCGTTATCAAGGTGAACTGTTCAATACATCCTGTAGGCATGTGTAGATATGAAAAATTTGATATCACGATATTGGTGGCCCAAAATATCACGATTCACGATATTATCACGATATTATCACGATATTAGCGCATCGCTTTTAACATTATCAAAAATGGCAAAAAACTGCGAAATCACTTCTCTGAGCACAGCATGACACACGCACAAACATGAGCAAGAGACAGCTAACGTGACGTTGGGAGCATTAGCTTTTTGGAGCTAAAGTTAGCAGAAACATCACTAACGTTGTCAATAATAAGCAGAAGACTAGACCAAACTTGTTGCGGTCATGTTGTTTTTACCTTGATTTGGGCGAACGATGTTCATGGAGGTGGGCACGTAGGTTTGAAGTGTTAGACAACGGCGCTACAACTTCATTATGGCATAACCTGCAGATTGGTGTCAGGTTTATCTGCTCCGTCTGTTTTGTGAAGCCGTAAACAGCCATACTGCTGACGAAACCTTTTTAAAAGGAGGATACAGCCGAGGCGTTTCGTCATTCTCAGTCTCCGACTGTTCTTGGTCCGGCTGCATCGTTACGTTGGTTGGAAGTTTGAACGTGTGCGTCAACTTTTTTTTATCTTCTTCAGACTGTTTCTGGTTCACAGAGTGGACACGCTCCAAAATGTTTTGGGTGGCCGCAATGCATTGTGGGTGGCCACGCATTTTGTTGTAAAATTTCTTTATTTTCTCTTTTAATGTTCCTGTTTTTGTTAGGCTGGCATTAATGTACTTAATTCTAGAGTTTGTTTTGGATTTGGGACTACTTTTGTGGTGGTTTGTTTGTACATTTTGCCACTGAGGCTTAAGTACTCCGCTTCGCTTGCCTCCGCTGAGTGACACTGCCACTCATCTTTAAATAATAATTGTGGAACGATCATTACAGTACCCTACGATTTCATCATCACAGCCATTTAATATCGCGATTAAATCGTATTTCAGCACATCCCTAATATCGCGATATTGATTTGAGGCCATATCGCCCAGCCCTAGTATAGCTGTAATTTGAAGCTGTGCAGTAATGTGCAAGATGACTGCCAGCACAGATATCTTACAGTATGAATTTTAACTGATATAAAACCTAAAGGTAAAATAAAAAAAATGAAAAAACAGAATTTCTTTGCAAGAAAAAGATCGATTTTTTTGAGCTTAGTGTCTGTGCATACACAGTTTTCCTCTCTCGTCATGTCTTTATCAGTTCGAAGAGAAACAGCCTCCTGATCACATTAGTCCAGATGTTGATGGAGCTGATATCTGCAGAGTGATGAAGCTGCAGCCCTCAAACCTTTCTCATTAATAGAGTCAGGCTTTACGGGCAGATTTCACATGCATTGTGTTTTACAGCTCTGTAAAACGCATTAATCTACATGCGGATGACGAGGTTCGAGCGTAAAGCTGGTCGGCGAGGTGTGCCGCTGGAAGAAAGCTTGGAGCATAAAAATCCAATTTGCCAAGAGTTTAGTCCGATGGGAGGGATTTAGTGCAGAAAACAAATCAGCTAAAGCTCTTTATCTGCCTGCTGTTGTTTAATTGTCATTGAAATCTGGAGGGAACTCTCCTCCACCATTAGATTTATTCGTCCTGACCCACAGAGCATCACTGGAAGGCTTTGGTCTTGTCAGAGTGGATAAATCCAGCAGCAGCAGCCTCTCCAGCATCATATTTAGGGGTTTGTTGACTGTCTCATTAAAGTTGCATCCCTCAAGAACAGCTGAAGTCTCCGACTGGCGTGCAGTTCGTTGTTTCCCCTCGTCCCAGAAACAGAGCAGGTGGAAAAGGAGTCAGACTGACCCAGTTTTCAGACGGGGGTAAATATCCGTTACAGAGCATCACTCTCAGAAAATCAACCGGCCATGTCTGGGCTCAGTCTCATTGTCACGTCCCGGTTTCTGATGACGAATGCGGCTCAGGAAGTACAGAAGAATAACACTCCGATTATTCATACCTGCAATAAAAGTGTGTCTTTTTGAAATCCACTCAATGCAGTCTTTGTGCTGCTGAGGGCCAGTTTGAAAAGGTGAAATGCTACACCTGCTTGGTGCATTGTTGTGAGAAGGATCAGCAGGGTGAGACAGAGATACCTGAGCTTCTTCTATCCCATAGTCGCAGAATAAAAGCTGGGTCTTTTCTTGTCTGCAGGACCCCAAACCCAGGATGTATTATGAATTTGAGGGGGTGTGAGTTGTTCGGAGGAATAGATCATGCCACCATTTAACTTTGGTAAATAGAAGACTAGGGCTATAAAGTCCTAGTCGACTGTTAGACTTATTGGTCAATACATGCTAAGATGACCAAAATTCTGATTTGTTGACTCGATTTTTTTTCCGAGTCAATTTACAATCTATGGTTAATTTCATCAGAAGGAACATACCAAGTGCCTATGGGGCTGATTTCAGAGCACCCCTGTTCCACAGGTAACAGCCTGTCTCAGAACAACCCCCTTGTTTTCACCATTTTGGATTCGCCCAACCCACTGGAGACTGGCTGGAGACAGGAAGTGTGTCCACATTTATCAATGCCTGGTGGTTTGTTGAATATGTATTTTTGTTTCAACTTGCCTTATGTGTTGAATTGCCTTCTTGTGCTGATATCAGTATATTTTTACCCTGCTGAGCCATGCTCTGCCATGCTCTGTTGAGAGCCCCCGATTAATCGATTTTTGGTCGAAAATTTCAGGGTTTTAGTCGACCGTGAATTTCTTTGGTTGATCACAGCTCTATACAAGTCCTCCAAACAGGTTAACTGCTAAACAGAAAACCATCAAACCTGTTAAACAAACCTCTGTGCCAACTAATTTAAAATTCCTAAGAATAAGAAGAACTTTTTTGATCCCTGAAGGGAAATTCAACTGTCTGTCATCTCATTTGTCATGTCTCTAAAAGTCATCTACTAATAACGGAAGAGTTATAAAGCCTGATGGCTGTTGGTATAAAAGATCTTATAAATCTTTCTGTCGTGCAGCGAAGAGAGAGGAGCAGTCCACCACCATTCGCCTTTTGGTCCATCAAGGTGTTGTCCATTTTCTTCAGAATAGTCTCCACCTTCTTCAGTGTAGATCTCTCCACCACATCCTCCACTGAGTCCAGCTTGAGTCCTACCACAGAGCCAGCCTTTTTCACAAGTTTGTTCAGACGTCTTGCATCTTTGTGTTTGATACTTCATCCCCAGCGGACTACAACATAGAACAGAACACTATAGACACCACAGACTGATAAAACATCTGCAGCATCTTACTACAGATGTCTATTGATCAGAGTCTTCTTTCTGTAGATGAAGTCGATATTCTTAGACCAGTCCAACTTATTATCCAGATGATGATGATCTAAATCAGTGGTTCTCAAGTCCAGTCCTCGAGGCCCTCTGTCCTTCATGTTTTGGATGTTTCCCTGCTCCAACACACCTGATTCAAATGATTAGCTCGTTATCAAGCTCTGTAAAGGCTTACTAACGAGCTGATCATTTGAATCAGGTGTGGGCCTCGAGGACTGGACTTGAGAACCACTGATCTAGATGGTGGCTGCCACTCCTGGTCCAAATAGAAATTAAGAGATAAGACCAGTTTAATTTGTCAATGTTTGAACCTGCAGAAATTAATGGAAGTTAGTTGTGACACTATTATGTCCGAGCTTGGGAAAAAACTGTGTTAGCGATGTTGATGGTGTGTTCTCTGCACCAATCATCAGTCACCTGAGCTTGATCAATGCATCCCTGACATAGTCACGGCCTTTGTCACTTTTTCTGCCTTAATCTCACATAAACATTTGATTAACCTCCTAAAATGCCAACTGGTCAACAAAGTTGTACAAAGCCGCCTGTAAGTATCCTCCAATAACATGCATAACGCATTATTAGATGTATTACTGATGCACTCATGATGCAGTCAAACACATATGCGAGGCTGCACAGCGAGTATATCCCCTTGTTTGAAAAAGTGAAAAGCTAAGCCCTCTGTCTTGTCTGCAGGCCGTAATATCCGAGTCTTTTACTTGTTTACAGTCACCCAAAAAACTGAGCCCTTTTCCTTGTCTGCTGCCTCAGAATCTCAGCCCTTTTTCTTGTCTGCAGGGCTGGAACATTAAGCTTTTTTTCTCTTTAGTCAATCTCATCTTGGTCGCTTCAACAGTCCAACATAACTTCTGTCCACTGTCATTTCTTCCATCAGAAAATCTAAATTTCATTACTTCAAAAAGCATCGGCCCAGTTACTTAGCAAGCCTCCTTTCAGTAGAAATAAAACATAATAAAAATGTTAAATGTATTTCTAAAAAAAAACACCAAAAACCAAAAAAACAGGCTGGAGTAAAGATGACACAAAAGGCACAACACGGTTTACAAAGACAAACAGAAATCCAAAAGTGAAAGTAAAATTTCCCATAGAGCCCTGCGGGAACACAGTTTATTGTGTTCAAACATGCTAATACATAATTACCATACAGCCAGAGCCAAACTGACGCTCCTTCCAGAAACAGGAGCCAGTGAAATGTTTTGGCATCAATCATCCACATCATAAAACCAGTGACAGCTGGTGAAATAAATACATAAAGTAGGACAACAAAGTGGGTCATTTGATTATACCTGCAGAGAGATGGTATGTGTATACCAGGGAGGAAGTAAAAAGTCTGCACCTGGAGGTGGTGCAACCTAAAAACATCATGCCTCTTTGTGGTTTTGACTGAATGTTTAATCATCTATATCTTTATTTTTATGTGTGGTTGCTGTTCCCTACATAAAGTAGTTTAGGCAATAAAGGACGACTAGCAAACCACCTACTGTGCTGTTTCATGTTTGGTTTTCATTTAGTGACTTTCTCAATGACGTATTTTAAAATATACTGAGTTTGAATTCTTTCCTACCTGTGATCAGTATAGTGCTGCGTAATCCCGTTATTGTCTGAACCTGGTTTTAGCAGAGTGGTTGCAGTAACAAACTGTGGATGCACGGTGGTGGTCCTGTATGTTTGTGTGACACCTTGTCCCTGCAGAAACATGCAGAAAGCAGAGGAAGAGCTGCAGCTACAGAAACTCAGTGTAGTTATTTTTAATGATGAATTCATTTTACCCATTAGACCTCAGAAGTTCACTCCTCAGACAGAGAAATTACTCGAATTTGATGCTTGGAGGCGGTTAATTCAGACCATGCATTCTTCTTTTTTTTAGCTTTTAAAGACTAATATTTTCAATTAAAATGATTTTAAAAATAAATCTGAGCAAGCCTAAAGGTCCTTGCGCACCGGGAATGATGCAATATACGACACGAAATTACGAAATATTTGGAGGCACCTGACTATACACATCAAGCGCAATGCGATTTTGCGACTTTCTGGAAGTAAAAGAGTGAGATGGCTGTCTGTCATGATAGCATGTACTGAGTCGGGGCCAGTACCAGATAAGCACATTAAACTATAATCCATAAACGTAAGGTAACAACCGAGACCTCATGGTGCTGTGACAGCAACGCCATTGAGTTTGAGACAGTGAAAATACATATAGTATGTTGTATCTGAACAGGTTAGCTTACAAGCTAAAGTTACTTAGCACAGATGAAAGTTAAAACAAAGACGTTTAGCAAACTGTTAAAGCACACAAACCATCGCCATATGAGAGATCCGACGCTGAAATAATCGCACAATAAAAACAGTCCTGGTGTGAAAGGACCTTCAAAGACAAGACCTGAAATTATTTCACAAGTACAAGTTAACACCCTTAACACTAGGGGGTCATCTGGCACTGATTATTGATAGATTATGCAAATGATAACCAACACTAAAAGCTGATATGAATTTACAGTAAAACAGGGTTTCTGCTGGGTCTTAAAGAGTCTTAAAACATCTCAAATCCAATATTTTGAATTTAGGGCTTTTAAATGTCTGAAATTCCTTTAAACCTTATGAAATGTCTTAAATACAAATTTGAAAGCTCTGAAAGTGTATTGATGGTACTTACAAATAAAGATTGATTTGAAATCAGTTTCAAATGTCTTTTGTACTTTTTTGCCAGTATGGATATAAAATGGATCTTAAATTGTATTCATTATGGTCTTAAAAAAAAGTCTTAAATTTGACTTGTGGAAACCTGCAGAAACTCTGGTAAAAGTGAAAATCTTTTGTCAAGTTCAGAACTTGTATCTGTAATAAAAAAAAAAAAAACAGACAAAAAAAACAAAACAAAAAGTGAACTACTAATTGAGAAGGATAAATATGTTCAATAGTTTTGCCTTTGAAAACGGTCTTTCATGAATTCACTAGCAGTGCAAGCTCAGATTTTTAACTATTGTAATTGTAGCAGTAGTTATTATTGGGAAATTAGTCACCTAAAGAGAAAGACAGGTCTCACTTTAAATTAATGTATTTTACTGGTAACTCGTTGAATAAAATACAAACAATACAAGAAGATACTTTACTCTTATATCTACCTAACTCAATAACTCAAGAGAACAGTATGGCTATGCAAATTTTGGTCTGCTGATTTAAAAAGTGTAGAGTTCTGTAGAAACTCTGGATTTAAACCAACATCTTAAAGAACTTCTGTAGTAAAAAACTTGGAGCCAGACTCTGGCCGTCAGCAGTAAGAAGTATGGACACGTTTGGTTTGTGCAAAAAACAGCTGAGCACTTAAAAGTTTAGTCTGCTTATTAATTTCCGAACCCAAACTGACATAAAGATACAAAATTTATCACCAGAAATGTAAAATTTACTGCCAAGAATTACATTTATGAAGAAAAAGTGCAACAAATCTTCACAAAAAGGAATCAAATGATGCACACAGTCTGAAAAATGATCACTGCAGTGAATAAATTAGTTGCTCGATGTTTTTTTTTTTCTTCTAAGTATTAAATTTCAGCCCAACAGATGAGAGTTAAAGAGAGTCATTGTTAATAAAATCCAAAATCGAAAAGCTGCTTGTGTTCGCAGAACTTCCTCATTCTGTTCACACTCGGCGCTCGCCAAGGACAAGCAGGGACTCGTGTTTGGCAGGAGGTATATCAGAGAGAGAAACAGTCTGAGTGATGAATGTGGATCTGAGATTTAATCATCAGTTATATAATGTTTTAAGTGTTGGTCAGAGAATTCAAGACTAACTTCGTCAAGTTTTGGTGACCAATAATGAAAATTGTTTGTCATGCATCTGATGTTTCCCGTCACATTTTTAATCTCCCCCCTCCTGCAGGCACGGGGACGTTTGGTCGGGTCTTCCTGGTGAAGGACAAGAAGAGCAGAAACTTTTTCGCCCTGAAGCAGATGAAGATCCCTGATGTGATCCGACTGAAGCAGGAGCAGCACGTCCACAACGAGAAGGAGGTGCTGACGGAGGTCAATCACCCTTTCCTCATACGACTGTGAGTCTCCCTTTTAAAGTCTCTTTGTCATTTCAGGGTCCCTGAACCTTCACGCACTTCTTCCAGGTGGTTTTTGTTAGTAGTTTCTGCAGAAGCGTAAATTCACCTTGCCTGCCAACCTTTCTGCCTTTAATCTGATTGAATATTCACCTTTTTGTCACCGTCTCACAAGATCTCACAAAATGAAATAAATCCCAGTTTAATTCTGTGAGGAATCTCCATAATATTTTAAATTTCCCTGCTGATATAAATCCAATATCGCTCCAGGAGATAAGGAGCAGAGTCTCATACTAGGACACCTCAGGCCAGTCACACTCAGCTCACTCTGCTTTAATAAGACTTCAGAATACCTCTGTCCTCTAAGCTTCATCTTTACTCATCCCTGAGCAAATTACTTCCTGTTTACAAATTTGAAAAACAATTTCCTAAAGCCCCCCCACTGATGCTTCAGGGAAGACGCTGTCAGGATCTGATCTATTTTTGATTTAATACGTGCAAAATCCTTGTAGATATTTATGTTTTTACCCAGAAAGCTTCTTAATATGAAATGCTGCTTTTTTCAGGGTATTTACCTGTGTGCATGATTGACTGACAGCTCATTATTCCACCTGCTAAATCAAGAAAACTGTGAAAAACAATGTGAGGACTTTTATAGTCGAAGAAATGAAGAAAGCCTGAAAGTAAAATCTGGAGTCTAAATTAGAGGTGTCCTGATACATCTTCTTGACTTCCGATACGATACCGACATTGTAGCCTTCAATAATGACCGATACCGATATTGATGCAATGTTGGCAGCTTTCAAGTCTACACCCATTACTCGATAGCTGCGTTTACATGGATACAAATAATCAAAACAAAAAATGCATCTTCCGCTCAATCATAAAGAAATTGTATTCCGATTGAGAGAGGTGGTTTACGCCAATCATTATTGCGAAACCTGTCTATGTAAACACTTATTCTGTTCGTGATTCCATTCGTGTGCCCGATATCGTAACGCATTTCTGCCGTTTGCGACAAAACTTAAACATGGCAGCATCCAATTGGTAGGGTTGGGTATCATTTGATTTTGAACGATTCCGATTACAATTCCTCGTTTCGATTCCGATTCCTATCGATTATTTTTCAATTCCTATTTCAATTCTTTAAAAGGCAGGACATTAAAAAAAATGCATGGTTTAAATGAGGGCGCTAACCGGAGTGCTTCCTTTTTTTGATTTTTTTGATTTTTTTTATTTCTGAACTTCTCCATGAATTTTTAAATCATATTAACTTTTTAAGAACTCTATTATGAATTTCTCACAGGGCTATTTTCAACCAATACATAAATATCATTTTTTGTTGTCAGGTCATTTATCTATGAAAACGTACAAGGGCTAATGTTAGTTGGATATTCAAGTTGACCCACCGTGCACAGTGCAATTTATTTACCGCTTGAAAGTTAGCAGAGGACAGAAGTAATTTATTGTTTCACTGATCTAATTCTGACTGGTTAGCTGAAGACCGGTGTTGTGCCGTAGAATGTATCCCCTCCATTCTTTAGCTACTTAAAGTGGAAGAAAATGATCTCATATTTTAAAAAAAAACATGAGTATTAGATCATGACAACATGTCAAATGGAGCAGCAAACTTTCGTTTTGTTTTTATGTGTCTCAAAAATGCACACATAGAGGTGTACTTGGGTATATAAACTCTACAGTAAGCTGTGAAGGTAGAGAACATTATATTTTCGGGACAGCAAATATTCAGAATCAGAGGGCTGTTGTTTTCGGCTTATCTGAATAGTCTGAATAGAATCATTAAAGGCACACGCTTTAGATTCCGTCCAACAGTAAGGAAAACTTAGATTGTTTCACCTTGTTAAGTACTTCCAACCACGCTCCCGTCAGGGGTGCAATCTACGGCAGGGGTGCATTCTATGGCACAACACCAGCGAAGCACATCAAAGACGGGGCACTCAGGTATTTCTCCTCTATGAATCCTGAGGTGTTTAATGAATTGTTAGTCCCGGTCCCCATCGATGCTCGATTCTCGATACCCAACCCTACCAATTGGTCTGTGTCTGACACAACTTTATTGCTGGATTCGGTCTCCTCGTGTAACACAGGATTAGTATGTGCTAGGTGATGATGATCATGTATGCTAGGAGCAATACAACCAGTCTCAGAACCTGGCCCAGCAGCACATGCGTCAATTCAACTCTTCTTCTTTGGATAATTAGACAACTCTGTGCATGTCCAAATGCTTCTAATCTAAATAAAGCTTGGTGCAGGTATACGCATGTCATGATCGGATTATTTGATTTTACACCCATTAAAACAGTGGATTCAGATTTTCTGATTCTGAAATTTTGCACATGTAAACTAAAGTCTTCAGAAATACTGCCTTATCAAATCCACACAGTCTACATGGAGATGAAAGACTTTTGCTTTCACCATTGCCCATTTACAAACCACCCACAGAAGAAAGAAGATGAAATAAGAATTCGGAAGTTTGAAGAAATTTGGCCTCAAGATGAAAAAAACATTTCTTCTTTGGTGGTTTGTAGAATATGCACCAAAAAAAGAAGAAAGCTTTTAAAATGAAGGTGTTTATTTGGTGTAAATAAATGTGCTTCTCCTGTGTCAGTCAGCGTTTGTTGTGCTGTGCTAAACTGGTTTGAACTTCTTCATGTGAATCCAAAAACATTTTTGAAATTTGATTCCAAAAAGTTGCACCTGCTGAAGCTTTTACAATTCATTCAGGATGGTTTTTGATTAAATAGGGGGAAAGAATCTTTGTAAATGCAAACAAAATCATTAAAGATAAGCAAGTTAGGTACTGCTATTTTTCCTCAGTTCATGCTGAGATTGTCTCACAAGTATCCTTCTCTCATATGTATCACAGAAAAACAGACTATCATCCTTCTAGATGAGCAGCTTTGCAGCACAAACGAATCAACCAGAATCTATGTTGGTTTTTTCTGTGGTTGTTTTTAAGATGATCATTATAGTATTCTCTAACGCCCATCTATGCAAGCTGTTCAACTTGAGCGAGAATCCTGTTGAAGTCAAAAATTGAAATCACTGATGACCGCATTTGAACACTTTGTTCTGCAAAAATACAAAAATCAGACACGTTTTTGAATCTGATTTTAATAAACACCAAACGTTTTAATCCAAAACATTTTAAAAAGCAGAAACATATTTCTCAGCACTACCAAAGTGATTTGGACCCAGAATTTTTTGGGTTTGTCGATTGGTTTTTCACATATTTTTACAAGTTGAGTGCAAAACAGCTCCAATGGTTTCATGAGAGATAAGGATACAGTGCTGCATTTGTGTTTTTGCTGTATAAGATGGCATTTCTGGGTGTTGATTCAGCTGCTTTTTATGCCTTAAGTCTGCAAAAACTGGAGTTTGGCATGTTTTGTTAAAGATCTGACTATACTGCATGGTTTTCATTTAGGATCAGTGCAACCACAGTAATGAAAAGGTTGAGTGTTGTTGCAAACACAGCTGAATCAATACATTTTAGATTTATGTTTAGAATAACCACAGAGTTTGCATCGTCTGATAGTCTTCTGCAGACATTTCTATGATTTCAGAAGGTCTTAGAGACTTTAAAGTGCTATATAAAAACGCATAAGTCATATGAGTTGCTCCCTAACCTTAAAGAGCCTGTAAACAAGACAGTGAACTAAATCAATCCTCCCTGCAGCACTGTGTATTTGGGAATAAGAATAATTTCAGATTGAGCAGCAGAAAGAGAAAAGGCAGGAGGATGTGTGCAGATAAAGCAGCAGTGGAGCCCAGAGCCAGTAATCGTCCTTCTGGCCTGCAGCCAGCACTTATGGGAAACACTGGAGCCTCCTCCATCTTCATCAGTGACACAGTCTCTTGTTTTTATTCCTCTCGAGTGCCCTTACAGCTCAAATCACTGCTGCACACGAATCCAAACCTCAGCAGGAGATAAAAGGGTGTGAGAGTGATGCAGCTGCTCATTTTATCTGATTTCAACGAGTCATCGGACACTACTTTAACACTCTAATCCTTCACTGAAACTGCAAACAACAGTATGATGTTCAACATTTGAGAAAAGGACTTTTGACTCAACTGCATCATCTTTGTTGTCTTTTTGTAGCCATGACTTTAACCCCAGGCTGTTGGGGAGAAAAGTTCACCCACAGGTGTACATAAAGGTGTTCCCCAAGGTTCTGTTTTGGGGCCATTATTATTAAGCTGCTTTGCTAAGATAGTCCGAATTTTGTGTATCTAGACCGATGACATTGTGATTTACATCACTATTCACCTATTCAAGCTACTATTTGATCAACTACAGCTTGTTATGAGTGCGACTGAAGTAACAGACTGATTCTCGCTTCCCAGGACTTTGTGAGAAAACTACCAAAAAATGGTCTCAAAATTAAGTCGTAAATGAATTTAGTCAATACCAAAGTTATCCTAATTTGCATAAACAGTTTTCCAAGGTTTAGCTTAGTTTTTTGCTGATGAAACTGTGATTTTACTACGTTGCATTTCTCTTTGCAGGAGCTTTTGCAAATCTTCTTTTTTAACCCTGTTTTTTGCATATTTTTTAGTCCCACTTTGACAAAAATCTGAACCGAGGCTATTAAGTTGGAGGATGTTACCACTGCGGTACTTGTGAAATTGAAATGATTGAAATTGGATTATTGGTTTGAACTTATGGAAAATACAAAGTTAACGACAGTGAGTCACTCATACATTTTCGAAGTTAAACCGAATATTATTCTACGCATTTTATTTCTGAAAATATTTGTGGCAATCAGCGAGTTTTGGCAGGTTACTGATTACTCTCAAACGGGCTAAAATTTGCCGATTTAATTGGCTCGCCGATAAATCGGGCCGTACTTATTAGCACACCAGGCCAGCAGACAGCATCGTTATCTAAACCTGAACATTGGCTCAGTCAACTCCAATAAATTCATACAATGAAGTTTTCAAAAAAGGAAGTTGGTTGGACAAGATGAGTTGTGATGAATAGGAGTTTTCTGTTCTTTCTTTTCAACCTTTAGATTTCCTTAAATTAGCCTAAAAAGGTTATTCTTTCATCTTTTTCAATTTCTACGCTGATAATGCTTTCATTTACTTCTTTGTTCTCGGTTCTGTTGAAGCTCTCCAAATCTGTTGCGCAAGCAGTACATCATCTGGTTGATTTACTTCTACGCCGATGAGACTTTGATCATTGCTTTGAGTCTAATCCTGCTCCTACAAATGTTTATCGTGAATATTTTAGAGTAAACCATATTTTTTAAAATTGGTATCAACTTTAAGAAAAGTGTGTTTTCTCATGATGACAAGGATCCAAGGACGGCACAGCTAGCATTAGCAGTTTAGCTACAACTAGCGGTGCAGCCACCAGACCAAAGCAGCAATCAGTTGTATTATCTTTGTTTACATCATCTAATGTTGACATTTTAAGGCATCTTTATTATCCCTGAGGTGGCGATTTGTTTATTTTGGGTCTTGCATACCTGCAAAAACACTTAAGACTGTAAACTAGTTCACTGTATTATCTAAATTTATTGTACTCTTGAGTTGAAATGTTTTTTTATATTTGTCTAAGTGTATCTTATTCAATTTGCTTTTTTATTTACTTTGCATGTGAATAAAATGTTGAACTAATCTCTAGTTTCTTTAGTTTTTAGTACAGATGCTTTAAAACTTGCAGTTTAAAAAAAAATCGTAACAATAATTTTGATCGGACGATACAACAAAATATATCGTGATCATTTTTTTGCCAAATCGCCCAGGCCTACCTTGACTTAAGTTGTTATCTTTTTTTATGTATTAGCTTATTTCAGGATCATGTCCACCTACAGATCCTCCTTATCAAACTTGGTAGAATAGGAAAGTAAAAGTCTTCTAGAAATTTTAACAACCCATTGTCTCACAATTCAGTGCTTAACTTGCTTTTAACTAGCTTTTCTGCAGTTTTTGTCGGGGACCATCTTTAGATTGATCTGAAACTAAAAACCTCGGTCACTACGTATGTCTTTAAATCTACCGTGTCCAGGCTGTCTTTGTTTCAGTGGGTCATTTTAAGACTTTAATTCGGGCTCGAGCCGAGAGCGCAGCTCTGCGGCAAAGCCCTATTGTAATCCAAAGGGTTCCCGATTATTATTATTATTATTTTACGGCGTCTGAAAGCACAAATTTGACGCCCTGAACGACCTCGAAATCTCACAAAAATTTGCAGGCAGGTCAGGCCTGGCGAAAATCGCAATGTTTTACAGTGACCCATAAAAAACGATTAAAAAATGGCTCGCTAGCGCCCCCTACAAAGCGCCATGAACATTGACTTTTTCCAATCTGCCTGAAATTTTACAGGCACGTGTAACCCAACAAGATCTTTGATTTTGCTTGCTTGGACTTTTTTCTCGGACGCATGGTTAAAGAGTTATTCCAGTGTTTTTGGCCCATTTTTACCATTTTCATATGTTTTATTTTGACCATAGCGCTTCTGTTTGAATAAAGAAGAAAAACCAGAATAAATAAAGCTGAAATTAAAAAAGCAGTTTTGTTTTCCAGGTTTTGGACACACCACGATGAGCGCTTCCTCTATATGCTCATGGACTACGTGCCAGGCGGCGAGCTCTTCAGCTACCTGCGCAGCCGCGGTCGTTTCAGCAACGCCACCGGCCTCTTCTACACCTCTGAGATCGTCTGCGCCATCGAGTACCTGCACTCCAAAGAAATCGTCTACCGAGACCTGAAGCCCGAGAACATCCTGCTGGACGGGGAGGGACACATTCGCCTGACGGACTTCGGCTTCGCTAAGAAGCTCTCTGACAGGTGACGGAAATGATAACACGATCCAATCAAGTGCAGAGTGATTTATAAAGAGGTTAAAGAAATCAAAGTGACAGAGAGTGGACTGAAAGTGAGAAAAGAGAGATAGAAAGAGCCCTAAAAATCAGTGAATAAATCTTCTGTGAACATGGAGTTTAAGAAGGGATTTAAGAGATGATATTGATTTTCAGTCGGAGCTCAGACAGCTCAGTCTGCAGACGGAGAGGCCGGAGTGAGAAGACATTGTCGGCTGCAGATTGAATCCAGACATCTTTTTATGCAGGAGTCTGAGCTGGCCTTTTCTTTTTATGTTCAAGGAGCGAAAAACAAGAACGATTTAATTAAAATGTAGAGTTGAACGAAGATAATAGCAGCAGTTTAATGGTTTCTATTAGAGCTACAAAGATGAACCAATTAGTAAAACACTCAACATTCTCAGTTTTTCACTTTTAGGAATATTTGAAAAATAAAAAAAACATGTTACCCTCTCAGATTGTTTAGTTTGGACCAATCAGAGTTAATTAATGGGTAAAAACAAAACGTGCTTATAAACCCTGACAACTTATCAACTTTTTAATGAAAGGAATATTTTAGTATTTTTGAAGGGAAGTTGTACGAGTTACATGCAACTAGTTTGTGGATGCAGGGCTCGACAGTGCGACCATTTCACTTGCATTTGCGACTAAAAATAGATGTGTGCGAATTTTTAAAATGTATTTAGGGGCACATGTGCGCATTAAAAAAAAATCAGCCGCGGCATCAAATGTTTTTTACTATAAATACCGCAGTGAAGTTAGTTTTAGGTTGGATATCCGACAGACATTCACAGCAGATCTACCGGTGTATTCTCACTCTTCATAATGCCAGCAGCAGCGCGATTAAATCTACTCTGCACCCTCGCTGTCAGAGTCGGGTGTTAAATAAGGGACCATCAATAAATAACAGGTTGATGTTCTCAAAAAAGGCTGTTTTCCTTCAATAGCTTCCATGTCATGTGACCAATTGACCTAAAATTGATTTCATATAATAGTGCCAAAGTTGACCAATAAGACACACATTATTTGATCAATTTTCATTGTGCCCCTTAAAGCTCAACTTAGTAGCACATTAGCTCCTTGCGAAAAAAAGTTAGTGTCAAGCCCTCGTATGTCAGACAAGGTCGACTGTGCCACCGCTAATTTATAGACTCTGATCCAAACACTCCTCTCTGTTTAAATGTATGCTCCATACTCATCAATTTTACTCTAACTTTGCCATCAGAAAAATTGTGTTTTTGCTCTATCTGCTGTGTTCAGAAAATAGTGTGGAACCAAATCGCCTTTCTGATGACACGGTGAATGTCAAATTTCTCAGTAAAACCGTGCACTCGAACCTGGATGTGTAAAGTTAGACGGATTATGTGTATGTAGAAAACTGTAGCCTAGTTTGCCTGCCAGCTCTCTCAGCAGTTTCTCTTTAAAGCTGACCGACATCCCCTGTGGCACTTGATTTTGATTTGCAACTCATTCAACCTCACTTTAAAAAGTGAAATATCCCTTTAAACCGAGAAATAATCACAGGTTACATATTATAACTGGGATTGTCAGAGGACGTCTGGTTTAATTGAGCTGGATTTGAAGTTTGGTGTGTAGATTCGCTCTCCTGTGAGAAGATTTTAGCTGGTTATGAAACAGACTGATACTAATATTGATGCCTGTCTTTGCAAAACCAACGAGACCCTCAGCGTAAAAATCGACTGTTTCTATAAAGGGACTTTTGATGCTGCTGCTGACAAAGCTGCAGAAAATGTTTTTTTACATCCTGCACAACAGAAACTCTCTCGCCCGACACAATTTATCCTGAAGGCAGAGTGAGATTTTAGCTCTAAATAAACATCTCTCACATACAAGATAAAATATCAAATAAAAGGCAGATTTTATCTCATGTATCTATGTGGATATTCTTGTTCTTCTGCAGCCAATTTGTGACAATAAACAGCAAAAGGAAAAGTCGATTGCAGGCAGATAACATTTTAACAGCTTGTCCTTGGTAAATTAAAGTTTCAGTACAAATCTTATAGAAGGTCAGAAAGATCCGTCTTTTAAGTCTAAACTTACACAAGCAGCCAAAAAGCGAATCAAAGTGCAGGACGACCTCCAGACTGCAACAAATCTTCGATGTGTTTCCCCTCAAAGTTCAATTCCCCGCTTTAATCAGGAATTTCCTCCAAATCCTCGGCGTGCACGCCGGGGATAAATCTTAGCGTGGCTCTGCCCGCGACAGTGAGTACAGTGTGAGTTCTGAAGAACACCGACAGCTGCTCTGACGCTCAATTTCTGCTGACAATCAATCAGACATCAAACAGAAGAGCTGCCAGCAGAGTCACAACTGTCATCAGACAGCACACGCATGAAGACTGCAGGAGGAGGTGACAGAGGAGGGGAAGTGTTCGGAAAATGCAGCAGGAATGCTTGACTGTGACCTGAGTCCCATAACTGTGCTAATAGACTCTATGAGTGTCAAGGTCCTTAAACACCGGGACTGTTTTTGTCGTGCGATTATTATGGACGTCAGTATTTTTTTCGAACCAATATCCTGTCAATACAATTGAAAATGACCTGGAGGACAACCTGTGGAGAGTCATAGCGTCAGATTTCTCATATGACGATGGTTTGTGCGCCTTAACAGTTTGCTAAACGTCTTTGTTTTAACTTTCATTTGTGCGTAAGCTAAACGTAAGCTAACAGTTGTTACCATAGTTTATCTGGTACTGGTCCCGACTCAGTACATGCTACCATGACAGAAAGCCATCTCAACACTAGTGTCTAGTGTCTAGTCCTCTGCCTCTTCAAACTTGGAGCTAATAGTTTCAGCAGAACTTCAAATTGTCCAACGGGTGTTTGCAGGTCAGGGTTTGGTACTGAAATGAAAAGCGTGATGCATGTTTTGTTGAACCTGTAGGGGGTCACCAGTCCAAACAGGTGATGTGCACACTGGAATAAGTCCTGGAGGATGTTTTGTGTTGTCTGTGGGAATCAGAGGATGTGGTCCAGTGCAGGTAGCTGTTGGTCAGTGGCTTCACGTGCCGCCTTTGTGATTCTCTGCAGGTACTTTTTATCCGCTGCAGAGCTGCTGCCATACCTCAGCCGGATGCCGTGTGTGAGGGCGCTGCCGTGAGTTCGGTATTTATGACGTGAGGTTGTGTGAGGTACTCATCAAGAGTTAGTGTATTACTCACAGGTTATCCAGTCAGACCGGCCTCTTTGTCTAAAAACAGTCTGGAGAACAAGAACAGAAGCCAGAATATCAACCTCTGCAGATGGGGTCTGCTCAACCGCTTCATTTAGATCATTTCAACAAACTAAAACCAAAGTGTCAGTGTTTTATCTAATATCTTTATGACTTATCTCTTTGGGGTTACAAGAGGGGCTGGATCTCAGAGTTAAACAACTAGTCATAAACAAACTCACACCTACAGGCAAGTAAGAGTGATGAATTAACCAAAGAGCATGTTTATGAACTGTGGGAGGAACCAGTTTGGCATGAGAGGAGAAACTCCACTTGCAAACTCCACACATAAAGGTTCTTGCACATGCTGGGATTTGAACCAGGAACCTTCTCTTTGTGTGGAACCACTGCACCACCATGCAGCCCTGTTTTTGAAGGTTATGGGCGTTTTATTTTGCAATAACTGTGTGATGAAGATAAAATGATTCATTTCATTTTTACAAGTCCTTTTAGATGACTAATTAGACTTCAGGTGCTTTGAGTTTATGTTGAAGATGTCTGCAGGGTCTTCAAAAATCATCAGTAAATTAATTAACAAATTTAGAGGCCTCCAGAAAATTTTAAAAGCTGTTTTTGTTATTTATTTGTCATGAGGTTTAGCTCTTAAATTAATGTTTTATTGCTTCTCAGTTTGAGTTATTTTCCTCCTGTCTATCAGTCATTGATCTACACTGGGTAACATCCTGATAAATCTAACATCTTCTGAAAAGGTCAAACTTTTCGCACACCCATGGATATGCCATTGATCCACAGAAGCATAATAAGCAGCAGGAGTATCACTCTGTGTGGGAAAAGGAAAAAATGTAAGATTATGATTGGCTGTCAGTGCAGTTAGGGGTACAGGGACCCTATAATCCGTGCAAATTTAACTTCTTTTAAAGTAAAACAAAAACAGAATAATGAGCATAAAAAAGCAGGACTGATATTGATTAATGGAAAACAACCTCAAGTGAACAGACACAAAAACATAATAGAGGCAGCGAGGAAAACAGGGCCCGACTGATATGGATTTTTTGGGGCTGATACCGATTATTAGGGGGAAAAAAATTCGATTACCAATTAATCGGCCAATTTTTAAAATTTTTTATAGGAAACATATCTCGAAATTTCTGACTGTAGATTCCATTTTTTACCCCACACAAACCCTGATCTTATAAACCTTAATGAGTCTGAACCAAAACATGTCACAAAACATGAACCGTCCCTTTAAATGCTTCATCTTTACTTTGCCAGTGCGTAAGTACAACGCGATGATGCACACATGAATGAGGTGTATGCTCAACAAATAGACATTCCTGCCGTGTTGTAAATAACTGAGTCACATTAATAGTATCTCTACCGTTGACTTTACAATCAGGGAGATGAGCGGTGACATAGTTTCTGTCCTGACCTTTGCAGAGTCACATCCTGTCTGTGAGGATTTCAAACCTGTTCTTCTGCATCATAGAAACTCTGAAACCAGAACAGCTCAGTGCAGTTTTCAAAGCAGGGCTGAATCTGCTGCAGGTGTAAAATAAGCTCCTGAAGCACCTCTCTGATGGTGGAATTGAGGTTGTGGGTCCATTTCTTTTCGAAAAAGTAATCTTATAATCTCACTTAGCAGCGATTGGAGAGCTGTGCAGAGGTGTGAAAGTTTCAAAGTTCTCTGAAAGCTCTGGCTCTCTGACTGCAGCTGAACCTCATTTATGTGGCCTATCGAGTCAAGACTGCAGAGACAGAAGAGAGAGCACACAGAGTGGGTAAAAGAGTGAGGGAGGAATAAAAGGACAATCCAAACGGAGGGGAAAGACGCGATGGAAGGAAAAGTTCATAGACTGGTTTGTTGATCTGCAAAACACATTATTTTCCTTTGTAATCAGCCTGTCCTTACAATTCCCAACATTTTAAATAATTCATGCAGTTACAGATCCATCTGTGCATTTTTATCCACTTATCTACCAAAGTGGACCAACCATCTCTCTCCCCAGTCTTGTTTTTATACCCCTACCTTCAGTAAACTCTGGTTTTACCAATTGATCTCCTTCCAGTTGGACATACCCTGAAAACCTCCAAATTAAGGCATCCTGAAGGTTACTAATCAGATGCTCAAACCCTTTCAGTTCCCTCCTTTCAATGCAAAGAAGTAGCAGCTCTATTTAACACTTGTCCCCGGATGAGGATGTAAATATTATGGATCGGAAATTCATTTTTCAAACTTGTCCCCAAATCCTGTTTATATGGAGTGTTGCAGCTGTAGCTATATAATCCTTTGACATCTTGACTCTGCAACACTAAAGCAAAACGACAGCATTGGAGGGAGGGCAATGTTAGAGGAGTGGGAGTGGCCTTGTATGCAAATGACTCCCTTCGTTATGTCACCAAAGGAGCAAATTAAAAGCTTCCCAATATGAGGTGGGCTCCAGCAAGAACTTTCTCACTTTTACTTTCTCAGGGTTGTTTATCTGGAGGATGACTTAAGTTCATATATAAAGTAGGGCCCGATTAAATCGGCCAGTTTTAGCCTGCTTGAGACTAATCGGTAATCGGCCAAAACTGGCTGATTTTCACTGATATTTTCAGAAAAAAATCACCATTTGAAGAGATCCCCCAACTTATCCTGTAGATGGCGCAGCGACCTCAGTTGAAACTACTTTTCTGGTCCGAGTTTGATCAGCCAGTCTTCCTGTCAGCGTGAGGAGCAGTAGCCTACAGTATATTATCTACAGTATACTGTAGATATCTACAGTATATATATAGATATTTTTATAACTTCATAAAAAAATTAAAAAATTGGCCGATTAATTGGTAATCAGATTTTTTTCCCCCCTAAACATCAGCATCGGCCCCAAACAATCCATATCGGTAGGGCCCTAATATTAAGTTTAAAAAAAGTGGGTTTTATTATCATACAGGACCTACGTAACCAACAGTAGTTTCAGCGATGACTTGCATGATTGATGTTTAGTCAACATTTAGTCGGCTAACTGCACACCTACCAGTCTGTATTTATACAAACAGAGCTTTTTTTTTTTGTTTAATCTATATTTTTATTGAAGTTTTTTGTTTTTACAACAGTACAAAACAACTGAAAATGAAAACAGGTCATCAGGGGAAATATAATACAGTTAGAGTGTCAGGGTATTAACATTAATAGTCCATCAGATATTCCAAATAGATGTGTGTTGAAAGTATGATCTTTACAAAATAATTACAGGTAGACCAATTATTGTACTTAAGTTAGTCACTAAATAGACATGAGGCCTAAACTAACCTTTGACCGATATCGACTGTATTTATCTAAACAGAGTCTTATACCAACAGTACTTAAGCACAGAGAGCTGCTGATCCACTGCTGCTGCCTGGATTGTTTTTTTTTTTTGTAAATTTTTGAACCTAAGCGAACAAATTTAAAGTCCAAAATCACCCAGTGTGGTGAAGGATCAGAGAAATGGAAGCTGACACTCCTGGGATCACGGAGTTAAACAGAGGACTTCTGAAACTTTGCTTTTCCCATGCTGGTCATTAATCCTCTAGAACGTGCAGAGCTGGAGCTCTGGTTGGAGCTCTGCTTATGTTCAGCTTGAGTTATTGAAAAATGCAACATAGTCCTCTGAGAGATTCCCCTATCAGTGCCTGTGAAGGACAAACTTGATGCTGTTGAGTGTGAATGAGACATAGTGACCTCTGCGAAATTGAAACGAGGAGGCGTCTTCCTCGCCGCTGTGGCGTGTGTGTCTGACCCCCGTTGAGGTGTAAACATCATGGAGGAAGATTACATTTCCTCTCTCAGCAGATGGGAGAGCGTCTCTCTGATGTGACTCACTTACTGAAATCCAGGCCAGCTGAACGAGAGGACCACCGCCTCACTGCCACCAGCTCTATTTATCTACCCTCCGTGTTGGGGATGCTGCCACAGCGCCCCCTGCTGGTCGATGCACTCACCGACACGTTCAAGTTCTTTGTGATGACACACGGCGCCCAGAGGAGCAACAACTCCTCTTCTTATTTCCCTCTCTTTCTCTCTTTCTCCCCCCTTCTCTCCGTCCTCCACCACATCATTTCCATACAAATTACTGTCACCATGGCAACTGGCCGAAAGAGGTCGTTACACAGGTGATATCGTTGACAGACGACGAGGAGAGGCTGGCACAGGGCCAAGTGCTCCTCACCGGAGGACGAGTGGCGTCCACAGAGAGAAGGAGAGGTGTCACTCTGCTGCACTGACAGACAAACAGACGACAAGCTGGAGGCGAATCAGCTGTTTCACACTTCCTGTTGACACCCATGTCCTCCCCTTCTTGTCCTGGACTTAGTTTTACCTGTAACACTCTGGCCCTGCAGTCACCTACAATGTTATTCATCTTCTTAGTTATTTTGTCCAAAATTAATGATTCAAACTTATCCACAAACTATTTTTGAAGGAAAATACATCTGAAAAACTTTCATACAGCTACATTAAACTGAAAGACAAACACACCTGATTCAAATGATCAGCTCGTTATCAAGCCATTGCAGAGCTTGATAACGAGCTGATCATTTGAATCAGGTGTGTTGGAGCAGGGAAACACCCAAAACATGCAGGACAGTGGACCTCGAGGACTGTACTTGAGAACCACTGCTCTAGAGAATAACATTCTTGACCTTTAAATTTTTTTGTAATAATTGCAAGTTTAATTTTTCTATGTGTACAAAAAATTCGATAATCGTGTGTAGATAATGGTTTATATCAGAGGTTAGCAAAGGTCCTATGTGCTTGTTTCTATCTGCAAAAAAAAGAGGAAAAACACAGAAGCTGCACTCCCAAAAGATTATTTTCGGTTGTGAATCCAAAAAAATGATACGGGAGGCGGGAGCTTGTCTTGTCTTCAGGCTGCAAAAACACTTAACAGTTATTCAGTCAAACTGTTCTTTTGAGTGTTTTTATTCAGCTCCACAACTTTCAATCCAACAGAAGTAGCAGAAGTAAACTTTATTTTCTCACAGTAAAGGGAATAAAACAGCCTGAACGCCAGATGGTAAAAATGTGAGTTTAAAATATTTTTATGTGGTCAGCCCTGTGATTGGTTGATTTGTTCTGGTGTAACCCTGCCTGCCAACCAGTGACTCCTGGGATTCGTAGTAGAGACTAGGAATGAGCATTTTAAGAAAGTCCCTTGATCGTTAATCATATAAGTTAATCGATTTAATGGAAAATACACCGCCACCAAACTGTTGTTCAGAGAGCTCGTCGCGCTACACGCTACCATAATAATTGTTTTTTTTTCTCATTCATGAAACGCTAAAATCAGGGACATTTCTGGGAGGAACTTTAGCCAGGGACAGGTCATCCAAAACGGGGAATGTCCCCCGAAATTGGGATGTCTGGTCACCCTACAGTTCCTCCTTGCTAGCCAGGAGCTGGTGGTAGGTTGAGACTGAGAGCACTCTTGGATTCATTATAATAATAATAATAATAATAATAATGCATCAGATTTCATATACCGCTTTATCAGAGACCCTCAAAGCGTTTTACATTGGATACATCATTCATTCGCTCACACAGTCACACTTTGGTGGTGGGAAACTACCTTAGTAGTCACAGCCAACCTTCCAGTTATTGGACGACCGCTCTACCTCCTGAGCTACTGCCGCCCACATTATCCTCAGTTGAGTGTTTTTGGTTCAAGTGATTCATCACTTGGGTCGTTGTTGTGTTATACTTGTACGCGGCATCACAGCGTTTTCAGCAAACCTCATCATTTTTCCGCTCGAAATGATCCCACACCACACTTCGTCCTGCTTTAATGTTTTTTTTTTTTACTTCCACAGAAGCCCACTGATGCTGTATAACTCCCCTTGTAAAATGTCAAAATCCTTCACACGGTGATAGACACTGCATTGCTTCAACACAAACGCACACAGACTGGACAGAAGGGGGTATCCCTCCTGATCAGAAGAGGCTGATCTTTGCTGGAAAACAGCTGGAGGATGGGCGCACGCTGCCAGCCCTTTTTTGATTATGTTACGTTGATCAAAACTTTGCGTAATTGACATAATTCTTAGCGATCAATTACTCGATCATCGATTAATCATGCCCATTCCTAGTAGAGACAATCAGCAGCTAGATCCAGTAAAATAATTTGGTTTGCAGTAGGGCCTGACCGATATGGATTTTTTGGGGGGCCAATACCGACATTTAGGGGAGAAAAAAATCAGATTACCAATTAATCTGACAATTTTTAAAAAATTTTTATGAAGATATAATATATATATATATGTATACTGTAGGTATACTGTAGGCTACTGCTCTTCACGCCGACAGCAAGACCAACTGATCAAACTCAGACCAGAAAAGCGTTTTCAACTACATGGTGATTCACTGTTAACTCGGCGTGACTGAGACCAGCACAGCGGGGAACATCGTGAAGTGGGTTGAACTGAAACTCGTTGACTTATTGTTTATTTCACAAACTGGTTTATTTACCGTTGAGGAGGACCACTCTCCTCTGTGCGTCCCTGAGCTGCCTGCTTCAGATCTGTCACTCTGCTGTGCTGTGAGGTAGTTAGTGGAAGAAGATTGTCATGAGGTCGCTGCGCCATCTACAGGATAAGTTGGGGAACTTTTTAAATGGTGGAACATTTTCGAAGTGAAACCGGATCTTGTTCTCCGCATTTTATCTCTGAAAATATCGGCGAAAATCGTCAAGTTTTGGCCGATTACCAATAAATCTCAAACTGGCTAAAACTGGCCGATTTAAGTGGCTCGTCGATAAATCGGTCGGGCCCTAGTTTGCAGTTTATATTTTGTTTGATTGAATAGTCATGATGACCTCAAAGGTGACCTGCAAACTGACTGACCCTGCACACCTGTTCTCCTGTTACCATGCAGAGTATCATGAAGATGACACAGGTGTGTAAGCTCAGGTGACGGGTGCAGATCACTTTACATCAGGGGCAATTCTTCCTCCTGCAAACAGGAGTCTGTTTTCCTGCAGAGTGTGCTCATACCTTTGTGTTTGCAGAGCGTGCAGAGGCTATCAGATGTCACAGTGTAGCGGACTAAACACGCTGATAATGCAGAATCTACTCAAGCACGACACATATTAAGACAGGAGCGAGACTGTTTGATCAACCTTTAACCCCATGACGCACTCTCTGTTCTGAGATATTTACACACCAAACTGTTGATTTGCTGCAGGAGAAAATCAACTGAAGCTGCTGTGAGTTAATCAGCTGGTGGATCAATAGGAAATAAGTCCACTAAATACTTGTTAAGTTTTGTTTACAATGGTTTTAATCAAAGACAGGAGGCTGACGCTCACACTGAAAATTACTTCTACAAAATGTTTAATTTTGTGTTGTGCTAAATAGCTGTTAATTTCAAGCTAACTTTAATTGTTGTTGATCTATCGGCTGATTATTTTCTCGATAAATTAGCTTTGTTTATTGCAAAGGCAGGAAAATAACTCTACAATCAAAACTCTCTAAATGAGCTTCAGTTTGTCGGCTATTTAATTTAATGTGGAAGCTGTTTCATTTCAAGTCAAATCACCTCCTAGTGTTTGGAGACTACATTCACTCCGTTCCTGTCTGGGCTCAAAAAAAAGTCTGAAAAAGGTGGAAAATGTTTGCACAAGATTATGTCTGTGAGTGTTTTCAAAAGGCAGATATTTTCTTTTGCTTTTTGAGAAGAGTGAAGAAACCTGAAAATCAACATAAATACTGAGCGAAAGAAACAGGATTCAAGCTGAACTCTGCTTTAAAAAATGGAAAGTAGTCTTTGGAAACAGAACTGAACTCTTGCTCTCAGAGTAAAGAACTTTTTCAACCTCTTCTGTATTTTAACGCCTCCTCTTCTCTGTCTGTCCAGGACCTGGACTCTGTGCGGGACTCCGGAGTATTTGGCCCCTGAAGTCATCCAAAGTAAAGGTCATGGCCGAGCTGTGGACTGGTGGGCTCTGGGGATCCTGGTCTTTGAGATGCTGGCCGGGTAAGAGCTGCAGAGATCAGAATACACTGATCAAGCAAGCGTTTTGAACTGCGGTTTTTACATCAGCTCCCTTTAAACACTCACATTATTAAAACTACAAGAGCCAAAGACTTCAATCTCTTTGCATCAGAGGGCAAAGACTTGAGGCTGTACTGTCATCACACTTTTACATCAGCTGAAGCATTTTCATATTCTCTCACTCAGGGTTTAAGAGAAGGAGAAATGAGCAGGTGGAAACAGTTTGCAGCAGAGAAACTGCACAGTCCTGTTTGAGCCGTTATAAAAGAACTATTTTTATTTTTATACAGATATATGAATCTTTTACATGTGATCATATCATGGTGGAAGTTGCAGATCACATTATTAAACACTGTAACCTGTGGCAGATTTAAGGTCCTTACACACCAGGGCCAACACGTATATAGAACACGAAATTACGAAATATTTGGACACGAATTTTGACGCGCCTGACTATACACATCAAGCCCGATGCGATTTTGCGACTTTCCGGGGGGGGGAAAGACGCATCCCGCCTCCTTCCACTCTGATGGGCTAGAAAAGCTGAAAACATCATTACACGCTCAAGCCAAATGGTCAGCAGTGATAGCCAATCAGAGGCGAAGGAGGGCGGGACCTTCCCTTAACAACCAGCAAAGCGAGAGGACAAAAAATGGAGTCTACTTTAACTTCAAGTGATGGCGAATTGGTACTCCTTTTGCTTTCTCAAAAGAAAAAGAAACGTAGCACATGGGTGCATCAAATATTACAAAAAAGAAGAGAACCATTTGGAACCGGTTCTCAACAAGAACCGGTTCTCGATTCCAACCCCTAGTGAAGAAACTGATGTCTCGATGGGGATCCAAATAAATGATTTTTGGAAGCTACACCCGTGATTACAATGAAACACTGAAGCAGAGGGCGCTCCAGAGGGCTTTAGCCCAATTTCATCTCTGGCCATAGGAAGTAGATGCTTTTAAAATAGATTTTAAAATTAAAGTCATAACAGAAAGAGCATCATTTATAAATCCTGCATATTTGCGACTGCTGGAAATGACGATGACACTCACAAAGAAACAAAAAAAAAAAAATTAATATTTTTAAAAAATGGTCAGGAATTAAAATATTTTCATTGTTCCTGTTTTTAGATTTTTTTGGGATCCTTGTATATTGTGTGATTATTCTGCAAGATCTCATAAATGAGGATTGGTTTAGAGCAGTGGTTCTCAAGTCCAGTTCCCTGCTCCAACACACCTGATTCAAATGATCAGCTCGTTAGTAAGCCATTACAGAGCTTGATAACGAGCTGATCATTTGAATCAGGTGTGTTGGAGCAGAAAAACATCCAAAACATGCAGGACAGTGGGCCTCGAGGTTTGGACTTGAGAACCACTGGTTTCGAGCCCTCTTTAAACACCTTTAACATGTATAATAGTATATAACTGACTGACATTTCCTCTCAGTTTACATTGTGCAGATAATAGGGATGAAAACTATTTAAAAACACTCCCAAACATGACTTCACCTCAAGCATAAATAGAAAGGTAGGCACAGAAGGACTCATTGCTACTGCAGGGTTAACCACTAGAGGGCATTGTCTTCCAGCAGAGCAGCCCAGCCCATCTGAGAGAGAAAGACAGTTTATTCTGAATATTCTGGTGTATCTGGAGGTGAGCAGGGAAGGATTTGAGAGTCTGACAGACGGATCAGGGAAGCAATTCTCATATTGGGTTTTAAATCTCACACAGACGCACAAATCAACACACAGACAGTGAAATCTCAGAGTTGCTCTCCACGTGTTTGGAATAGTTGAAGTTTTACTCTCTGAAATAAAGACAAATAACCCGCACATTCATGATGCAACCCACCATACAGTCCTGAGAGTAAAAGTAGAGGAATCTATCTATTAATGGAGCTGCTGTTTTGTCTCAATGTGGGAAATCTTTTCATTGTGTGCTTATTGGATTCTGCAGAGCTGCGACAAATTAAGGAGTGAATGAGAGTCATTGTAGTGGGTGAGGAACAATGACGTGGATCCCCTCTGGAAAGGTTTATTTATTCCAACGCTCCCCCATCAGTCACAGTGAATGATAATCACGTGCGTGTCTGATCAGTATTCAGCGCGAGTCTGAGGACTGAGATTGACTGAGGCGGGTGTTTAATGTTTCAGGGAGACAACAGGTGGGAATCAATAACACAGCAGGTAATTAAGCAAAACAGAGGAGCCGCACAGCCCCAAACTCAATGTAGAAAAGAGAATTTTCAGGCAATATTCAGGAACTTTTATCATCATGTTGAACCCTTTTCACTCTGCAAATTCGAGTTAAAAACTGAAATCGGAGTGTTTAAAGGGGTCAGGTCAGGCAAAGTCTGAAAGGAAGAGACATTTGCACGCTGAAGACGCCGGTGCCTACGCAGAGGAAATGTTGATTTGAAGGTCTAGCTTTTCAGAAATCTGAAAATATCACAGCCTCTGAATGTCTGTAATCTATTTGGATACACCCATCGGCTGCTCGTGCACAGGATGTTCAGCTCGGTGAACAACATGCAGGGTAACTCTGCACTGAAAAGCAAAAAAAGCAGGAGGACAACAATTTGGATTCAATTGCAGTGACGTTGAGCATGTTCAAAACTTGGTGACAAGACAACGTGTACTGACACCTGAGACGTGCTGCTACCTTTGCAGTGTGGAAGAACACCTTTGCAAAGTTTACAGGCGTACTATATTGACCCAAATATAAGACGACCCAGATTATGAGACAGGTAATCTGCTTCCTTAAACAAATGTTGAAAAACCAAACTTATTTTTATGAGGCAGCAGTAGGGCTGCACGATTAATCGATTTTAAATCGTAATTGGATTTTTTGATTATGACAATGTTAAAAAAAATTGTAATCGGCAAATTGATTTTCCTCTCTATCATGTCTCGTGCCTTTGGGCCACCGTAGGCTCCCTGCGGGAGCACTCTCCAGTTCCCACACACTCCGGTGTAAACAAAAATGGCGTTTGCAAAAGAAGGCAATAATTTTGTGGCAAGTCAGTCGTGTGGAATTGGTAAGGCATCGCAGTTTCAGATGAAGAGCTAACCACTCCCCGCTGCAAAGTCTGTTTAAACGCAGTATCAACCCATCCACACAGTAACAAATTCAGGAGTAAACGCATATGATTTTTGTTCTATTGCTTTTTATACACATGCTCTGTACTCTTCTTCCATCTTTTGTGCACTTCCTGGGCAGCGTTACAGCACCACTTACTGGCTTGGCATATTCACTACATCATTTTGAGTGGTTTAGTTTTAAGAAATGATAGAAAAACTTATTATTTAAGTAAAGTTTGATGAAGTTGTCACTGAATGAAAAACTGAAATCAAAAATCAAGTTTTCAGAGAAAGAAATTGCATTTTATTTTTGGCCATAATCCCGCTGCCCTAGACAGCAGGCTTAATTGAGATAATTAACCGAACTGAAGTAATTTTTACCATCTCTTAAATGAAATCATAATTAGAGTGAAATCAAATGACAGTGACAGCATTAAATGATTTAGAAAGTGATCACCTGTGGAAATGAAGCACTCATGTATTGTTGCACAGAGAACCACTGACTCTAGAATAAGATGAGTTCAGTGAAGATAAAAAAAAAAATCATTTCTTGCAAGCAACAGTCAGATTTGATAGGATGGATCCTTTTTTGAGAGATCCCTGACCTCCTGCGTTTTTACGTGGAATGACAAAGCCTCCCTCAGCTTCATGTGCAGACATGAAAGCCAAGTCAGGATCAACAGCAGCAAAGACAGGCCAAAATTTTAAACAGATTTATTGGACAACTGACATTCGCCTTCACCAGCTTGGTCAACCAGGAGAGTTCCCAAATACTATGGCCCGACCGATATGTTTTTTTGGGGGCTGATGCCGATACAGATTATTAGGGGGGAAAAAATTCGGACCAGAAAAGCGTTTTCAACTACCCATCACCCGTCAGATCCATCACTCTGCTGTGCTGTGAGGTAGTTAGTGGATGAAGAATGTCATGAGGTCGCTGCGCCATCTACAGGATAAGTCGGGGAACTTTTCAAATGGCGGAACATTTTCAAAGTGAAACTGAATCTTATTCTCTGCATTTTATTTCAGAAAATATCTGCGGAAATGGGCGAGTTTTGGACGATTACCGATTGCTTAGAGCTGCAGAACCACATGCAGATTCCATTTTAATATCCCCACTGTTCTCTGACAGGTGCAGAAATTTAGTAAAGGGGCATGAACATTTTGCTGAAAACAAAGAAATTTGGTTGATATATCTGATAAAAATGGACTTGTGGAAAAATCGCCCATTAAATTCTGATGATTTAGTCGTCTGATTTTGGTCGAACCTTCCTGCTTTGGTGCGAAGTGTCTTCCTCCAGTCGTCCTTAAAGGTCAGCAGTGTGCCAGCTGACTCCCCCTGCATCCATCTTCTTTATATCCTGCTACAAAAAGCCACGGATTTGAATTAGTGGAAGGAATGTGACCTTCTCCCAGCATTCATCGGGGCTGACTTTGAAGTGTTAGAGTCCTGGCAGAGAGAGAGGGAGACGAGTCCAGGGAGGGAGGGGGGGCTACTGTACTGTACGACCCCCCCCGCCCCCTTCCAGACAAAGAGCTCTCTTCATCTCCACTATTGTATTCATCATAGGGTCTGGACCAAGAGTGGAGCAGCTGCTTCTTAAAAGTTCGATCATCCTCCTCCTGGGTGAAGTTGGGAAAACATTCAGGGAGGGGTCAGCGCCCCCTGAAGGGAGGAAGAGGAGAGAGAAGGGGAGGAAAAGAACCAGTCTTCTCTTCATAATCCTTCCTCCAGGGCCAGATTTCTGCCTCTAATGGAAACCAATCCTCCTGTATATGAGCTGAAAATCTGCCTCCTGTATTTATTTTTACCCTCTAACAAGATATCCAGCTGCAGCCGGTCCACTCCTCTCTGCCTCCGGGTCACTTTTATGCTGATTAATGAAAGAAGTTGCATCAAAACGTATTTTAAACCCCACTTTGGTATTTTTAATCAAAGCGTGTCAGTTCCCGAGCTCGATTTTCTGCACTGACGCTGTGAAAATGAAGCTGACCTCCTTCCCTCTGGCTCCCCGGTCAGTCCTCGTCCACCGCGGCTCAGCGGAGTGACAGGCTGATGATTAAAGATGGAGATCCTAAAGGAGAGACTCAGTCCTATTACAGCAGCCTGTCACCTAGACGTCCAGGAATCTTGGAGCTGGAGGAGTTCAGAATTAGATCACACAGTTTCACTGTGGGACGCCTTCCTCTGAAATCTGTGAGAACTTTTAAATTAATCTCCCCAAAGACAGAAAACGGGAACACATGTTGAAACCTGTGAGCTGCTTCAAGAGGCTGCAGTGGTCAAAAAGAAAACTCTATTTAAAAGAAAAAATGACCCATAGATCATTAAAACACTCTTTGAGTGTGTTTGGATGGAACACAAACACTTCCTCCCCCATAAATGCTTTCTGGATGACTTTTTCTGCTGCCTCGACCAGTGTCCAGTTTAGGGACCTTCAGGCATAGATCAGTACTAAGATTGGCCTGATAGACCCAAACCACCAGAATTCTGTAACAGCTATGAAATACCTATGAGTGTTTCTACACTGGGTTTCAGTTTCGCTGTATCTGCATCTCCTGGGTCTCTATATCTCTGTGTTTGTCATATCAGAGTCTCAGTTTTACAGTACTTTTGTCTTTCAGATTCTGCATCCGTCTCCGCCTCAGTTTCATTATTTCTATTCTATATAAATCTCAGTTTTATTGTAGCTGTTCTCTTTTGAATCTTAATTGAACTGTTTCTGGCCATACTCCCCTCTTAGTTTCATTGTTTTTCCTCCTCTCAGTCCCACTTTACTGTATCAGCCTCAGTTTCTCTTGTCGTCTTCTACTGACCTCAGTGTTACCAGTTCACTATTACAGAGTTTCAGTTTTTGCTGTATCTGTGTCCACCGAGTCCTATGGTGTGTCCCAAATCGCATACTTCTATACTAAATACTTCAATTTTTCAAATTGAGTATTCTAAGCATACTATGTACTCAATGGCCTAGTGCTTGAGTTTCTAGGGCGCACTCACTGGAAATGACGACGTGATTTCTTCTTCTACGCCAATTTGTCACCGGCTAGCACTGCATCAGCTAATTACCGCCACCTTTTGCCTGAGCTCGTTCATCCACTATTGAGGTAAAATCAGCAACAGAATTAACGTTCATCGCTCATTTTAATGCCACGGGTAACGCTTCAGAACCTGGCGGCTACAGGCTAACTAGCTAACGAGCTAACTAGCATTTGCAATAACATTCGCGGTAAAAGACAAACAGGTTACCCAGGTTACACCACAAATATACTCAAAACGATAAACGCTGGTGGTGCTTGATGGAAAGAACATGTGTAAAAGGCAATTTATTACTTACATCTATACAAAGGTCCGAGGTTGACCGTCGCCGACCCTCTGGCACCACAGCCGTCTGCAGCCCTTCTTAGTGATGAAATGAGTGCGGCGAGTGTCCACAGTTGGATACTTAAAATCTTGACAGATTTGATCACGTCATCCGGGTACTTTTGCCTGCTCAATTTTCGCATCCATTTGACGTTGAGTATACTCAAAATTTGAAGTATTTAGTACTGGAAGTATGCGATTTGGGACACATCACCAGTTTTACTGTTCCTGCCTCATTTGATACCCAGTTTTATTGTATGTATCCTGAATGAGTCTCTGCTTTAATGGGTATTTCCTAACTGAGTCTCAGTTTCTTTTTTCTTTTTTTGTTTCATCTAAGTCTTAGCTTTATTATGTGTCTTACCCAAGTCATAGTGCCACTGTGTCTGTCTTATCTTGGGATCACCTTTACGGTTTCATTTTCTGAGTCTCAGTTTTACTTGTATCCATCTAATCTGAATCTTCCTTCAACTATATCTGTCTGTCCTGAGTCTTATGCCGCGTTCCATTTACCTCGGAAGTTGGATGTTGGAGTTGGGAGTGATGTTACACATGAGTTGGTGGCGTTCCAGTAAACAAGTCAGAAAACCAAAATGGACGCCTAACTATTAGCTGTTGTTTGCTGTGGCTAGCAATTGTCAGCGGTCGTTAGCCGTTGTTAGTTGTTGTCAGCTCTACCAGTTGTAAACAATGCATAACACAGTATTTTACTCTTACAAACACCATAGCAGTATTGTTTCCGCTGATGAAAATATTTCGTCAACGCCCCTTGTTTTCCACGACAAAGACGTGATGTTGACGAGCTAAACATAGGTCTTAGATGACTAGAATGTGACGAGACAAATGTGCGTTTATGTTGACAAGACTAGACGAAAACATAAGTGGTGGACGACGAACAGAGTTGCAAAATTCTTGACCATTTCGTCAGTCAAACACTAAACATGTATTCTGCAGTGTTGTTTTCTTTGACGATGACGTTGCCGAAATATTTTCGTTAACGTCATCGTCAACAAAAACAACACTGCACCATAGCACTGTGTTCAACATATACCACTTATTTAATGTCACAAAAACAAAACAGATGTGCTTATTATAATAATACATTACCAGAGCTTTCACTGTTACTCTTAACTGTTGATGCACTGCGCTGCCATCTTGTCAAGTCAGGGTTGGTGAGGATCGTATGTTCTTCCAAGTCGGAAATCCAACTTCAGGGACATTCAAGATAAATTTCCGACTGGGAACTCGGAAAGTCCAACCTCCAAGTACAAATGGAACGCAGCATTATTTTTTTATTATCGAACAAGTCACACTCAAGTCAACTGGAATCTGTTGAACTGCAGAGTTATGGATCAAAATGAAGAGATTACACTCTGATTTATGCCAGTAAACAGGTTTAAAAGCTGCTGACCTAGTTAAATGAGGATCCTGATTTCAAGGACTCAAAAGAAAGGCTTAAGGACTATCACTTTTGATCCAAGTCTAATCCAATGAAAATGCGTTATAGCAGCTGTTTGCTAATCGTCTTGGAGGTTGGATGTGACCCTTAAAAACCTGCATCATGATGAAGTTATCCACTTCTCTTCATCTGCAAGTCACTGTTATATAAAAACCCAAGCTGTAGCGGCACTCAAAAACAGCCGCTTTACTGTTTATTTTCCATATTGTTTTTGTTAGGGGATTGATTTTCTACCACTGAATCATAAATTCATGTCAGGAAACCGTCCCCCTCTCGTCATCCTCCTCCCTCCAGTCTCAGTGACCCACATTTTCCACCGATGACAGCAGTCTGTGGTGCTCAGCCAGCTCCCAGACGCCCCGTCCCACCGTCTCCTGCCTCTGGAGCTTTTCAGCGGGCAGGCCGAGCAGCGTGTGACAAACCGGTGCGATTATTCGCCTGTCTGCTCGGTGCGTAATGCGTTTAGAGGCTGGGCCCATTATGTAATTTGTGGGTAATGACTTGTCCAGGCCGGAGCAGAGAGGGGAGAACAGGGGGACTGGGGAAGCATTCAGCAGCTGCAGCAGACGGCCTGTGGGTGGTAGGAACGCTAAGAGTGGTACAACAAAGGCTGCTCTGTCTGCAGCACACACACACACACCTACACACACACACCTACACACACATTCTTCTGCTCAAAGGGTTCCAGGTGAATGTGTGTAGGCTCTTACCTGCCCCTTGCATCATGCTGTTCCTGAAGACTGAGTGCACACAATGAGAGACAGGCCAGAGATGACGTCCCTCTCTCTCTCTCCGCAGGTATCCGCCGTTCTTTGATGACAATCCTTTCGGGATCTACCAGAAGATCCTGGCCGGAAGACTGGAATTCCCACGCCATCTGGATTTCTATGTCAAGTAAGCTGCAGACGCCAGGCCACGCTCATATTACACAAGACAGAAATCTCTGCAGCAAACAGTAATCCTAAACGTCTTTGCATGAACAGAGGGGGCCGGTTTTTACAAACCTGACACCTAATTTTCCTAAATGACTTCAATAAAGGAGGAAAATTGATCCTCACTCACCACAGAGACAGAGTTTCCCCCTGAAGTAGAAAACACAGCATCTTTGGATTGTGGTAAAATTGTTTTATGGCTGGAGTTCTGTAATTATCATAAAAAAACTGCATAATTCATAACAAATCGTCCTACCTCATTGCCAGTGAATCCTCAGAAACGGCATCCAAGGAGGAAATCTCAAGAGAGAAAGGAAATAGATGTCGTCTGTAGGATATGGAAAATCACGGTGACAAAATAAGTTTGAGTGCAAACATCATAACAGAAAGCAGATGTCCAAACATAATGTCTTTCACAGCCTCTTTTCAGCCCACAAGAAAACAGAGTCTTTGCTGTTACATGTTAAACACACGCTGAAAAATAACCAGTTTCAAAGCACAAAAAGTTCCAACTGAAGGAGAACTTAAAACCGGAGTCCTGTTTCATATTTGAGTCTTGTTTTATTGAAGCCCAAAAACCCCTTAAGAATAAAGGGGTGATGAAAACTGGATTTGAGATGGGATGAGGTTCACCACTCTGTGAGAGACCGCGTGATCATTAGAAGATTGATAACATCATGACACCAAAAATCAGACAAAGGAGACCCTGAACTGTTGAGCAACTAATATCCTCTATCAGGCAAGAATGGGACAACATGTCACTTTCCAAGCTCCAGAAACTGGTCTGCTGGGTTCACTATCGACTACTAAGAGTTGGTAAAAGAAGAGCTGACGGCACACAACGACAAATGCACAGAAGAGGATTAGGGACTTTAATCTCAGAATTCTGACTTAAAACTCAGAGCTCTGATTAAAATCTCACAACGATTCTGATTTTAACTTCAGAAGTCTGACTTAAATCACAAAATTGTGACTTTAAACTAAGAGTTCTGACTTTAATCTTATAAGAATTCTGATTTTAACCTCAGAATTCTGACTCAAATCTCAACATTCTAACTTTAAACTAAGAGCTCTGACTTTGATCTCAGGAGAATTCTGATTTTAATCTCAGAATTCCGACTTAAATCGCAAAATTCTGACTTTAATCTAAGAGCTCTGACTTTAATCTCATAAGAATTCTCAATTTAACCTCAGAATTCTGACTTAAATCACAAAATTCTGACTTTTATTTCAGAGCTCTGACTTTAATCTCATAAGAATTCAGATTTTAATCTCAGAATCCTGACTTAATTCACAAAATTTTGACTTTAATCTCAGAGCTCTGACTTCAATCTCATAAAAATTCTGATTTCAATCTAAGAATTCTGACTCAAATCGCAAAATTTTGACTTTAATCTCAGAGCTCTGACTTCAATCTCATAAAAATTCTGATTTTAATCTAAGAATTCTGACTCAAATCGCAAAATTCTGACTTTAAACTCTTTTTTCTGATTCTGATTTCAATCTAAGAATTCTGACTTAAATCACAAAATTCTGCTTTTAATCTCAGAGCTCTGACTTTAATCTCATAAGAATTTTGATTTTAACCTCAGAATTCTGACTATAATCTCTGAAGAATTGTTATTTTAAACTCAGTATTAACTCAGACTTTAATCTCAGAAAACTCAGAATTATGACTATAATTTCAAATTTCTGACTTTGAACTTGGAATAATAATAGAAATATATATGTATTGGAACTTTTTTCCCTCCAGTGGCTCTAATCCTTTTCTGGATTACAAATATGACCCTATAACTGCTTTTTAGAAACTTGTCTCTGACTTCAGACTCAAAATAAGCTTATAACACTTCTCAGTTTCAACATCTGGAATGTTGTCTTTGCACAGACTTTTTGGATGATTTGCAAACCTTGAAATTTAGTTTTTACCAACAATGGAATAGAGTTTGCCGTTATTTTCCAGGATTAGGAAACTTTCAGGAGTAGCTGTTACGCTATTGGAGGTTTTAAAGCCCTCTCCATCCTGCCAGGAGTAAAATCTAATGTGGAAAAATTTACATCATAGGATTGTGATTTACCGACTTCGAACTTGAAATATCTTCAGTGGATAAACTCTTGAGATCTGCCTGAACAAAAGAGAAATTCTCTGTTAGACTTGTCCTTTTCCACTTTTCAAAACACTGACAGCCTGCAGGTGGAGGTGTTCATATGCTGTGGGTCAGTTGGGAAATTACAGCCTCCTTTAAAGGGTCACTGACACACTCCGCCCGCTCTCCTCTACCATTAAAGCATCTATTTAAGGTGGTACTTCAAACAGGTGAGGGGGCTGTATTGTCCGTGGATGGGGGTCCGTAAGTGCTGTAGCGTCTCTTTAAAACAGGGACAACGAGCCCCCTGCGGTTAAAGACGGGCTTCAGCTGGACCTACAGCCTCTAATGACACACCCAGCTGATTTGGACCGCTCATGGCGGCCATTAGAGCAGCTGGAGGCGCAGGAATGTGCGAGATTACAGGCTGACCTGGGTGTGTGTGCTCAATCAGGTCTGACACAGCGGCCCTGACGAGGCTAAAACACTCTGCTTCCCCTGATACTTCAGACAACACACAACCTCACACTGTTAAGCCATCTATCTCGGAGCCGGCAGACAGAAGGGTTTTTAATATTTGGACCGTTTATATCAGCTTCACACACTCATAAATCAGGATGTGAGAGGGATTAAGAGGACTGCAGGCAGGCAGAGTGGAGCTCCATCCCAGTATGACCCCGGCATTAACAGTCTTGTGGAGCAATGGTTGTAAAATTAGTGAAAGACTTCTTATAGACATGTTAACATCCTCTTGACCTGACCTTACGCACCCTACATGACCTCAGTGTCCTCCTTTATGAGGTGGGAATCCAGAGGTGTGTGAAGTCCTCTTTAAGTTTACTTTTGTAACCAGAAACACACGTTTTTTTTGTTTTGTTTTTTTAAACTAGAAACAGCTTTAAAGTGTTTTTTTTTTTTTTTTTTTTTATATACCAGAAATTGCACTGATTTTTTTTAAACCACAAACAGCTTTTAAAGCTTTTTATTATTTTTTCATTTTTTTAACCAAAAACAGCTTTTAAAGTTTTTTATTTTTTTAACCATAAACAGCTTTTAAAGTTTTTTATTTTTTGTTTTTTTAACCTGAGACAGCTTTTAAAGTTTTTATTTTTTAATTTATCTTTTTAACCAGAAACAGCTTTTAAAGTTTTTATTTTTTAATTTATCTTTTTAACCAGAAACAGCTTTTAAAGTTTCTCTTTTTTTTCTTTTTTTAACCAGAAACAGCTTTAAAGTTTTTTATATTTTCATTTTTTTAGCCAGAAACAGCTTTTAAAGTTTCTTTTTTTTTCTTTTTTTTAACCAGAAACAGCTCTAAAGTTTTTTATATTTTCATTTTTTAGCCAGAAACAGCTTTTAAAGTTTCTTTTTTTCTTTTTTTTAAACTAGAAACAGCTTTAAAGTTTTTTTTAAAATTATTTTTTCAGCCAGAAACACTATTAAAGTTCCTTTTTTTTTTAACCAGAAACAGCTTTCTAGTCTATTTTTTCCTGAAACCAGAAACAGCTTTTAAGTTTCTTTTATAGAACCAGAAACAGCTTTAAAGTTTCTTTTTTTTTTTTTCTTTTTTTTTTTTAACCAGAAACTGCTTGTAAGTTTCTCTTTACAAAGACTTAAGACTCCACTAATAAAAAAATGACCTATAGGTCCAAAAATACTGGAGTTAATGGTCTACCACTAGAGATGTTCTGATACCAATTTTTCCCTCCCGATGCCAATTCCAATATTTGTGCTTTGGGTATCAGCCAATTCCAAGCACCAATTCAATTCGAGTATGTTATTAAAAAGATATATCATACCTGGCCTGCATGACTGTGATATGATTATAATTGTGGTAAGGTCTGGCTCAGGTTAAGACCACAAATAAATACAGAAAATTTAAGCCATTTATTTTCTAAATTGAACATCTGAATTGAACAAAATCAAGAACATTTAGCAGCAAATTTTGGATTATGTTTCAGGAATTACAGCTTGCTGCAGGCGCAATAAACCTACTGGGACAATTCTCAAAGTTTTTTGTACTATTGGTCATTGAGACACTGAAACGTGTGCAAAACTTGGTCTCAGATTAAAAAAGAAATCTCTTAGTTATCCTTTTAAATAAATGCAAATGTTTAAAAAAAAGATGCAGGATTCAAACTCTGAAATCAAAAGTTGCCTTTTTCTTGATTTTGTCGACCTTTTTTACTGTCTCCACCTTCTTTTCCGACAATTTCTTCTTCCTGAAATGTTAAAAATGGCAAAATCACAAATATGCTCCCCTCAGGAGCTGATCCAGATATTTCCAAATGACATATTGCAGCACCGGCCTCTCTTGAAGCAGAGGAAGGATTTAGACAAAAATGGAAAAAAATTGCTGACTTGCCAACATCCAGCTGCTGTATTTACGAGCCTGTCCGACAGGCTCGTTGGCTGTGAAATAGTCTATCTTCATACCAAAAAAAAAAAAAAATTGTGATTGTCAGCAGCTATCATTTTTTAAGACCCATCTGAATCATCCTCATCCTCCCTCTGTGCATCCTCACATCACATGCATGAGTTTAACGTCTCAGGAAGTTCCTCCCTGCTTTTAAAGTGATACAGCTCTCTTAAAGGGTGTCAGAAAACTCTTTAGTGAAGATGCATTTGTCTTCCTGACAGCCTTGGATGCTCTGTTTCTCTTTCTCCCCAGAGACCTCATCAAGAAGTTTCTGGTCATTGACAGAGCCAGGCGACTGGGCAACATGAAGGTGAGTTGGTTAGACTCCCCGTCTCCCTGCACACATGGCACCTCACCATATTTCATACCTTCAGTAGGTAGTTTGACGTCAACCGTCTGAGGAAAGAGAGCTCCACATGGATCCAATTAGTCGTAAATGAGGAGAGTTTAACAGGAGCTTGTTGTTTTGGAGCAGGACGGATGCCTGTCTGTGCTTCAGTCTGTAATAAGTCTGACTCGTAAACTAAATATTATTAGTCCCTAACAAAAGCAGCGCAATTCACAATTATTTTTATAGTCAGAGCTCAACTATTTCAAGCTTTGACTGATCTCCAAGGCCGAGTTTAAAATCTTGAATGTGTGCAGTCACTCCCAAACCTGATACCTAAAGATGTTTTTCTGCCTTGATTGATTCAAAAATAACAATTTGTAGCCCCGAAGCCCTTTGTTTGCTTTGATAGGATCTAAAAACAAGCTTAAAGGAATATTCCAGCGTAAATAAACACACGGTAACCTAAGTTAGACACCTCCTTGAGAGATGAATGTTGCAGACTGCTTGCTTCTCTAGTTATACCAACTTTAGTAACGACCGCACGATAGCAATACACAGCAGTCTAAGTCTTCACACGCAAACCTCAACCAAAAAGCCACTCTATAGCCACAAATAAAGCTCAGAACAACTTCATCAACAGTACATATAGGGTTCCAGCCGCAATACTAGCCACCAAACATCTTTTTAGCTTTGTCTGATTTCTTTAGCAAAGAGACCAAACACAACTCACCTACTCTCCTCCAGCAGCCATTTGTTTGTGGGGGGAGACCCGACGAGTTGATCACCGAGTGCAGCGGAGTTTCGCAGCTCAAGGAAGAACATTTATGATCCTTACTTCATGGAAATGCAATCAGACTGAGACGCTAGTGCAGAAGAGAGACCGTGTCTGCAGTGCAAAATGATTATTACGATGATAATTAATTAATAATTACTATAATTACTGGAAATGATCCGCTGCACTCGGTAATCGATTTGTCAGGGCTCCGCTACAAACAAGTGGTATTGCAATCGTGTGGATGTTTCTAAAGTTGGTATAACTAGAGAAACAAGCAGTCAGCAACATTCGTCTCTTGAGAGGGTGTCTAACTCCGTGTTACTGTTTGTTTGACCATAACTTAGATTTACGCCGGAATATCCCTTTAAGTTTAAGTATTGTACTAAATCAGTGGTTCTCAAGTCCAGTCCTGGAGGCCCACTGTCCTGCATGTTTTGGATGTTTCTCTGCTCCAACACACCTGATTCAAATGATCAGCTCGTTATCAAGCTCTGTAATGTCTTACTAACGAGCTGATCATTTGAATCAGGTGTACCACTGTACTAAACAATATGAGCACGAAACCAGAGGAAAGGTTGGCTCTGGTTTCATAGTGGCTCAGAAGGATTTAAAGGTCACTTTTCAATGGTTCCTGCATGTAGATTTTTATTCAGACTGAAGGACTGAAAGTGAAAGGGGACTGGAAGAGACTCTCAATTGAACAAACACTTCTCTAATCCCTCTGAATAACTCCACATAATCCAGACAACATCATATTGATTTGTTTCTGCCAGTAATTCTCTGCGGTCACATCATTCATTAGCACAACGCTGGGAGTCTTTAAGGGGCCCGACTGCACCCATATTATACTGATGGTTATTTAATTATAATGAAATGATTTACTGGAACATACTTTGGGGTTTTTGTAACACCGCTCACTTTGTAGCATGAACATTAGTGTCTGCACATTTGTCTCTATTAGACGCTTCTCACTAAATTATACCGCATGACTTTATCCTGTAACTATTAGTCCATAATCTGATCAAGAGTTAACTGATTTATAGTAAACAAATGGATTTGTGTGCATGTTTGATATGCTTTGGTCCTTGTTGTTGTTCACTATCAAAAATTACACATCAGTTTTCCAAAGAAGTGTTCCCCTTTTTGTACGTTTCAGAACGGAGCGGACGATGTGAAGAAGCATCGGTGGTTCAAGACGATCGACTGGGACGCCGTTCCTTTGAGGAAACTGAAAGTGAGAACTTTTCACAAAAGTCTTTAATTTATTTTGTTTTCTGTCGATTAGAAAGGGAGGTAAATTAGAGCAAAAGAGGACAATCACAACTTAATCTAGTCATGACAGGTTATGGGGATCTCATTCACTGGATCGTGTAAAGTAGGCGTATCGATAAATCTCGAAAAGAAGAATGTGTTTACAAAAATTAAAACTATAGGATGAAAATCTCTGAAGATAAAACTGAAGAGGCTGATGCATCTGTCTCCCTCCGCCTGTCTGGTGTTTGGTCGCAGAGGCAGCAAGTTTAACAGGTTGACCCAGACATCACTCTCCCAGGCCACATCTCCCTGCTCCTCTTGGGGGATACTGAGGCCTTTCAAGGTCTAATGGGTTATATAATCCTACCTCAGAGGACTGGGTCTGTCCAGGCTGGGAGGAGGCATCCTAATTAAATACCTGAACCACCACAGCTGACAGCAGCCCTCCTCCAAGCTCTGAATAGAAGAGCTCCTGCCTCTCTCAAACACTTGATTTTGGCCTCTTGTGTCTGTGATCTCAGTGTTTTGGTCATTGCTCAAAGCTCGTGACCACTACTAATGGTTGGAAACAAAGATCCTCCTGACAAGCTCACAATCCTGAGTTTTGATTTGATTAGAATAATAAAAAAGTTTCTCTTTACAAAGACTTAGGACTCCACTAGTAAAAAAAAAAAGAGTAACTATAGGTCAAAAAACACTAGAGTTACTGGTCTACTACTAGAGATGTTCTGATACCAATTTTTCCCTTCTGATACCAATTCTGCTACTTGTGCTTTGGGTATCGGCCAATTCCAAGCAATTCCAGAATTTCCTCACCCACGTGACATTCAAACTCGTACCTCTTGTCTCTGCAGCCTCCCATCCTTCCCAAAGTGTCCCATGAGGGCGACACCTCCAACTTTGACGTCTACCCGGACGAGGACTGGAAGAAAGACCCTCCTGTGCCTCAGAAGGACTTAGAGATCTTCAAGAACTTCTGATCACTCAGCCTCTTTTATTTATTATCAGAATAATAATCAGCATATTGACGAGTTACAGGTACCATCATGGAGAGAATCTGTATTTATCACAGTGACAGAAAGGGGGATGGGGGTCACATTTTATCCGTTATAACCCCGCCCCCTCTTCAAAGACAAACTCCAAATGATCGATACTGTGACGTGTATCACACCACAGGTTTGCTTTTTATACTTTTATTTATGTGACTTGAGTCAAACTTTTTGCTGTTTTCGTTTTTATCATCCTCTGAGCCTGCTCACATGCAAAAAAGAAAAAAGAAAAACAAGGACTGTTACTTTGTAGTTAAAGAAGAGGAAACAATCAGGTCTTTTTTTGATATCTTCATGTTGAATATTTTATCGGTTTTTAAAAAATGTTCATGCGGTCATATTTAATGTGACTCCAGACTGGTGCTCGAGCTCTCAGCTGGCCAGTGCTTCTATGAATAATGTGCAGCTTTTAGACTCCTTATATCACGAGTCGGCTGCTTTATGTGAAAATGTGTGACCAGTAGCACTCGTAAAAAGGTGCCTTACATCACCGTATGATGGGCATAACGTCTCATAATTACAGGAAGTTCACTTGAAACGCCGCTCAGACATCAGCGCTTCATGCAAGACTAATGGAAGCTCAATGACGGGACTCTTCGTGGATACAAAGAGCTGAATGTCTTCTACTGTAAACTTTTCTTCCTCCAGCTCCAGGTGTATTCACAGCCAGAGGACTTATTATCACGCAGTCCCAGCTGTTCTGCAAATATCTTCACATGACTCTGTGCACACTCACATCATCAGCCATTGTTGTCATGCTTTTAAAGACAAGGCGAACAAGAGAAAGACCTCACAGAGACTCAGATTTTGTCAGTCGAATCCCCGCACTTTTGTTGTTTTTTTCAACATTTATGAGGTTTTAGCAGCAGCTGAGTCATCTTTATAAATCACTTCCTCACCAAGATAAACATTTCCACTCATTAAAACTGACAAAACCACCAGTAAACCATTTTTTTTTTCGCAACATACTCCACTTTTTAAAGCTCTTTAGTGGACTCAAGACTGTAGGAGGGGGCTGTGACCTGAGCTGCCTCTCACTTCTTAGTCATTGCTGAACTCTTTTTGAAACTACAGTACCTAACAGAAAAGTCTAACCCCTTTGTCTTCTAAAACTGAGGAGTTCTGTGGATTAAAACTTTTTAAACACTAACAGTTCAAGTAATAAACTGTGTTAAAGAAATTCTAAGAAGCAGTTTACTAACTTCCTATTGTCCTTTGGCCACTATATCAGCAGGGGCTGCAAGCTGAGTAACCACTAACTGTTAGATAAAGATTCCCTTAGTGTGTCCGTCAAAGACCAAAATTTCCTCTGATAAAAGCAACTTCCCATTGAAATAGCTTTTGTAATGCTCCCAAGCAGAAAAAAAGCATAAAAGAGGCTGCGAGCTGAGCTGTATACAGTATTTATCTTTATTGGCCTCCCCATAGAACAGGTAAAAACACTATTTGAGCACAAGTTAAAGAAAATCTTTGTTTTCCAATGCTCTTTGGCTGACAGAAGCATAGGCAGAGGCTGCTAGCTGAACTGCTGCTGCTTGTTTTCTTCACTGTACATAAAGTTTTCATCTTCACTGGCCTCTTCCTCCACTCAGAAACAGACTTGTCAGCAAAACTTGTAAAATCTGCAAAAAAAAAAAAAAAAACATTTTGAAGGGAAAAAAAAGTTTGTTTAATCCACAGCTCTTTAGCAGAAACATCACTTTTCTGAGAGGTTGCAAGCTGAGCTGTCGTCAGCCTCTTTACAGAAACTAAGGAGACTATATCTCTGACAAAGATAGCTGGATTGTGCACAATGGTCTGTTCTTCTATCAACCAGGGGACCCTATACATTTGTGTTTTAATCATGCTCTTTAGTCTAAGGAAAGGCTGAGAGCTGAGTTACCACTGGTTTAATTGTTGTGATTATTTATCATTCATGGTCACTTAAACTTGCATCTGAATTATTCAAAAGTGTCAAAAACCATTCACTCATACTATACTTCCTTATGCTCTGTAAGCTGCAACCCAGTGGGGCTGCAAGCTGAGCTGCTGCTAGCTTATACTTAGACTTTTCTCAGAATTTAATTGTCTGTGAAAGTCACCTGCTTCCCAAACAAGTGAACACAAATAGATGAAATCACTGAGCTTCTATAATGTAAATATCTGGCTTTTGGGGGGGCTGCTAGCTGAGCTGCTCCTAGCTTAAACAAAGCTTTTTCTCAGAATGAATTATCTGCAAAATGATTCTGCTTCCGTATCAAGCATTGGATAAAATCAGTTATTCATTACACTGTAAATATCAGACTTTTAGGGGGCTGCAAGCTGAGCTGCTCCTAGCTTAAACAAAGCTTTCTCTCAGAGCTCAATTATCTGCAAAATGCTTCTGCTTCCGTATCAAGCATTGAGTGAAATCATTTATTCATCACACTGTAAATATCAGGCTTTTAGGGGGCTGCAAGCTGAGCTGCTGTTATCTTAAAGGAGTCAAATACTGGATGTGGAAAATTGAACCACTGCATCTGATTCGACTGACAAAATCCCTCCCCGGTTTCAGCCATATTCAGTTAGTCCAGCTGCCACAGAGAGCTGAAAGTTGACCTGGTCAGTATTCATCAGTGTTCCAGCCACTGGTGCAGTTGATGATTTTTTGGTATTTTGGGACAATGATGGCCTTCAAAATAAACATCAAATGTTTTGTTTCACGCCAATGAAAACTTAGTGACATTGTGGTTTCTGTAATCATACCCGCCTCCAGGTTGTTCTTTTTTTTTTTACTGTTTCTTTGCACAATCTTTCTGCGTCACGACCCTGACTTTGTGTATTCTTCACACGGTGCTGATGTTGGTCTGGACAGAAAGATGATTTTATTTTCCACCCACAGTTTGAGGACTTGTTATCATCTGTTGCCTTTCCTTGTTTCCATCCTTCATGTTGTTTTGACACAGTGCTGAAATCCTCCTGTTGTCTGCGGCATCTCCTTACCTCTGTGTGTTGTTGCGTGACTCTTCAGGAGTAAACACTTGAAGCACCAGAGTGTGTTTGTGTGTTTTCTCTCAACAAACTTCAGCTCGGTTTGTGAAATGTTTAGCTGGACCTGAACCTCATTTTTCAGTGTTTTCATCTGTCTGCTGCTAAACTCACCAACATGCACCAAAAACAGGAAATCCAGATCTACTGTTTGTCTTACTTGGGCATTTGTGTGCACCAAACCTCTCGGCGGTTCTGCTTATGGAGGGCAATGCGAACAAAACTGATAAGTCATAAAAAGTTAGCAGAGGGTGAAGGTTTTGGAAGAGGAATCAATAAAATGTACTTGAGAGTGTGATTGTTTTGGAGATTTTAGAGCAGAGGAATGATAGCCGTGCAATGACAAAAAAAGCAAAGTACTGATGCACGAATTCACTGACACAATATCTGCACCAGCTGTTAAGAGTTTGAAATGTCGGCACGTCAGATATTTTCAAAATCCAGAGCACTTGCAATAAAAAAGTGGAGTAAAATACTCAGCTGAGTTTAGAGAAACTTCAAACAAAAGGAAAAACGGCTCAGTTGCCGAAATTTGCTGCACTGTGGTATACAAATCAAAACTGGTCACTTTATCCCAGTAAACTTTGACTTTTTTCAAGTGACATCAGCTGAGGAAAGGTATCACAGCGAGATTGTTCTAACAGGAAAATATGATTCTGCTCAACAACCTGGGTCCTAGAAATCGGTTCTAATTATTCTGTTACATACTAAAGATGCTAAATGCTCTCCAGAAGCCTCCTCCACCGTTGCCATGCTACAAAGTAGTGTCTCCCTGTTTTAAATCACATGATGAGATCTGTCTGATTGTTTTGGACTTAAAATCCGCCATGGAACACATAATAATTTTAACAATAGTGATAGAGCAATGATGTATCAAGGGCCTGCTAGGCAACAGTCTGTAAACATTGGAGGGAGAGATTCACTCCCTTTTTATAACAGTCAGAATAAGCCTGAAGATGAGGATGTGTTCAGGAGTAAATGAGCCAAAGTTAGCATCACTTAATCACGTAAGACGTCTATTAAAATATGCCAAATAATTTCCTAAACACACAGTAATGTGTCTCAGTGTGCGGAAAAATAGAGATCTTCTGAAACGGGCAACTATAAGAGCAAACTTTGAGATCAGTCGGTAGAATTTGGAAGCACATTTCTGCCAATAAAAAAAAAATAGAGACTTGGCCTTATAACAATATAAAAAAAGCTTTAAAATTAAAAGTCTAAATTATGTACAGAAAAAGATTAGGGCCACGAGAAGAGAAAAAAATAATTACAGGAGGGAGATTTTTTTTATTCGATTTCAAGATTGAAGTTGAAATTTTAAAAAGACAAAATTTCGGCTTCATTCATGTCAACTTTAATCTAGAAATTCCTTCTTTACCCTCAGTATTTTAATTTTTTTTAATCTTGAAAATTCAACATTATTCACGACATTTCGAAATCTCAAAATTTCGACTTTACGGTCCTTTTACACCAGGACCATTTTTTATGTGCGATTATCTCAGGTTTCTTTAATCCTGCGATATTGCGGCATTTATTTTTCCAGATCATGGTCGATTTTTCTCAAGTTTCGCATACTGTGCGTCCACTTCTGACCAATCAGATTGTGTGTTGTTGCGACGTCAGATTCACCGGTATATCCAACTTGGCCGATCAGCTGATTGTTTACGTGTCGGAGAACAGAGTGCTTTTTGATAAAAGACACAAACATGACAAAGATAACGACCTGAAGGACAACTTGTGGAGAGTCATAGCGTCAGATTTCTCATATGACGATGGTTTGTGTGCTTTAACAGTTTGCTAAACGTCTTTGTTTTAACTTTCATCAGTGCTAAGTAACTTTAGCTCGTAAGCTAACCTGTTCAGATACAACATACCATATGTATTTTCACAGTCTCAAACTCAATCATGTTGCTGTCACAGCACCATTAGGTCTCGGTTGTTACCTTACGTTTATGGATTATAGTTTAATGTGCTTATCTGGTACTGGCCCCGACTCAGTACATGCTATCATGACAGACAGCCATCTCAACACTAGTGTTTAATCAGAACTGAAAAACAGTCAGTCTGCTGTTGTGTCAGTCTTCCCGCTTCCTCCTGGGACGTGTCTTTATTCCCCCCCGGAAAGTCGCAAAATCACATCGGGCTTGATGTGTATAGTCAGGCAAAATTCTCAAATATTTCGTAATTTCGCGTTCTATATTCGCGTCGGCCACAGTGTGTAAGGATTTTTAATCTCGAACTTTAGCCTTTTTTGGCATAATTTCAATTTCTTAATCTCGAAATTTCAACTTTAATATCCTTCCTGTAATTTTTTTTTTCTCTTCATGTGGCCCTTAACCTCTTTTGTGATAAGAGATGAGGTAAAAAGTTCAGAATGATCAGAAATAAGGTAAGCTTGTAAGACAAAAAGTCACATTTTTAGAAAAAGTCAGTGATGTTATAAAAGTAAAAATGAGGAAGTTTGACTTTGAGTTAAAGTTTAATGTTTTTCATTATTTAAATATTTTTTAAATCCAATTATTAAAACTTTCTGTTATAAATATGACTTCTTATTTTGTATTAAACTTTTTTTTATCCTATGATCATCACTTTTTACTTCATGTTTGACTTTAACCATCTTACAATTATGACTGACTTTCTTTTTTTAGGGATAAGTTTTTATTACAGCCAAGTGTTCCTTCTGTTGTAAATGATGGACGTGTTTCTAGTCTACAGCAGTACAGTGGCTTAAAGCAGGTTTTTGTAAAACCAACCCTTCAATCATGTAAAACACACAAACGCTTGCATTTATTTGCTGAAGTTTATTGTAAATTATCAGATTTTAGGCTCGTATGTGTAATAATATCCAATATCAGCATTACTCATACTGGAGTTGATGTGGACATGTAGAAAACACTGATAGCTTCATAGTCAATAGGTTTTAGTTTTAAAAGGTGTGTATTGAAATCGCCTGGTTTCAGATCTTTTTGTCGCACAGCACTCCTTACTTTAATATGCTGAATAGTTGACATTTACTCTGCAGTATCCTCACAGCTTTTAATGCTTTCAAACCAAAATAACCTGTATTCTCTGTATTTATTAACTTGTGCTTTCTGTGACTTTTTTCTGCTCTCTGTTTGATATTCAGGCTGTTTTGTCTTCCACCTCCTTCCATCACATCTGAACGTTTCTTCAACTACTGCCTTCAAACTCTCTCTCTTCATCCACGCTCCATTTTTGACCCAGAACATAATAATGCCTTTAACCACCCAGTATGTCTCCCTTTACGAATGAAATAATGGAACTTTAAGCAATGTCACATGTTTGTATGAAGCCTCTTCACATGGAAATGTTTGAAAAAGTGGAAATGAAAAGAAAGATGCTCTCTTCTTCTTCTTCTCTGGTCTTGTCTTTTCTTTCTGCACCCTCTGTTTCTTTTTTTTTTTAAGTGTTTAAATGTGAAAATTCAAATCAAAGAAGATTCACAAAAACACTGACTTTAATTTTGGTTGAATGAGGAGAAAGCTGAGGAAACAAAGACTAATTTGTGTCAAGTTGTTTTTGCAAAGTTCTTAAAAGTGTGTGTCGAGAAGTTGGGTGATGATAAACGTTTCGTCTTGTCTGATGGCTCCATTTAAGGCTGCTATTTTCCCTCATTTCAGTCTGACTAAGAGGGATTTTGGTGACTGAATAAGTCCTCTGAGAACCTCTTTAACCACAGATTTGATCCCTAAACACTGAGTAACTCTGACTGAGACTGAATGACTCTGTGGCAGAAACATTACAGTTCTCCTGCTGCAGTTCCTCTCCCTACCATGCGGGGGCATCAGGTTATTTGTGTGGTGCCTGTATGGTAGATTTAACGAGCGTTTGGTGATGATTAAAAAGTGTTGGTGGTTTTTCTTCGGTTAACCGCCCCCTGAGTAAACCCTGACACAGCGTTTTCCAGCAGAGCTGTGACTCAGTTCTCGTTTGCTTTCCCTCATCTGCATCTCTTTAAATCTAATGAGGATTTAATCCTGTGTTTAACCTGGATTATGGTCATTTCATGAGTTCTAATTTCCTCTCTGTGTCTGTGAAACCTGAAGGACACGGTGGTGTTAAAGTTTCATGGAGGGTGATTGTTTATAGAGAGGAAACTGAGTCAGGTGATGGTCTCAGTGATGACAGTCGGGATTAAAGAAACCTGGAGATCTGTTGGTGGGATAATGAGAGTCGTATGAGGAGCTTTCAGGCTGAATTAAGTGGAGGAAGAGCAGGGTGAGATTTCCCAGAAGACCTGAGTGACGAGAAACACTCACAATCAGGAGGAAGAAAGTCCCAGCATCGACAACAAATCATCTTTTTACTGTTTTAATGCAATTTGTCTTGAATTAAATACAATACTCAGTCATATTGATCATCATGTCTTATCAGTTCTTCTTTTCCCAGCTCTCTGTAAACATCAGTGAACCCAGCAGACCAGCTTCAGGAGTTTCAAAGTGAAATGTTTTCCCATTTTTTGCCCGATAGAGGATTTCAACTGCTCAACAGTTCAGGATCTATTTTAGTGTTGTTGTTTTTTGTGCCATGATGCTCCAAATGTTTTCTATGGGTGTCAAATCAGGATTGCAGGCAGACCAGTCTATCAGCAGGACTCTTCTACTACAGAGCCATGTTGTTGTAATCCCTGCAGAATGTGGTTTGTCACAGACCGAGACGCTAAGGCAGAAGAACTACCGCGTCTGCAGTGCATATACAAGACACACAAGAACTCTGGCTGCATCTCATTGAAGTAATAATCATACATTTTCTTCCTTGATCTGCTGCACTTGGTAATCGACTCGTCAGGGGTCCCCCACACATACAAGCGGCTGCTGGAGGAGAGTAGGTGAGTTGTGTTTGGTCTCTTTGCTAAAGAACCAGGCAAAGCTGAAAAGATGTTTGTTGGATAGTACTATGGCTGGGACACTATATGTAGTATCGGGTAACTGTTGATTAAGTTAGGTGCTGTTCTGAGCATTGTTTGTGGCTATAGAGTGGCTTTTTGGTTAAGGTATGCATGTGGAGACGTAGGGCTCTATTTTCGTGCCTCGCCGGCAGCGTGGCATGGGTGCGCCGTAAGTCAGGTCCACCGCGCCAATAAGACATGCCCAAACACACTTTGGTATTTGGTGAGCGGCGCAGCCCGGCGTAAGTATCCCACCCTCCCTAACTCAGCTCTTCCCAGCGGCATAAGTAGTGGAGAGGGAGGGGCCAAGGCGTAGAGTGGGTTTAACACAGCCAAGTCCTGTTTTCACCAATCACATCAGCGCCTTGCCTCACCTTTAAATCCACCATCAGCTAGGCGTATTACAATTTTCGTGAAGTAGTCGAAGAGATCAAGAGATGGCTGAAGACAACAATGCCACACGATGGTGACAGAAGGCAGCCCCTCAACAAGTGTTGCTGTAAGCTGATTCTGTCAACACCTCCCCTGACCACGCCACCACCCATAGCTTGGCACACCTCGGTGTGCCGCAGTCTACGAAAATACCAAACTGGCAGTGCACCGGGCTTTGCCAGACGAAAATACCACTGTGCTGGGTGCGCCACCATCCGCTGCTGGCGGGCACGAAATTAGTGCCCGTAGACCGCTGTGTGTTGCGATCCTGTGGTCTTTGCTTGTCAACATTTATCTCTCGAGGGGGTGTCTAACTCGGTGTTACGGTGTGTTTGACCATGTCTTAGATTTACGCCAGAATATCCCATTACAGATCTGGCTACCAGTGCATAGCAGAGGCTTGAATTTGAGGTAAAAGCTGCATGTGAAAACCTCAAACTGTGGTTGGAGAAAGCTGCAGGTTGCTAGTTCAGTCTTGGGGTCAATGTGTTTGGGAGCAGCTGTTTTTCATTTTGCGGACATGGTTGAAGAAATGAATTTTCTCCAGCAGAATCTGCAAATTATTCTCTTTTTGGCAGGAGTCATCACTGGAAACAAGACCTGCAGCTTTCAGGCACCTGATGCAGTTGGAGTTGAAGATGGCTGATGGTTCCTGGCAGAGGATGAAGCTGTAGGTGATTGTTGTTTGTGCATGGCTGAAGCTGCAGTCTCAGGCATAGGGTGTAGGTTTATCAGTAGAGGCAGAGACCACAGTTGAATTATGAGACCTGTGTATCTTGACTGCAGCTGTGATTTAGCTTGTTATCAAGCTCTGTAATAGCTTGATAACGAGCTGATCATTTGAATCAGGTGTGTTGGAGCAGGGAAACATCCAAAACATGCAGGACAGTGGGCCTCGAGGACTGGACTTGAGAACCACTTGCATGGGCTTCAGTTGAGGATGTTGGCTAAAGCTCTGAGTCAAATAACTAGGTTTAGGCAGGTACATATAGCTGAAGGAGGCTTGTAGAGAATTCTGTCAAAGGCACTGATGGCAGCTTGTTGTTTGTTGTTCTTAAACTGGTTGTATTAGAAGCAGCTGTCCCTCATATTCTACAGGTGGAAGTTGAAAAGGACATGTTCATGTGGAGGTCATATTGAAGGTGTAAACATCAGTTTTTAGTTATTTCTGCTGATGGAGATGGCTACAGTTCAAGCTAAAACACTTGCTACACAGAACGACGGTAGGCTTTTGACACTGAAGGATTTGAGGGCAGCTCTGTTCTATATTTCCATTTAAAGGATGTGGCAGACCTGTTTGAAGGTGGTTAAAAGGCAGCTGAGGCAGCTTCTGTGGAAATCCACGGCATGAATGACGGTTCCTGTGGTGTGGTGGAGATGGCTCTTGGTTCCCACTGGTTGCCATTGGGGGGCTGATGCAGTTTGCCATCAAGTGACATTATCTGGCAGAGGCTGCATGTAGAGCCTCTAGTCTTCTCTGATGGACTTAAGCTTATTACTTTGACATCTGTGTCAAAATATTTAGTTTATATTTATATTAGATATTTTTATTATATTTAAATATAGTTTCAAATTGTTTTCATGACATTGTTTTCTACATTCAAAGTAAAGAAGGAAATTTTACTCTAAATGCAGCAATGAATGATGAGTAATTATAATCAATCACTGTCAAACAGTTTGAGTTTTTCTTGTAAACCCTCTGTGTTCATTGTGTTCCTGTTTGACTTTAACACATTAAAGTCAACGCATTATAGTTCAAAAAGAAGAGAATAAATACCTGAACTGTATTAAAGTGTAAGAATGGGAATTCTAATACATCATTTCACTCCACTGGAAGTCAGTGACTTTTGAAACTGGACTTAAGTGTGTTTAACATCATCTAAAGTTGAGTGCAGGACCCTTTAAAGCAAACATAGCTGAGTATAAAGCAAATGAAGCATAAGGACACTCTATAAAACATATTAAGTTCATCATTTCTATTAAAACTGTTATTTATGTCATGACTTATTTAAAAAAAGGTTTTGTGGTTTTACTGGGGTCTGTTTTAAAAATATGTGTAAATCTAGATAGAAGTGTCATCAATGCTGAAAAAGAAAAATAACGTCGGAAATAAAATCATTTCAGGTTCTTCATGGTTGATCTTAAACACGTGTTCAAAACCCAATTCCATTGAAGTTGGGAAATTGTGATAAACGTAAATAAAAACAGAATACAATGATTTGCAAATCCTTTTCAACCTATATTCAGTTGAATACACTACAAAGACAAGATATTTAATGTTCAAACTCATAAACTTTTTTTTTTTTTTGCATATAATAATTAACTTTACTTAACTTTAACTTTATGGACCGTAGATGTTGAAATCCCTAAATTCCTTGCAATTGTACTTTGAGAAACGTTCTTAAACTGTTCGACTATTTGCTCACGCAGTTGTTCACAAAGTGGTGAACCTCGCCCCATCCTTGCTTGTGAATGACTGAGAATTTTTGGAGAAGCTGCTTTTATCCCCAATCATGGCACCCACCTGTTCCCAATGAGCCTGCTCACCTGTGGAATGTTCCAAATAGGTGTTTGATGAGCATTCCTCCAATTTCTCAGTATTTTTGCCACCTTTCCAAACTTCTTTGTCACGTGTTGCTGCCATCAAGCAGAGAAGCATCGGGGAAGGAGTCTAAATCTGACCTGCAGTTCATTCAAGAGTCTATGTGGAAGGCTTCTCAGCATCCAGTAAACTGAAGCTAATAAATCAATCCTAAATGGATTCTGGGTTGGTACTCTGGAACGATGACAGATCAGAAATCAGATGTAGTTATCCTGAATATAAATCCCCTGACTCAGCCTTTTAGAGCCTTTTGTCTCTGTGAAGCTCCTCCCAGTCCAAACGACAGGGCGCATTTGTTTGCACTCTAATGACAAGTCAGGTCATGTCAAGAGAGGACACTGAGGTTTCCTGTCATCAGCATGGGCTGTGAATGCACCACACCCTTCATGAAGCTGGAGAGAGAGAGAGAGAGAGAGAGAGAGAGAGAGAGAGAGGGCACCTAAACACATCACGAAGATTCCCCCAAACTAGAGAGCCAGCTGCTGCTTTAAAGAAAAGCAAGATACACGATGTGGAGTGACAGTTTTAGGCTTTCCTCTTCCTGCAGACTCTTTTACATAACAGCAAACTAAAAACCTGAAACAGCATCATAAAAACAGAGACTGCAGATGAACATCGGGACTCAGAGAGGGGAGAGAGACGAGCATAAATCTGTGAAACAGAAACACATGAATGGATGTGAGAGAGGAAGAGAAGAGGAACATATGGAGAGAGAATCAGAGGCTTTACGCATGCAAGAGGAGGAAGAGGAGGTTTCAACAAGTTAGAAACACCTGCTATCAGGATCCTCCGTATCATCAGCAAGTAAATCACAGACAGTCAACTCAGAGGAGGTGGAGATGGTTTCTGCAGGTTTAAAGATGTTAAAGCTGTCGGGTAAAAACACCTGAACAGAGCTGATGAACTGGAACATCATTAATATCTCATTTTTAAGAAATCATGAACTGAGACCAGCAGCAGACCAACCACAGATGATAAATGTGAGCTGCAGCAGATCTGGGTAGATATTTGGGAACACATCAGTTTTTTTGTTTTTTTCATTCAGAGCTCTAACTGCTCTTATAACTCTCAGAAAGCTACGGTGGCCCTGATGTGCAAAACACAAAAGCAAATCAGAAAACACAACACGGATAGAGAAAACACAACAAGAAATCAGAAAACACAACGACATTCACCGTTGTGTTTTGTCTTTTTCCATTGTGTTTTCCTATTTGCCGTTGTGTTTTCTCTTTCGCTGTTATGTTTTCTGATTTGTCGTTGTGTTTTGCACCTTAGGGCCACTGTAGAAAGCAGTTCACCTAGCTCTGTCAAAAGGAGACAAAATCCACCAACCAGCAAATCTACAGCCATCAAACCAACAAAGTTTAAAGATTCTTCAAATTATAACCCACTCTTTTACTCTAAGCAAAGGATAAATGTGAAGATTACAACTTTCAACACATGCATGAGCAGGATTGATTTCTACAGTAGCCCTGAAGGTCAACTGCATAGACATTTGATGATTGTGCAAACCGTTAGGGATGGGAATCACTAGTGGCCCCATGATACGATATTATCACGATACTTAGGCCACAATACAATATATTGGGGTTTTTACAATTTTCTCAACTGTTTAGCTAATTTAGCATTTGTCTTTGCTTTGTGTTTGTCTAAGACTACGTTCACACTGCAGGTTATGATGCACAATTCAGATTTTTTGTCAAATCCAATCTTTTTGTGCGGTCGTTCACATTACAACAACGAATCTAATGTGAACGAAAAGAGGCCTGAGTCAGATTTGAAAAAATCTGAATTACACTGTTCACACTTAGATTAAAATATCAGATATGTGTCACATATGGTTAAAAAATCGGAATTGATCTGCATTGTGAACATAGCCTTATTTACACTGTATTTTATTTTCATATAGCACATCTTGCAAACCTTATATGTATTTGTTGAACCAACTTTTTCCTGCTCCATTATGTGACATCTGCAAAAACTCACTGGATAAACAGTTGATTTTATTTTTCCAGTATCATTGATTTGACTTCATATTAGCAATTAATTTGAAAAACTGATGCTTGGTCAATGAGTAAATACATTATATCGCCAGACAAAATATTGTGATACCATGCTGTATCAATTTCTTTCCCGGCCCCAACCGACCGCTACAGAAATGCAACTAAAAAACTTTCACAAAATGTTTTTAATAATTACAAATAAAGACTTTAGCTTGAATATCCATGACACATGAAAGCATTTCTTCAAATGCAAACCTGATTAGATCTTGAGGTTTTCTTCATCTGCAGCAGAAGTTTCCCCAAATCTGCAGCCAAAACTTGACAACTGTTTACTCTGAATCAGTGATGAGTCAACATCTACACACAGTTTAAAGACACAACACACTCAGTCTTCACACACACTCTCATGGCTGTGTCTGCAGACACACACACATACAGTCCTGGAGGCCCACTGTCCTGCATGTTTTGGATGTTTCCCTTCTCCAACACACCTGATTCAAATGATCAGCTCGTTATCAAGCTCTGTAATGGCTTACTAACGATCTAATCATTTGAATCAGGTGTGTTGGAGCAGGATGGGGGAGGAGCTTCATCAGTGAGCATCTCTGATCAGCACCCTGAGCTGACCTGGTTTCCATGCTAACATGTCAGTTTACTGACTGGTTCATGACTTTAAAGTGTTAGTGGAGGTTCAGCAAGAGCGTGACTTCATGTGGAGGACTTGGCAGCTCTCTTCTGAAGGATCTTTACATATCTCTGCGTCTCTCCAACCCACCGACCAGGACGACTCTGCGATGATTCACTGACTTGAGTGTTTGGACGAGTCTCTGACCTCTCTTTGGTCTTAGAGTCATCATGTTTAATCTTTCCTGTCTGCTGGGCCAAGAAGACGTCTACAAAGTCCCACATTTGACAAAGATCAGAAAGAGGGCGGCAAGCCAGGAGTAGAGAGAGGAAAACTGAAAGTGTCTGACTGTGAGGAAAGACTGAAGATATGTCTGAGAGGGAGGAGAGGAGCTCACATCAGCTGTTTAAAGAACAGTAAAGCTGCGTGTGAGCGTCTGAGGGCGTCCCAGAAACAGGAGATAAAAGAGTGTAAAACAGAGAGCTGGAGGACTGAAGGACCATGAGCGCAGAGACCCAGCTGTGGAGAATCACACTGAATAACTCTGAGAGTTTGACCTCTTATTAAAGAAACAAGGACAAACTCTGATAAAGTTTATGAGCTCACACAAACACAAAGCTCAGATGTTTTCCAGATGTGTCTCATAATGCTGAGTCATGCCTAACAGGATCTGATAAACTGATATTTCACAGACTGATACGTGGTCTGGAGCAGTCAGACTGAAACCTAAACTGATCGAACAGTTTTGGGATCATCAATCGTCCCAGATTGGGTTTTCTGGCCTTTCTCCGACAGCTCATTTTGAGAACTTTTCAAGACTTTGTCTCAATCTCACATTAGGCTCTGCTGTCCAATGTGTTGGAAGATGTGTCCACCCTGCACCCTCTCACCTGTTAAGACCGTGTCCCTGCTGGTCTTTCTCCTCCTCTCTGCTCTCTGTTGGTCCAGCCTGTCTCTAAAGTCCTCTTTTGGTCCTGAAGGAAGGTCACAGCTGTTTCCTCTTCACAAAGATGAAGACGAGCTTGATTTGAGTCTCAGCTGTAACTGAAATCTGGAGCTGATCACCTTGAAAGACCAGAAAGAAGCTCAGAGCTGGAAACAACTAACAACAGCACAGAGAAGTGCCATAGCTAATGCACATTAAAGGGATATTCTGGTGTAAAATTAACTTAGGGTCAAACACACCGTGACACAGAGTTAGAAAACCCCTCAAGAGATGAATGTTGCCGACTGCTTGCTTCTCTAGTTATACCAACTTTAGTAACAACCCCAAGATAGCAATACACAGCGGTCTACATCTCTATGCACAAACCTCAATCAAAAAGCCACTCTATAGCCACAAATAATGCTCAGAACAGCACCTAACTTCATCAACAGTACATATAGGGTCCTAGCCATAGTACTAGCCATCAAACATCTTTTTAGCTTTTTCTTTAGCGAAGAGACTAAACACAACTCACCTACTCTCTTCCATCAGCCGCTTGTTTGTGGGGGGAGCCCTGGTGAGTGGATCACTGAGTGCAGTGGAGTTTCGCAGCTCAAGGAAGAACATTTATGATCATTACTTTATGGAAATGCAATCAGACCAAGACGCTAAGGCAGCAGAACTACCGCGTCTGCAGAGCAAAATGTTTAATATGATGGTTATTACTTTATGGAAATGAGCCGCTGCAAATAAACGGCTGCTGGAGGAGAGTGGGTGAGTTGTGTTTGGTCTCTTTGCTAAAGAAATCGGGCAAAGCTAAAGAGATGTTTGATGGCTTGCACTATGTCTGGGACACTATATGTACTGTTGATGAAGTTAGGTGCTGTTCTGAGCATTATCTGTGGCTATAGAGTGGCTTTTTGATTAAGGTTTGCGTGTAGAGACGTAGACCGCTGTGTATTGCTATTGTGCGGTCAATACTAAAGCTGGTATAACTAGAGAAGCAAGCAGTTGGCAACATTCATCTCACGAAGGCCTAACCTTCAGGTCACAAAGCTGTGTAAAAAGTAACACCCCTAAGCTGTGACTAAGGCTGTGTTCACACTTCAGGTTGTGATTCACAATTCAGATTTTTTGTTAAATCCGATCTTTTTGTGCGGTCGTCCACATTACATATATACATTTATATCCACATACAAAAGAGACGTGGGTCAGATCTGAAAAAAATCTGAATTGCACTGTTCACACTTACATGAAAAAATCAGATATGTGTCACATATGGTTAAAAAATCGGAATTGACCTGCAGTGTGAACATAGCCCAACTTTCTATAGGTGGACAAGCTGCTAATGAGAGTTTTCAAAGATGCCATGTTGAGGTAAATATGGATTTTTTTTCTTTTTAGTCAAAGTCATGCTAAGCTACTTTATAGGTATCCCAGACGGAGACAGAATGAAAGGTGAGTAAAATAAGTGTAAGTGAGACCACTTATGATTATTCAGTCTGCTAAAGCAGCATTTCAAACAAACACAACTTTCTGACACTGACACATAATAACGCTGATCCTCCATTCATCAAGTATTACCATCTATCAAAGGAGTTTTTTGTCCTTAGAGGCCACCGTCACTTCAATGACTTATAGAGTGAGCAAAGGAGCGTTTAATCTAGAATCCGACTTCTAGATGTCACCAAATATTCCTGTTTCTGCACATTTGAACCTCCCTGCTTCTTAAACACTGTGAAGTTTTCTCCGCTTTAGATTAATCACAGAATGACACAGTTTTCCTCTCATTTTTGGCGAGCGCTCCTCTTCTTCGTCTAACCTCCTGATGATCCCAACTGTGTCGTCATGGTCCTGAGGGAGCCCGAAAACACAAACAGGCTGCTGTCATCACCTGAATCATCACAGACACACACACTCCTATCTGAGTGTGTATGTCTGTGGTTTTTGCTGTCCGTCTGTTGTTAGTCATAAGTTTGTTTTTTCAGGTCAAACGAGGCCGAGAGAGTCGGGTTTTCACTGAGTCTATACGTCCTGGTTTTGATCAGAGCCTCTCCACTCTGAAAAACTGGATCTCTGCAGCTGAAACCAGTTAGACCTGATTTCATCCTCTGAGTGTCTGAGTTTACATCCAGTGATTTTCTCTCTTTCTGCCGATGTACGTTCTCTGGTGGAACTCATGGAAGTCGTCCGGTTTCTCTCATAAAGTCTCTCTTTGTTTTTTTTTTTCATCCCTCAGAGGCCACCGTCCTTAGCTAATGAGCTCTCGGGCCCACGACCCGAACTAATGGGGAGGCTAGGAGTTATTTTTCAGAGAGGACAGATGTTTTCAATCAGCTGCAGCTCCACTCTCAGCTCAGGTGAGACTCCATCACTTCCATGAAGCTCTGCAGAGGTCAAATTTGAGGATTTTAAAAACATTTACGTGAGATTTTAAGGATTAGATCAGCAACACGTGCCAAAGTAGTTGGGACAGGGGCATGTTTACCACTGTGTTACATCACCTTTCCTTTTAACAACACTCAATAAACGTTTGTGAACTGAGGAGACTAATTGTTGAAGCTTTGAAGGTGGAATTCTTTCCCATTCTTGCTTGATGTACAGCTTCAGTTGTTCAACAGTCCGGGGTCTCTGTTGATCGTATTTTACGCTTCATAATGCACCACACATTTTCAATGGGAGACAGGTCTGGACTGCAGGCAGGCCAGTCGAGTACCTGCACTCTTTTACTACGAAGCCATGCTGTTGTAACACGTGCAGAATGTGGCTTGGCATTGTCTTGCTGAAATAAGCAGGAAGGGCGTCCATGAAAAAGACGTTGCTTGGATGGCAGCATATGTTGCTCCAAAACCTGTATGTACCTTTCAGCATTAATGTTGCCTTCACAGATGTGTAAGTTACCCATGCCTTGGACACTAATGCACCCCCATACCATCACAGATGCTGGCTTTTGAACTTTGCGTCAATAACAGTCCGGATGGTTGTTCACAAAGTGGTGAACCTCGCCCCATCTTTGCTTGTGAATGACTGAGAATTTTTGGGGAAGCTGCTTTTATACCCAATCATGGCACCCACCTGTTCCCAATGAGCCTGCTCACCTGTAGGATGTTCCAAATAGGTGTTTGATGAGCATTCCTCAAATTTCTCAGTATTTTTTGCCACCTTTCCAACTCCTTTGTCACGTGTTGCTGCCATCAAATTCTAAAGTTAATTATTATTTGCAAAACAAAATAAAGTTTATGAGTTTGAACATTAAATATCTTGTCTTTGTAGTGTACTCAATTGAATATATGTTGAAAAGGATTTGCAAATCGTTGTATTCTGTTTTTATATGACGTTTATCACAATTTCCCAACTTCAATGGAATTGGGTTTTGTAGATTAGAATTCCACTTTTTTCCCTCTAGGTAATCCAGATTATTCCCATTTTAGTTTTTCAAAAGTAGAAATCTGGAGATAACCCTACATTTTTGGATGGTAAATATCTTGATAACTCTTACTAAAACAACACACCAAGGGATTATTGGAATAAGAACTGGAACTGAAGCTTCATCTGATCAGATTTCTGAGCTGAACTGTTTTTCAAGATTTGAAACCATGTGACGGGTTTTAATCCAGTTAGTTCTGATACTTCTGTCTTCCTTCTGCAGCGTTCATCTCCTCATACCTATAAATATGTGATTTTTGTCTTTTCTATTTAGAGCAGTGGTTCTCAAGTCCAGTCCTGGACACCCACTGTCCTGCATGTTTTGGATGTTTCCCTGCTCCAACACACCTGATTCAAATGATCAGCTCGTTAGTAAGCCATTACAGAGCTTGATAACGAGCTGATCATTTGAATCAGGTGTGTTGGAGCAGGGAAACATCCAAAACATGCAGGACAGTGGGCCTCAAGGACTGGACTTGAGAACCACTGATCCAAAGGTTCCTTTATCTCATATGATTGTCAGTTATTAGTACAAAAACACAAACATTTATTACATCCAAACAATAAATCGCCACTAAAACAGAAAATAATCTAGGAAAACCTAAATTTATCTGATTTTTCTATCTATCACAGAGGAAAAAATGACACAAGAAACAATTAATGTGATGTTTTTGTACATTTTTTTTACAGAATAAGAATTTTATAGTTTATTATTTTTAAACCTGCTTAGCTGAAATCCTTTAGTGTCTGCAGGAGCTGCTGTTTCCCTCCTCTTCATGCGTCAGTCGCAGCTTTCTAGGTCACTTCCTCTTATTAGTTCTTTATACTGTGCAGACTCACTGCAGGGACTAACTCCTCACACTCACACACACACACACACACACACACACACACACACACACACACACACACACACACACACACACACACACACACGCTGTGGCTGTGAAGGAGTAGGGGAGGGCGGGCTCAGAGTGAGACCCTCAGACTGCTGCCAGGTGTCTCATTAAACTCACAGTCATCACAAGTGTGTGAAGGCTCAGACACAGTTAACACACACAGATGCAGACTTACAGGCTCATATAGAGGTGCATAATGAACACAAACACACACGCACATGCAGCAGGGACCAGAACTTCCAGTCTGGAGCTTTTAAATAAAATGTGCATTTGATGTTTTACAGATAGAGCTCCATTTTCTTCTGCAGAAACCAGCCAAATGTCCTCTCTTGTGAAGGGAAGTTAAAGCGTTGATCCATGTGGAGAATCTGCAGACATCTTCAGTGTCAAGGAGGAACTTTTTCCCTCTAAATCTATCGATCAACTTCCTCTCCTCCCTCCTGACCTAGATCCTCCTCCCTTGTTTCCTCAGCTGTGGACAAGGATCTCATCCAGATTGTTTATCTCCATCAGCAGAGATGCTCTGTCTGCTCAGGTTGGAGCTCATAGATCCAGAGGATCAGAGTGCAAACACTGATGGATGTCAGCTTTAGACTCCACATATAGGTTAATAAAGTTCAGTCTGATGTTTAAAACCACATGTGTAGGAAAAAGAAGGCAGAGAAGAGTAGGAGGATCTGCAGAGTTCATCAGCCTCGAGTAGAGCTTTCTAAACTTTTCTGCAGACCCTCCTCTTAGTGAATGATTCCCCTCACCCTCCTCACACACATCACCACATAAACTCCTAACATTCATCGAGCCACAGAAAGACCACTCTGACTGTAAATGACTCTTATAGCTGTTAAAGAGTTTATCTATAAACAGTCCTCTCATCAGACACATACCTAGACACATCGTTATCAAATATACATTTTAATGTCAACACTGTTAATACATAATGTATAATGTACATTAACCACCTGTAATAGAGAGGGCAAAGTTGATTCTGATTTTGATTAAACATCTGCATATGTGCACTAAAGCACACTATCAGACCGGCCCTTTGCAAACAAATACCCACAGTTGCAGATGTTCCTGCGGCATTGTCTGCTAAAAATACAAAACTACAACGTCAGAGTGACATCAATCTGATAAATAACAGGCCACTTTTGCAGGTAGCGTTTAAAAGTGATGCTACAACATGCCAGACATGGGACCAAGTCACACATGTCCAAGTCTCAAGTGAGTCTGAAGTCCATTTTTCTTGGGCAAGTCAAGTCGAGTCAAGTCGCCTTGTAACACACACAATCTGATATTAATAAAGTATAAGGAGAAGATATCATCAGTTGTCACATAATGTTATTGGCCAATTTATCTAATGACAGCATGGACCTTCATGATCTGTTTTCAAGTCATTTTAGTAGTCTTTTTTGCTTCTAACTACTCCATTTTTAAACCAGTACTTCATTTAGTCCATCTCAAACCGTATTTAATTGGTTACAGAACCTTATATTACTCAGTTTTAACCAAATCTTTAGGTAGGCCGACCTCAAGCCATCGTGTCTAAGGTCAAGTTAAGTCCCGAGTCTTTAACTTCCAAGTCCAAGTCAAGTCCCGATTCTGTCATATTTTTTCAAGTCAAGTTTCAAATTATCAAAACAGCGACTTGGAGCCGACTCGAGTCCAAGTCACAATGACTCGAGTCCCCATCTCTAAAACACGCGTCCATGTTTTTATTCTGACTGTTCTGTATGCGATGAGAAATTATTCAATTAGTATGTTCGGATGTGACTGTTTGATTTTGACAGAAGAATTCAAGCAGCAACCCTCAGTTGTCAGCAATAAAACCAATGCAAAAGTGTGTAACTGCAGTTCCAAGAGTGTCCACTAGAGGCTGGTTGCAAAAGCACCTAAAGCCACATACACATCCAATCAAAAAAGGCTCATTTTTAAAGTAGAAATAAACATGTTTACAGCCAGGTTCTGGTTTGAGTAGCTTGTTTCTCTTTGGCAGCTAACTACAAAATCGAGGTTATGAGTTTTTTCCTGATCAGGGGTTTAATGTTGATTGTTTGGAGAGAACAGAGAAATGTGTGTCAGCTCTGGTGGAAACTGTCAGATAAGTGTGTTTGGGTTATTTCAGAGGATCTTCGGTTCTTCTTGGATGTGGGCGCTGATGTTTGTGAGGGAGTGAGATGTTTGTTTTTCTGCGCAGCTCTGTGCCTGCAAGGTGTGTGTTAGAGCAGATGTTATTCCTGCTCCCTCGGTGTGTGTGTGTGTGTGTGTGTGTGTGTGTGTGTGTGTGTGTGTGTGTGTGTGTGTGTGTGTGTGTGTGTGTGTGTGTGTGTGTGTGTGTGCGCAGAGGATCACAGAGGATTGATGGAAACTTCAGTGATTTCTGGCTCCGCTGAGATGAAGAGTCCTGAGTGCAGCGAAGAGAGAATGAGATTACAGCTGGCAGATTTCCTAAGATAATTATTCAATTTAAAGACATTTTTGTGAGCAGAAGAATCTTCTTCTTTCTGGAAAGGGAAAGGGCGAGGTACAGTTGAAACTTAAAGGGCCTTCTTTTTTAATAGATTTGACTTTTGCTTTGTTTCTCAAAAGAAATTTGCTTGCTGAAATCTGGAGCAAAATGCAACGAAATGTTAAAAAAGTAAAGATTGAAGATTTTGGCCAGAAGAGTCGTAGGCTGCAGTTCCTCTGATGACCACTAGAGGCCAAAAAAAGTAAGTGGAAGTGATAATATGAGCTGCAACATCCCTGAATGTTCCTCTAAAAGCTGCTCAAGCGCGCTTGGCTCGCACTGTGGACTTGAGTACCCTGGGTGAGATGGTCCAGCTTTTGTGAATTGGGACGGTCTACCCTTTGGAGGACTTCCTGGTTGGGTCGCCAATTGTCCCCACCCTCAGGCTCACGTCACGATTGACTTGAAGAAAAGCGGCGGAGCTGTGCAACACCACTCAGGGACAGTTGCACACATTTCATCTAATGATTGCATATTTTGTATGGAGTATGAGGGCCATATTGAGATTTTTTTTTAAAGACTTTGAGATCAAAGTCATTTATTTATGAGAATAAAGTTGTCAAGTTACCTGTTATTTTAAAGGAGAGTTGTTAAAATCAGGGCCATGAAGCATTTGAAGGAACTGTGCTTCAGTATAGGTTTCACAAACGAGGAGATACTTCATCCTCCAATTAGGAGATACTTCAACATTAGCATTACATTGTCATAAGTATAAAGACTTTAAAAAGAATATACGAGAAAAGGGTCTTTTCCACAGGGGAAAAAAAAAAACTGGTGTACTTGAAGGAAATCGCTGCTTTAGTGGTGGCAGAAATGAGGATAAATCAGTCAATGTAGCCGTAAATAGCCGTGAATGACATTGAGCTTTAGTTTATGATATGCATCTATATGCCATAACAAGGTGTTGGTGTCTCTGCAGGTGTAGGCTACCGCCGGTAACAAATGTTGATCATCATCAGTTTGATTGTTTCTTCAGAAACAACAAAAACTCTCTTAATGACCCACTGATACATTCACAGATAACCCTGCAGTTGACCAGTTCCAGCAATTTCCCCCTCCACAAAAGCAGCTTTATGACTTTATTTACTTTGTGACTTAATTTTTCTAAATTCACAACTTTAATCTCTAAGTCTTTAAAATCCTTAAAGTGGCCCTGATACTCCAATGTAGTTTTGTCAGCTTTCTCGTTTTTAATGTTTTTGATTTTGGTAACAGAGCGGATCAGTTCTTTTCTAAAGACTATAATGTTTGGTTGCAGCTGCAGATTTTAGTGAGTTCAGAGATCATGCTCTCATACAGCCTGAGCTGACTGTCTGCTGTTTTTGGATTTATTCTATTTTCTTTGAAGATGCGCTGCATCTCCAAGCGAGTCCGGCTTTTCACCTGTAATGCGCAGCTGTGCAGCGGCACTTGGTATTCTGGGATACCAAGGCCACAAAAGTGAGCATAAATGCACGCTTGAAAAAGGGGCGGGGGTAGTGTGGTTTTGGGACCACATATTAAGCGTGCTCAAGAACCTAATGGGACACCCTTCGCGCCGCGTGATGATGTCATGCACCCTTGAAATCCGCCGTTCGACAGTGAAGACCCTGACTTGAGACACAGCTTCTGTTTCCCTCCTTTTCTCAGTGTTTTATTCTTTAGATCAGTTTTCAGTGTTTCCTGTTTTATTTTGTAGTAGTCAATCCTTGTGTGTGTAGTCTAGTTTTACTTCTAACTTATTGCACTCACTTACAAAAATAAAAAGAAAGTTTTTTTTCTTTGCTGTGTTTCAGACATTTTTTTTCTTCTTCCTTTTTTTCTGACTATTTTTTTCTTCTGTTTTTTTGTACTAAATTTTTTCCCCTCTTTCTGTTTTTAGGACAATTTTTTTCTTTTTTTTTTTTGTTTTGTTTACGTCTTTCTGTTTTCCAGACACCTTTTTTTTCCTGACTCAATGAGATACTTCAAAATCCTGCGAGAATCACATACAATCAGATAACGTTAACCACTGTTGCTACTTCAAATCAGCGGATTCTCCAGCTCCCAGATAACTTTGACTTCGGGGTCGATGAGAGTAAAGCATATTATTAGTTAAACATAGGGTATGCAAATCCTGAGGTGCCTACACAAAGTAGACAAACTTCTGATGATTCAATCTATCTGACTTAAAGAGAGGAGTATCTCTGAGTGTCTCACAAAAGAAAGTAAAACTTGACTAAAAAAAATTAGTCCAAAAAACAGAAAAGGAAAAAAGAAAACAGTCTAAAAAAAACAAACAAACAAAAAAAAATCTTTTTTGACAGATCTATAAAAATGGCAGCATAATGCCTCTTCTGTCATGTTGTCATATTGTAAAATTAATACATTTGCAGTGTTTTTCAATCTCTGTGCATTTCTGTTTTTGTGTTTGTTCTCTACATGTCTGACTCTGCAGCACTGATCTTTTGGACCACTGTAATTGTTTTACATTAGCACATTACTTTAACCTTGACAGTAACATGCTCTAGTCTTGGCAGGTGAAGAAAATGTGCAGAGCTCTGGAAAGCGTCCAAAAGTCCTCTCAGAGAGTTGCGAAATGAACTCCCCCTTTTTTTTTTTCAGGAAACCTTTCAGGAGAAACAAAAAAGTCTTATGTTTGAGTGACACACATCAGGTTGCCTCCGGCTCCAGGTCGAGCTTTTACACGAGGTCAGGACTCTACCGGCGATGAGAACATGAGTGGAGGTTTTGTTGTAAAGGCCGACACATGTTCATGCTCAGAAATCTGTTCAGAGGTGAGCAGGTCGTCGAGGATTTCCCATGCAGACTGTTTTCTTTTCTTGTCCTTGGGTTGTAAAGCTGATTTTTCTTGGTGTGAGGAGGTTTTATTTCTTTCTCTACACCTGTTTGTTCTTCTTCTTCTCTGTGAGGCTGAAATGGAGCAGTGCGAGGATAAATCTGCAGGGATGGAGCTTCTCTGCTCTCTGAAAACAGTCCTGAGGGGAGGGAGGATGAAGATCTGATCCTTTTACCTTCTGCTGCAGAGTCAGCCTCCTCTCTGCAGATGTTGAGGATTTCGCCTCCTAACATGCGGGTGTCAGGCTTCCCCTGGTGTTTACGTAACCAGCCCCAAGCCGGCTGAACGTCAGTCCAAGCAGGTCGTCACCAGATCTTAGAAAGTCGCCCTGAAAACATACGAGAGCCACATGTGTGACTGAGAGATTTACAGCGTGTGGACAGGCAGGAAAACTCTCACAGGTTCTTTTATTACCTCTTTCTTTCAGTGCGTCTCGCTCTCACGGGCTTACAGTCAGATTTATTCACGCACACACACGCAGTCTGTCCCGTAGAGTCAGTGTGTTCACAGGTGGGTCGCAGCACCTGGTCAGACCCACAGGCTCCCCTCATCCTCATTTCCACCATGTGTAAAAACAGTAACATCTGTTTGAATGGAGCTTTAACATGATCAAAATAAAACCTGAGTCAGGATGGAAATATTTGGGATGTTTTATCAGGTAAAAGTGCAGGAAGTGTCGAATCTCTGCAGCAGATTGTTTCAGCCTGCGGCAGAGAATCAGGCTCGCTTTAGCAGCTTCACTTATTTCCTTACATTTGAAAGTAGGGGAGACTGGGGACAGTTGCAACACTTTTTGCTTTTTTCTCAATTACTCAGAGATGATTTGGACAAGGCCAACCATTTATTTAAATAGTAAATTTACATCTGTCCTCTAATTCTCCATACTATTTCAATATGATTACATCAGACAGATTTTTCACAAAATTCATTCAAAAAAAAAGTCACAGTTGCAACACACCTGATTCAAATGATCAGCTCGTTATCAAGCTCTGTAGTGGCTTACTAACGAGCTAATCATTTGAATCAGGTGTGTTGGAGCAGGGAAAAATCCAAAACATGCACGACAGTGGACCTCAAGGACTAGACTTGAAAACCATTGCGTTAACTAAACACACTGTTTTTAACAAATGCTAACCATGTAACTTAGAAATCAACTAAACAATGAATAAAACTAAACTGTGATTAATTCATGCAAACAGTCAGGACAGGATGACAAAAATAAACCCATACATCTTCTACCGCTTATTCCCGTTGGGGGTTGCGGGGGGGCTGGAGCCTATCCCAGCATCTATATATCTAAGGGCTGACATATTGAGATGAACAACCATTCATACTCAAATTGTGGGAGGAAACCGGAGTTCCCGGAGTAAACCCACGCAGACACAGGGAGAACTCCACACAGAAACACCCTGACTGAGGTTCGAACCCAGGACCTTTTTTGCTGTGAGGTGACAGTGCTAACCACTACACCACTGTGCTGCCCGACAAAAACAAACCACATGAAAAAAATTACTTTCATACATCAAAAACAAGTTTTTTTCCAATGAATCCAGAAGACGATCTAAATGTGTCTTCTGTCCTGCTGGTGTGGGGGAGGGTCCATCTGAGCATCTGCAGTGTCAGTGTCATCAATCTAGCATGTTTCTGATTGGAGGAATAAGCCTTGTTGCAACCGTACCCAGTCTCCCCTACTTTTTTTTATTTAAATGAAGGATTTTGGCAAAAGAAGGGAAAATAATTGACTCAGGGATGCCAGAATTCTTTGGTAGCAGATGAAACGAGAGGCATTTCTCAGACTTTTGTACTTCTTTCCACAAACATATAAATAAGATAAAAATCTGAATATATCTTTTAACTACAGTCGTTTCTCCAAAGCAGGAAACTTTTTTTTTTTCTGTGAACTCTCTGAAAGTGTTTGTCGTGATGTGAGATGGTTTATGTCTAAATGATCTGGATACATAGAGCAGTTGTAGTTATATATGGTTAAAGTCGTAAAAACAGAAAGCAGCCGCAGCATCTCAAGATCAGAGAAAGTCTCTGTTCTGGTTGTTTCTGTCTGATTAAAGCGACCACACTTCCTCTGCTGATAGAAAGTCTCTCTCGACTGCGGCCTTTCTCTCTGGTTTTTATAGATCTCCTCTCAGGCTGGTCCTACTTTTTGCAGTGGAGGCAGATTCCTGTGGTGTGTGACCCTCTCATCACCGACCAAACCTCACTAAAGGAATCCTCGTTTTACAGAGGAAAGATGCAGAACTCAGCAAAATAATCCCGATTAAAAAAACTCAAGAGATCAATGAAGTTTGCAGCCCGTCCGCTGTAATGCGGCTTTTCATTTCCTGCGTTTTGCATGTGTTATGTGATGCTACTGTTAAAACACCTTTGCAGACTAAAAGACGGGGGCCTAAGAGGTGTTAAAGTGCAGCGTTTGCTCTGTTCCCTGCGGAGAGGGGGGCTGGATCCTGCAGGTGAAGCCCTCTCATTAACACTGACTCATATCTGCACTGGAAAAAAGAGCATGCACAGGCACATACGGACTCTCAGAGGGATAAAAACATGGAGTCACACATTAAAAAAGCAGAAGTGAACAGCCGGAGGGAAGTTCCAGGGTGTCATTTCATGGAGCAGCAGCAGATCTGATTTTATGGCGCTTTATTTCTGCCATGAGCTCATGATTCGGATATTTCAGCTCGCTGATGTTAGATTCCTGATCGTCGTTCTTCAAACATCTCCTGAGCTGTTAGCTTTGGCCCCATGAGCTCCTCCTTTCCTTCCTCTCCTTCCCTAGAAATCTCCATCACACGTTCCCGACGCCGTCCTCAGAGTCCCTCTTTGTGGCATATTTAGTTTGGAGGTCAAGGGTCACAGAGGGACGGTTAGCTGAGGGCTGAGAGCCTCCACATCCATCAGAGTGTGGCTGATAGCACACCTGCACCAAAACCACATCAGAGGAAGACCGATGAGAAAGAGAGAGAGACTGTGTATCATCAGAGCAGCACAGAGGAGGTTTTATCTGCAGGATGGATGTTTGAAAAAGTTCCTGAAACTTTCTGCAGAGGAGTACAGATCGGATACTTCCGAACATTCCCTTGAATTCCACTTTATCCAAAGATTATTTCTCCTTACAAGGTTTTCTTGCTGAGTGCATGTAAGTGCACAGTGTCACAGTGTTGGTGGAAAGTGAGGTGCAAAGTCCAAAAAGTATCTTATTTTCCTGCGAAAGTTCCTTCACTGTCAGGGGGAGCTGCATGGACACAGATTCATTTTCTTGCAGCCTCTCTGGAAGTCAGGGTAAAAGTCAGGCTAAATAACAAGCTAATCCAAATAATCTACCTTGAGCTCTCTGTGCACAGATGAAACAGTAGGGGAGACTGGGGACAGTTGCTACACTTTTTGCTATTCTCTCAGTTACTCAGAGATGATTTGGACTAGGCCAACCATTTATTTATAGAGTAAATTTACATCTGTCCTTTCATTCGCCATTCCGTTTAAATCTGATTACATGATACAGATTTTCATTATATTCATTAAAAAAGTCAACTGTTGCAACCAACCCCATCCCTGGGACGGTTGCAACATGTAATAAATCCATTCAATTTCCATTTTATTTTTGTCTCAATGAGCATATTGGTCTGAGAATATGTATTATTTATGATATTTATGATTGACGATAATGTAATTACAAAATGTTATAGTATTCTTTATTCATTAATCTAATATACAAGATTGAGTTTTGTTTCTTTTGCATAAAACATGGCCTACTTTGAATCAATGTGCAGATGTTACAGATTTCAATGTTTGTAAGTAGATTGTAGATTTTACCAAGATACAAATACAAATCTTGATGCTAATGTAACATTGAGTATCATGCAACACTAGTGTTGCAACTGTACCCAAGTGGTCAGCCATGACAAAACACCATGTGTTAACTAAACAGACAGTTTTTAACAAATGCTAACCATGTAACTTAAGGTCCTTACACACCGAGTACAATGCAAATATACGATGCGGAATTACAGAATATTCGGAGGCGGATTTTAACGCTCCTGACTATACACATCAAGCCCAATGCGATTTTGCAACTTTCTGGGGAGAAAATAGACGTGTCCTGGGTGGAAGTGAGAAGACTGACACAACAGCAGTCTGACTGTTTTTCAGTTCTGATTAGTCACTAGTGTTGAGATGATTGTCTGTCATGATAGCCTCTGAGTATCAGTGTCATCAGTCTAGCATGTTTTTGATTGGAGGAATAAGCCTTGTTGCAACCGTCCCCAGTCTCCCCTACCATAAAGGCTCCAGAGACTCTTCCTTTGAAAATTATTTTTTATATCTAAATTATATATTTTTTCTCATTCTGCAGACTTTGGGCTAATTATTGCTGCTCTAAGTGAATTACCCAAACTCCCCAGGCCTAAACAAAGTGTTCTGATTCTGTAGAGTAAAACTGACAGAAAAAGGAAGCTTCAATTTTGGAGATTTATTAGGAATGCATGTGTAAAAATGCCTGAAACGATGCCAAATTCAAAGATTCACACCCAGAACCATATTTATAGTATCAGGAATATGTGGCCTACATTTTAAAAAGGATCTGCAGGAACATGGGAAAAAGGAGAAAGGAGGTCAAGAAGGTCTGGTTCTGTTCTGGTGCAAAATCTGACCCATGAAATAGATCAGTTACTTCAAGAGATCTCTTAAAAGTAGCAGAAAACATAAAATGATGTGAAGATGATGCTGGGAGACCATCAGTTTATAAGAGTTTTCTACTTTATACGTGTAAGTAGAACAAAAGTATATAGTTGTAATCAAACCAGGGTTATCTGAGGTCGCTCTCTTCCTCTCATTCTGACCCCTTATTTCATCGCAGCCTCTGATTTATCTGCATCTCAGCCTCTGCAGTTTGTCTTCCACTTCAGCCTTCCGATTTCCTCCTCTTTCTCCATCCAGCTGTTTTTTAACTGTAAACTTTAGCGGTAAATCTGACTCCTCATATTTCCAGTATGACTCACCTCTGAATCCCAGCAACGCTAACCGAGCTTTCTCACACTCAGCAGATTAGTCAGGACCCCAAAAACTCTCTGCAGCCTCTCCTGCACAAACTCCTGACTCCTCCTGTTGCTCCAGCTCTGTGCTGCAGAAACTCAACTTCTCTCACTTCTCACTGGAGACCCACAGAGAGCACTGAGACCCTGCAGTTTGACCCAAACTTTCTAATTCGAACTTTTAACTCCTGTGGGCAAATTTCTACTTTGTTTTAAACTAGTAAAACTCATCTTGAAGTTTCTTCTTTTTGCTTTTTTTAATTTTCCCCTCATGCTCAAATGGAATATCTGGAGTCCCCAAAAGAGAGGATATCACAGTTTTGAGGTAAGAGCATTTTTATTTTATTACAGTGTCTGATATGCTATTATTAACTATTTAGGGAGCACTTTGGCTGCTTTTGTACAACATAGTTAATCCTCATCCATTCATGCGGAGATGGAGGCGCAGAGATAGCCCCGAAATGTGTGCCAAGGTCTGATCAGCGCTCCGGAAAATCTAATTAATCTCTCAAAGATGGACTTTCATTCAAACTCCACTTACTTGCCTAGTTTTTCTTTTACTCTCCAGTGCCCCCGTTTTCATTAAAGTGCTCTCGGTCGATAATAACGATTGTTCTAACATTTTTATTCAAGTTTTTGCCTGGACAGTTCCTGTAACACCTCCTCCCCGTGGATTAAAGATGGACCCCCTCACCCTGCGCGTCCTCCAGACTCTCCTGGTCCTGGTCCTGGTGGTTTTGCCCCCTGTTGCCCCCGCTCCCTGCCCCCGGTCCTGCTCCTGCCCCCAGCCCACTGAGGTCCACTGCACCTTTCGCTCCCTCCTCACCATCCCGGCTGCTGTACCCAGACACGTGGAGCGCATGAACCTGGGGTCAGTGCGACCACAGCGATGACAGATGATGGTATAGAACAGCATCATTGTCAGTAAATGAGGGTTAACTGTGGTTTAATATTCGTTTTAGGTTCAACAGCATCAACAGAATCACAGAGAAATCCCTCTCGGGTTTGAGGAAGCTGGAGCTGCTGATGGTTCACGGGAATGACATTCACAGTCTTCCTGATGGTGCGTTCAGGGACCTTACTTCACTTCAGGTAAACCTCAAATCCCCATGAACGTCTTACTTGATGGATGGGTAATGTCGTGCATGAATCCCCTGCAGTGTGGCTTTGGACCTGTAATATTCTTCACGTCCAGCAGGGGGCGAAGAGTGAGTGATTGTATAGAATTCTTTGAAAAAATAATCCTTCCTCTCAGATGATCTATTCCTTCAGGAATCATTATTCTAATGAGTTTATAGTCTTAATTTGTAGTTCACATTCTTCTTTATGATATTTATTCAATAAACTATGGTCCATCAGAAATTACATGGACCGGAAAGCAGTGTAGGCTTTGCACAGCCTGGGACAAGGAAAGACATGTTGCACCCCAACTGTAGCCGCTATTTGTGGATAATGTGGCAATAACATTACTTTGTATTTTTTATGCATGCTGCTAGTCTGCTTTGACTTTCTTCAACATCTTTAATTTTGGAGATTTTATGCTATGGAGAGTAGTGATAGGCAGTAACCCGTTGGAAGCAACCAGCACTGTAATCTGATTACTTTTTTCAAGTAATTCGTAAAGTAGGTCGAAGGGATTAAAACGGCAAAAACAGGTTGGATATACCGGTGAATCTGACGTCGCAACAACACGCAATCTGATTGGTCAGAAGTGGACACACAGTATGCAAAACTTTAGAAAATTCGACCATGACACCAAAAAATAAATGCCGCAATATCGCAGGACGGGAAAACATCGCCGATGTGAACGCTTGTATTGACAGGATACAGGTTCGAAAAAAAATATTGACATCCACACAAAAAAAAAAAAACGGTCCCGGTGTGTAAGGACCTTAAACCGCGTAACCGTCAGGTTAATCCTGACAATGGCGTGTGAGCAGAGCGATGATAGTGGTAAACAACAGACACGTGTAGTAATGATTAACAAGAGACAACATGGAGCGCAGGAGAGAGCAGGACCATGCAGCGTTTAATGCTCAGAAATACCGACATTATCTTGAGTTTGACTCGGTAAAAGATGACGAAAACATTAGGGTACGCTATTCACTCTGTGTGGGAAAAGAACTTCGACAGCATCTACAGCAAAAAATTCCACCTGGAATCTGAGCAAGCACCTAGAAAGCAGCACAGTAATGTGAAACTCACTGCAAAAACCCCAGATTCTGCCACTGACATGACCTCTGCGGCTACCTCATACTATTCAAAAGATTCAAACAAATGAGACAAGTTTTTAAGAAGTGACTTCTAATTTGATTCAATTTTCTATGATGGAATATGCAAAATGAATAGAATTAGGCTGAAAGGTCTAGGTATTTAGGTTGCGCTTCATGATTTTGGAAAGTAACTAAGTAAAGTAATTAGTAAAGTAGAAGGTTTACTTTCTTGGAGAAGTAATCACAAATCAGTGACTAATTACTATTTCCAAATAACATGACCAACACTGGGCGGGGCTGGAAACAGCAGAAAGGGTGGGCAATGACCATTCAAAGATTAGTTCGACATGAGTCATGCAATTCAACCTCTAAGCCGAACCAGTGTCACCACTGTTTATTTTTAAATGTGGTTACTGGAAGTTCATGTTTGAGACTTTCTGTTTCTGTTGATTTTTGCGCCCTCAGTGGTCAAAGTGATACCTCTGCTATCAGCTGATTTTGTTTTTTTTACATGTGCAAGTCCTGTTTTCAACAAAAAATCTCTATCTATTTGTAAAAAAATTAAAATTTAATTGAAGTTTTTTATCTGCAATGTAACCTGCCAGCAGTTCAAGATGGGAGAAATGATCACGAGAAGAAGTCATCAACGTTTGTGTAGATGACATTGTTTATATCATAGGGCTGGGCAATATGGCCTCAAATCAATATCACAATATATTAAGCAGTTCACCTCATTAACAATAAATGGACGATAACTACTCCACAAGCTGCTCACCCCCTCCCACATTAACTTTGTCTACTTCAGCCGTCGCTCCAGCCGCTACAACCATACAGACTGGATGGGGTGGAGTCACGTCTCCGACATAGGACAGCGTCTTAAAGAGACATGAGACCATAGCCTACCTACACACATCCAAAACCAACTTTTATTTATTTATTTATTTATTTATTTATTTGACACTGGATATATTGACATGGGCAAAATGACATTGGTTATTGACGTGAATTTCGGTATCAGTAAATTTTCGGTTTATCGCCTAGCCCTATCACATCAGTATTCATTTCAGTCTGTTTTATAACCAACAAAACCCTCAGAGGTGCTTTGAATATATAAAATAAAATAAAATCTTCCTGGACAGCCTTTGCCACTATTTTAGACGATAAATCATGGAATCAAAATACCACTTAAATACTTGGATGAAATGTTAGGTGGCAAGTAACATTGCAACAACAAAAAGTCAATCATGTACACTGCAAGGCTCCAAGTTTCCAAGCAGACTTGCTCTTCATTAGACTTGGGGGACACCATTTAGCACCACATTTGGTACATGTGATTGCACCTGCAGTGTGCAAGCCATCTTTTTGCAGTTGCAGTATTTCTTGCAAATCAAAATATTCAAATATCAGAATATAAAATACTGGCATTTTGGTTTTATCCATAAATCCTCCATATAGTGGCAAAGGCTGTCCAGATCATGGTTTCAGGATGTTTTTCTTTTCTGTTTCTTGACTCACCTCCCGCCCTCTTTGGTTTAAATGTGCATGTTGCCTATTTTTTGTGCAAGATGTAAAGCAGAGTGCTCCCTAAAGACGTTTAAATCTTGTGGATAAAAGGAGCCGAGTGATACAAGACTGCATACTGACATGAAAACACTTCCAATCCAACCCAAATTTAAGTGGCTGCAATTTCCAAGTGGCTGTGCAAAAGGCTTGCTAAAAATGATGGTTATGACCCCATGATGATAATGGCTTTTCTCAGACAAAATTATGCCGTGAGACCAGACGCAGAGTGAACATTTTATTTTGAAGGGTGAGTGTTTTCGATGTTGATTTGAAAAACTGAAAGAGCTCAGACCTGTGTTTCTATGACAGAAACTTTTACAAAATGTAGTGGAGCCAGTTATCCAGAGTTTGTGTGCAGCCATGAACATCCTAGAGAAGGTTGAAATACAGAAAGTGTGCAGTTAAAGACCTCTCACCTGCTCGGCAGGAAAAGAGTCTGAAGGTGTTGAAATTCTGGATCTGAGGTTCACAATATGGTCCTTTCTAAAGCTGACCTTGTCTCTCTTCATTGGTTCAGATGTTGAAGATGAGCTACAACAAACTGACAGAGATCCACAGACACACTCTCCAGGGTCTCTGGTCCTTGGCGAGGTTACACTTGGACCACAACCGGCTGGAGTTCATTCATCCGGACTCCTTCCAGGGCCTCACCTCACTGCGGCTGCTGCAGCTGGAAGGAAACCGACTCCAGCAGCTCCACCCGGCCACTTTCTCCACCTTCACCCTGATGGGACACTTCCACGTCTCCACACTGAGACACCTGTACCTGTCAGACAACGGGCTGACCTCCCTGCCCTCCGGGCTGGTTGCCACCATGCCTCAGCTGGAGAACCTGCACCTCCATGGGAACCCATGGACCTGCGACTGCAGCATGAGGTGGTTCCAGGACTGGTTTAAGGCCTCACCAGGTGAGGCTGACTTTGCTATTTGCTAAGAGAAATTACCTAGTGGCTGCATGAACACAGGGCACTTTTTTTCTGATTAAGAGTTCCTGGAAAAAAACTTTTGCCACTTGTCCACTTTTCTCATCAAAGCACTCAGTGAAAATGTAAAACTATTTAAGACCGTCTGACTGGGCTGTAATTTTTCCTACAGGGGTCCTGAAATGTAAAAAGGACAGGGCGCTCCCCGGCGGTCAGCTCTGTCCGATGTGCTCATCTCCCAGGCATCTTCAGAGGAAAGAGCTCCAGGCTGTTGAGGATCTGGTCTGCAGCAGCCCCATCATCAACTCCCCACAGAGGACTTCTCCCCCAGATGAGGTCCAGAGTGAGGTCCTGACCTCGGAGGCCTTCAGGGAACCATTTGGAAATATCTCCATGGGCCTGTCAGATGAACATGGGAACGAGGTGGATCTGGAGTGCAGTGTTGGTGAGCCCAGAGAGCTCACTAGGGTCAACTGGGAGCAGATGGACCCGCTTCACCTGGCCTCCAACATCACCTTCTCTGTTGATCTTGAGTGTGCTGTTGATAGAGAAAGATATGAGCGACTTTGGCGACTGATTGCATACTACAGCAGCGTACCAGCTCATTTACAGAGAGCAGTTATGCTGAAGAAAGAGCCTCATCCTACATACGTGTACAGACAGGACTCTGAGAAGGATGCTCAGTACTACACCGGCGTCAAAGTCAACATGATGGCCCAGCCGGCGTGGCTAATGCAGAAATCTGCCGATCTTCAGCTGAACAGACTGCAGTCATCAGCCAAAGTTGTCAAACTGATCCTGAGCGCTGATTTTTCTGAGACTTTGGAGGCTGAGCTGGTGCGGAGACAGAGGAGGACATGGGTCATGATCGAGTCGACGAACACAACTCGTAAAGTGCTGAGCGCGATTCTGGGACGCCCAAGTCAAATGGACTGTAACGTGCAAAGTTCAGGACAAGCAGTCATCCAGTGGATGCTGCCAGATGGCTCGAAGGTGGAGGCTCCGTATAGCGGTCCAGACAACAGGGTGTCTGTGTCTGCTGACGGTCAGTTGGTGATTAAAACTGTCAGTCACTCTGATGCTGGAATGTACTACTGCACTGCAAAGATTCATGGAGATCTAGCTGTCACACCTTTCCATCTAGTAGTTCAGGAATCTTCTAAAACTTCTCAAGGAGACGAATCTTCAATCACAGCTGTCGAGGGATTTGCGGGGAGCCCCATTTCTCTGCCTTGCACCACATCTGGTTCCCCTGATGCTGAAGTGAACTGGTTTCTACCCAGCGGCAGCATAGTTAGCTTTAGAGCTAACTCTTCTAGAGCTTTCGTCTACTCCAATGGCACCCTGTATATCCCCCAGAGTCAGCTTTCGGACAATGGTTTCTACAAATGCATTGCCATGAATCAGTATGGTGCAGACACACTGGCTACAAAGGTCACTGTCATCAGGCGGCAAGGACTGGTGAGACCTTTGAGGAAGTTTCCAGCAAGGCCGCAATCAGCTTCAGGGGTCAACACTCAGATTAAAGTCTCCTCAGAGGACATAGAGGAGGGATCAGGGGACGTGGAGGCTCCAAAACGCACACCGGATGCTACGAGAAGAAGGATCCCTGGAGGTATGGTTCCAGGCAGGAGGGGCGTCCATCCATCAAGGAATATTTGGAGAAGGCCAACAGTGATTCGTAAACCAGCAGGATCCCAGACTGAAGAACGCAAGAACATAATCGACAGCAGGAGGAAAGTCAACGTGTCAAAGAGTAAAATAGACCCAGAAAAGTGGGCGGACATTTTGGCGAAGATCAGGGATAGAAATGCTCAAAATGCCGTAACGCCAACCCCGGAGAGAAAAGTGTCAGAGCAGGCAACAACGGCACAAGAAACTTTGGAGGGGTCAGCAGAAGGTTTTCAGGAAAAAGAGGGACAGGATGACTTCACTACACCAGCAAATAAAGACCTAACAGAAAGTCAAGACCCTCGTGTGATGCCAAACAGCTACACTGCTCATACTGCACATGACAGGACTTCAAACAGCCGGGACCAAGTCCAAACTACAGCAGAGCCATACACCACTCAGAATACATTTAATGCACAACATACAAGCAGTGATACAAACTTGGATTTGCACACAACTTCAAACAGTGTGTTTTTCCTCCCACAGACCACATCTGTTCCCCTGCATGCTGTCACTCTCTGGCAGGCTAACACAAACACTGCAAGCAGAAGCCGTACAGACTCTGTACAAGAGAACCAGAGCACAAATACAGATGTGGATGGAGACAAAACAGCTGATCAGTCCAAGGCATCGGAGCAGAGCGAGAGTATGGATGAAGTGACGGCCACTGCCAGCTCGAATAATGACAGCGAGCCCCCTTTAAGTGGAGGTGAAGTCATCTCTCTGGTCAACCCAAATGAATCAGGGCCAAGCCAAGAGGAAAATGCATCAACATCCCGACCCCGGACTCAGCCAAAGGACACACCACATAATGATGTGAGTTCTCAAGCGATGCTGACAACGGCATCTCCAACAACCACGCTCACACCTCCATTCCCAAGACGGAGGGGGTCCAAAGGACAAGCGAACTCCAAGAGAAAGAATGGAGGGCGTCGAAGGAGGCCAACCAGAAGGAAACAAAAGCTGAATGGACTCGTACAAACCGCTGCGACCACAACGGCGACCGCAGCTTTCACACAGACTAAAATAGAGCCATCAGAAGAAGCCAGTTTCAATACCCCTGATCCAAGTCAAGCCAGGACATTGAGCTGGGTGAGCCACAAAGAAAGCACAGTCTCAGGGCATGACGACAAGCCCTCCTCAATACCATCCTCTCCGCCTCAGACCGAGGCCAGACCACTTTTCGAAAGCACGTCAGTGGCGCCATCTTTTCCAACAACCTCTCCAGGAGTAGGTCACGGAAAGATGACTCCTCAAACTTCCCTGGGAATTGTACAGAGCACGGAGCCTATTGAGACACTCACATCAACCACTCAGCAGACATTTACAAGCAGCCCTCCTCCACCTGCTAAAACCTCGGAGGAGAAACAATCAGGAAACATGATGGAGGACCTTGGACCTGTACCATCCTCCTCCAGTAGTTTGCACATTGTAACTGAAGTGCAAACAGATGTTGAGCTAAATCAATCAGGCCCTAAGTTCACTGATGAAGATGGGAATATGCTTCCAAAAGAGACTGTCAGTCTGCCCCGGCTGACCTCAGCTTCTTCTCTGATTGAACAGGAAACCAAGACAACTCCTGGATATGCCTCCAGCAGCGTAAAAACATCACCAAGCGTGCTTTTTAGGGGTGAATTGGACCCAGAACAGGTCACCACAAAGAAACCTACAGCTGCTCCAACTTCTGCCAAGAAAATAACAGACACTACTGAGGTGAATGTGCACCTTGAGGAAACTGTTAACGTAGAAGTTAGTGTCACAAAACCTTCCCTTTCTACAACCTTTGTGCCTGATGTGACACAAACCCAGACATCTTCCACAGAAGCCAAAACTGACCCACCAGTCAGGGCCACCACCTTCGAAAGACAAGGAAGTAACAACGCAAGTCAAGACCAACAAATCCAAACCATCATCACACCAAATCCTCCAAAAACATCAAATACACCCCTCAAATTTAATCCAACTAGCCACAAACTGGATCTCAGTGCAAAGCCGACTTCCCCATCCCTAAAACCCACCAGAGAGCAGACAATCAAGCACACAACCACCCCAGTCCCAAGAACTCCTGTAATCCGAACTGATGCATTCACAGAGAGACTCCTAACAAGCACTCAGGACCAGGTACCAGGACTAGGACCTGTTCCAAGAGGGAAGCCAAGGATAATGAAAAGTAATTTCCAGACTGTCTCTGTAAAAGCAGAAACAGATGCTCAGCTTCCTTGTGAGGCTGAGGGTGAGCCAATGCCCTTCCTGTCGTGGACTAAGGTTGCCAGTGGTATGTATGAGTCAGTATCATAACTCAGCAGTATGTGCATTTTGTTTCTTTTTTTAATCCTTTCGATGAATACACCCTTGATTTCAAGGAGAGTTTGACACTTTTGAAAATGTTCTAAAAACTGAATTTAATGGTTTTTAAATCACTGAAGTTCTGCACACTTAATTCAGCTAAAAGTAAAGTAATTACAACACATCCAAAGATGAAACTAAATAACATTAAATACAGTATAAGCTCAGGATCATGTTTCTCATCGTCTGCCATCAGCTCTTCATTCCCAACACCCTGTAAATATTAGTAAACCCGGAGACCAGTTTCTGGAGTTTAGAAAATGAAATGTTGTGAAAATGAAAAGTCAGGACTGCAGACAGACCAGTTTCTCAGCAGGACTCTTCTACTACAGAGCCATGCTGTTGTAATCCCAGTTGTCAATGTGGTTTGTCATTGTCTCGCTGAAATATGAGGGTCTTATCTAACAAATAGTCTTTGTCTGGACGTCAGCAGATGTTGCTTCTAAACCTGTAGATATAGTTCAGCATTAATGAAGCCTTCACAGACATGGAAGATACACATGACATGGACTCTGATGATCCCTATACCATCAGGGATGCTGGCGTTTGAAGTGTGAAAAGCCAAATGTTTGCTTTTCTCAGTAGAGTGAAGGATGGGATGTCCAAGAATGTAAAATTCAGAGCCAGGCTCAGGTCCAGAAAAGTCCCTGGTGTTGCTGGATCATGTTTTCAATCTGGTTTCCTCTTTGCATGGTTCAGTTTTAACCTCATTTGTAGATGCAGTGATGAACTGTGCTCACAGACACTGAAATTTAGAAGTGATTTTGAGCCCATGCAGTGATTTCCACTCCAGAGACCCCTGTCTGTTTTTAATGCAGTGCTGTCTTAGGGCCTGAAGATCAGGACCATCCAGTCTTGGTTTTGGTCCTTGTCCCTTTGGAACAGAGATTTGTCCAGAATCTCAGAATCTTTTAATGATATGATGTTCTGTAGATGATAAAATCCACTCATTCTTTCACATTTGACACTCAGGAACACTATTCTGAAACTGTTGAACTATTAGCTCACACGGTCTCTCAACTTTTTACCTGTTTGGTTAGTCCTAAAAACATTTTTTGGAACATGTTATGAGCAGATTTGCTTACAACAATATATTCTTACGTTTTAACATCTGAGATGTTGTTTCTGCTCTGTTTTCAGTCAAATACAGGCCCTAAATGCTTCTCGAACAATCAAATCAAATCTGTTTTCATCACTTTCTAATCAGGATTCTCTCTGTCCACATACACAGGGGCGAGTATTGCTAAAAACACCAAGGTCCAGAGATATGAGGTCCATCCAAATGGGACATTAATCATAAGGAACTTACAGCCCATGGACGGAGGCCAGTACCTCTGCAAAGTCCAGAACCAGTATGGCACAGACAACATGGTGGTCAACCTTGTGGTCCTGTCTCAGCATCCACGGGTCCTCCAGCATCGACACAGAGACATCACCGTGCACCTGGGTGGCAGAGTTGATTTGGAGTGTAAAGTGGAGGGGCATCCCACACCTCGAGTCACATGGGTGCTCCCTAACAATGCCCGTGTTCCTGCTGCCCCTCTTGGTGCTGTCCCTCAGCAGAGGGTGTCTGTATCAAGTAACGGGACCCTCCAGATCAGCCAGGCCACCTTCACAGATAGAGGGATCTATAAGTGCATTGGCAGCAGTGCAGCGGGTGCTGACACTGTCTCAGTTCGCCTTCAGGTCACAGTGTTACCGCCTGTGATCCAGCAGACCCTGCAGGAGAACACCACCCTCCCAGAAGGCAGCACTGCCTTAATCCACTGCGCTGCCACTGGTTCTCCACAGCCCGTTATCCGCTGGGTCACACCTGATGGAGTACAGATTATTGCCTCCCAGTCTGTTAGTGGACGCAACCTCCTCGTCTTCCCCAACGGGACCCTTAGTATACAGGGTGTGGGTTTAGGGAATGCCGGGAAGTATGAGTGCTTGGCCAGTAACACGCTGGCTTCCAGCAAGAGGATAGTAAATCTGAGCGTGAGGAGGCATCACACCTCGGCCAAAGCCACCATCACCTCATCATCCCCTCAGAAAACAGATGTGATGTACGGAGGGAAACTGCTGCTTGACTGTGTGGCATCAGGGGAGCCGGAGCCTCGGATCATGTGGAGGACACCCTCTAAGAAGCTGGTAGATGCTCAGTTCAGGTGAGAAAACCAATGCACTTTGATCCAAGGTCATCAAACACAAATGCTTTAACAGTGCACATGGTAGTCAAGTGTTTGACCACATTGGTATAAACAATGTTTGAATGCTCCTGTTTCTATCACCTGTGCAGTTTCGACCCAAGGATCAAGGTGCACCCCAACGGCTCCATCACTGTCCATTCAGCAATGGACACAGACAGCGGTGACTACCTGTGCGTGGCACGTAACAAAATGGGTGACGACTATGTCCAGTTGAAGGTCAACGTGCTGACCAGGCCAGCCAAGATCAGGCAGAAGCAGCTGCAGTCCAGTCAGGAGGTGGTGTACGGTGGAGACCTGAAGGTGGACTGTGTGGCATCTGGTTTGCCAAATCCAGAGATCAGCTGGGCGCTACCGGATGGCACCATGGTCAACCCAGTCAAACAGAGAGATGGTGTTGGGGGAGGACGCAGTAGGAGGTATTAAACACTGAAGGTTTCTTTGGTTGTGGAATATATAGAATATTTCTAGTATTTCTTTTTTTCTGTTATTTCACTGATATTCTGAGCCGAACTAAAAGAAAACAGAGGCTAGTTTTATGGAAGGTGTATCCCAGATTACTACTGAGAGATAAGTAGTAAAGAGACAAGGTAAAAGGACCAGCACCAATCAGGAAGCTGCAAAACAGCAGAGCAAAAATGGCAGGGAAAGCAAACCAAGCTGATACCAAAAATCAGCGTTAGCCTCATTTAGTGCAGTGGTTAATTGGTTAGCAATTGAGCTGAAGCATACTCACTGGGGTTTTTGAGGACTGCAGTCACTTTTATTCTTTAGTCATAAACATGTAGAAGTGGCAGAATGTTTCCCCCACAGTAACACCAGTATTTTTTCTTTTTGATAATACACATAAATCTGTCTGAAGTGCTTCTTTTGAGTCTTTTGAGTATATGTACCAGTGGTCATATTCATACATACATTCATACATTTAAGTGGCCCTGCAAGCCCCAGTTTTTTGCAAAATCTTTAATCTATGACTTAAACATCTGCGGCTTAATGGCTGTTTGTCTTTAGATGTGAAGTGGTGTCAGAAGTTTGTCTTGTAAGAGTCTTTTAAAGTGTTTTCAAAGTCCTCTGGTGTATAAAGGCATTAGAGACATTAGTTTACTAATTTAGACATTGATTGCTTCCTCCCACCTGAAAGAAGTTGTATTATCCATCACATTATAAGATATCAACGTATTATCCTCCTTGGACAGCAGCCAGCCAGCAGGAGTTGCTCCAGACCAATTACTTCTTGGTTAAGGTTTAACAAAAAAAAAAAACTTTATTCTATTGAACCATAACCCTGAAATTAATCAACCATGATGTCCTTTAAATCATTAAAAATGTCTGCTAGGAAGCTATCCCCTGACTGTGTGCTAGTCTGGCAGCTCACCACCTGAAGATTAATGACTCCTGACATCTACAGAAAATTACTTCAAGAACCAATTTTGGCATGTGCTGCTACAATACAAGAAGTGCACCACATTTCATCTGTATTTATAGCTCCCTGCAATGACATATAGCACGTACAGGAAACAATACTCGCTGGTCTATTAAGGCGCGGCAACAAAATGTGTTTCTTTCTGACTGAGGAGAGAAAAAAGGGTTGCAGAGATTCAACCACTGTGAGCTTCAGGATCATCTAATTCAGCATACATAAAGAAAGTTACAGAACATACAAAAGTATTCTTTAACTTTAGATTAACATTAGAGCCTGTCCCTCTGTGGGTTATTATTTAAGTGAACTTCTAATGGCTCTTGACTGTTTTAATTCAGTTTTTCCCTTCTCAATTAGAAGTAGCCTACTAAACTTCAAAATAAAAGCATAGTTTTGCAATGCAGCAATGTAGGACTGGTGAAGTGGATAATTCAGAAATTTGAGCATCATTAGAAAATGATGAGGACTGTAAGTTACTGGTGTTTATTCGTAAAGATTATGCCATAATGGTTGCTCCACTCTTATCTTGCCTTTCCTCAATTTGACTGATGGTTTTGTTTTCAAATATCCTGATATGTCATGGTCATAATACAAAGGGGTCTTTAAGTCACTCCTGCAAATATGATTAATTCATATTTTGACAGATTTTAAAATTATTACCTCTTGGAGATAAAAGTTGACACAGTTGCCCTTTGAACCGAACACCCACAGAAGGTAGCATCAAAAAACTGCACATTTTTCAACATGGTGTCAAGAATGTCACGGCCGCAAATTCTGCACATCCTACTTTTAGTTGCCAACTCCTTGGTCAGGTTTACACTGAGTGTATCTTGTAATGAATGACAACATACAGTCAGTCATGCTAAGCTACATGTAAGATATAGGGGAACCATCAAGTATAAAGGCAAATTGAAAGTTAATCATTCAAATTACTTAGAGCCAGTGCTTATCTGAAACTGATTCTTGATTTTCATCCCTTTATTTTGACACTAACAAGCGTAACTCTTCTTTCTCCCCTTTCTGAACTCCAGGTATGTGGTCTTTGACAATGGGACTCTGTTCTTCAATGACATAGGCATACCTGAGGAAGGTGACTACACTTGCTATGCTGAGAACCAACTGGGCAAAGATGAGATGAAAGTTAGAGTCAAGGTAAAAGTTGTCTCCTCTAAGCCGCAGATCCTGGACAAAGACCAGAGGACCATCAAGGTTTTCTACAGTGAGACTGTTACTTTGAGATGTAATGCCAAAGGGGAACCAGTGCCAAAGATCATATGGATATCCCCGACAAACAAAGTCATATCTCCTGCTTTGGACAAGTACCAGATCCTGGATGATGGGACATTGGTGATCCAGAAGGTCCAACGTTTTGATGGAGGTAACTACACCTGCATGGCCAGGAACGATGCAGGACAAGACCATAAAGTGACCAGGCTGGAGGTGCTGGTAACCTCTCCTGTGATTAATGGTGTAAGAGGGGATACCAACACTATGAAGGTGGCTGCAGTTCAGAACCAGAGAAAGTTAATTGATTGCGTCGCAAAGGGAAAACCAAATCCTCGAATCATGTGGGTCTTACCGGGGAATGTGGTCCTTCCTGCGCCATACAAAAGCAACAGGATGACTGTGCACCAAAATGGCACCTTAGAAATCCATTCACCAAGAAGGACAGATACAGGGCAGCTGTCATGTATTGCTCGTAATGAGGGAGGAGAGGTTCGGCTGGTGGTAAACTTGGATGTGAGGGATCTTGTTGAAAGACCCCAAATCAGAGGTCCAAGAACAGATAGTTTGTCGTTAACTGTTGGGAATGCCATGACTTTGAACTGCTCTTTTGAGGGTTCAATTCTACCTCAAATCACGTGGATCTTACCCAACGGCACACCTTTGAAAAGTGGGGCTCGGTTCTCCAAATTTTTTCACCATCCCAGTGGATCTTTGGTCATCTCCAACCCCTCTGTCGCTGAAGCAGGTATGTACCGATGTCTGGGGCACAACTCTCGAGGACTTGCAGAGCAAATCATAACACTGACTCCAGGGAGGAAGCCAGAGATCATGAACAGGTACAACTCTCCGGTCAGTGTGGTCAATGGACAAACACTTCTTCTTCATTGCTTAACCAGCGGTGAACCCCTCAGACTGACATGGACGCTTCCTAGTGGAGTTGTCCTCAACAAGCCACAAAGAGCTGGACGATATGCTGTGCTTTCAAACGGGACACTGGCCATCCAACAAGTGTCAGTCTATGATCGGGGGTCTTATGTTTGCCGGGCTGCAAATGAATATGGCAGCTCTATGCTCTCTGTATCTGTTATAGTGATTGCATATCCGCCACGTATTACCAACGGCCCTCCCTCTGTGACTTATGCCAAACGTGGAGTTGCCTTCCAGTTGAATTGTGCAGCAACTGGAATCCCCAAAGCAGAGGTAGCATGGGAAACACCTGATAAAACTCGCTTGGCTGTGAGTGCACAACCTAGACTTTTTGGAAATAAATATCTGCATCCACAAGGTTCCCTCATCATCCAGAACCCAACACTTAAAGACGCTGGTGTGTACCGATGCACAGCACGGAATGCCATCGGTACAGACTCCAGAGCAACATTTCTCAATGTGTTCTAAAGACTTTTACTAACCCTCATGGTCAATTTCCATACTGTAAAGCCCAAGCAACTGCCTTTTCCAAGCAGGTGATGTTTTTCATGATCAAACATTGTACAAACTGCTGTTGAAACAATTGAAAACATATTTCATGCCTTGTGCTCTTTACTTTCACCATTTATTTACTATCCAAATCAAAGGGAATTGGGCACCCCATTTTGAATATTTTGATGCTTCAAAAGCAAAAAAATTTAAAATCAATTGGAAAAACAGAGTACAAGCAAGGCTGGTAATCCTTTTGTGGTTATCACTCATTGCCATCTATTGTTCAGTTGTGTTTGGCAGTTTAGTCAATGTCACCATTGCATTCATTACCGAATGATACAGTCCAATTGCATAAATAATGACAGTAAAGTTATTGCTACCTAATCCTGTAAGATTATAATTCCATGGAAAAGTCGTGGTTCCCTGATTCCCCAGAACCAAAACATGAATTTATTAAGTAAATGGAAAAATGTCTGTTTTTTTAATCCCTCAGGGAAATGGAGACCACAGGTAAAACCCAGATATATTAGTATTCCTGCTATACTGCAAAAACAAAACAAAACACTCAGGTAATGGTCCCCTATGCCATCTTGTGGGAACTCATGAATGTCAAAGATACTTCAAGGTTTTTTTTTCACCAAAGATTTTATTGTTTTAAAAAAAAAGTAGATAGTGCTCACCTTCCCAGGGACAAAATCTAGCAAGTTATGGATCCCAGAAAAAGACTACTAAAGTTATGAATGTATCACATTTACTTTTAAAAGCAAACAGGTGATGGACTTAAACTGCCAGTGATTTACAGCAGCCATTAGCTTTAAACATGGGGGTACCTAACACAGACACAAAGGCCTTGACCACACTTATGCAGATATTTTTTAAAAAACACAGGTTTTATTCTCTGCGCTTTAGCCTCCTGTCCACAAGAAAACAGTTTTAGGTCACTAAAAATGGAGGTTTAGGAATGGCCTTCCAAGGTGGAACTTTTCAAAAACAATACCCAGTTGTTTTTGGATGGGCGACAAAGTGGAAAGTTTGAGGAAACCCTTATTTTTTGTGTGTGTGGCAGTTATTGAGTTATTGGTGACATGTATCATGCATGTTCCAAGATGGTGGATTACCTATTAGTTAAGGACTGCTCATTGGTATTGTGCCTAAGTATTGTAGGTCTTATCTGTAATGCTGCAGTATACCAGCTAATACTCCCAGTACAAGGAACACTATTCTTCAATGGTGTATTAAAGTGACAGACCGATCAAATATTAACAACACCTACGGATCTGGCAGGCTTAAGTGGGCGCCTTTAACTGTCTGTGTGTTGCTGTGTTGACAGATCTTTGATGGAAACCAACAGGGAAAAGAATCTGGTTTTTTAGAACTATATACAGTATATGCATGTGGACGTAACCCAATATGATGAAACTGGAACTGAAAGGGTGCAGTCTTTAGGTGAACTTTAAAATTTTTCTGGGAGTTTATATTCTGGGTGAATACAAACAGAAAGCTGCTTCTGCAGATTTGGTTCAAACCCTGAGGATGGTGAGCAAACCAATCCCAGATGATTTATGAGCTTTGGATGTCACATACATAGAGCAAAATATTAGACACAAACCCTGCCCTGGAACCAGTCTGTGCTTTGTAAGTCAATAACAGTATTTTTAAAAGAAATTCTTTGCTGCCTATAAAACCACTGCAAAGCTCAGAGGGCTGGCCTGATTAGTTTGAATAGCTTTCATAACATGAATAAGATGATGCTGTCTGACTCTGAGACACTATAATGGTGTATAAGTGAGTAAGGAGGACTAAGGTCTTCAGGGATAGTTTAACCAAAGCAGCACTTGTGTTGTGAAAGACATTGTTAGGTGCTCAACAAACACCCACGTAATTGTGCGTCTTATACAACCTACTGTCTCCATCCTTTGCCAGTTTTCCAGCCAAATTTCAGTGGTTTTAAAAGAAGGAGCCAAAACTCCCTGGAGGAGATGCCACAACATTTTACAGCTGGTAAAAATGACCAAACCTGTTACGCAAACATTGTGATCTGAAGGCAAAATTTTAAGACTAAATAGAGAGTGGTTAGGTAACAGCATTAAAAACTGACATCAGATTCTGCCTCAAAAACTTCGCTCCAGATATCAATCGACCCTCCTGATCCTGTTTTCTGTAACACCCTCGGCTTTAAATGTACACTCCGCTTTAGGTCCTCCTGACAATGACAGATTATGTCAAGCTGTAAAGAAATGCATAACTTTAATTTTCTAATTCAGAAATTTAACTTAACAAAACTTAAATGGCAAGATTATTATTTACTCTAGATTTTAAACACCTGATGTTATCTTCACCAACTTTTAACCTGAAAATTCTGGTATTTTTGAACCTGGGCTTAAGAATTTGGCCTTATTGTGCTAACCATATATTTACTTGTCCCCAAACATTAATTATGTAATGGCCACAAGAAAATTGTATCATGGGAACATTATCTTGTTCTCACACAATATTTATTCTTACATGATAAATATCTTGTGCTTTTCTGGTTTAATTGTGTGCACAAGATAAATAACTTCTTTCCACAATATTAAAACCTCTGGCCAAAAGACTATTGCAAGATACTTGTAAGTTATCCTTTTTTTTTTTTTTACTGTATCCTGCATCCAAGTAACTTGTTGCCACAAGATTATTACATTGTGCAGGCAAGATTATAAATATTTCATTCCATAATGCTAACATTTGCAGATAAGTTATATAATAATTGTACTGGGCGAATAGATGTTATCTTGTTAAAACAAAATAATCATATCATGGAAACAAGATAACTTGTTCCTGTTTAACAATGTAGTGCACACTGTTTTACTGTATAGTGTGCGCAAAACAATAACTTGGAAGTTTTGTTATTAACAAAATATTTGTGCTAAATTAAAATTTTGCGGCCACAACATTTTAACATTTTTGCACAAGAAAGATAGTTTTGTGCCTAAACAATATTTTGTTGCAGGATAACTGTTCCGTGCACACAAGATTGGCAACTCATCCCCACAAGATAACATTGTTGCACATGCTAACTATTTGTTTCAAAAGATAGTTATCTTGCAAGCACTTAACTGCATTTCATTCACAGGATTACTAGACAATATTACAACTTGTTCCCGCCAGATAATAGTCTTATTGGCACAAGATGGTAACAAGTTCTCCCAAGATTTTGTGGTATGCACAAAACTGAAGATAGGGTTAAAGATAATTACCTTTCCCCCAGGACAATTTTATTGTCTGCTTAAGATTATTACTTGCTCCTACAGGCTATTACTCGTGTGCACAAGGTAACTGATCCAACAAGATAATAACTGTGTAGGTAATTTTAGAGATGTGCAAACAATACAAAAGTTTTTACCTTTTCTCGATTCAGTTTCTTTGTATTTGTGACTAAAAGTTATTACTTCTCCTGCCTTATTCCATGTACACCTGTGGAAAGGCAGGGTGTTCTCAGAAAACCATCAAATGTAACTTAATGCACGAAAATAACAGTTTCTCCCTGAGACAGAGTCCCAAACTGAACTGTAATTTTATCTTTCAAAACATTTTGTAACTTTACTCATTTGATCTGTAAAACAGGTCCACAGCTCAAAAATACCAGAACTGCTCATGTAGAGTTTTCCTTATGTTTCTATATGTTGTGTCAGATATATTTGAATAACTGTGAGAAGTGTGCACATTGTTAATCTGCTTTTGAAAAATGCCGATACAGTGCTTTATTTTGTAAATTATTGTCTTTGAAAGACTGTGATGCAGAAGAATTTTCCATATTTTAATAAAATATTTCCACCTGTTTTTATTAAGCTCCGAGTCAGAGACCTTTCTTTAAATGGGGCAGTGAAAGAAAACTATCAGAGAAGTTATGACTCGAGACAGTTGGATCCATAAATCTGTAGAACATAGAGAGCTTAGTGGCTTTATAAATCTTCCCGTCATTAAAGGATTCAAGAGTCCAGCAGTTTTTTTGTTCAGCTGGCCTCAGAGAGCAGAGCACAGATAAAATGTGTAAGAAAAAAGTGTGCCGTGGTGTTTTGGTTGAAGGAAGTAGGTCACCATCACTCTTCAAACTTGCAATCATCGCTCTGGGAGTATAGCAACGGCCTCGTATTCCAGAGAAAAGAAACATCTGGAGCGGTGAGGAAATCCCACATTAGTTCAGCAGATTCAGCCCAGAAGTCACAATTTCTCAAATCTGAGGATCTGTGAGTATTTTTTAAAGCATCTCTGCTTTGCTGCCAGGTTTTGATGCTCTCTAGCTTTCCTCTGACTGATGAAATCAACATTTTCCACTCTGAGCTGATTAGTCTGCAGTGATGCATGTTTTCCCCTCTTAGCTGTGACCTCTTTGTGTCTATCAGTGACCCAGAGCCTCGCTTACAGTTTGGAAGAGCTCACATCTTGTGCCCACCTGTTGGCTCTCATTACGAAGGAGACAGTCATCAGCGTGAAGAAAGGTTAAGCTATCAGACGTGTTCTTTCCTTCCAGCTTATCCGCTCTGACTTTAGATGGTCTGTTTGACAAATTAACTTCATATGAAGCTAAAAGGAAAGAAATGCTTGCAGGGGGGTAGAGCTGATAGAGATATATGTACAGAAGCCAGATAGGGCAAAAGTGCTGCAACATCAAGAGGTAGGTTAAAATAAATACATTAAAGGGATATTCCGGCGTAAATTTTAAGTTAGGGTCAAACACACCGAAACACCGAATTAGACACCCCCTTGAAGGATGAATGTTGCTGACTGCTTGCTTCTCCAGTTATACCAGCTTTAGTAACGACGGCACGATAGCAATACACAATGGTCTATGTCTCCAAATGCAAACCTCAACCAAAACGCCACTCTGTAGCCACAAATAATGCTCAGAACAGCACCTAACTTCATCAACAGTACATATAGGGTCCCAGCCATACTACTAGCCACCAAACCCAACTCACCCACTCTCCTCCAGCAGCCGCTTGTTTGTAGGGAGAGCCCTGACGAGTCGATCACCAAGTGCAGCGGATCATTTCCAAGAAGTAATAATCATCATAACAATCATTTTGCACTGCAGACGCAGTAGGTCTTCTGCCTTAGCATCTCAGTCTGATTCCATTTCCATGAAGTAATAATCATAAATGTTCTTCCTTGAGCTGCGAAACTCCACTGCACTCGGTGATTGCCTCGTCAGGGCTCTCCCCACAAACAAGCGGCTGCTGGAGGAGAGTGGGTGAGTTGTGTTTAGTCTCTTTGCTAAAGAAATCAGGCAAAGCTAAAAAGATGTTTGATGGCTAGTACTATGGCTTGGACCCTATATGTACTGTTGATGAAGTTAGGTGCTGTTCTGAGCATTATTTGTGGCTATAGAGTGGTGTTTTGGTTGAGGTTTGCATTTGGAGACATAGACCGCTGTGTACTGCTATCGTGCCGTCATTACTAAAGTTGGTATAACTAGAGAAGCAAGCAGTCGGCAACATTTATCTTTTGAGGGTGTGTCTAACTCAGTGTTACGGTGTGTTTGACCATTTCTTAAATTTACGCCGGAATAACCCTTTAACAAATGCACAAAATAAAGGATCATCACTTTTTGCAGCGTTTTTCTTCGAAGAACATTTTCTCTTGCTGTCCACCGTACCTATCAGGATCCTAAGCTTTGCAAACTGAGAAGAAACCTCAATGAGGATACTCAGCTACAAATGAAGAGCAAATGATTGGAAAGTTTTCACATAAAGCTGAATCAGAGACAGTATGCTAGAGCTCTGGCTGTAGGGAATTGAAATATTTCATGTGCTGGCAGCCACCAATATGAACTGTAAAATAAGCTCCTTCAGATACTGAGACTCCTCTGTAATGAAAGCAGCAGCGACACTCTTCTTCTTCTCTGGTGTCTGCGATGTTAAAACATTTCCATTAGGAGCAGATTGAACACTGTGTGATATATAGCTTGTTTTTGACAGCTGTCTTCATAATTATCACTAAATCATGTGATCGTCAATCTAAGGAATCACACCGCTAAATTAAAGAGGTGACAGCTAAACCTCCCACACTGCTGAGAGATTAATCTGTTGGTGTTTAACATTAAACATGTGAGAATTCCTTCCCAAAGCCCAACGGTAACACTCTGCTTCTGTGCCACTGAATTATTTCTGAGAATTTATACATGCCATTAAATACGGGTGGCACATTTTCTGCTCAGAATCCAGAAAACCCAGATTGATAAAGGAGAGTTTGAGCGTTTCTCAAACCTGAATCGATGAATGGTGCAAACATTATTGGATCTACTTCAGTAGATTTCTCCCGGCCATAATATCTGCATCATAATCCTTGCCTACCTAAAGTTCTTGTTTTTATCCTCAACAGGCTCCGACTGTTATTTGAAGAGTCTAACAGAAAGGATCCCTGCAGAGATAGAGCTGTTTTTTAGAGAGGACAGGGATTTCATTAAACCCAAAACAAAAAGCTACATCTCTCTTTTAAAAGGAGCCAGACTCCATTTTAATAAAGCCAGGGATTTTACATAACACATACAGGAGTTTTTGATCTACCCCTTCCTGGATTGGCAAGTTTTCTGCTCCACAATAACAGGATGTAACTAGAAGAGCAAACCGTAGAATAAAAACAGCAGCCAAGCACAGATGGGTTTGAAATGTTCATCTGGAATAAAAAAAAAAAAGTCTCCAGCTCCATACCTCCACGTAGAGGGAGAATTTCTCATGGCTGTGCACGGTCACAAGTGAACATTTTTTAATGATACCGATAATTCTTCATTTAAAAAAGCTCTATCATGAGCAGCAGACATGAATCCTCCTCCTCCTTCTCTGCTGTTTCAGTCTTTGCCATCTCTAAATGACCTGTCTGATGTGAGCCCACTCAGACAAACCACACACAGAAATACAAGATCACAGTATATTGTCTTTGGGATCAGATTTTACGATAGAAATGAAATAAATCATTGAAATTTTATTGCATTGAAACCTAGTGTAGTCCACTCGAAATAGGTTTATTCTATAAAATCAGCTTTTCAATTAATTTCTGCTCAAATAATAAAAAATTAAACAAAAATAAGAGTTTTTTCTGCATTGTTCAGCAAATTCAGGGTCTTTTTTTTACCGTTTTACAGGGAAAATAATGCAAAAGTCTTATTAAAAAACCTTATTGAAAGGAATTAATCAGCAACTCCCAAGCTTGGTGAGGTAAAATTTCACTGGGTCTCTGTAAGGGAGTGTTTTTGTGAATAATCATCATCGCACAATCAATGGTGACTTTGAAGCGCATCTGTGCGAAGAGAAAACACTGTTTTAATTCTGATGGTATGAGAAACAGTCAGATGCCAAGCTTAGCCTTGCTTGTTAAATTTCTTTTCAAGTTTTATATCTTAAAAAGCTTTCTTTGTAACAAATGTAAAAATATTTCTCTCCTTATAACTGCCTTAATCTTTCTTTTGCATGTTAACGCTGAAGGGACCCTCCCAAAGCCTCTCTCCTTTCAAGCAGCTGTGCGGTAAACTTTGGACCTCTGGATCTTCTCCCACTCCAGGAATTAGGGTCTTGGGCAGATGTGAGTGTTTGCAGGCCAACAGGCTGCAGATTTCTGATTAATTTATTCTGCCTGGGTTAGATAGGATTCTCTAAATTGATGTTCTGGCTGTCGGTAGCAGAAACACCGGCTGTGAAATCCTCCTTTATGAGTTCCCTGAAAATGTATCCCAGTGAGTCAGGAGATAACAAATCGACCGGGGAGCGTTCCTGAAGATGCATCTGTCTAATTGTGGGAATCTGGTTTGGTTTGTGGCCCAGTTTCTTGTAGGACGAGCTCCACCCGGTTGCTCCGCCACATCAGGAGCCTTAAAACGAGAGCAGAGACCCTCCACAGCTGACTGTCATTATTCTCAAATCCCCAGCTACCCCCATCGCACAAATTGTGGGTCATTAGGACCTGGAGCCGCCGGTTTAAGCGCTGATCAAATTAGCTGAACGGCTTTGAGCATGAATCAAAATATACACGCATCGGCTACCGCACATGATGAAGAGGAGGCGGTTTAAACTCAAAGACATATGGAGGTGCTTAAGATGTGCCGTCAGTTTCATGTTTTCTTCTCGTCTTCAATAACAGCAGGATCAGACTGGGATTAATGATAGGCCCATACCTTTCCTCCTCTTCTAAACAGGAACCTGCTGCAGATGACAATGTTTTCAGAACTAATTCTCTCCCTAAATACACCCAGACTGTCGAGAAACAAACAGGTAAAGATGGAAGGAAGGAAAAAGGATCAGCGCTCAGGTGCGGTTTGGTTTCATCCTGAGATCTGCGACTGTGTGACTAAGGTAGATTTTCTTGGAAGCACAGTTGGGTGTCAGTTTCTCTCAGTCTGAGCAAACAGACCGGGTCAGGATGGTGAAATTCTTCATGAGGTCAGAGTCGGTTATGTAAACCAAGCTGAAGGCCTTCAATGAGTTATGCATTTTAGGGTTTGAGTCAAACAAACAGAGTTTAAACTGTTTACCTCTGAATTTACTTTGTGTATCAACTGCTCATTGTGCAAGCAAAAACCCCCCGGGACAAAGCAATGGAATAGAAGTAGGTAGTCCAAAATGCAGTTCTGCGTGTGGCCACTGGAGGTAAGGTCCTGCAGTGAGTCAGCCCCCATAGAGCCCCATGTAAAAATGTCCAACTTTACGTTTAGTGTGACCAGAGGCTGTTTTTCCTCCTGGCTAATGTGGGCACTTTAGCTATTTTGCCACCATGGTGAGTGTGGCCGCACCCCAGGTATCTATTTATACAGGTGCAGGTAATTGCTCGGCCTCTTCATCCGCTTTCGTCCACACCTTCAGGTGGCCGCGTGTCTGGTGTGCGGCCTTATGCATTATTATTATAAAATATTATTCTTTTATCCATCCTTTTTTTTGCTATATCCTGATTTAGTGTGTGCATGCGCTCTGTGCAATCAGTGACTTTATCCACCTGATGTAGTTTGACTGGGGCTGGTTGCTACAGTGGAGTGAGGTACTTTCAGGCATAGGACATCCGAGCCTCACATCTGACTTTTTTGAATGTACTACACAGGACAGTCTGCCTTTGGCGTGGGCCGCCACGCATCAGCTACGGAGGTCCAGGTTTGACTGGCACTTTTTTTGGGTTGTTAAGGTGTGTGAGTGTGTGAGTGTGTGTGTGTGTGGGGGGGTAATTTGTAGTAATTGTTCATTGCAGGTATTTTGGTAGTTGTATTTTCTTTATTTGCAGAAGTGTGTACATTTTCTTCTGTGTTATTTCTGTGTTAAGTGTGTTTGTTTCAACATCCTCATTTGCAGGAGTGTTTATTTCGGGGGTTATTTTGTAGTTTGTTTATTTGTTTGTTTCCAGTTATGTTTCTCTTTATTGGGGCTTGCGTCTTATTACATTGTGATTTTTAGATGAACTGTTATAAAATGAAACTCAAGCTTTGTATTTTAACCTGTCTCAGCTGTGAGTAGATGGTTGGAATTTCCCAAGGGTGAAATTCTCTTGGGTGGCGTTGTCAGTTGAAGAATGGCACCTCGTGCCGCTCTGTTGCGCTACATTAGCATTAGCACCACACAGTTCTTTGCTAAATAAAAATCACATGTTGAAACGTAACATTTTTCCTTCGTGATTCAAGTGCATACAGAGGGCAGTTAAGCTATTTTAAGTGAAAAATGATGCAAAAGTCTCCACACTGATTGTTTTGTCTTGTAGATTGGGAGTATGTTGAAAGGTGTTCCACAAGGGTCTATACAGGGTCCTCTATTATTCCTTTTTCTTATAAGTAACCTAAAATAAACCAACCAATTCTGAACTTAAGTTTCCACAGCAAATAGAAAAAGGGCACTTTTTAAAAGACTCCCCTTGGAGTTTCAAAAGTTTGGATTCAAGTGTTAGAATAATGTGCATAAATGTATATAGAAGTTATCATTATTCCTCATATTCTTATGTAAGAGTTGACTACAAGTATAAAAACTGTTTTGACCTCTTTTTATACATTATATAAGAGTGTTTCCTAACTTCTCTCTCCAATAGATTTACTACACAGCAGAACAATGTTCTTTCAGTTTTCTGTGACTGGGTCTTTCCTATCAGCAGGTGGGGGTGTGTGAGTGATGGATCCTCCGCAATAAATCGTGGGGAGTTTTTGAGGAGGTGCCGCTGTTATCAGAAGGAGCTCATTAGATGCCGCCTTGACCTTCACATATTCACAAGTGTTCATTATTATGCTTTATGAGAATGTTTACTTTGCTGCACCATCTACCACCCCTTTTAGAAACATTATGTAACCAGGGACAAGACTAAATAAAAGAGACTGGGCGGAAATACCTTTAGAGTGGTTTCGACATGGTACCTGAAGCTATCTCGGTCCATTCTCCTCGAGTATATACCATTGTCTTTCTCTTCTTTATATGTTATCAGGTAAATGTTGCAGGTTTTAGACCTAACATTTCTTTGGTCCTTCGAGCCGGATTCCAATAGACCAGACGATTCCAGCAGGTGAGGTGGACGACAGATAAGACCGTGGCCACGGCAGACTCTTTAGGATGAGTCTTGAAGACCTCTTTGAGGAACTGGACTCGACCTGCCTGCTGGGATCCGACGGTTGACGGAAATCCGAAGCCAAGGGGAAAGACAAGTGGTGAGTTGGTCTCTTATAAAAAGGAACGTGGAATGATTGAGATTCGCTTCGCGTAGAGAATCTATAAAAGACCAAACAAACAAAAGGACGCACAGGTCCTACGTATAAAAATCTGTGGAAAAGGACGCACGGGTCCTACGTATAAAAATCCGTTGAAAAGGACGCACGGGTCCTACGTATAAAAATCCGTTGAAAAGGACGCACGGGTCCTACGTATAAAAATCCGTTGAAAAGGACGCACGGGTCCTACGTATAAAAATCCGTGGAAAAGGACAAACGGGTCCTACAAATCTGTGAAAAAAGGACGGTAGAGTCCAAATTGGAAAATTTTAATTCAAGGACGCACGGGTCCTACAAAGCCGTTAAAAAATTCTGCAGAACAAAACACGTGTTAAAAGTGTGATTGTGAAAGTGTGAGAGTGATTGGAATAGAGATATATCACTAGATATATCCTATTCATACCAAAACAGTGGGATTGTAAGTAGTGACCTTATTGTGGAAGCAAAGGCAAGAATTCTCCACTCGCAAGAGTAGAAGTGAGAATTACCACATAAGGAATTTTTTATCACTACCCCATTGAAAGAACCCAGCTTAATAGGACACCCTAGGTGTCACCTAAGCTGGACCAAAACACATAAAAATGGGGACGGAAACCAGTAAGGCTAATTTGGAACAATTAAGATGTCAAGATTGGAGAATCTTTGAAAAAGAGCCAGAAAAATTACAATTCCTCGAATTATGGGTAACTAAATTTGGATTCGATGGCAGCCTAAGAACAAGCCAATTAAATAAACTACACGACTCCATAAGCATAAAATATGGGTGTCAAATGATTGATGAATGGAAAAAAGTAGCAAAAGCCAGAGAGGATGGAGAAAGGAGGAGAAAAAAGGGAAGAACAAATGGAGCTAGTGCATTTTTTGCAGAAGGTGACAATGAAAATGAAGCCTTCTATCAAAATGCAAGAGGCAGAAGCAGAAGAGGATTCAGAGGTAGAGGACAAGATAGGCCCAGACCAGGAGGAGCAAATCAAAGAGGGACATGTTGCTGGGCATGTGGAAAGGAGGGACATATAGCCCGCAGTTGCAATAACAAATCAAAGGGAGGAAGGCGTGAGCAGTCAGGACGAGATCAAAAGCTATAAGTAAAGACAACTTAATAATAATAATAATTATAATAATAATACTGATAATAATGCAGAAATGAAAGGTAGAAAAGGCAGTTAAATAGGCAGAAAGGTTTAATGCAGACTGCAAATTTTTAACAAGTTAAATTCTCTGTACAGTCTCTGTTCTCTGCACAAATGCTAGAATGATACATCAGAGGCCAGTTACGACCTTGACTCCTCCAGAGACACAGCAGCCAAAGAATCCCTCCCTATGCAGAAGCATGTAGCTATAAAAAGACAAAACTGTGACTTAACTGTTACAGCCTATGAAGTATAAGTTGTACATGTAGACGTGTCACTGGAGAAGAAGAGGTTTTCTGACCTCAGCTGGCATCCCTGTTAAACATTTGAACCAACTGATTGATATTATACCTTATTGGAACTTAAAGAAGTAACCATAGTAAAGTGCAGAGAACACCAAAGCTAACTTGGAATTAAAAACCCTCTCTATAATGCTATTTAACTTAAGATTAACTCCAAATGTGACAATGAATTTCATACTATATGAGATAAATAGGACGACTATGGAATAATAAGAGAGATGATAAACCGTTTGATGACTATGACAAAGAGAACAAGAAAGAAGCAGGTTAAGAGGCAGGAATTTCAATAGAGAAAACAATAGAAGAAGTAGAAGTTTTGACAAAAGTTATGAATCACAAGAGCAAAGAGATAAAGAACAGTACCCTGACCAAGGTCATGAACCACAACATCAGAGAATTGTAGAGCTTTTTTGTCACTAGGTAAAGAGCTGTAGAAAAACGTATCAAGCAGGACTAGAAGAGGGAGAGACAGCAAATGTTATTTGACAGAAATAAAGAGAAAGTGTGAACAGAGACGAGACAGAGGAGGAAGAAGTGCTAAACTTGGAGAAGATAAATAAATATATAAAGATATTTTGATAGATAGATTGATAGATATACTTTATTGATCCCAAATTGGGAAATTCTCTTGTTATAGCAGCAAAAAGAAAATATAAAATTAAATATAATAAGTAGTACAATGCAGACTAAAAATAATAAAAATACTAAGTATATACAATAAATATAGGCTAAATATACTAAACATCCTAAGAGATAAAAGTGAGATATGAAGAATGTGGGCTATTGAAATTAGTAAAAAATATGAAATGAGTAATAAATATGAAATGAGAAATATTACAGATGGGATGATAGATATACAATTTAAGGTGCTCTGTAATATGATGTGATAGGAGTTTTTAAGAATGGACTATACAGCAGACAGGCGTGAGTCCCTGTCTGACATATGTGAGTTATTTAACAGTGCAATAACTTGTGGCAGGACAGATTTCCTGTATCAGCGGAGCTGCAACAGTCTGTTGGTGAAGGAATACAGTGTGCAGACATAAAACCGCAGAGATAGTTAATGATTCATGGTTTACCTTAACCTTTTTGTGTGACTCCGGTGCAAAGAAAACAGTTCTTAGACATAAACTATCACAGATTAGGTTTTCCAAACTAAAGATTTTTGTCAAATCAACACACAGAGAGAGCTTGAGAGGTAGTAATAGCGAGTCATGGGCCTTGCCATGTCTCGACAGGAGGGAGGAGTGTAGTAGTTAACCCTATTGATTCATAAATTATTTTAAAAAAAAATAATAATAATAATAAATAAAAAATAAATAATTTACTATTTGATTTGTTCAGTTTGTTTAAGACATAATGCTCAAGACAGTATAAAACCAAAAAGAGGCAAATTTCCACCAACCAATGCATTATTTGAAGCCATGCACATGGACTTCATAGAATTAAATCAGTGTGAGAGAAAGAAATATTGTTCAGTGTTAATAGATCCTTTCACTAAATGGATAGAATTATTTCCTGTTACCCATCCAGATGCATTAACAGTAGCAAAAATCCTGCGTAGAGAAATAATTTCTTGATTTGGCATTCCAAAACGAATCTACAGTGACAATGGAACTCATTTTGTCAATGAAATAAATAAATAAATAAATAAATAATAATAACTAGAAAATGCAAGTTCTGAAGAAATTGCGAGATGGATTGCTCCAGCTAAAATTGTAATTGCTAAGCTGCTATTGTAAATGGTTTAAGTTCAAAAATTATGCGAAAGATATGAGATTTGAAGATTCAGAAAGGGTTGAATCAGTTTAAATGAGTTGAAATTAGTTTGAAAAAATTGAATACTGAATGAAGAATGAAATGATTTAAAACTGAAAAAATTAAAATGATCATAATCTGAATGTATAGAGGAGTTGAAGGCTTTTAAAGTTGTGTAAAGAAAATGTGAGAAAAGGGCCAATTTAAAAATTCCGTAATGTATTTCTAATAAGAAAAATTGGTTCGAAAACCTGGAATATCCCGGAAAGGAAGAATGTTAGGAAAATTTTGAATATAAGCTGGAATCTCCTGAAGTTTGAATGGTTTTTAATACGTTGAAGTAAGTGGAAGGAATTAAAAAAAAAATAAAGGTACTGCTAATGACACCCACAGCAGTAAAAATAGCACAAAGAAGTAGTTGGATACATCTTTCCCATTGCAAAAAACCTATATGGGTTTTAGTTAGGAAAGTCTGACTTCAAAGGGGGGCGTCCTTATAGTGGGCGTTCGTCTCAATGTCAGTGAAGATTAGATGGTGTTGAATTCCTTAGGAGCTTAGGAAAATGGGAAAGTTAAGTATCTTACTTCTGCTAAACCTGAAACTGTTAATTTACCTACTGAAACATTATTTACAACTTCAGATGAACTTAAGGAAGGAAAGAGAAGTGACAACAACGATAGTCCTCACATCCTGTGTGACTACCAATCAAAAATCACATTCAGCTGTTCTGAAGGCGACCATGTGCAGAGAGCAAACCTGAGAGACAGTGAGCAGGGGTATGAATCACCCAGACGGACACCACAGTTGCTTCATGTAGTGAAGACACTGAGAACTTTACCATAGCTTAACTGCTACTAGGCGTTTCTGTTATTTTGTTTACAATGGGATTTTGTGCATGCTTGTTTTGTCAATAAACACTTATACTTATGTTTATTAAAGGTACATCACAAAATAAAAAAAAAATTAGTTAACAAAAATGATGGAAGAATAATATTAATAAAGATATGAATAACATATAGTGGAATGCTTCGCAATCCCTCTCAATAAATAATAATTAAAAAAAAAAACTAATTTGAAGTGAACATGTGGTACAGATATGCAAAAATATCTAGTAAAAATGAAGAATCAGTCTAACTTCTATGTCTGTACTAGGAATTCCCTAACCATAACAAAAGTGTATGTGTTTTCTGTAGCTGTACCTGAATGACAGCAGACTGATAATAGGGCCTTAGTAACTTTAATCCTAACTGTTATAACTTTCTAGACCAGTGTGACAAATTTAACCTCTGCAGTTAGTCTTATTCCTTTGTTGAGCCACTCCAGAGTAAAAGAAATTAGCAAACAGAGTCAGACCCGACTTATATAGATAGTTCCTTGTGAGGTACCAGATGAGTATAAACTAGTAAATCAAGTTGCTGCAGGCTTTGAGTCTCTCGTCTGTCCTTGGTGTACAATGAACAAAAATATAGATCAAATCAGAATCAACTACATCCATTTCAACGTTCAAAAGCTAGGTAATTGGACTGAGGCTGGTTTTCAGGCCGTTCACTCGCAGTTATCTGTAACATCCCTGATGGCTTTCCAAAACCGTATAGCCCTTGACACGCTGCTTGCAGAAAAAGGAGGTGTATGTGCCATGTTTGGAGAAACGTGTCGCACGTTCATTCCTGATAACACTGCTGCTGATGGCAGCCTCACTCGAGCCATAGAGGGCCTAAAAACGCTTCACAGCAAAATGAAAGACCACTCAGGAATAGATAACTCCTCTTGGGACAATTGGATGAATGTATTTGGGAAATACAAAAAATCTTGTAGATTCAGTCCTAATCTCTGTTGCTGTTTTTGCAGCTAATTTGACCTTGTGTGGATGTTGTTGTATTTCTGTATTTGTTCTCTTCTTAACCGTCTTATCACCGCAGTGTTGTCTCCTGTGGAGCAGCAGATGCAGGAATTGTACCCGCTGCTCCATCAGCAGGACGAGGAGGACAGATTTGATGACACTCAATGGCCTGACCTGTGCCCTAATCCAGATGATGAGTATAATTCTGACTAAAGCAACGTCTTGTACCTCCGTGTGTAAATTCTTTGTAGTCATACACATGAACTCGCAGCTGAAAATCGAGAGAAGTGGCTGAACTAGAGGGATTATGAGAATTTGAGCAAAGTAATGATAAACAGGAGGGAAATGTTAGAATAATGTGCATAAATGTATATAGAAGTTATCATTATTCCTCATATTCTTATGTAAGAGTTGACTACAAGTATAAAAACTGTTTTGACCTCTTTTTATACATTATATAAGAGTGTTTCCTAACTTCTCTCTCCAATAGATTTACTACACAGCAGAACAATGTTCTTTCAGTTTTCTGTGACTGGGTCTTTCCTATCAGCAGGTGGGGGTGTGTGAGTGATGGATCCTCCGCAATAAATCGTGGGGAGTTTTTGAGGAGGTGCCGCTGTTATCAGAAGGAGCTCATTAGATGCCGCCTTGACCTTCACATATTCACAAGTGTTCATTATTATGCTTTATGAGAATGTTTACTTTGCTGCACCATCTACCACCCCTTTTAGAAACATTATGTAACCAGGGACAAGACTAAATAAAAGAGACTGGGCGGAAATACCTTTAGAGTGGTTTCGACATGGTACCTGAAGCTATCTCGGTCCATTCTCCTCGAGTATATACCATTGTCTTTCTCTTCTTTATATGTTATCAGGTAAATGTTGCAGGTTTTAGACCTAACACAAGCCACTTACACCCAATTTTCTGTGTGAAAGAAATGTCCAAAACCAAATTGCTGTTTTCTACTGAATCTTTGCCTCTGAATTTGTGGAAAACATTGCACATCCACTCTTGTGTGGCTATAAAGCTTTCATAACTCATCCATATGATCTCCTCTGGCTCCATATAACATGACAGCAAAGGCCAAAATCCCAAGTCCAGTCAGCCAGGTGAGTAGATCTTCTTTTTCTGTTCTATGATTGATACTTTAGTCGCCCTTATCATGACAGAGGTATGATTTAAACAGACATTTTGATGTGAAAAGACCTGTCTGTACATACTGAGTATGTCTGTACTCCGCTCTGTGTCCTGGTTGAACAGTTCAGTTTTGGATTTATGAGTTATCAGCTCATTTGTTGAAGTGAAATTGAGGCTCATTCATTCTGCCTCTTTTAGAGTCATGTACCCCACTTTATCCTCAGAGACATGTCACTTGATTTGCTTTAACTCCTCCGATTATATATAACCTGTAATTCTGCCTTTGATTATCTTGGGCTGCCACCCCTGTGAATTAATCTGTTAATTAGCGTTTGCAGCTTGTGTTGACTCACTTTGTCACTTCCTGCTTGTAATTACAGAGAGAAGGCTGACATGAATGACTTCGCCTGGCTGACAGGTCGTATTTATGTTCGATCACAGACAACAGGGAGGCAGGATCAGCCTGCAGACGGCCTGATAATCTCTACAGGGGCTGATATCTCAGATTTGGGAAACCTGAAGGAGGTCTGCAGGGTGTTTTTCAAAATACAAAATCAACCATTTTTACACTGTAGAGATTCTCCTCAGGGGTCACACTCAGAGACAGAGACACACTGCTGTGCTGTTATGTTACCATGGGGTAAAAATGCTCCTGATAACTCATTCAAATTATAACCATTTCAACACATCAGTTAAAAACTAGTTTGGTGAAATTTCAGGAAGCAAATAAGACTTGGCTCCACTCAAAGTTGATCCACTGACTGGCTACCAGCACATCAGCTACTGTTAACATAACATACATAGGAGTCAGTCAGACAGGACATGATCGTTTCTGAACACTGAGACCTTTATGCTAGGTCAGTGGTTCTCAAGTCCAGTCCTCGAGGCCCACTGTCCTGCATATTTTGGATGTTTCCCTGCTCCAACACACCTGATTCAAATGATCAGCTCGTTATCAAGCTCTGTAATGGCTTACTAACGAGCTGATCATTTGAATCAGGTGTCTGACTGGACTTGAGAACCACTGTGCTAGGGTGACCATACGTCCTTTTTTACCCGGACATGTCCTCTTTTTGGGGGCTGTCTCGCCTTGTCTGGGGGGGTTATAAAATCCCTCAAATGTCTGGGGTTTTGTATGGAAGTTTTGAGTTTGTGTCGCATGGATTTACTGAGTTAGAAGCACGTAAAAAACACTCGACCCGACCTGAAAAACTCTCAAAATTTGCAAATTGCGACTTCATGTTGTTGTGTCACCCTACTTCATGCTCTTTATCCACTAATCCAATGAGGAAACTCAGTCATTAAAATAAAGACCATCACTGCAGAGGAGTGTTTACTCCTTTCCTACTGCACTGTGAAAATATGTTAGCAAGACATTAGCTAATGCCAGGCATTAGCTTACAAAACTAATAACAACAGTGTTGTTTCCGTTGACACTCCTTTTTTTCCACGACGAAGACATGACATTGACGAGCTAAACATCAGTCTTAGATGACTAAAATATGACGAGACGAATGTTCGTTTACGTTGACGAGATGGGACTAGACGAAACGTTAGTGGTGGATGACGAACAGAGTTGCAAAATTCATGAGCATTTCGTCAGTCAAACACTGAACATATATCCTGCAGTGTTGTTTTCTTTGACGATGACGTTGAAGAAATATTTCTGTTGTCTTCGTCAACGAAAACAACACTGATTAACAATCATTTCAACAATTGAATACCCTTTGGGGATTAATAAAGTTCTTATTTTTATTCTTATTCTTAATACACTGAAATTCCTCGTTAACAATGCTAAATTTGTTAATGAAAATAAAGATGATAGGATTCAGACAATCATAATTGTTAACCATTTAAACCAATCATTCTCTGGCAACACTCGAGCTGGTCCAGGTTCTTCTAAAAATCATTGTCCTATGAAAAGCCAAACAATGTTCCTGCTGCAGCTGACATCACTGACAATGAGCGACTCTGAAGAAAGAGACAACCTGTGGACACTTGTGTAATTGGGTCTGCTCTGATTTGTTCTGCGGATCCTTTGAAAGGGTAGTTTAACTCATCATCACACCTTTTAGTGATCAGCATATGGTACAAATTAAACAACTTCTCCAGAGCTGAGAGCTGATTCTAACTCCTTCTCCCTTTTTTCAGATCTGAGAGTCAGCTGATCCCAGACCTGCTCTAACTCTCTAATCCTGATGAGTCAGAGTCAACAGAAGTGGTCACGGTGCCTTTTGAGAGCAACCTTCATCAGAGTCCTTCTCTCTGAGCCCTTTCTTCATCTCTTCATCTCTGTGGCTCAGATTTATTGGAGGACTGACGCTGAAATTTCAGGCTTCCTTCTGCCCGCTGGATCAGGATCACACAGCCAACTGTGGACTGCTTCACACCTCCATTAATCTGAGTCTTCTGCTCTCACTGATGGAGAGACAAAAGAGCCACAGCGCCCCCTGCTGCAAGTAACAACACATGACCTCAAGCAAGGTATGGATCTGTCTGCAGAGGGACATGACAGGAGTTGGGTATCTGTTTCCACAAAGATAAAATCAACACATTTTTACCCACAAAGAGCAAATTTTTCTCAGCAGAAACATGAAAATGAGAGAGTTTGACTGTCAAAGTAAAACAGTTTTTGTATTTATTTAAAACTTCTAAAAAAAAAATTAGGTAAACTCCGGAAATACTGAGGCAAACCCATGCTTTTATTTTGAAAACAGAAATCCATCCATTTTCTACCACATATTCCCATTCCCGGGGTTGCAAGTGGGGGTAAGCCTATCCCAGCATCTTTGGGCAAAGGCAGGGGACACCCTGGACAAGTCGCCAGTTCATCGCAGAGCTGACATATAGAGACAAACAACCATCCACACTCACATTAACACCTACAGGCAATTTGAGAGCGGCCAATTAACTGTACCCCACTTAGGCATGTTTTTGGGATGTGGGAGGAAACTGGAGTACCCGGAGTAAACCCACACAGACACAGGGAGAACATGCAAACTCCACAGAGAATTGCCCTGACCCGGATTCGAACCCAGGACCTTCTTGCTGTGAGGCGACAGTGCTAACCACTACACCACTGTGGCGCCCTTGAAAATGGAAATGTTACTGATCATCACAGAGATCCATAGAGTGATGTTCGTAAAACTCAAATGACATATTCTTTAACCTTTGGCCTTAAAAACTTTGAAGAAAAAAAAACAGAGATTATTCCAGGATGTTTTTGGGCTTAATAATGTAAAAAAAAGGTGAGAAAAGAAGATTTTAAATTGACTAAAATTCACCAGAAATGTTGATTTGTTTTTACTATCTATTTTTCATTTTTAAAGAAATTTAACTAAAATCATTGCAAGAAACAAAAAAAAAAAAAAAAAAAAAAAAAGGTAAAAGTAATCCTTATACATTGTAGTCTTTTAATCTTACCTTTGTTGGTGTGGTCTTTCCACTAACTCTTTAAAAAATAACACAAACTTCAGAGAGTTTATTGCATCCATATTGTGAAGCATTAGTCATGCTCTTTGTAAAATCCAACGATTAAAGAGTTCAGCAGATAAAACAATGGTGTTGTGAAATTTTTATTGCACCATGACGTGTAGTAATGAGTCTAAAAAGTGAAATATAAACATAGGTACAGAGCAATAAATTTATGCATTTATGAGTTTTTGTGTGTTTTTCTTCTGAAATCATAGCCAGGGCAAACAGTCAGTGTGCTACAGCCGGGTTTAGTCAGGGAGAACCAGAGGTCAGAGGTCATATCAGTGTCACAGAGTCGGGTTAATCCAGGAAACGGTCCAGCATCCTCTGAATGTTCTGGAAAGCGTCTCGGCCCAGGTAGTCAGCCTTCCCAATCTCCCACTGCTTACGATGTTCCAACTGTTCCTCCTCCGTGACTCCATCCGTCTACGGTGACGAAGAGGAGAATAACAAGTCAGTCTTCAAAGAGAATTTATCAGTGAGACATCAAACTGTCTGCAGGTTCAACCTCTCCGCTCAGCATGTTAAAGGAAAGACTTGTAGGACTGTCACTCCTCCTAAATCACTTCCTTTTATGAAGCTTTGAACCGGCCCTGGCTTTATTGTTACTGTCTATATATCCGCTCTCTGCTCTGATCTGTGCCGGGTTCAAAAACTGTCTCTAAGAAGAAAGAAATCAGCGTTTCAAAAAACTTGTCTCCCTTATGCTTCTTTAAGTGGTGTTAATAATTAACAAAAGTTTGATGTTTAAAAGCTGCTTGAATCTGCCGTTAACCTAACTTTGAGAATCACAGTGCTGCAGATGTCAGAAAGCTTTACATACGGAGCTTGTTTCCTCGTCTGAGGCCTCATCGCTCTCCTCCAGCTCCTCTTCTTCCACTTCTTCTTCCACTTCTTCTTCCACTTCTTCATCCATCTCCTCTTCCTGTTCTTCAACAAGTGGTTCCTGGATCTCTATCAGCACAGGTGTTTTTGGCTCCTCCTTCTTCTCCTCCTCTTCTTTCTTCTCCTCTTCCTCCGGCTGTGGTGATTTATCATCTGTGTTTGGAACCTGCAGAAAACATGGTCATTATCGTAGACGTTGTGATTGAAATTTCTTGTATATCTGCATTACTGTCAGAGATACAAGAGTTGATGCGTGTCATCGTCTGCTGTCTCTCTGCAGGGCGTATTTGCTCGAGCTAATCTTACAAGCTTGTTTAAACACGATGCATCACGTAGGACGGAGTGAAACAAATGAGAGGAGGGCAGAGAGGAGCTCAGAGGCCTGTGCTTGATAATAAGCAGTTTTTTTTTTTTTCCTGCAGGATTCAGACGCAGTGAAGCAGAAACTCTCATAAATTAACCATCTCCTCTGCTGGAACTAAGAGGAGCCACTGGAGCCGCCTAATAACCCGCTCTAATCATCACCGTGATGTATTACAAACACAAACAACCCCGTTCAGACGCTTATTCATTACTGCTAATTAATCTATTGATTAGCAAATATTTCTAATGTCGTCCTGCTCGGCTTCACTGAAAATATGCAATTTTAACTCTGCAGAGGTTTCTCTGAAGAGCTTTTTTTAACAGGTGAAGTTTCCTTTGCTGTTTTTCGGACAAATTTTTTTCTACTTTCTTTTTTTTTTGACAATTTTTTTTCTGTTTATTGTACTAATATTTTCCTCCTCTTTCTGTTTTTCAGAAGAATTTTTATTCTGTTTTTCGTAACATTTTTTTTTCGTCTTCTGTTTTTCAGATGATTTTTTTTTTTTTGACTAAATGAGTTACTTCAAAATCCTGAGGTGCCGGCGGAAAGTAGACAAACTTATGACGATTCCATCTATCTCAGTGGTTCTCAAGTCCACTCCTGGAGGCCCACTGTCCTGCATGTTTTGGATGTTTCCCTGCTCCAACACACCTGATTCGAATGATCAGCTCGTTATCAAGCTCTGTAATGGCTTGATAACGAGCTGATCATTTGAATCAGGTGTGTTGGAGCAGGGAAACATTCAAAACATGCAGGACAGTGGGCCTCGAGGACTGGACTTGAGAACCACTGCTCTATCTGACTTAAATAAAGGAGTATCTAGCAGTGTCTCAAACCCAAAACAAAGTAAAACTTGATTGAACTAAACAAGTGGGCCGTGTTTGCTTCCAATAAATCGAGCAGAGGGGAATCAAAGCGTCTGTTTTTAAATGATCATGATCCCAGAGAAGAGGGAACAAAAATTAGTCTGAAAAACAAAACAAAACAGAAAAAATCAGTCTGAAAAACAGAAAAATTAGTCTGAAAAACAGGGGAAAAGATTAGGAAGAAATATGTATGTACACCACAGCCATGCTGGAGATCATGTGGACACATTGATGCACACCACTCTCACATGTTCTGGTCTTGCCCAAAATTAAAAGAGTACTGGGAGGAAATTAGGAAAAGTCTGCAAAAAACAATAGGATATCAGATACCAAAAACATTTAAATTATTGTATTTAGGAAACTCATTAAATGATACAATACAAAGAAAAGATGAGTACCTGGTTAAAATATTATTATCTGCAAGTAAAAAGGAAATCACTAGATTTTGGTATAAAGCAGAACCACCAATTTACAGAAAAGTGGGAAAAATGGACTGAATTCAGGAGGACAGAAGAAGACACCACCACTATCACTGGATAATAAGGACATTGATATAAGGAGGATTTATGAATGTGATGAATTGTTGTGCCCTGTCACTGTAACTGTTAAGACTTAAAAACAAATAAAAAATATAATGAATAATAAAAAAAGGAAAACAGGGGAAAAAATATTCAGAAAAAAAAAATTAGTTTGAAAAACACTTTTGTTTTGTTTTGTTTCTATTTTTTCTTGGTGAATGCAATATACCTCCGTAATAAACTGTTTATATTTCCCTAAAAAATTTAATCTGCACTAGATTTACAGCATAGATACATCCCTCTTGTTAAACCGTCTCACACACGGCTGTGCCTCTTCAGGTTAAATCCAGTTCAAATGTCTCCTGATATTTTTCACCATACACGGTCTTGTATTACACTGTCTCATGTGACAGTAGTGCAGATTATCACGTCCGGTCGGGTTGAATCATGTCTCTCTGATTCATGATTCTTTGGCTAAGTTCACACTGCAGGTTATGATGATCTGATCTTTTTGTGAATGCGCACAAAGCACAAATTGCTTTCTGCGCCCGTTTGTGTTGTCGAACAATGGTGAAGTTTGTCGCATATTGATGACGTATAGTTCAGATGAACGCAACCTGAGTGTCCACACTGCAGTCACATCGGATACATATTCGATTTATATCCACATACAAAAGAGGCCTGGGTCGGATTTGAAAAAATCTGAATTGCACTGTTCACACTTACATGAAAAAATCTGACATGTGTCACATATAGTTGAAAAGTCGGAATTGACCTGCAGTGTGAACATAGCCAATGTTGCTCCCTACATTCAACTGCACAGTCTCTTGATTGTTAGTTGGACAGTTAACTTTTTCATGTAACACTGAACATTGTTTCTCATAAGGTTTTCTTATGTCACTGAGTTTTGTAATCTGAGCTGAAAATAAACTGGCATGAAACAGCCATGGAAATTTTGGTGCGACCAGGTTTGAATGCCAATTAGAATTTGAAACAGCCCTCCGTAACAGTTGTATCTTTCATTGTGTGTTTTTCAGGTAATAAAAATAAAGAGTCATAAAGATAGAGGTGTTATTACCAGATCAGTCCTCGCTCTCACAGTCTCCGGTTGAGTCGGTGTCTGAAACCCCTCATATGGCAGTCTAAATGGTGGTAACCGAGTAATAGGCCTGTCCACAGTTTTTCGAACCACCACTTTGGACTTGGAGCTGTCTGCCGTTTTTCGAACCACCACTTTGGACTTGGAGCTGTCCGCGGTTTTTCGAACCACCGCTCTTGTTTTGCTCTTTGATTTTGGGATCTGAAAAAAAAAAAAAACAGAAAAGGATGTTGAGTGCTGGGATGAGGACCAGGACCAGTCCAGGCAGCCATGTGTCGCATTTGGCTGCCAGTTTGCATGTTTTATTGCTTGGGCCAAACTCTGCAGAAGCTTATGAGACTGATTAACAGACCTCCAGCAAAAGAGGAGGAAGTCATCAGTGAAATGTGCTCAAGTGTTTGGAGGATAATCTGCAGAGCGGGCGCCAAATGTGGCACACCATCGGCTCTCTGGACACCAGCACCGAGCCACTGTGCATCTGAAAATATCCCAAAGAGCCCAGATCCTGAAGACAGTTTCACCTTTTTTGGTTGCTCTGTGTCTGTTTCTTCTTTCCCCTTAGGTAGCGATGTCTTCACATGATCGTTAAACTCCCTCCACCACAGGGCCAGAAACTGCGTCATGGTCTCTGAGCCACTGCTACTCTGAATGCTGGAGTTCCAGGGTTTCACCGCTCCGATGAAATGGACGATCTTTGCATTGTGGCCAAACCTGGAGAAAAATAATCATCAGTGGAGCGTGTTTTTGCAGAATAAGAGGGAAGAAAACAACACGTACTTATGAAGGCTAAGAATGAAAGATTAAACCATTGGGGCTCCTCTAAATTTAAGGCTGGTGTTTTTTCCAGTCATCCTAACCCTTTTTTAGTTTCTCTTCTTCTTCACTGGATATGTAACTGATGCAATAGCATGTAGGATTAAAAATAGCGGAATTCCCCTTTAGATAACTGAAATAAAGACACAAGATTACACTTCTCAATCACTGCAGTTCACTAGGTAATCATTAATGTGTTAAACTATATTCTCAAATTTACATAACGCAGTAAAGCTATAACTGCAAACACATGCTAAATGTACCCGTTTAAATGATCTAACATGCATGTTCTTTAGTGTATGGATCACAGTGACATCTTGCAAGTCTGACAGTACACAGTCTGGGTGCTGAGTGAGGGTCAGGGTGCAGAGAGATTGGATTAAGTCCCCTAGATATTCGTAGATATGTTTGGGTATGAAATGAATCAAACCAATCACAGTGTCTGCTCTCATCTACTTTAATAGTAAAGTGTGCCTGCAAGCAATGGGGTCCTACGATTTACACAATAGATATCAGCCTTTATACGTAAACAGGTCATGCTCAATCTAGTTAATTTAACTTGATTGCCCTCAAAATTACCCACAGGACACTGTGTGGGTCCTGTCATATCATGTGTCTGTCTCTGTGTGTAAATGAGAGTGTGCATGATAAACAGTATGGCGACAGTCTCAGTCTAGAGTTTGTTTTTTTTAGCTTGTGCAGCACAGAGGTGAGGTACAGTGGATATAAAAAGTCTACACAGCCCTGTTCAACTGCCAGGTTTTTGTCATGTAAAAAAATTAAATCAAGATAAATTATTTCACAACTTCTTCCACTTTTAATGTGACCTATAACCTGTACAACACAATTGAAAAACAAACAGAAATCTTTCAGGGAGGTGAAGTAAAAAAAAAAAAACTGAGATCGTGTGGTTGCATAAGTGTGCACACCCTTTAATAACTGGGGATGTGGCTGTGTTCAGATTTAACCAATAACATTCAAACTCAGGTTAAATTGGAGTCAGCACACATCTGTCCCCAATTAAAGTGCCTCTGATTAACCCCAAATTAAGTTCAGCTGTTCTAGGTGCTTTTCCTGACATTTTTGGAGCCACATCTTCCAGCACAAGCCATGGTCCACAGAGAGCTTCCAAAGCATCAGAGGGATCTCATTATTCAAAGATATCAGTCAGGTGAGGCTACAAAAGAATTTCCAAGGAATTAAATATACCATGGAACACAGTAAAGACCGTCATCATCAAGTGGAGAAAATATGACACAACGGTGACATTACCAAGAACAGGACGTCCGTCCAAAATTGATGATAAGACAAGAAGAAAACTGGTCAGGGAGGCTACCAAGAGGCCGACAGCAACACTGAAGGAGCTGTAGGAATTTCTGGCAAGTACTGGCTGTGTAGAACATGAGACAACAATCTCCCACTGTCGTCATATGTCTGGGCTATGGGGTAGGGTGGCAAGACGGGAGTCTTATCTTACAAACAAAAACATCAAAGCCCGGCTAAATTTTGCAAAAAGACATCTGAAATCTCCCAAACACATGTGGGAAAATGTGTTATGGTCTGATGAAACCAAAGTTGAACTTTTTATGCATCATTGCAAAAGGTATATTTGGCGCAAAATCAACACTGCTCATCACCAAAAGAACACCATACCCACAGTGAAGCATGGTGGTGGCAGCATCATGCTTTGGGGCTGTTTTTCTTCAGCTGGAACTGGTGCCTTAGTCAGGGTGGAGGGAATTATGAACAGTTCCAAATACCAGTCAGTGTTGGCACAAAACCTTCGGCCTTCTACTAGAAAGATGAAGATGAAGAGGAACTTTATCTTTCAGCACGACAATGACCCAAAGCACACATCTAAATCAACAAAAGAATGGCTTCACTGGAATAAGATTGAGACTTTGGAATGGCCCAGCCAGAGTCCAGACCTGAATCCCATCAAACATTTGTGGGGTGATCTGAAGAGGGCTGTGCACAGGAGATGCCCTCACAATCTGTCAGATTTGGAGCAGTTTTGCAAAGAAGAGTGGGCAAATATTTCCACATCAAGATGTGCCACGCTGATAGACCCCTACCCAAAAAGACTGAGTGCTGTAATAAAAGCCAAAGGTGCTGCAACAAAGTATTAGTTTAAGGGTGTGTATATTTATGCAACCAGGTTATTTAAACTTTTCTATTTTTTATTTTCCCCTTAAAGGTTTCAGTTTGTTTTTCAATTGCATTGTACAGGTTATAGGTCACATTAAAGGTGGAAAAAGTTGTAAAATTATTTATCTTGCTCTCATTTTCTTACATCACTAAAACCTGGCAGTTGAACAGGGGTGTGTAGACTTTTTATATTCACTGTAGGTGTGAGCACTGTTGTGCATCTTATGTACAGTATGTGTATGAAATACAGATGCAGGTCTCACTGTCTTGCTAATGCACCCTCTAGATACTTGGAAAGTGCTGCACCATTGACTTTAGACTTAAGACCAGGTTTTTGTCAGTTTAAGGTACAGACACTTTCCTTGTCCTCAAGATAGCAGCACGCTACATTTGTGCCCAACTACACCTCATTTGACCGAGATGTGAGTGCAAAGCATTGGCTGGTCAAGGAGCAGGTGCTAGTTGTACAAATGTCGACTGCACCAGGCATAAAATGACAACGAGATCTGTGCCAGGTTAAGACCCTTACTGTTGGAAAGCAGGGCGGTAGCTGTAGACGGAGCTGGCACTGAGATTGTAGATGAACGGCAGGTGCCTGCTGATGTCCTCATCCACCCAACCACTGAAAAAAGAGTTCAGCAGACCCTGGTCCCCTCCTCACATGAGCATGTAGGGTAAATAAATCATGTCAAACTTGAATTAATAACAACATGCATTGCTTGATTCCACAGATCATGACTCTGGATCTGCACTGGAGTTACCATCAAAGCTGCCGTGCTGCAGGGCGTGCTGCATCAGGGCAGCATGAGTTTGCAGAGACGGTTTGAACACAAAGACGCCCGAGTTAAAGCAGTCAGGCCAGCCGGGATCAGGAGCTGCAGACAGTTCTTCTCTCTCAAACAGATCGTCCACGTTACTCAAGATCTGGAAGGGGACAGGGTGGAGCAGGGTCAGCTACAAAACCTACTGGAGGTTATTGGAAAGCATTAAGCACAATCCTTTACTTAAGATCTAAAAGAGAAACATGTTTTTTGCAGGAACAACCATGAGAACACGCAAATGTACATTCACACGTCAGCTCAGTTCAACCTCCTCCCTCTTCAAACATGTGTGTCCTGACATGAGAACATGTTTACACTGAACAAACACAGACGGACGCCGCAGTAACAACATGTCCAGAGCCTGTCCTCAGACATCCATGTTGGTATTGATTTCTATACGATTAGGTTTGACTGTTTTTGACCTGCGCAGAGACTTTGGCCGACAGTTCAGAACATGAAGGTTGTGAATCTAAAGAGTAAATATTGACTGCTAGATACGTGGAGGTAAAAATGTACGTAAACATGTTCACATCATGTTCTGTAGGTTTCTGATTTGGAGTTCTGTCACTTTATTTTGACTGAGCTCAGTTCAGCTGTCTGTACAAATTCACAGCTGGAGTCTTAAACATGCAGATTACAGATTTTAAATCGATTAATATGCGGAATAATTTTCAGTTTATCATTTTCTTTTCAAAGACAGATGGTTAGAGGTGAAAATAGTGACACCTGTGAGCTAGTTCAGGCAGGCTGTGTGGTTATTCGTTGGACTCACGAGTGTGTCTGCATCCAGGAAGACACACTTGCTGAACTGGGTCAGAGTCCAGCAGTGGATCTTGGTGAAGGTGATCCCAAGGTCAGGCCGTCCCAGCAGAGCCAGGTTGAGCTGATCCTGGCTGTCCATCAGGTCCACCAGGACCACCTCGTCAAACACGTCCTCGAGGGTCAGCCTGGTGAGGTGTGAGAAGGGTTAAAGACGCGCTCTAACAGAGACCATCAATGAAGGTGAGAGTTATATGTTAGACACACCTGGACCGCTTTGAGATGTTGGGCGTTACCATGACGACGATCCTGCGAGTTGTGCAGTGACGCCTCAGGCTCCTGGCCACCACGATCGCCCCCTTACAGTAGGAGTCTGTGGTGACCAGAGTGACGAAGGCCTCACCTGATGGAGAGAGGTCACATGACTGAATTAACTCTCACATCCTGTTCAAATCCTGTACCCTCACAGTATCCTCCGAGTCAAAATTGACCCAGCCCAAGAATTGCCCATGTAGCAAGCATTTTTACCAAAGTTCTAACCCAAAACCTATTCATAATGTTTAAATGACCTATGCTATTTCAAAAATTATTGATTAGTCCTTACTAAATGTTTCAAAGAGCTGGGAAAGTGTATTTTCTAAGTTTTAACACCACTCGTTTTTGGTGAAAAATATATTCTGGAGAAGAATATCTATTACACAGGAAAATTTCATGTAATATTATGTAAGAATTAAAAGAATATAAAAGTCATAGTGATTTGAATATATTTTACTGAACAACAAATATTGAACACTGTTCTCACTGTTTGTCGCTTGTCCCACACTGCTAGATCTAAAATCCATTAAATAGACACGGGTCAAATTTGACCCGTAACAGCCTCAGAGGGGGCTGGTACATGTAGCACATGTACAAAAATACACATTAATATTTTTAAATTAATTTTGTGTATTTTGGGCCATTTCAGGAAAAGTCAACAAGTTTCAGGCTTAAAGAATGACGTTTAGGGTAGTTTTTTTGTTAAAAGTCAGAATGGGTCAAATTTGACCCCTAACAGTTTGTAAGGGTTAAACTGGTATATATCAGCAATAGGTCTGGATCTTCGCCACTTTCAGACTTGAAATTAAGCTTGTGTATCAATTTGCATCAAATTTTAAGCAAGACATTCGAGACAACTTGTGTGAATGTTGAAAATGTAGATCAAAAAATGTGTATTTAACGATAATTGACATCTTTGAGCGTTTGCTGGAAGTTAAAAGTTTAGAACTTGCAGAAAAATTTTAGATAAGCGAAGCAAGTCATTTGACCCCCAAAAAAAAAAAAAAATTCGGATAGCTTCAGGTCACTATGAAGCATTGGTTCTCAAGTCCAGTCCTCGAGGCCCACTGTCCTGCATGTTTCTGATGTTTCCCTGCTCCAACACACCTGATTCAAATGATCAGCTCGTTATTAAGCCATTACTTGATAACGAGCTGATCATTTGACTGAGGTGTGTTGTAGCAGGGAAACATCCAAAACATGCAGGACAGTGGGCCTCCAGGACTGGACTTGAGAACCACTGCTATAAAGGAATGCAATTCTAATAACTCAAGCTCTGTTGTAGCTGTGGAGCTGACCAAAACTGACTAAAACTTTTTTCACTTTAGCAGGTCAGGTAATAACATGCTAACACAAAATGTAAGACAGCTACACCTGGCAGTGCGCAGCTTTGAAAACTATTGATCACTAACTAAATAAATGAATATGAAAATAAATAAAACAATGTCACTTTTGTGGAGTTTTGGAGCCAATGATGAGGTTTGAAATAAGATTATGCTGGTTTGAAACTTACATCTGAGCATCTTAAAAGTATCACAAACACGCTTGGCTCTATTTTTGTGCCCGCCGGTGGCGCGGCGGAGGGTGGCGGACCTTGCAAAGTTGTATTTTTATCTGGCGGAGCCCGGTGCACAGCCAGTTTGGTATTTCGGTGGACTGAGATGCACTGAGGTCCACCAAGTTGGGCGTGGTGACGCGGTAGGGGGAGGTGTCGACAAAGTCAGCTGGCTCAGTGACATTTGTGAGCTCGCCGGCTGTGTTGAAAGTGCGCTGAAAGCTCGCTGATTCAAAACTGGTCAGCTTTCAGCACAGGCGGAGTGCAGCTGGTCTAGTGGTATACGTCACCGTATATACCGCCTCACAGGCAGGTTTCCACAGTGTCAGACACATTTCAGTGCAAAAAATAATCAACAACTAATATTCTGATCCTACACCACGCCGCCGAGGAACAAAAATAGAGCTGTTTGTCTCAGCACAAATGAGCTGATTGATCTGTAATGATTTTTGTCTCCATGACATATGATGCATAACAATACAAAACGCCTCCCTTGCATCTAAAAATCTGAATCAACAAAAAGTCTTCAACCTTTTGGAAACATTTGCACAAAAATCACAGTTTTTATTTTCACTTTTCTTTCCTCCTCGGTGTCATTTCCTCTAATTAATCTTGACATTACAACAGAATAATGCAATCAAGGTTATGTTGATTAGCATTACTAATAAATGTTGCTTTTCAATCACCTTCCTGACCAGTTTCTTTTTTTATTTAGTGGGATCTTAAATCTGTCTCCAATATTTTTAAGATATTTGTGTTTTTATTTCTATCCGTGCATTTTCCCTTTCATAATTCCTCATTGTACAGCCTTCATCCTGCTGCAAAATGATTGTTTTTATCCCTACGCATGTGCATGTGTGATATCTTAAGAAGATAATGTAAAAAATTGTATCAACAAACTCAAGTACAACTAAAAGATTTAGCTGTATATTCAATTTCTATCTGCATCTCTACAAGATTAAAGCTGTTGCACAAACTGATGCAGATCTTGAATATAGCGTCAAAATTACTTATGCAGCTGCAAAACTCTATCTCTAATTGTTCGGTCTGTCTATGTTTCAAAAGTTTCCTCTGCAGTTTAAGACATGCACCAGCTTCCACTGCAAAGTTACATTTCTGTTTGCAGAGAGTGGAGAGGAGCAGTTTCTTCTGGTTTCAGGTCAAACTGGGTCACTTTACTGTGTTCTTTATGATTTAGCAACTCGAACAGAAAGACTCTCTGAGGAATAAGAAACCTGCTCTGTGTGAAGCAAGTCTTGTATTTCTCACAAATCATTTATAACAAATAAACTTACCTGACATATTGGTGTCTTAAATCTTCTGCAGCTCCAGAGACTCTCCAGCAGGGCTCGGCTCTGGTTTCATGCAGAAGTCTCTTGGTGCAGGTGTCAGGAGGGTCCAGGAGACAGTCCCATCTTCAGTCCGGGTCCTTAAATAGAGGGAGGATGAGGAAGAGTCTGACGCTGCAGGAGGAAGTCACATCTCCTCCTGTTTTCATCACAGAGAGGAGCTGAGGCCCACTGTGGACGTCTGTCTGCTGTTTGTTCATCTGGTCATTCAACTATAGGAGGTGAGCTCTGAAAAACAAACTGTCCTCTTGTCCTCCTGTCCCTCTGTCTGTCTGCACTCTCTGTTAACTTTCACTTTCTGCACTGAGCTGTTGCAGGACCAAACCGCTCCACAGAGGTCATTTACACCAAAAACAGCTGATAAAAACCCTGAAAATCCATCAATCTCACCTCAGAGAGACACAGAGTTATCCACTGTGGTGTGATAAAAATCTCACAAAAGGGAAAACAGGATTATTACTAAAATCTGACGTCACAGCGAGGCTGCTTTTGTCACTCGCTTAGGAAAATAAATAAGCGGTTAGACTCACAGATTCGCTAAAAGCATGAACATATTCCAGTATAATCAGAGTCAAATACGGACTTTAGACTCTCAAAGTACATTTCAGGTGCAAGAGGACTGTTTATGCAAGGCGCTGGATATGCAAGGATGCAAAGAGAGATGAAATCTTGAATCATGCAGCTCCATCACAGCACTGAGGTCAGCGTCTGATTCACAGCATCCATTTCAGATGATATAGACTAGTGGTTCTCAAGTCCAGTCCTGCATGTTTTGGATGTTTCCCTGCTTTAACACACCTGATTCAAATGATCTGCTCGTTATCAAGCTCTGTAATGTCTTACTAACGAGCTGATCATTTGAATCAGGTGTGTTGGAGCAGGGAAACATCCAAAACATGCAGGACAGTGGGCCTCGAGGACTGGACTTGAGAACCACTGATATATAAGGTTCCATAAATCAAGACCTAATCCAAAACCGGTAAACTACACTTGACATATCTGGACTCTGAGAGTCTTATTTCAGATTTGTGAATGCTATAATAAATTTGTGAAAATGCAAAAAAATAAAATAAATAAAATTTTAAAAAATTAGTTTTTTGCTTTTTTTTTTTTTTTTTTTTGTTAAATCACAGAGTATTATGTTTAAGGAACTACTAAAAAATTAGGGCATTTTTGTCTCTTCTTAATTTTTTTATTTATCAATTTAATTGTTTTGGCTTAGTCTTGGTCTCATCAGCAAAAGTTCAGATACAAACCCATCAGACTTGAACTTGTCAAAGCCACATAAGATTAATCTTCACTGTCCAAAAAAATCAGTTGAAGGTTTGTCAAAAGATTATTTCTGTCTGACAGTTAAGAAAAATAAAAAATGAAAAAAATGTTTACTGTATGGATCACAAAGGACCAAGTCCTGATCCATCGCTGTAGCATCGCTGCATCGGCTCCCCGTGTGTTTCAGGATTGATTTTAAGTTTCTTTTCTTAGTTTTTAGGTGTATTAATGGTCTTGGCCCTCCCTATTTATCTGACTTACTTTTACCATATCAACCCTTGTGGGCCCTGAGGTCCTCCGGCACAGGCCTTTTAACCTTACCCAAAGTTAAAACAAAAACACATGGGAAGGTGGCATTCAGTTTTTATGGTCCCCGGTTGTGGAACAGCCTGCCGGAGAGCCTCAGGGCCGCAGAGACTGTTGATGTTTTTAAGAAGAGGCTCTAGACTTACCTTTTTAACCAGGCCTTTTACTAATTGCCTTTTTATATTTCTCTTATTGCAAATGTTCATTTAAAACGAAGGTCTTATTGTTTATTTTATCTCATTTTATTAATTATCTCTGTTCTTAGTCTTTTTTCTTAATTCCCGTCACAGGTTTTTACTTCTTTTACCCCCTTTTTTATATGGTAAAGAGATTTTACTTATCTGTTCATTTCATATTATTTTCTTGTTTTAGTCCATCAGGTTTTACTTTTTCTTTTCACCGTTTTTGTCTCTATTTTTTTATCTCCGGTGTTTCCCAAAGGTAGCTCTTTCCTCACGTAATTTCTCGTTGTCAGGCCATGTCTCTTGAACAATATATCTTCAATTCTTACACTGTGTGCGGTTGTGTGTGTGTGCGTATGTGTGGGTGAGGGTCCATGGGTGTGTGTGTGTGGGTGGGAGGGTCCGGTTTTATTGTCGTTATTGTTGTTTTTAGCCTCTGTGAGGCACTTTGAATTGCATTTTTTGTATAAAAAGTGACATACAAATAAAGTTGAATTTGAATTTGATCCAAAACCACAAGAACAAGACTCTTCTTAGTCTCGGGTTTGTGAAACTGAAAAAGCTCTGATCTTATGTAGCCTGTTTGTCTTATTTCTATTTAAAAACTGTTGATTTAAGCCACAAGTCCTGAAAACATCTTATTTTGTCACATCACCCTCTAAAAATGAGGCCAACAAACTTCAAGTTATCTCTTTTTATAACAAAAGTAATTCACGGGATAAACTCTTTAATACAGGAATGTTTGTTTATTTGATTTAATGTCAATAATAGGCCTAAAAGTTGCTAACATCCAGAGTGCATGTTTCTGACAAGAATTCATCACTGAATTGCGAATAAAAAAACAAGTTTTCTGTTTGTAAAAGGTTCTCTTTAGGTCGGTTATGGGTTTGAAAGGACCGTATAAAAATATGAGAAACTTAGTGAAACTGTACAACACCACTTTATTAATGTCAAACACACTCACAGAAAAACATTCACCTGTTCATCAGAGCCAAAAACACCTCCAATCAAACTACAAATACAAAAATACACTTCACATAGAAATCCTGATTGATACTGGGAGCAGCAGGAAGCGAAAGAGAGACTTCGAGTATTTACAGCAAACACCACAGAGAGGAGACGAATCCTACAAACGGCTCTGATTTGACTTTTCTTTTCTGATCTATATCTGACTGTGAGACTTGAGTGACTCTGAGGACAGTCTGCGGGATCAACAAACATGATGATGCAGAAAATTCAGCTCAGAACACAGAAAAGAAAAGGTGCATCGCTTCAGAGTTTCCCCCCAGATTCAAAGCTGCTGCTATTCTACGGCAAGCAAGAAGCTCCAAACTTTTGAGGGAGTGTGAGGCTCAAACATCAGGGAGTAAAATAACAGGAGGAAGACTTTTTTTTATTTTATATTTCCAGAATTAAGAGGACACATCCAGGGTACGGGTGTAAAATTTAAAAAAATAGAAATGTTGGATTATTTAATACACTTCACTAGGCCTGTCACGATAACAAATTTTGCTGGACGATAATTGTGCTACAAATTATTGCCGATAAACGATATTATTGACACCGTTTTTTAAATTATAGATAATGATATTAAATGGCATAATAATGCGAGTACACCGTGTCAAAAGTGATAAACTTTAATTTTACCCACGACGAAGACGTAACGTTGACGAGCTAAACATAAGTCGGAGATGACTAAAATGTGACGAGACGAAAGTGCGTTTACGTTGATGGGACGAGACGAAAATGACGAACAGAGTTGCAAAACTCAGTCAGTTAAACGCTAAACATACAGGAGCAGCTTCAGTCCGCTCTGACAGCTCTCATCAGCCTGCTGTGCTCCTCCAACACAGACACACGCGCGCGCGCGCAAACACACGTGGAGTTTTGTGGCTGACGAAAACAAAACTGGTTTAAAGCCGAAATATTCCCACACTTGGGCTGTTGCGTTCGGTTTAGACACCTAAGCTGTCGTGTTCATTCTGTTTGCTTGCTTTTCACTCACGACGCTCACTTGCGGCACTGTATCCAAAAGTCTGTGTCTGTGTGCCTGTGCGCGCCTACGTGTAGCTGTGCGCGCGCCCCCTCGTAACAAAGACACTGAATGACTGACAGGAGGGTTCACTAACTCCGTTCATTCCGCTATACAGCCAACGCCCCCAGGTGCCGAGAAAAATGCGCAGAGTGAGACCTCTTCTCTCAACCAGCGTGTTTGGTAGTGAGAGAGGAGGAAAACAAACGCACGTCAATTATCGAGGCTGGCAAAATGACCGACCTCGTTTTTATTTATCGAGCGATAAGGCGATTTATTGATTATCGCGACAGGCCTACACTTCACAAACTGAGAGCACATCAAACTAGGCAAAATAAAGTCTGGAATTTTAAGATAAAGTCTGAGAGTCAAATTAGAAATGTTGGGAATATTTGGGTCACTTAACATCGAAATGTCAAAATTAAAATGTTGAGTTAAAATCTTGAGAAAATACTGAAACTTATTCAAATTAGACAAAAAATTTCATAATGTAATCAATGACATAAATACAATTTTTTTTTTACAAATACAGTCTTGATTTTAAACTCAAAATGCCAACGTTGTCAAAAGCTTTGTTCCCATCACTTCAAATTATTGTGGCTATTTAAAATCTTCAATGCAATTTTTAAATCTGTTAAAAAAGAGGAAAAAAAGGAAAAAAAGGGGGGTAAAATCTTTCAAATCTCCCTTCTATATTTGACCTCAAAACTCCTCAGTACGAGTTTGAGTAAAATAACGGATAAAAAGGCTGCAAACACTTGTCTGTATTTTCTAAAGTCCTCTCTGTCCATCAGTAAGTCTTAAAAATGTTATTTTCTCACATAAGTCACAAGATAAATCCTAATTTCTCAGTTTCCACAGGCTGCAAATCCAAATCCAAGAGGTTAAAATACATTTAAAGAAGTTAAAAGAGTTTAAAAAAGGCTAGAAGAGGACAGGCGTCTCTGGGTTTGTCTACTTCTTTCACTTGTCATTACTTGAAGAAAATAAGATTTTTAGGGGTTAAAAACAGACAGAGATGACTTTGGCAGTGCATAACTTTAACTCCCTCAAACAATATAAACAGAAACTGAAGCTGATACTGTATGTTACATGTTTATATATGTGGTACATCTCATTATTAACATTACACTCTGCATATTTATTTTCATGTTTAAATGTAGTAATTTTGTCTTTTATAACATCAGCTCCTTCTGCTGGATTTACACCCAGTTATGAGATAATAACGTCAGTTAAACTTGATTATTCTTTTAAAACAGGAAGCTCTTTGTAAAACGTAGGTATTATGTGCTTTAGTTATCTGTTTTTATACAAAACCCAATTCCATTGAAGTTGGGAAATTGTGGCAAACGTTAATAAAAACACAATACAATGATTTCAATTGAATACACTACAAAGACAAGATATTTAATGTTCAAACTCATAAACTTTTAACTTCAGTTGAATGTAGTTTGAAAAGGATTTACAAATCATTGTTTTCTGTTTTTATTTACCTTTATCACAATGGAATTGGGTTTTGTAGATTCAACCTCCCAGGCAAACCAACTCATTTCATTTTGATCTCTATGAAACCATCAAACTGCGTTAGTTTTGCGTTTTTGATCGTTGTTAAGAAGCAAAGTTTTTAAAAATTGTAGTAAAAAAAAAAAAAACAGAGCCAAAGTCCTGAGTTCTGGAAATTTACACGATGAACCAGCAAATTTAAAGCAGTTTAGATGGTGTGAGTGGCAGCTCCTAAAGTTAGTTTCATCTTTTAGTCCTTTAATTTTAAAAATGTTCAACTAAAAAAATTCTATATATTCTAGCAAACTTTGATTTACAATCAGCCATGAGCTAAAACTGGCTGCTCGTTCCGCAACATCTGAATGCTTAGATTTAAAATAACGGAAGCCCAAAGTGGACAAACATCCTTACATTTTGTCATTGCAGGTTGATTTGAATTGTTTTCTTGCCTTTTCTTTTATCATAATTCTCATATTTATTGGACTTTAAAGCTGCAGTTTGATTTTCCTGCAGGGGTCTCAACCTCACAGGTCCAGAAAAATGTCTAAATGCAAGATATTATACACCAAACTGACACCTGAGAGAATCATTGTGGCAAGAAAATCTGCAAATGGAATACGAAAAAACTACTTATTCCTTTTTATTTCTTATTTCATTGTCATTTTCACTCAATATAAGCAGTCCAGGTCTTATTATTGGTGCATAATATTTTTCAGTTTTCTGGTCTTGTCAAGTCTGGCTCAAAGTCTAAGACACCTTTTACTGGGAACCAGACAAAAACACTCACTCAGGTATGAGTTTTTACAGCTTGAAGCATGCTGTAGTTTTATCCTTCACAGTATTGTTGTTTTATTTCTAGATCCATAGAAAACTGTCCATCCCAACTTTACCATGAGGATAAAAGGCTCAGATCTGAACAAACCACCCGGATTAACTCGCTGTGACAGAGAAAGTGAAAAAAGGAAATATCAGGGAGGAAGCGTGTCCACTCGGGGCTTTAGAGAAAAAGTGTCTCCATCTGTATTTTTGTGTAGAAACGATTTGATCCACAAAATAAAAACTAAACAAATAAAGAGTTAAAGGTCATAGGCAGACTTTGCTATGACAAACGAGAACACAAAGGTTGTAACTCTGATTTTTCTACTTTTTAAGGTTTAAGGTGCAAAAGAAAAAGCTCTTAATCTGAAGCTGAATGTGGAGAAACAGAGAACAGTTTGTTCGATCCTTCTCAGATGCTCACCAGGTGAGGTCTGCTGCATTAAAAACTGCAGGTAATAACAGGTACAAATATCTCCTTTAACATGTTGAATGCAGTAAACTCCACCTGTGCAGCTCAGAGTTTGGCTTAACTGTGAACCAGGAAAATGAAAGTTTATCGCTCAATGTGTCAAAAGTTTTCAAGTTAACAGAGAGACAGAAGGGAGAACAAGGAGTAAAAACTAGACCAAAGACCACCGTGAACACCTGGACAGGTCTGAAGAGGAGAAGGGGGCGGAGGGGGGCTCATCCTGTTTGAGTGCAGACGGCATCTAAGATGTCCTGAGGAGGTTACTGAAAACTGGAACAAACACAAAAACAGAAAAATTAACAAAGTTACCAGAGAATAAAAACTTAAAATGAACTCGAGAACATAAACTCACGTTGATTATCGTTCTGACCACCACGCGGTCCTTTCCCGCTCTCTGGGTCTTGACCTACAAAAAAAAACATAAAAATAAGCTTCACTAAAAAGTAAAAAAATAGCGTAATGTATGAGATAAAATGGCATGATACCTCCTCTTTGTTATCAAATATAAGAATATAAGAATAAAATCAGTGTTCCTGACCTCCCTGCAGTTTAAAGCAGAGCTTCTTCTTCTGGTAGGCGATGTAACTGGATGCTGCTCCTAATATAGCCACGCCCACGGCGCTGACGATCCCGGCGATCTGTCCACCTCCTGCCTCTGTGTGTTAAAAATACACAAGAAGGAATCAATGAATGAGATACTAAAGGTTTCATTCAACAAGAACACAGAGAGAATATCAGCAACAAGATATCAGCACATATACTGTGTGAGCGTTCTGTTTATCCACTTATTCCTCACTGATTCTTCACAGGTGTATTCATAAATACTATTTTAAACTTTTTAAGACCTTTTAAGACCCAAAAACTTCAATTTTTTCTAACACTAAGGCTTTCAATGACCTGTAAGGAATCCACATGATCTTGGCTTTCTGGTATTTGAAGTTGAATTGTATCACTTAATCCTGGTCGTACTGTTTGAACCTTTAGATCCATGGAAATATTAATATTAGAAACATAACATCCATCCAAAAATCAAGGTACTATTGTTTATAAAATGAAATTTTAGTTTCCACCAAGGTCAAAAGCACAGAGATTTTTTTCTTTTTTTTTTTGCCAACATGAAAAATGTATCACCACATACAAAAAACTTTGAAGAGTACCAAAGTATTTAGTCCAGTGGTTCTCAAGTCCAGTCCTCGAGGCCCACTGTCCTGCATGTTTTGGATGTTTCCCTGCTCCAACACACCTGATTCAAATTATCAGCTCGTTATCAAGCTCTGTAATAGATTACTAATGAGCTGATCATTTGAATCAGGTGTGTTGGTGTGTTCAAAACATGCAGGACAGTGGGCCTCCAGGACTGGACTTGAGAACCACTGATTTAGTCAGAAAAGAATTTTAAAAATCAGGAAATGCAAAGACCTTTCAAAACAAAATATTTCACCTAACCTCCAAATTTTGCAAATCCTAAAAAATATTTCATAAAAGATAAGCATATGAAAAAATGTTAAAAATAAAAAATATTGAACAAAACAAATATTTTAGAAAATGTAAAAGAATAATTTAAAAATGGGAATAATTTATTTGACATGAAAACACTGACCCTCAAGGCCACCGTACCATTGACCATTATTCATGTAATGAAATTAGCTCAAAGCCTTAAAAAATGCACTGAATCTTTTTTAAATGTTTCATGTAAGATTAAATGGTACATTTATTTTTAATCATGAATTCTATAATAAGAACATGAAAACATTCTGCACCCTACTTTGAAGTGAAACAGCATAAACTGATTCATTTTCAGAAAAAACATTGGCAACTGAACAAAATTTGCCAAAATTACCAAATGAAAAATACAGAAAAGTCAGAAAAGAATGTCTAAGAAACAGGTAAAGGTAAGAAAAAGACAGAAAAGAAAAAAACAGAAATCAGGAATGAATGAGAGCCCTGGAGATGTACCTGTCACAATCTCATTCTGCCACCAGGGGGAGCTATGACATTAACAATAAAAGACAGCCATTAAAATGAACTGGCAGAAAGTTTACAGAAAAACAAACAAACAAACAAACAAAAAAAGGATATAACTGAAGTTATAGAAGAAGTAATGGATTCAAAAACCCGGTGTGATCGAAAAAGAAAGATTTAAGGTGTGAAAGTCTGTGTTTGAAACACCAAATGAACAAACTGGAGAATAAAACAGATGGAGACTGGATTAAAAACATAAAGACCCAAACTAACAGGCAGGCAGGGAGGGGCTCAGAGGCAGCACACACACACACACACACACACACACACACATAATGTGAACCACACAAACTCACATGAACACATGAATACTCCTGGCTGTGCTTCACAGGGTGAGTCACGATCAGGGGTGTGTCCCGTGATGAAGAGGACAACTCAAACTGGGCGTTGCCTCCATATTAAAACAATAAAACAAGATGGCCGACCACTCGATGACTGAGAGCTGGGAAATGTTCAGCATGCTTGGAGCGTTGTTTTTTTTTCCCACACACGTGTAGCACACCTAAAGTGCTGGCCTCTGTGTCATAATCCAGACATCATTTGTTTGTAATCATCTGTTTACTCCTGCTTTTTCTCCTCTTTTTTTCCTCTTAATTCAAATTCACAGAGGCTGAACTTGTATTTAAGGAGGGGGTTTGACAGACATAAATCATTGATGTATCAGGGGAATTTCTGTGTTAGCTGGAGACATTTTTGAAGGTTAAAAAAAGGGTGTTAACTTGTTTGAAAATAACCATGGTTTGGTTCTCAAGAACAATAACTGCAAATAACTTTTCTATGCAGCTCTCTTTACTGCTGCACAGCTCTCTTTAATGTCTGCATAGCCCTCTATGGTGTCTGCACATCACTCTTTAGTGTCTGCACAGCTCTCTATAGTGTCTGCACAGCTCTCTATAGTGTCTGCACATCACTCTGTAGTGTCTGCACAGCTCTCTATAGTGTCTGCACAGCTCTCTATGGTGTCTGCACATCCCTCTATAGTGTCTGCACAGCTCTCTATGGTGTCTGCACATCACTCTATAGTGTCTGCACAGCTCTCTATAGTGTCTGCACATCACTCTATAGTGTCTGCACAGCTCTCCATAGTGTCTGCACATCACTCTATAGTGTCTGCACATCACTCTATAGTGTCTGCTCAGCTCTCTAAAGTGTCTGCACAGCTTACGATAGTGTCTGCACATCACTCTGTAGTGTCTGCACAGCTCTCTATAGTGTCTGCACATCACTCTATAGTGTCTGCACAGCTCTCCATAGTGTCTGCACATCACTCTATAGTGTCTGCACATCACTCTATAGTGTCTGCACAGCTCTCTAAAGTGTCTGCACAGATTACGATAGTGTCTGCACAGCTCTCTATGGTGTCTGCACCTCGCTCTGGAGGAGTGGTTCTGAAGTCCAGTCCTTGGGGCCCGTTATCAAGCTTTGTAATGGCTTATTTACAGGCTGATCATTTGAATCAGGTGTGTTGGAGCAGGGAAACATCCAAAACATGCAGGACAGTGGGCCTCAAGGACTGGACTTGAGAACCACTGCTCTAGAGTTTCTGCACAGCTTACAATATTGTCTGTTCAGCTCTCTACAGTGTCTGCACATCACTCAATGGTGTCTGCACATCAATCTTTAGTGTCTGCACATCAGTCTATGGTGTGTGCACATGAATCTATAGTGTCTGCACAGCTTAAAACAATAAAACAAGATGGCCGACCACTCGATGACTGAGAGCTGGGAAATGTTCAGCATGCTTGGAGCGTTGTTTTTTTTTCCCACACACGTGTAGCACACCTAAAGTGCTGGCCTCTGTGTCATAATCCAGACATCAGCCTGTTTGTTTGTAATCATCTGTTTACTCCTGCTTTTTCTCCTCTTTTTTTCCTCTTAATTCAAATTCACAGAGGCTGAACTTGTATTTAAGGAGGGGGTTTGACAGACATAAATCATTGATGTATCAGGGGAATTTCTGTGTTAGCTGGAGACATTTTTGAAGGTTAAAAAAAGGGTGTTAACTTGTTTGAAAATAACCATGGTTTGGTTCTCAAGGACAATAACTGCAAATAACTTTTCTATGCAGCTCTCTTTACTGCTGCACAGCGCTCTTTAATGTCTGCATAGCCCTCTATGGTGTCTGCACATCACTCTACAGTGTCTGCACAGCTCTCTATAGTGTCTGCACAGCTCTCTATGGTGTCTGCACAGCTCTCTATAGTGTCTGCACATCACTCTGTAGTGTCTGCACAGCTCTCTATAGTGTCTGCACAGCTCTTTATGGTGTCTGCACATCACTCTATAGTGTCTGCACAGCTCTCTATAGTGTCTGCACATCACTCTATAGTGTCTGCACAGCTCTCTATAGTGTCTGCACATCACTCTATAGTGTCTGCACAGCTCTCCATAGTGTCTGCACATCACTCTATAGTGTCTGCACAGCTCTCTAAAGTGTCTGCACAGCTTACGATAGTGTCTGCACAGCTCTCTATGGTGTCTGCACCTCGCTCTGGAGGAGTGGTTCTGAAGTCCAGTCCTTGGGGCCCGTTATCAAGCTTTGTAATGGCTTATTTACAGGCTGATCATTTGAATCAGGTGTGTTGGAGCAGGGAAACATCCAAAACATGCAGGACAGTGGGCCTCAAGGACTGGACTTGAGAACCACTGCTCTAGAGTTTCTGCACAGCTTACAATATTGTCTGTTCAGCTCTCTATAGTGTCTGCACATCACTCAATGGTGTCTGCACATCAATCTTTAGTGTCTGCACATCAGTCTATGGTGTGTGCACATCACTCTATAGTGTCTGCACAGCTTTCCTTTCTGTCTGCACAGCTTTCCTTTCTATCTGCACAGCTTTCTTGAGTGTCTGCACAGCCCTATATAGTGTCTGCGGCATGCAACATCTGGGCAGCTGTCTATAGTGTCTGTAAAAACACTGGCCTCTTTATGTGGTTACAGTGTCTACTGCATTCTTTTCTATTTCGCTTTTCTGCAGAGCAGGTGTGGAGAGGTTACATATCACGTGCAAGCCAGGGATAGAGTGAGGGAGTTCATCTTCTAGTTTCTTAATAGATTGATTTTACATGAACAAAAAAAAGAAAGTTAAGTGAGATACTATCTCTTTTTGGGAAAGAGCGGTCAACATCAGTGTCAACATCTTTACAGTCTGCTGATGCCATGTTTGTAGACAGCATTCAGTACAGAAACAAATTTTTTTACCAATATGCAGAGTCTGCTGTTTAAAGAGTATAGATAAAAGTATAGATATTTATTTTTTATCACACGGATTGAGTTCAGCCAGTGTAAACTGATATTATCCTTCTCTATAATAACTTTAGCGACATTTAACCCTCTAAATTTGACTCATGCTGCACATGAACCCCTCACTCTATTATTACTCTGTGTCATAACTGGATGCAGATCATAGCTGGACTCTCTGCACGCTCTGTTTCTATTTATTCCTGCAGGCTGATAAAGCTGAGGAGCTGCAAAGCTGAGCTGGAGGTTGGATAAATCAAACACACGAAGAATCACTCCACAGTTTCGTTTTATTCCTCAAGCATTTTCCCTCATGTCAGCAACACTACAGCAAAGATAAAAATCCTTAAAAAAAATCTCAAAGCGGACATAAGTAGAGGCATTAAATAAGACAAAAGCACCAAAAATAAATATGAAACAAGCACCGAAGAGTTAAAACAGAATCTTATGTGCTGAAAGGGCAAAAAAGGAGACGACATCATGTGATTCAAAGAAGAGGAGCAGAAAATCCTCAACACCTCAGTGCAGGATGTGTCAACTTAGTGCTGCACAGAAGAACATGTGAAGAATGTGTGCAGACTAAAGCCGGCTAATACAGACTGATACAGACTGAATCAGACTGAGGAGGATCAGAGGAGTCGGCTCTGAATCGGGCGTGTCCACACATGAAGTGATGAATACACAAAAACACTCCTAAACAAAGAGCCTTCTTTGAACCAAACTTAATGATGTTTTCTGCAAATAAAGTAACATCAGACGTCTCTTTTCCTGTCATGTGAGCGTCCTTAAAAGTTGAATTAAAAAATAGAAACATGAACCAAACACCAGAGAGGGGTTACATGAGTTCAAACTAAACTGCAACATAAAGCCAGCAGCATATGCATGAGTCATGAGTGAGAGCAGGGTGGAGGGTGAAAGAGAGAAAGAGAGAGGGAGAGGAATGTATGATCACACCCAGCTCGGGGTGTCTGGTCAGACTGGAATCACAGGGAGAGATTAACCATATATAATTATTCCAATTCTTCCTCACATGCTCTGTCAGTGTGAGAGGATCAGAGGAATAACTCTAATCGTGTCGCTCAGGGCTGCTCCAACTGAATTTTTTCACATCTGCTACCCGAAACATATTCCTCTGTGTCTGATGTTCGAGGTAATCTGCTGAGTAAATCTCTTATAACTGTGTACAGATATGATTCAGTCTTTGTCATTAACCACCTTTAACAGAGATGCTCTTAGATTTCTTAGACTTTTGGCTTCAACAACCAAAAACCACAAGTTCTGATCTCTATTTTTACTTCAAACAGTTCTTTTCCCACTTATTCTGCAAAAACTTGAATCTTAGCAACAGTATCAGTCGAATTTACCGTCAGAGTATCTGATATTAGAGGTGTTAACCCGTTGAGTTCAGATATACATCTTATTTCAGCTAAATTGAGCTAAAGGATTAAGAGATAGATGCGGTTTTCTGAGTAATAACACTAATTTTAGTCTGCTTTCAATTAGGGCTGGGCGATATGGGAAAAAATTTATCACAATATTTCTTTTTTCATATCAGTTGATATCGATATATAGACGATATAAAAAATAAAATTGAACAGTGTTTATTGGTAGCATGTCTTTTGCAATACAATAAGCTACTGCATCTGTGAGGTCTTTTTGTCTATTCTACGTTTTGTTGTAAGGCGTTGCGCTAGAGAAAGCGGACTGAATCGTCGGCTGTTCGGCTGTCAAAGGCGCCTTGGGCTCCTTGCGCCGCTCGGGGTTTGTAACCTTTTGCATTGCACGTGCTCTGCTGTGTGGCACTGGACTCATATGTATCAGCAGTGTTTCCCCTACATTCATTCAGCAGCGCCACTGCTAAATTACGTGCACCGCTACTGAAATTTCACATGATCATTATTATTAATGCGCCACTAATGATTCTACTCGCACTGTGTGAGCACAACAACACACAACGTTATTTCCGACTTGTTTTGAGTCATCAACAATCGCATCAAATCCTGTCGCACCCTCTTCCACTTATGTGAAAGGTAAGGTTTAAGCTTAGACACGGTCTACATAGCGAGTAGCATTAATAGAATTATTATCAATGCAGCACTAATTATTTCCCTGTCACTAATGATATTTCGTCAACGCCCCTTTTTTTCCATGACGAAGACGTGACGTTGATGAGCTAAACATAAGTCTTAGATGACTAAAGTGTGACGAGACAAATGTGCGTTTATGTTGACAAGACGAGACTAGACGAAATGTTAGTGGTAGACGACGAACAGAGTTGCAAAATTCATGAACATTTCGTCGGTCAAACGCTAAAAATATATTTTGCAGTGTTGTTTATTTTGTCAACGTCATCGTCAACGAAAGCAACACTGCCTGGAGCAACTCCCCTTTTCATTGGCTATTTGTATAGTCTACCAAAACATGGCCGAATGCCGACTATGGAAAACATATTGACCATGTTTTATATTGATATTGAGGGAAATTAATTTTTGATATATACAGTTATTGTTTTATTGCCCAGCCATACTTTCAATCATAATCAACTTTGGAACCACCACCATACTTCTCAGTGTTAATTGTCAATCATCAGCCAATCAGAATCAAGATTGGGCTTTGTAAAAATCAATTTGTCAATTTAAAGCTTTCTAGTACTTTTATGTTTTTTGTTCTGAAAATGTTGTGTTCGTTTGAGCTTTCCTTCATTTCTTTTACTGCCTTTTTTTGACCTAAATTGTTGCTGCAGAATCAAATCTGATTGGTTCCACCTCCCTCCTGTTTCAGAAAGAGATCTCACAGTCATGCACCATCAGACTCCTTTTCTTCATCATCTGCTGCTGCACCAGTATGCACAGAGCCAGGTAAGATATCAGACAAGTACGCCATGCAGTGATTTAATGCAGGCTGGGTTCGATGATTAAAAAGAGTACTTTACAGATTGGGAACCTGCAATTTTTTTCCTCTTTATGTCAAGAGGATTCATATAATTCTTTGTTTTGGGTTGTAGCGAGAGTTTCACTTGATCGTGGGTTTGGTGAGAAGAGTGGCAAAGAGTGAAGATCTGCGAGCACAAAGAGCAGGTACTGATACCTGGACAGGAAAGGACCAATAAGCGTCGCTGACCTCAGATTCCTGCTCAAGCACAGACCTGCAAAGGTCATCCAGGACAGCATACCAGAGTAAACAGAGTCTCAAACGAGCTACAACAACAAAACCAGACCAACAACCTATAAAACTACAGCAAAAGTAACAGAGTCCCAATGATCAGTCTTCATCTTCTGTTTTCCGACATTTCTTAAACGTGATCTACTTTTTCTTTCCAAACAGACGTTTAACCAAATGTTATAAACCAATCAGAGCCCCGGAGGTTTCAGGGTAAAGCCCGCAGCAATTCCATGGCCCTCTCTAACAGAGGAGTTAGCGTTTGCTTTAAGTTTGAAATCCACATATAGACATCTTCTGGCATGTTAGCATTTAGCATCTTCAGGACTTGGCCCCACAGAAGGTCTGGATCTGCAACGACACACAATCGAAGCAGGGGGTTTAACAGAGAAACCAGACCAGGGGCCACAACATGAAGAAAAGACCAGAATAAAACCAGAGCCAAGATTTAGACTCAATCTAGATAACCTCCCACAGGTTAATGATGCACACACAGGGAGTAAATCAAACACCAACACAACTGTTGGATCAACAACCAAGAGAAGTAATGAACACGACTTCCTCTCAAACAGGAAGCAGGAAACTCCCGACAACAGCATGAGGACAGTGAAACAACGTCCAGAGAGACACGGAGAGCGGAAGAGACAGACACAAAGACAGGAAGTTTAAAATGACCGAAGGATTTACCTTGAGGCTGATCAGCTCCACCTGGAAGAAAAACAGAGAGTCCCATCAGTCAAAGAAGAAAACAGGTACAAAGAGTTTCCAAATTGAAATGGCAGGATTACATTAAAATTCAATCTCATCTGAGACTAAAAGATACACTAAATTAAGAGCTCTGTGTGGATCAAGCTTTCAAAGATCCTACATTTCCCATCATGCAAACAAAAGAATCTCGATGTTAAAGCCTCCCTGTTGAACTACAGGTGTTTGTAATCGGCAGACTTTCTCCATAGAGAAAAAAGGTCTTCCTGTTTTGGTATAAACCAGGTGTTCCTGAGCCAGCTTTGGTTCTTTCTACAAAAATAGGTCCTGCTTCCTATTTTCTGAGGATTCTAGCTTTACTTCTATCTGTTAAATCAGCGGTTCTCAAATCCAGTCCTCGAGACCCACTGTTTTTTTGGATGTTTCCCTGCTCCAACACACCTGATTCATATGATCAGCTCGTTATCAAGCTCTGTATTGGCTTAATAACGAGCTGATTTGAATCAGGTGTGTTGGAGCAGGGAAACATCCAAAACATGCAGGACAGGGGGCCTCGAAGACTGAACTTGAGAACTACTGTGTGTGAACTACTGAATTAGAGTTTTGTGTTTGAAACACACCGTGTCAATCCTTAATCATCCTCCTGAACCATGTCAAGCAGGGCTCGCGTAGGCTGTTGTTCGTTGGATATAATGCAGCATTAACATGGGGATGTTGACAGGAAGTGACTGTGATCCTACATTTTAAGTTTGAGGAAGTCTGGACTCCTAATATTTGAGTTACTTCTTTTGTGGTGAGACATCAAACTTGAACAAGCTGCCATAGCCACACCCAAATCCATCAAGATTTTTTTTTTTTTTACACAAGCCTCTCTATTTAAGTGCCTCCTGGCTGTTTAAGATTTTTGAAGTGGATTAGATTTACACTGCTGAAGAAATGAACCCAAGAAAATGGCAGATAATTGACTTTGACCCGCCCAGAAGTACACACCCTTTGACTACTATCCCAAAACGGAAACATCATAATTGTTTGGGTGTCTTCAAAAGTCCAAAAAACTTTTTATAGCATGTCTGGGCGTAAAAAAGTCCACTGACACATATTTTTTAAGGTTAAACATGCTCTAATTCTTGATTTTTTTCAGAATTTTGTGGGGGCTACAACTGAGCTATTTAGCCACACCCACCAACCAACCAAATACCAAAGATCTTACTCCACTGGGTTCCTTTACGGAAGCATATTGCATTCACCAAAAAAAAAGCTCTATTTTTAGAGTATTTATTGTGTGTTCTGTTTTTTATGGTATTTTTTTTTTCTTTTCTGTTTTTCTGACTTTTTTTTTGTTTGTTTTGTTTATCTGACTAATTATTTTTCCTATTTTCTGGGATTGTGATCATTTTAAAATTGATGCTTTCATCCTCCTCTGCTTGATTTATTGCAGTGGTTCTCAAGTCCAGTCCTTGAGGCCCACTGTCCTGCATGTTTTGGATGTTTCCCTGCTCCAACACACCTGATTCAAATGATCAGCTCGTTAATAAGCCATTACAGAGCTTGATAACGAGCTGATCATTTGAATCAGGTGTGTTGGAGCAGGGAAACATTGAGAACCACTGATTTATTGGAAGCAAACATGGCCCACTTGTTCAGTTTAATCAAGTTTAACTTTCTTTTGGGTTTGAGACACTGAGAAAGATACTCCTTTGAGTCAGATAGATGGAATCGTCGTAAGTTTGTCTACTTTGCGCAGGCACCTCAGGATTTGTATACTCTATGTTTAACTATAAACACGCTTAATTCTTATCGTTCTCGTAGTTGAAGATGTCTAGGAGCTGGAGAATCTGCTGATTTGGAGCAGCCATGATGGTTAACTTTATCTGATTGTATGAGATTCTTGCAGTATCTAGTTTAGTCAGGAAAAATAATAGAAAAACAGAAAGACTAAAAAAAAAGTAGTACAAAATCAGAATAAAAATTTGTCTGAAAAACAAAGAAAAAGGGGGGAAAATATTTGTAAAAAAACAGAAGAAAAAAAATGTCCGAAAAACAGCAAAGAAGAAAAAAATTACTCCAAAAAGCAGAACTTGGTAAAGCTATGATTTGACCGTGACCTTTGTGCAGATTTCACAGAGCGCTGAGTTCAGGCTGGGGCCTAATCAGATCCTGCAGCACCTAAACTAAAGTGGTATAAGAATAAAACATACCATTAGGATCGTATCCAGGGTCGTGTCCAGGATCAGATGCACCGCCTTGATCCAAAAGAGAAAAAAAAAGAGTTAGAAACTTTTTTGTTCATGGTTTTAATCATGAAAGAGCAGAAGTATAAACTCTGTATAAAGGTCTTTTCTTTGTGCTTTTTCATACTCAAGTAGAATTTTTATTCAACATGAGTCCAGTTCCAGATGATGCAGATATAAAAACCAAACATGTGGCTTTAATTATGACGGAAAGTCTGCGGGTTTTTATCCATTTTCTTTCTCTGGTGGAAGAACCAATAATTACTTCCATACTCTGAGTCAAAAACAGAGAAACAAAGAAAAGAGCTACGGACACAAAGACAGTCTTAAACTCAAGGTTCTCTGTGTTTGCAAAGACAAGACCTTTTAATCCTCAATGGAGAAAAACAACAGGAAAAGGTGTGTTTATCTTAAGACAAAAAGAGGAGAATTTCCCTTCAAAATGTTGGTCCATACAAAAATTATCTCTCAGTCATGGCATCTGACCTGCCAGGGCAGAATCTCTCTATTTGTCCATTTCACATTTCCTCGCTCTGAACCGTGAAGGAGCAAAAACACCAAAACAAACTCCTCCCTGAAGTTTTAGAAAGCCGAATTCTTCTACACTTAGTCAGCGCTGTTGTGAAAAACTGTTACTAACCTCAAGCAAAACTCAAGTTATGCACTCTGACAAAATCTGACAGTGCACGGGGGCAGTTATGTGGTTTACAGAGCAAAGGCACAAAGAGGGAAACCACATCTTCATCCTGTTTGAAAAGAGCCGAGTCTCCAAACTACAAACTAAGAATCTGACAACATTACAGTAAGAGACAGACCAAAAGAGACTGATCTGGACGTAAAGAGCTGGTACATCATTCTCTACACTGAGAAAATGGAAAAACTAACAATAACTACACCTGCAGCTCAGGAGAAGAAAAAACACCTCTGCTGTAAAACTCTGTTTATGTCTGGTGGCGAAGTTTCAGCCTGTTTCACTGCTATAGATAGAAAATTTCCACTAGATTCAGTTCTTGTCTTTTTGCATTGTACGGACATCTAAAGCCAATATATGTAAAAATAACTCTCAGGTTTCTTAATACAGGAATCCCCTTCTCTGACACTATGAAAAAAACAAAATAAAAAAAAATTGCAATCATAGCAACAAGGCGCCCACATGAGGAGTCAGATAAGGATTTGTCAGCATTGCTCACACTGACTGAGTCATCAGTAGTGAAGGACAACAAGACCAAACAAACAAAGAGTAACTGTAGGGGGGAAGTAAAGAAGTCTGGGCACAACCAAAACCACCAGAAAAACTTCTGCTTTGGGTCAACTCCAACTCATATCCTGAGTTTTTAAAAACCTCTTAACAAATGTTTGAATTCGGCAAGAGTTTCACACTAAAGTGATACTGCTTAACATCCAGAGTACAGCAGGATGTACTGTAACGTTTGTGGTGACAGTACTGCGATTAACCCCTGAAACAGACTTAGGTAAAAGGGATATTCCGGCGTAAATTAAAGTTGTGGTCAAACACATCATAACACAGAGTTAGACACCCCCTCAAGAGATGAATGTTGCCGACGGCTTGCTTCTCTAGTTATACCAACTTCAGGAAAGCAACACACAGCGGTCTACGTCTCCACGCGCAAACTTCAACCAAAAAGCCACTCTATAGCCACAAATAATGCTGAGAACAGCACCTAACTTCATCAACAGTACATGCAGGGTCCCAGACATAGTACTTGCCATCGAGCCCTGATGAGTTAATCACCGAGTGCAACGGACAATTTATGATTATTACTTCATAGAAATGCAATCAGATCGAGATGCTAAGGCAGAGGAACAACCGCGTCTGCAGTCCACATACAAGATACACAAGAACTCTGACTGCATTTCCATGAAGTAATAATCATAAATGTTCTTCCTTGAGCTGCGAAACTCTGCTGCACGTGGTGATCGACTCATCAGGGCTCCCCCACAAACAAGCGGCTGATGGAGGAGAGTGGGTGAGTTGTGTTTAGTCTCTTTGCTAAAGAAATTAGGCAAAGCTTTAAGATGTTTGGTGGCTAGTACTACGGCTGGGACCCTTTATGTACTGTTGATGAAGTTAGGTGCTGTTCTGAGCATTATTTGTGGCTATAGAGTGGCTTTTTGGTTGAGGTTTGCGTTTGGAGATGTAGACTGCTGTGTATTGCTATCATGCAGTCGTTGCTAAAGTTGGTATAACTAGAAAAGCAAGCTGTCGGCAACATTCATCTTTAGAGGGGTGTCTAACTCAGTGTTACAGTGTGTTTGACTATAACTTAAATTTACGCCAGAATATCCCTGTAAGGTGACATTTCACTTATCAGCTGGTACAATGAGCATAACAGCATCAGACAGTTTAAAACATGAGGAGAGAGAGGTATTTTATACTGTGTTGTGTCAGATCTTATCTTAGTGTACTTTCTTTCAAACAGTGGCAGATCAAATCAGATCGAATCACACCATGTTGTACTTTAATATAACAGCATGTCTCAGATCCAAGCATATCATATCATATCCAACTGTATGAATTCTCTCTGTATCCTATCATATCTGATTGAATAGTATGAAATCTTGTGATATCTTATCAGATATGAAGATACAGAACTAAATCATCTCAAACTGTAGCATATCCTCCCGCATGAATTCTTCCCAAGTCCGGTGTTGTGTTGAACAGTTCCACCTTGTTTTATGTCATACTGAGTTGTATAGGATTGTATTTTATCAGAAAATTTCTGTCTAAAATTTTATTATATGATTTTTAGTGTCAAAAGCACAAAGAAGACCAACTGGCGAGAAGTCTTACCACCCCCTCCTGACCGACCTCCATCAGGTTTGTATTCTCCTCCTCCAACATCTAACAGATCGGAGTCATCAAACGATCCTCCACCTGCAAGGAAAAATCACAACCTTTAAAAGCTTCGTGACTTTGACCCAAAGAAGTAATACTGACACGAAGCATCTTTAGCATGTCATTTTTTAAACCAGTATTGCTGAAGAAACCTTCACAAAGCGGCTATTCGCTCCTATGTATTAGCTTGACATTATTTTGTCATTTAATGTTGTTGAATCACATGAAAGGTAAATACTGACAATGTTTTAGCTCTTGTTTTATTACAGTTTGACATCCTGCCTGTCCTTCTGTGCTTCAAGCTGATTGGTCCCCACTAAAGATCTATATACACTAGGGCCCGACTGATTTATTGGCAAGCCGATTAAATCGGCCAATTTTAGTCCGCCTGAAACTTGAAAACACTTTTCTGGTCCGAGTTTGATCAGTCGGTCTTCCTGTCAGCGTGAAGAGCAGTAGCCTACAGCAAATTTATAGTATATATTGATTTCTTATGACTTCATAAAGAATGTAAAAAATCAGCCGATTAATCAGTAATCAGATTTTTTCCCCCCTTAACAATCGGTATCGGCATTGGCCCCAAAAAAATCCACATCAGTCAGGCCCTCATATACACTTCACAGATTCTGGTTTTAAAAAAAGTCTAGTTCTTCCTAAAAGAAGGACTCAGAGCAGAATTAACAAACATTAGCAAACAGGTTCAATTAATCTGGGAGTTATTTTCAGCAGCTGATGAATCTACATGTCCACATGAATTCAAAATACCGCGTTAACACAACTTCATTCAGGTCAGCACATGAAGTCAGTTAAAAAAATATGAGAATATGCTTAATGCTACTCCGGTGTAGGTTAAGACACTAATAATTTCATAAACAAGCGTATGTATTTGCAGACCGACCTCCTCCTCCACTGGGTGGTGGGTTCACAGGAGGTTTGTCGGGTTTGGGGTCGAGGTCTGTAGGTGGGAAGACAAATCTGAATTAGTAGATGCATTTTGATGTTGGGCACTAAATAAGTGCAATTTTTCTTTGCAATAAAAACACAGAATCAGTCAAAAGGTATATTCGTTAAGCAAACAGCAAAAAAAACAACAACACAAAAACCACTGGTTTAGCTAATGGTGTCGTGGCTCACAGTAGAAAATAAGAATAAAGATGGAGTTGCCCCATAAAAGGTGTTAGTTATGAGCTGTTATTGAACCCGTACCGAAGCCAATTTAAAAATTCAATGGTTAAGTAGTTTAAAATAAAACTTAAAACACTGAAATCCCCCAAGAGCTGTAAAATGTCATTCATCATTTCAAATCAAACACTCTAGACAGCCTCACCTGGGCCAAGAGCGTCAAACAAGTCAAGTCCATCTGCAAGCCAAAAAAAACAAAGACATAGTGTGAGTTTAAGTCTGCATGTAGGATTAGCTGAGCAGAAGAACTCGAATAACCGCCTCAAGTTTGTACCTCAAAGTTAACCGTTAAAAAGCACCTATTATGCCAATCTGTACTTAAACACATGCATATGTCCAAACTAAACTGCAGCAAAGATACACAGATTTCCAGGTTCAGGGTGTGACATCCCCACCCTGCATCTGGAAAGACCATGTCCACACTCATCTTCCAGAAAACAGAGGGAAGTCTGAATGTTTTCATCGCAGTTGTTTGTAAACGCCATTTCACTGATGACTCCTTCAACTGGATTAGAGACTCAGCGATTACTGAAACCTGATGCTGATCATCTAGAAAGATCTTAATGAAGCTCAGCGCAACGAAATAATGACAGTGAAACAATAGCTAATGACAGAATGAAGGTGTGATGAGTAAAGGTGGATTCATTGGACATTTGTGCCATTTTTCAAATCACTTCATTTGTTTCTGAGATACTTCTAGGACAAGACGTAGAGAATTAAAAATTAAAACCAGATAAATAATTCTGTGAATGGTTACAGTGGATACAAACCATCATCTTTAGGCTTTGATGGGGGCTTCGGTTTTTCTTTGGGTTTTGCTGGTGTTGGCCCTGCAGACCAAAGAGAGTAAACAGAATTAGTATCTAACAGCAGGTCAGTATTTCAGTCAAAAATCTCACTAAAACATTGAACAGCTCACAAACTTTTAGCAATCTACTTCCAACAAACAAATATTTCAGGGTTTAAAAAACTAGGATCACTCAGTTTAAAGTTTACTTCAACCTTGAACCTGGACCTGAAGAGTACAAAATATTCAAAACACATAGTGGGACCTTCCCTGACTGCACTAGATTGCCCTCGACTGGTCTGGCTGTAGTTTTTGGACTGGGTTAAGTCATCTTATGGGGGGCTTTGTTTAGACTTAAAGTGAGTCTAGTTCCTGTCCATTTTAATACCTTTAAGACAGAGACTCAACAAAGTTATTTACAAGTAAACAAAACAGATTTATGATACCAATCTATCTAGAATTAGGCCTTCAGTATCTTCATACGCTGATGATGCAACTCTCTATCTCTGAGGCAAAATACAGATCCAAAGAACTGGCACTTCATGTCCAAGTGGACCAATATCTTCAGTATCCAGAGTGTCACATGAAGAAATCTGATTTCAAACCACCTTCGAATGTTGTCAGATCTATTCTTTAAAACAAGTTTCATTGCCCAAGTATTTTAAGACCGAATAGATTCAATAAACTGATCAGATCTGGCTTCACCATGTGAGACATCTATGACAGAATGTAATATGTCGGGATAATTTCAGTCAGATAAAAAGACATGAACTAGGCCTGTCGCGATAATCAATAAATCGCCTTATCACTCGATAAATAAAAACGAGGTCGATAACTTTGCCAGCCGCGATAATTGACGTGCGTTTGTTTTCCTCCTCTCTCGCTACCAAACACGCTGGATGAGAGAAGAGGTCTCACTCTGCGCATTTTTCTCGGCACCTGGGGGCGTTGGCTCTATAGCGGAATGAACGGAGTTAGTGAACCCTCCTGTCAGTCATTCAGTATCTTTGTCACGGGGGGGCGCGCGCGCAGGTACACGTAGGCGCACACAGGCACACAGACACAGACTTTTGGATACAGTGCTGCAAATGAGCGTCGTGAGTGAAAAGCAAGCAAACAGAATGAACACGACAGCTTTGGTGTCTAAACCGAACGCAACAGCCCAAGTGTGGGAATATTTCGGCTTTAAACCAGTTTTGTTTTCGTCAAACACAAAACTCCACGTGTGTTTGTGCGCGCGCGCGTGCGTGTGTGTCTGTGTGTTGGAGGAGCACAGCAGGCTGATGAGAGCTGTCAGAGCGGACTGAAGCTGCTCCTATATGTTTAGCGTTTAACTGACTGAGTTTTGCAACTCTGTTCGTCATTTTCGTCTCGTCCCATCAACGTAAACGCACTTTCGTCTCGTCACATTTTAGTCATCTCCGACTTATGTTTAGCTCGTCAACGTTACGTCTTCGTCATGGGAGAAAAGGGAAATATTTTAGTCAACGAAAACAACCAGTGTTGTTCTCGTGTGGAAATTAAAGTTTATCACTTTTGACATGGTGTACTCGTATTATTATGCCATATAATATCATTATCTATAATTTAAAAAATGGTGTCAATAATATCGTTTATCGGCGATAATTTGTAGCACAATTATCGTCCAGCAAAATTTGTTATCGTGACAGATAAAAAGACATGAACAAAAACATGTAGAAAAATCTTACAGTGAGTCACTTACCAAAGTCAAAAGCATCTAACAGATCCAACCCTGGAAGACAAAGACAAGTTATTTAACACAAATCCACAGTTTATCTTAGAGACACGCAACAAAAACTACAGCCATAGATCTGACTTTAAAGCCACTTAAAAGAAAGATAACTGAGTTGAAAGTCCGTTTTTTTTTTCATTTCAGATCACTTTTATCTTTTCTGTGGCGTCTTTTCAAAGATGTGAGTTCAAACATCTCAGTCATCAAACCGCTCAGACGTCTCCAGAGTATTTCTGATGTATAATTTGATAAATTCTACCTTGACAGACTTGGTGAGATTTTATGTACAGTTGATCAGTTAAACCTTTGCTTAACTTTTCTTAGTTAAACCTTTTTCTACCTGCCAATTGGCTTTTAAGGTCCTTACACACCGGGGCCGACGCAGATATAGAACACGAAATTATGAAATATTCGGAGGTGAATTTTGACGGGCCTGACTATACACATCAAGCCCGATGCGAATTTGCGACTTTCGGGGGGGAAAAAGACGTATCCCAGGGAAGACTTTTCCTGGGGAAAGTCCCGCCTTCGTCTCTGATTGGCTAGAAAAGCTGGAAACGTTCTTCACACACTCAAGCCAAATGGTCAACACTTATAGCCAATCAGAGGCGAAGACCTTCCCTTAACAACCTACAGCGTCCCGAGTGGAAGCGAGAAGATAAAAATGGAGTCTACTTCAACTTCAAGTGATGTCGAATTGGTACTTCTTTTGGTTTCTGAAAAGAAAAAGAAACGTAGCACATGGGTGCATCCAATATTACAAAAAAGAAGAGAACTTGGTGAGTTTCACTGCTTGGTTCAGGAGCTGAAACTGTACCACGGTCGCTTCAGAACTTATTTTGGGATGTCCATTGGACAGTTTGAAGTTCTGCTGAAACAATTAGCTTCAAGTTTGAAGAGGCAGAGGACTAGACACTAGTGTTGAGATGGCTTTCTGTCATGATAGCATGTACTGAGTCGGGGCCAGTACCAGATAAGCACATGAAACTATGGTAACAACCGTTAGCTTACATTAGCACAGATGACAGTTCGAACAAAGACGTTTAGCAAACTGTTAAAGCACACAAAACATCGTCATATCAGAAATTTGACGCTATGACTCTCCACAAGTCGTCCTCCAGGCTGTTATCTTTGTAATGTTTCTGTCAACGATCATAAACAATCAGTCGGTCGGGCATGTTGGATATACCGGTGAATCAGACGTCGCAACAACACGATATGTGATTGGTCAGAAGTGGAAACACATTGTGCGAATGCCACAATATCGCAGGACATGAAGACGTCGCTGATGTGAACGCTTGTATCGACAGGATATGGGTCCAAAGAAAAATATTGACGTCCAAAATAATCACACGACAAAAACGGTCGCGGTGTGAAAGGACCTTAAATCTGGTGAAAGAGGTGACTTTACCTGCAGAATTCAACCTCAATGTTTAATGCTGGGTTGGACTCATCATTGAGCAAATGTCATGGTCTGAGTGTGCAGACACCAAACCACTTTAGATAAGACTAGCACCTACAGCATCACACCATTGCATCATGGTTTGTCTCAGCACACTCATTTCAGAGCTCACCACATCCTCACCTCAAAGCAGCAGAATGAGCAACTTGTTTTGACGAGTCTTACTAATATTTACATGCTCTGGTGCAACCTCTCCCATCACCAATTTATGTTAAAAAATACTGATCTCAGCGATATAACCTATAGGAAATGCGACATGTTGGGTACAGACCATCATCTCCTGGTTTGCTTGGCGGCTTTGGCGGCTCTTTGGGTTTTGCAGGTGTTGGGTCTACAAAAAAAAACAAAAACATTTTAATGATAACTCATCTTTTAAGAACTATGCTGATGACACTCATTCATATATACTTAAGGGTTGAAATCTAGAAGGTCATGGTATGGTGGCCCTAAAGGTCAAGGGTGCAAACTTTTCATGATTGAAGAAAAAGATTGAAGACAATATTTTTTTCATGAAACACCAAAAACAAAAAAAAAATACTCACCTGTATCGTCGAGTGCATCAAACAGGTCAAACCCTGAGAGAAGAAGACAGGTGAAAAGATCAGTGATGAAGACTGGAGGTCAAAAACAGAACTATAACAGGGGTGTGTTTTGCTGTTCCTCTAACAACTACTATAAAAAATAAATTCACATTTTTGGTAACACTTGATTTGTTGTCTTTGTGCTGTTTTTAATCAAATATAGGCTGACAGAAACAGAGCAAACTTAGTCTATCAGCACATGTTGCACGGTAAAAACAACCAGCATGACACATTTCAGGGTCCTTAGGCAAGTATGGAAAGTATGGAAAAGTATGGAAAAGTATGGAAAAGTATGGAAGTAATTTGATCAATTTCCAGGTCTTAAAAAGTATGGAACATGAAAAATAAAGTATGGAAAAATATTTATGTTCACAGACTATATTACTACAGTTCTCAAAAAAGTAGGGTATGGAAAAATATGGAAATTCAAACTGTGTAGGAACCCTGACATTTGTTTCACAGTATAACTTGAATCCAGCATTAGTTAAAAACATCATGTACAATAAGAAGTAAAGGACTAGAAAGGGGGTACAGAGCACAGGACTGCACAACACACCTGATTCAAATGATCAGCTCGTTATCAAGCTCTGTAATGGCTTAATAACGAGCTGATCATTTGAATCAGGTGTGCTGGAGAAGGGACTGGACTTGAGAACCACTGCATTAGAGGATAACTACTGATAGAAATGTCCGCTTTACAACTATGAGAGTAAGCCTGGACAAAAAGCTGACGGTAAACTGTCTCTGGTTGCTGCATGTGTTTGTATTTGAGAGAAATTCCTGTACTTTTGCTGCCTCTACAGACAGATAGTGTCTGTAGAAGTACATGTGTTTGTGTTTGCGGGGAGTCACTCTGTGTTTTCTCTGGTTGCCAGGGCAGCAGCAGCGACTGAAACCCTGAGCAGGGAAACTAAACCATGACTCACTTTGTAGTCTACTGAGGAGCACATGCTCACACGCTCAACCTCAGAGGCTGTTAAAAACACAGCAGAGCTTCAGGACGACATAGAGAAATACTCCAGGATTAAAGATCCTCGTTTCGGACAAACTTTCCTTTTACTTGATCTCTGTCTGCAGATATGTGATCACATGCTTTCAAACTTTTACAGCAGGTTTATTTATCCCAATCAAATCATAATCACTGTTTGTGGCAGTTTGTAGATAAAATGCCAAAGAGAGAAACAGTCCTCTGTTCATAAAGTCAGTGATCTCTTAATCTGGAGGAGATTAATTTTATTTTGAAAAACACCTTTAATATCCCACTGAAAGAGTTTTAAAGCTTTGATACGTCTTTTAAAAGAGACAGGCACTAACTTACAGCCAATAAAAACTGGCTCTAAAGTCATGTGATCATCTTGAAGTTGTTTTACAACCTATTGTTAGCTTTTTTTTTTATCTAGAGATTAGTTTAAAAGATGTGTAACGAACGAACAAAAGGGCATGATTTTATGGTTGCCTCAGGTCTTACTGACTGCAACAATTTACAACCAGATACAAGAGTTGTATTTTACACTGTATCTTAACAACAAACTTCAAGGTTTTTGCAGAATTGTACATTTTCACGCACAACTGTTTTGTACTTTACAGTTCCTATTTTAAGTTTCGTCTCTGAACCAAAACAACGGGATAAATTCCTGTTTCTATGAACCTACTTGGCAAAAAATCCTTAAAAAAAATCTAGCTGACTTACTTTTAAGTGAACATGGAAGGTGCTAACTTCAAATTTCACAGACAAAAGTCATCAAAATCTGTTGCGTTTTTTTTTTTTTTTTATGTGTTTTTACGAAGAAGCAGCCACAAGATGCAAAATTTTAGAAACTAATTCAATTCAGATTTTAAGAAACAACAAAAGCTTGTAAACTTTTGCACCGATAGCCACAAATGCAATGGTACTAGTAATTGGTATAATAATTTCTTTAGGAGTTTTGGTTTTTTGGCCTTGAATTTCATTTTGGTGCGTAATATCTATTTTTTTTTTCTGTCTCCACCATCTCCAGTCCTTAAATGCTCCTTCACCTTGTCTCTGTTTGCAGGTGTAATAATTTTAAAGCTGTCGCTGAGAGCAGCTGGTAGTTACTGATGTTAAAGCACATTCCTCTGACGTTGTAAAGGTTTTTTCTCTCTTTTTTTTTTTTTTGAAGCTCAGAGGTTCTCTGAGGTAAAGGAACAAGGAACTACAGCTGAAGGTAAGGTGTGAATCTGAATTTTCCTCCAGCGTGATTTACACGAATCAAACTTCCTTTTTTTTCTTCACCCGCTTTTAGCTACTTTCTTTCTTTGGTTTCAGTGTGTTTGAGTAAATGCATCACGGAAAATAAATGTAGAAGTGTTCCTCAAATTTAAACTATAAATGCATACGTAGCGATTTCAAGGTGTCCAAATATCTGCATAATAACATCATCATTTACGACTGCGTGCCATCTTCTTCTCATTTACATGCCTGTGGTTTGCTCTACCCTCACCCTCGTCTTACAGGAGGCGGAAACAGACAGACAGAAAGAACGTGAGAGAGAGGGGCAGCAGAGATGTGGGCGAGCTGTTCTTGTAAACCACAAGACCTTTCTGAATTTCTCTGTTTCTTGAAAGTTAGGGAAGCTTTTTCTTTGTTGTTTTTTCAGCTATTAATGATGTCTTCTCACTTTTTTAACCGAATAATACTAACAGTGTCTCATTTAAACCGTCACTTTGTCTGTTCGCTTCAGTTGTTGTTCTATTTGTGATAGCAGAGCTCACAGCAACCTTTCAGAAGTAGCTGTGAGTGAGCAAACACATCATATGGTTTCAATATTTTCTGCTATTTTTAGCTGAGTCTTTTGGCATACTGCTGCAGAATTTATCCCAAAAGTGCAATATATAAATCACTGAAGTTAAAATCATTTCATAAAGGTGAACTTTATTTGTATAGATCCCATTTGTCATCACAGCATCATAATTTTCCTTCCTTCATGTTATTTAGTTAAAGGAAAAGTAAGATGTAAAATTTTATCATCCACACTCATCATGAAGCTATCTTCGAATTTCCCCTTGTGGATAAATAAAGTTCTTCTCAACTTATCATGTCATAATATCTGTCAAACTTCAAAGAGGGAGGACAAACAGGTTTGTCGGATTCTTAATCTGGGCAGACGAGTATTTACGTCCTTCATTGTGGATTCAAATGGAATAAAACATCTGCATATCCGAACAGATTCCTGGAGTCACGTGGGGACCACGCCAAAAACACACGTGTAGAGTGTTTCCTGGTTCCGCTGTCCAAACAACACTCAAATAAAACTCGTGTAAAAGAAATGACGGGTGTGTGTGTTTTTAACGAGCGAGATGAAGCTCTGTTTGCTGCTCCTATTTGAATTCTTTCTGGTGTGAAATAATCAAAACTAATTGCGATTCTCTAAAAATGAAATTAGTGGTCTTTCAGCATTGATCCGGTCTCTGTCAGGCCCTCGCCTGATTGACATATTTTGTCATGTACCAAAACAATCAACAAACCTGTTGGACACTAATGCATTTGAAGTGGAATGATGGAAACTAGGGCCCGACCGATTTATCGGCGAGCTGATTAAATCGGCCAATTTTAGCCCGTTTGAGATTTATCTATAATCGGCCAAAACTCGCAGATTTTCGCTGATATTTTCAGAAATAAAATGCGGAGAATAAGATTCTGTTTCACTTCGAAAATGTTCTGCCGTTTGATAAGTTCCCCGACTTATCCTGTAGATGGCGCAGCGACCTCATGACAGTCTTCATCCACTAACTACCTCACAGCACAGCAGAGTGATGGATCTGAAGCAGGCAGCTCAGGGACGCACGGAGGAGAGTGGTCCGCCTCAACGGTAAATAAACCAGTTTGTGAAATACACAATAAGTCAACAAGTTTCAGTTCAACCCACTTCACCATGTTCCCCGCTGTGCTGGTCTCGGTCACGCCGAGTTAACGGTGAAGCACCATGTAATATGCATGAAGTTAGAGTTAGCCGTCTGCTGTTAGCCTTGCTACACTGTTAGCTGTGCCAGTAATGGTAGAATATACAACAATACATATTAGTAATCGAGCTACTTCTCTTACTGAGGCAGCTGCATGTCTCCAGATGAGAACGGACCGGAAATGTGTAACGTGAGTTAAGACGCGGAGGCACCGATCGGCGAAGAGGGTAGTTGAAAATGTTTTTCTGGTCTGAGTTTGATCAATCGTCTTCCTGTCCCCGTGAAGAGCAGTAGCCTACAGTAAATCTACAGTATATAGTATACTGTAGATATCTACAGTTTATATGTATTTTCTATAACTTTATAAAAAAGAATTAAAAATCGGCTGATTAATCGGTAATCTGAATTTTTTCTCCTCTAATAATCGGTATCGGCACCAGCCCCGAAAAATCCATATCGGTCGGGCCCTAATGGAAACACTGATAACTTTACAGCTCTCTATCTATACTACTCCACTACATCTTCATCTTTCTTTACATCCCTTCTTCTCCTCCTGAGGTACCTGGCTTCCTATGGCGCATTTACGTTGGTAACTCCTTGATCAATCCCCTGTTTGTGACCTACAGAGCATGCTCAGAGCATTTGGGCCAGACTGAGTCAGATTGAGGTAAATACATGGAAGAAAAAATGTTTCCTCGGCTGAATTATTCAGGTATTAATGTCCAAATATGAGAAATTTCATTGAGTGGTAACAAACATGTAACTTAAAGTTACGGTTTTAGTAAACAAATTAATATGTCGAGCAACATGCGAGTATAGTCCTGAATTTGAATTGACTCCTATTGATTCTTTTGTGGTTTTGTCATTGTTGAAAACTCTAAGCATGGATTATGAAGAAATCAAGTAAATTCTGAAATTAAGAAATTTAAGAATAGCTATCAAGATAATTACACAAGGTTTAGGTTATAACAATCTTCAATAACGTCTGCTGCCTTTGTGTCCAAAATACTAAAAACTTTTACTGATTCATCTGTTTCAAATAAGTGTCAGATGGAGAAAGTGAGTCAGAGATCATTGGACTTATCCAGGAAGGATTAAAAAGTCCCTAAACACACCAAAAAAATTGTACCTATTTGTTCTGTCTTTTCAGGAAAAGAAAGGTCTGAAGTTATTTTTCTTTTGTCTTGAATTAAAACTGCTATATCTATTAAATTATGTAACTAAATTACATAAAGAATATCTCCCTCCTTCAGTTTTTTTGTATCCTCTTTTTGGCACTTGAGTTCCTCCGTACTTGCAGCTCCTGAACATCATGATCCTCTCTGATCAAACCAACAAATCATTTTTTTAAGCTGCTGATTCCTCCCATTAAAGTGCACAGAAAGTTAAGAAACAGCTTAAACTGTCTGTATTGAATGATTCGCAAAGATAAATGGATAATAAGACATATCTGGAAGCTTAACTTTGTGTCGACCTGACCTGAACTGTCCTTGGTTAGATAGCAGAGCCCCCAAAACACCCTGCGCCACCTTAAAAGGCTAGACCACGTCCTTACACAGCTCAATAGTCACCCAAATACCGTCATAACACAATGTACTAATGTTTAATACTAAGAAATCTTACCGTCTTCAGTTAAAGTCCCAGACACCAGAAAGAAAAGTAGAGCTATCCTCAGACCAGACTTCATTCTGACTCCTAACTCTTCTTTTCTACAGGAGCTCAACTTTAAAACCTCTAATAAAACTGTAAACTTTCCTCCCTCTCTCCGACTGCCTCTCTCTTTAGTTCAGAGAATAGCTAGGGTTATTTTCTGCCCTGCAGCACCGCAGAGCTCCGGTGTCCCCTTTCAGACTGTTGTGAGTCAACTTTGCCAGAACAGACTGGGTGTGGCACTTTACAGGGGCGTTACAGGCTGGCACAGGGGATCTTACTTAAACTCTGTGTGTATATAACACGTGCAGAAGTACACGGAGTTTTGATTCAAGCAGGCCCCGCCCACCAAAAGCTTGACTCCGTCTTGCGACGCCGAACTTCATTTGTAAAAAGGCGATTTTGAGGTTTTCATCTTTTGTCGTCAAAAACCCTCATCTTTAGCAAACAAGAATTATGTAGACAAATAAACACAATTTAGTACTTCATTCGGTGCAGGTATGGATCTTTTTTCTACTTGAGCCTTTATAAAATAGCAACTTTTATTTAACTATGGCCCGTTAAGCCTAGTGGTTCTCTGGACGGAAGATGACGAGGGAAAGTGCGTTACAAAAGTTGAGAAGATGTAATTCAAATAATGTGCTATCCAAAATTAAATATACCCGAGTCACTCTCTACACTTGTCTCATGTGTAAAAGTTAAAAAATATCAACGAAAAAGCCATGGTTGTGCAGAAAGACGAAGAGTTCCAAAATAGAGTGAGTTTCAAATGGAGTTTTGAATGGCTTTCTCAATAAGTGCGTTTTATGGCACCAAACTTGCCAAATAGTTGCATAATCGCACTTTAAACGCACGTAACAAATCTACAGAGTTTTATTTATATTTGTTTGTGTAAAATGTTTAATGTTCAAACGTATTTACTTGTGAGAAAGTTCGTGGGAGGAGTTGTTTGCATAGGGGTAATTATTGGGTGTGGAGTGTTGTGCCCAGCTGGACAAACATGGAGCAAAAGTTTATATCGGGGCTTGTGCGCCACCCGGAGGAGTTGAAGACTCTACTTTTATTCAGAGGCAAGTTATTTCAAGAGCCAGTACCTGAAGCAAGAGTTTGTCTCAGTGACAGTAAACGTGCAAATGTATCTGCATTTGTTGTCTGAATGCAAAATTTCATAGGCTACATATGTTTTCAAAATACAAAGATTAACTGAATGACATTTTAAATCCAACACAATATTTATTTAACACACAATAACATTTAAAAAAGCTCACTTATTCAATCAGAGGTAGACCACCAACTCCCTTATACTGAGGGGTCCAACGTCAGTGGGGTCTGGTGGATTTAGAGATTACAATAAAAAAGCTTGTCACTTTGAAGTAAAAGTGAAGCCCATTTTGAAAAGTGTTAAATTGTAGCTTCTCATCCCCTCAGCCGTGGCTCATTTGGTGACTGGTTGTGCCTGGTATTTAAAGAGGGGCCCTTCTCGTTGTTATCCTGCAGAGACCAGAGACCATGCCAGAGACTCCAACTGAGCTAAAGAAAATGATGTAGTCTGTTTAGTTGCCACTTAGTTTTTAGTTTTGGATGGATTGGTAAATTATGTTTCTCATGGCTTTTTCCCACGTTTCTTTCATTAATAGTTTTATTAATTGTTTTGGGCTGGTTTTGGTGACTGACCCTTCTTGTGTTAGTTTAATCAATCTGCCCATTTTATTCCAAGTTACCCAGTTTACCAATCTTGTTTGTTGTTTGATTGGGCATTTGTTTAATAAATCTTTTGTGCACCTTTTTTGACCTTATCCTGACTTTTGATTACATTTCAGTTTCTTTAAAAACGAGCTGTTAACTTCAGGGGTCATGACAATAAGTACTAGTCTTCCTCTAAAGAACAGATAAAAACACAGCAAAGTTTAGTTTTTTATTTTCTTTTATTAAGAGTGATTTCTAAAAAGTCTTTGAACACTCGTAATCACCCCCATACAAATTCACTGATTACAAAAGTGACAATATTTTTTATGAAATTTGATCAACAGAGAAAATATGTGATGATAAAAATCATCTGGTTTCACTGTGCGTGTCCTCATCTTCATCGTCACTGGAAAAAGAAGAGAGTGTCTGTCATTCAAAGTGAGCAGAGTGACTAGAAGGTTAAATTATTGGATCATTAAGATACTTAAACATAAATATCACTTACAAACTTCTTAACACTCAACACCTGAACTTTCCACTCTTGCATATCGCGTTCAGTATCATCTCCTGATTGCTCACCACTTTGTTCAGTTTTTCCATCATGTTTGTCTCACACGCTGAAGAAACATGGAAGAAATTATTCAAATAGGAATAAAAATAATAATAATAAAAAAATTAAAACAGTAGGAAGCCCTGATAATTAAAAGTGTGTTATAGAGAATTGATAACTTTACCTGGAGCCAATGCATCTTCCAGAGCAAAGCCATCTATGATAGAAATACCCCAAAGTTACACAGAAACCCAAATTATGTTATTATTGACATGATTTGCCTCCTTTGATTTTAGATTCTCTGTTATGACATTAAACACATCTGAATTTAAATTCAAGCATATAGAAAATGAGAGAAACACTGCATTTGTTCAGTATTTAGTCTGTTTTGGCCGTCTTGTGCACTCACCACCTCCTGCTGCAGGACTTGCGGGTTTTGCCGGTTTGAGATCTATGTATGGACAAAAAAGTGCTTCAGTTTTAGTCCTCTAAAACTATATTTTGATTTCAGGCTGTTAATAATTTGCATAATTTTACATAATTGTATCAAGATATGTCAGAAAAACATGATCAAGCAGCTAAATAATGCATGAAAACAAACGGATTTAAAGCTACTGTAAGTCACTTAGGTGCCACTTAGGGGCAGCAGAGTATAAACTCAGGCAAACATCCTAACTTTGGTCGTTTTCTTTTTCATGTAAAAATCAAAGTCATACCTGGTAAGCCGTCTTCCAGATTTATACTTTCTGAAAACAATCATATTCAAATTAAAGTTGAAGTATAAACTGTATTTAAAGTTATGTGTGCTCAGATTCGACGTTTGAAGACTCACTTCCTCCTACAGGGCGTTCAGTTGTTTTGGGTCCTAAAACAAAAAAAGATAATTAATGCCTTACTCCTATTTTCCCCACTTGTAAAGTTGAGGATTCAAATATCCATGTTGTCTATTACAGTGGTTCTCAAGTCCAGTCCTCGAGGCCCACTGTCCTGCATGTTTTGGATGTTTCCCTGCTCCAACACACCTGATTCAAATGATCAGCTCGTTATCAAGCTCTGTAATGGCTTACTAACGAGCTAATCATTTGAATCAGGTGTGTTGGAACAGGGAAACATCCAAAACATGCAGGACTGGATTTGAGAACCACTGGTCTATTATATTCTTTTAAATATGGAATAATTACTACAGAAAACTCAGAATTTAGGAGCATTTGACTCATTCGGTTTAAGTCTATCTTAAGAGGGGGAAAAAAATCTCATGAATTTTTCTACCACGTTAATACCTCCAGAAGCTACTCACCTAATCCAGGGATTAGTCTGGACCAGTTGATGTCTGCTGTTTGCGAGAGACAGAAGAAAATAAATTACCAAACAGTACAATTATATGACTTTAAAGATCCACTCCCATGTTCCTGTTACCACAGCAAACAGGATTTTCAATCCTGTTGTGAAACTTTTGTTTCAAAACTCTGAGCTGGGGGGGCGTTCAGAGATTACAAAATGGAAAATCCATGGAGGGATTTTTTGACCTTTGACTTGATTCATCAAAGAGTCACAATTAACCTTAAACAACAGGAGAAATACATAGCTTGTGAGGCTGCTTCTTCCTTACTGTGTCCGATAAAGATTATGTTTAGATATTTAACCTCCTCTTTACAGGATACTTTGAATTTTTAGGTGCTGAGAATTTTGTCTCCGATTGATGTATTTTTTGTGTGTTTGAAGTGATTTGTGATGTACTTCTTTTTTTTTCTTTGCAACACATAAATAACTTTAACCATGTAAAATCAATTCAAGGTCCATTGATTCGTCTAAATGATCTGAAATCCCGTTACAAAATGACACTTTTCATCTGGTGTCTTCTCTCAGTCTCTCTGAAAGAAGAAATAAGAAGCTCCTTTTATTGCAACATGCCAGCGTGTGGATGTGAAACATAAAGTCAGATGAATAAGTTCATTCAGTGATTATGTTTGGGTATCTTGTCTTTTTTATCTTCTTATCTGAATTTTAAGTAACACAAAATTAAGAATTCATATATCCTGTGCAACTCCGATGACAAAAAAAAAAAAAAGATTGAGCGCTTTAAAAAACGCAACTAAAGAGAAGTGGAAAACTGGTCTGATGAATCAAAATATGACGTTCTTCTGGAACTCATGGACACTGCACCCTCTGTGCAAGAATAAGACATAGAGGGCATGTAGTCCCGACTTTGGAGCATCATGAAACAAAGATACAAAGCAGGGTTATGTTGAACAAAAAAGACTAATTTTGAAGAATAATCTGGAGTTTACCTGCTGCTATCCCAGACAGCAGAAGTAGTAAGAAGGCGACCCTCAGAGCAGTCTTCATTGTGACGTTTTCTGGATCAAAAGAGGTCCTGCAGCAGCTCAGGTAGATCTGAATCTGTGTGCCAGGTGTTATGACTCCCACCTTCTTAAAGGGTAGACCAGGTGTGGCTGAGTTACATAATGTCTATTGCGAAAAAATCTTAAGAGGCCAGACAAAAAGCAAGTGAGTCAAAAACAAATAAAGCACTTAGTGGTGAAAGAGTCATTTCTTATAACCGCATGATGAAGAAGGTCTCAGTGGCTTTTAAAGTGAGGTTTCCCCTAAGGTTTGATATGAACACTGTGAATAAATATTAACTGCTCTGGAGAAGCTGAGATTGTAGATGAAGATGGGAAAAAAGGAAATCTCACCCCTAAATTTTTGAAATGTATCACTAACTTGCATCTGAAAAGGGGTGATACTGTTGGCCTGAGCAGAGTCTGTGGACACAATTATGTGTTTTTCTATATCGCCAGAAATGTCAGAAAAGCAGTAAAAGGAAAAGATGATATCTGACAGCATTTCCACTTAAGTGGTAGAAAGTAAAAAGTTCCATCAAATACAACGTGCTTGTCTTATTTTCAGAAAAAGATGAAACCTCCAGTGCTAAAGCATGAGACCAGTGCAGACCATAGACTGTATATACTATGGATAACTTGGTTCCGCCTCCTGGCTGTATACAGATTTGAAGCCAAAAAGCTCTCTGTACTTCCACGATTTTTCTTCATTTTCTGAAACCAGCATTGCGCAGTAGGGTTGTGTGCATTCTCGCAAGAGTCGCCGAGAGTCGCTGTGATGACGCTCGGCTCAAACAGTGTATCCCCCGGATGAGCTACGCAATCCCTGAACGCTAATGAGCTGTATCAGCTGTCAATCAAAGAAAACATGAACCCCCTAATAACTTTTAAAAATGGAGCTTCACGGAAAAAAGAGGACTTGAGCGCAAACCAGTCTTAAATTAACAACATGTCAACATCACAACCAGGGGGGAGAAAAATGTATGTTCTGTGTGATAAATTTCTAAAGTTTGTCCACAGCCCCATAAGCTTTGCTGGCAGAGGCGGGATTTATGACCTATACTGCAGCCCGTAAACAGAGGGTGCTGTTCTCAGAGTGGCCTCACCCAGCAAGGAGGCAGACGGCGTCCATTCTATATAGAGTCTATGGTGCAGACCTGCAAAAAAAGGCAGTTCCTCAAGTGTCCACTTGGGGCTGACTCCAAAAGCCCAGAGAGTCCAATTGACACCCATGAAAAAGTGTGCCTCTGTGGACCAGACTTGCTTAACATGCTTACATGGAGGTTAATTTGTCCAGAAAGTGGCAGACAAGCTGATGAGGATGATAAGTGGAATGTTATTGCTAAGACGACAGTGAGTGAGAAGGCTGAACTATTTGGTGACTTGAGAAAACACAACAAGTCCTAAACCATGATTGAAGAAAACACAAAGAAAGGCATGAAGGAAACTCTTCCTCCTCGAAGTGACATGACATGAGTGATCCGTGGGAAATAATCAAGTCAACAACAACCGCATTGTTCCTCCTCGATCCGAGGTTCAACTATCGATCGGACCCTCTTTTCCAGCACCCTGGTATAAGCTTTCCCAGGTAGGCTAAGGAGTCTGATCCCCCTGTAGTTGGAACACATCCTCTGGTCCCCCTTCTTAAATATAGGGATCACCACCCCGGTCTGCTACTCCAATGGCACTGCCCCCGGTTTCCATGCAATGTTGTAGAGGCGTGTCAGCCAGGACAGCCCCACCACATCCAGAGCCTTCAGATACCCTAGGTGGATCTCATCCGCTCCTGGAGCTCCACCACCATGGATTTGTTTTACTACCTCAGCGACTTCTACCCCAGTGATTGGACGATCCACCTCCAGGTCCTCTAACTCTGTTTCCCCTTGGGAATGCATGACGGTAGGATTGAGGAGCTCCTCAAAGTTATTCTTCCACCGCCGGAGAATTGCCCCAGCAGCTCCCCGCCCCCTTCCAGAACGGTGTGGGTAAGTTGCTGTCTGCCGCCCCTGAGGCGCCATACAGTTTGCTAGAACCTTTTTGGAGCAGACCGAAAGTCTTCCTCCATGGCCTCACCTAACTCCTCCCACGTCCAAGTTTTGGCCTCTGCAACTGCCCTGGCTGCGGACCGTTTAGCTAACCGGTACCGTTTAGCTGATTCCGGAGACCCACTGGCCAACCATGACCTGTAGGCCCCCTTCTTCAGCCTGACGGCTCCCCTCACCTCTGGTGTCCACCACCAGGTTCAGGGATTACCGCCACGACTGGCACGAGTGACCTTGCGGCCGCAGCTCGCAAACAGCTGCTTCAACAATGGCAGATCGGAACAAAGCTCATTCAGACTCAATGTCCCCCTCCGCCCTCGGGACACACTTGAAAGCCAACTTGACAGGTTCTTCCATCTATCCATCAGCAGCCAATGTCTAACTACTTAGATTTTCTTCTTTAAAGCTAGTCATTAGATCACAGGATGAACCTGACTTGAGCCAAACTACAACTTTCTGTTTTCACCAGTTCTCTTTAGTATCTCAGACTTTGGCTTCACACTCTGATGTCTCAGTCATTGTTGGAGCAGAGAGAGTTAGTGAAGCCTACTTGATGCCTGCTTTTGTTCATTTTGAGATTTACATTAAAAAAATTACCCCTTTTTGTGAGTAAAGTGGAATTTGAGGAACTGATTTTGTATTTTTCTGATGTGATCTACGGTTTCACATCAAACTTTTGACCAACAAAATAGCAAAGCAACAATCCTCATGTCCCATGATTTCATATACCTCCCTGTGAGGTAGTCAAAAATGTAACTCAAGTTTTTTAAAGCTAAGGGTAAATTGCATGGTTCTTGTGATGCTGAGAGTCAGGCAGTGCAGATTAATAAACCAATCTATGGTGGACCCATACCTCTTCCCCTTATGAATCTTTGTGACAGCACGCCATGGCGAATGGTTCACTGAGGGGTATTGATTCCTCCAGACCAACTGCCCAACAGTACAGCCACAAAAACAAGGAGACTTTGTTTGGCTTTAACAGCCGTTAATAATCCATTCGAGGGAGGAAAATTTTATTGAGGTTTAAAAGTTTTTAGCCAACATGATTATCTGCAGCTCCCATCAATGAACTCACCAGCAGTCATGGCAAAGATGACTTCTTTATGTCTACAGGGCTGCAAGACTCCTAATGACGTGGTTTCATGTGTCCTGTGTGCCATGGTCTGTTCAGTGCTATGTGTGCTTTTAGGGAATTTTATAACTTGAGGGAGTTGAAGTTCTTTACCTAAAGTCTTATGTAAGAGGACTGAATTAAGGGTGAGGGCTTCGGGTTCATATTTTTGCTTTGTCAGCTATTATCTGTTGGGTAGATTGAACTATTCTGTTATTTATTATACAAAGTTTAAAGAACTGATTGTGGATCTGAAAAGGACAAAGACACAGTGATCCCTGTTTCCATCCAGGAGGTTAGTATGAACATTGTAGAGGACTACAAGTACCTGACAGTGTACTTGGATAATAAACTGGTCTGGTCTAAGAACATTAACGTGTCTTCTGATAAGTTACTCTTTACACAATAGTCATGTTTATTGTGTTGCTACTTATATATATGAAACTATGATCTTTTTTTGTACAAATCTGATCTTGCTCCAAAACTTTTGGCCTGTAGTGTACCTCAGGGTATAGGATCCTCCAAAAGCTTGCATAAACCTCCTAACCAATGTTCACAAGCAGAAACGGTTGCAGTGGGCCCAGAAATACATGAAGAATAATTTTCAAACTGTTTTGTTTACTGATGAGCAGCGCACAACCCTGAATTGTCCAGATGGATGTAGTTGTGGATGTTGGGGGATTGGCCATCACGTCCCAACAAGGCTGCAACAACAGCAGCAAGGAGGTGGCAGGGTCCTGTTTTGAGCTGGAGTCATGGAGAGAGAGCTGGTATGCCCCTTTAGGGTCCCTGAAGGTGTAGAAATGAACTCACCAATATACCACTTTCTTCCATCATACAAAAAAGCATGCGTTCTGTAGCAAAATCACGTCACACATGACAATGCATCATGTTGTACTACAAAGAATACCTCTGTGTTGGTGGCTACTATGGGCATAAAAGGAGAGAAACTCATGGTGTGGCCTCCATCCTCCCCTCAAGCCTATTGAGGACTATGAGGGTGGGAGGCAAAACATTAAAACAGCTGCTCTAGGCTATTCTAACATCATACAACATGTAACTTGGCCTGTCAAGATGTTTTGGTTGAAATAGCTTTGGATCTCAATAATTATGATCTCCTAATGCTGAAAATTCAACAAATTATTATTAAACCACATGACTGCTTCTCACACTGTATAAAAAATTTGTGTTGTCCTGACTAAAGCTGAGACAATCAATTAAATCAAGCACTGGTTTGCTGTCTTGTCCTTCTCCCCCTCTAGCTAAAGAATTAGGCTTGACCTGAAAGAAATATAACGGTTATTCCAGTTCCATATGGCAGTACTTGGTTACAGTGCTGAAGAGACCACTTGTTAACACAGAAGAAGCTCCACACAAAGACACGCTCAGACACTCACACATACGCACACACATCCTATGTGTTGTTCCACCCAGGCCTCAATGAGACACATCAGCAGTTTTGCCTCTGTTACTTTCAGGAGAGGAGCAGAGGTAGCATGACTTCACCCACCATCACGCCACTGTGTGTTACACGCTGCTGAAAAAGCGTGACATTTATGTAAATGTCGCGTCTTGAAATTGCAGTAAGTCGTTGCCTAGTGGCACTGGGATAACCTAATTCCACACATCCATACACTAATCCATCTGTGATCATGGGTTTGTAACCGAGCTTGTGAATTTTTCTTCCTTTTTCCCCCTGTAATGTTACTCTTAGAAATCATTTGAAGTTCAATGATCTTACTTGGGAAATTCCATATCCATAAATGTTAAATGAAAAAATGCACTGTCTTCTTCCTTGGCTTTTTATGTGAACTAAAATAATCCCTAAAAACCTTTTGATTAAATAAACAG